CAAATAAAATTCCAAGTATTAATGTGATAGCTGCTTGTTGAATGGAGAAGCTAAAATTCTAGTTTTCTTTTTTTTAGCCATGGTATTTATTTATACCGTGTTAAAGGCAATTGAAGATCATAACTGTTGTTGAACAAGGGTTAAACTTGATGAGCAATAGTTCACCATCAAACTGTTACTTGCAAGTGTTTAACGTGATTATCAGTTAATTATTCAGCATTTACCAAGCAACAGTTGATGCTGTTTACCACTAAAGATACAAAAATAAATGTACATGTAGAAGGGCACACTATCTTGGCAGACAGAAGTGTCCATCTCAGACAGATGTCCACTCCTGATGTCCACTCTTTTCTTGAGTTTTAGAATAAAATGTACACCATTGCTTATGTATTGATGTAGCTGCAAATGTACCTAACACAGGTTCTTTATGGTGATTGTAAAGAATTCTAAAAGAAGAGCAGAAAGATAAAAAAGAAAGATTCACCTTAGAGTTTGGTTTACAAATGTACATATAAAGGTGTCTGCTTTACAGATGAGTTAGTCCATTAAAGTGGTGCCTAAGAAATTCGAAGATCTTATCTTTTTAGAGTAGACATTGTTCATCTTAGAGAGATGTTGTTTTTAGAGGATAGTCAGCATGAGAAAGGAAACAACCTTCAGAAACATCCCATAATATGTACCTTCAGTGATATTCTACAAACTTGAAATTTTTATGGAAATGGGGCTATATCAGCAGAGAAGTGTGTTAGTTCTCAGAAAGGTGACCACGACTTTGGAGGGTTTTTACTCATAGCCTTAGTCTCCTTGTCTAACTTTGTCCATCTAAGGAAGGCACAAACTATATCGACATCAAAAGTACAGTACAGTGTAGCCTCACCATGGAATTCTGTCAATAGCTAGCAATGGCACCCTCGAGCTGTACTGTACATACTTAGAGAGATGTACATCTTAGAGAGATGACTACCTTTAGTCAGTAGGGTAGCAGTTAAAAATGGTTATGGTTTTCAGTGAGGTGCCTTTTCGTGTGGTATCAGAGTTGAGAGGGTTCACCTTTGAGGAGAGTCAGTCTTGCATGTAGACTCTAGAAACATGTCCACCTCAGTGTCTACACAAGACGAATCCACCTTAGCCAGGTGTGCAGAGCCAGGGAGTTGTAGGGACTTGTTGATTAAGAGTGGCTGTGTTGTTCTTCACGCAGGACTGGGAATTCCCTAACTTCCAAGGCAACATGGATATTAAACTTCCGGGAGTCGACACCGCCTCTTTCTACTTCCGGTTGCCTCGCTTCTGTAAGAAGGAGAACTGGCACGTTCACATTACAGGCAGATGGTTCAACTATGGAATCATAATGCTGGTTATAATTCTTGACCTGAACATGTGGAAAAACCAGATTTTTTACGATCCTTTCACGTTTGGTCAGTACACCGATTCCGAAGGTTACATCTACTCTGTTCAGGATCAAAGCTTTTTGAACACTGCAAACCAAACCATGCTGTCTTATGACTGGAGATCACAGAATATCAACCCGGCCACCAACAAAAGCTACTTCAAAACCGATCCGCGTATGAACTCAAAATACCTCAACTTCGCTCTAGCTTTGAAAGGTATCGCCTTTATTCCCTCCATAGTCGCGTTCCTAACCTTCGGCACTCTTATCTGGCGTTATGGAAGAGAGGAGTTTGTTGTCGAAAAAGTAATCGATGATGTCCACAATATTGAGGGCACCGACGGGATTGTGATTGAAGATGTTGAAATTCATGAGAAAGTAGAGAAAGAGTCTGCACAGCAAAATGATGAAATCACATCTGGAACAGTTTCCCAGCAAAACAAAGGACGTCCGACATCTGAGCTACCTTCAGATCAAGACGACGGAACACCTGTTCTTAAGAGCATTCAAATGGTTTCTAACATGTAGGACTTGACAACCATTGCTGGCCTGTTAAAGGGGTTGGGTCACACTTCTAAGAGCGTTTTCGCATTGCGGCCATAAATTATTGGTAGTTTTCCAAAGTAATGCAACGATGGAAATGTTGGTGTTCCAAACTAATCCGGTGGGAATTGAACTCTTTTCTTAGGTAAACGCTTTCTTTTGTTCCAATAAATTTCCATAGATGCTGGCCATGTGAGTGAAAACGCTCTAAATTAGTCACTAGCTGCACTTACCAAATCATCATAAATTGGCTAAAATATGAAAGTAACTGCTTCAGAGCGTAGAAGATCGCAAGGGAAGTAGAGGAGAGCCAAAAAGGAGTACGGATGGACAAAAATGTAGAAGATTTAAACGGATTGCATTCTGGTTAACTTGGAAAACATCGGCAGTTTCTTTTCAAGTTTGTTCCCCGGGGGGGGGGGGTACTCCCATACATTACCTATACGGGTATGTGCCGCCCGACGGGGTCGTTCAATTTACAAACAGTTCTAGAACGGAGTGTAAAAAATTGGCCCATTTCTAGAATGGGGTATCAGTTTTAGGGCGAATTCTGGAACGGGGTAAAAAAAAATGGCCCATTTCTAGAACGGGGTATCAATTTTAGGGGAAATTTTTTAGAACGGGATGCCAATTTGGAGTCTCAGGCGGCACAGACCCACCCAAAAAATACCCAAGTGCCCCACCCGGGGTTTGTTCCCATTTGTCAGATTTGTATAGAGATGTGACCAAGCCCCTTGGACAATAGTCTCATGCGCAGTCGCTTTGTTTCGTCTCGTTAAAGAGCGTTGCGTGACAAGACGAAAACGGCTGCGTGGTAGACTACTTGATCAATCACTAACCTTTTAACCCACGATTTTTAACGTAACACAGCATTGCAACATTGTTCCAACATTGCAGCGCTGTGTTGCACCGAAGATCGTCGTTGCGAATCGACTCGTGTAACCTCAAGTCCATGCAAATGAATAAGTGGAGTCTCGACCATTTCTTTCGGCTTACATGTAGTTTATTTTACTCGCTCATTTAACAGTAATGTTTCTTCCCAATTTCTTTGAAGACGAAACAGCATTTCATTTCACTTCTTAAAGCAGTGGGACCAAGAGACCAAGAGAATATTTTGTGTTAGATGTCAAGTAAAATCTTATCAACTTTGGTTGAGTGGATTTCTGACATTTATCCTTGTTCTTTGAAAGATTTTAGTCTGGTTTTATTATTTTGATATGTTTTAAGTGAAGAACGCTTTTATTTATAAGACGTTTTTGGGTCTTAAGGAAAGAAAATGATAGTTCTAATCTAAAACTTAGAACGCCAGGGAGACCTATTTTCAGGAAAATTCCAAGTTTCATTTTGTAATATACTCCATTTTGCAAATAATACCACGCGCTTTCTTTTGCTGCACTAATGTATAGAAAATGTTCTTTGAAAGATTTTAGTCTGGGTTTATTATTTTGATATGAAGTAAGTGACGAACGCTGTTATTTATAAGACGTTTTTGGGTCATAAGGAAAGAAAATAACAGTTATACTATATTTTAACTACGCTGTGTCAAATTTCTTTTAAAGCTTTCCTTTGCTGCACTATTTTGTAGAAAATGTTCTTTGAAAGATTTTAGTGTGGGTTTAACATTTATAAGGAAGTTGAATTTTTTATACGCTGGATCAAATTTCATTTAAAGCTTTCTTTTGTACGTGAAGAACGCTTTTATTTATAAGACGTTTTTGGGTCATAAGGAAAGAAAAGAACAGTTCTACTCTAAAACTTAGAACGCCAGGGAGACCTATCTTTAGGAAAATTCCAAATTTCATTTTGTAATATACTCCATTTTGCAAATAATACCACGCGAAACGACGTTAAACAGCCTTCACTTGAATGAATACACCATTATTCTCCCACGCAGACGTTCTAGTGGCTTCGTCACGCGTTCCTCCCCCGTTCGTTCGTTTGAGAGGATTGCGTGACGAGTCAAAAAACGTCTGCGTGGGAGGCTAATACACCATGAGGTTGTAACCATAGTTACATTTCCCTTTAACTGACTTTGGAAGCGAACGTGTTCATCTGAACAATTTTACCAATTGATGTTTATTTATCTGTCTCCCGTTTTATTTGTAAGGATGTTGAATATTTTGACTACGCTGGGTCAAATTTCTTTTAGAGCTTTCTTTTGCTGTACTATTTTATAGAAAGCTTTAACCTGGAAATTTTTAGGTGTAATGTCGAACCATCTTTGTTACTGTAAAAAATTTTACCCTGTATGTCTTCGCTGTCATGTATTACGCCGTCAAAGTAAGTTGAAATAAAGTACCATATCCTGTCTTGAGTGTTAATGACTGTATACCGTCCTTCGCTGGACAACACGCGGCCAAAGAAACGATGATCATCAACAGCACGAGCGACAGTGTAACATGTCCATAAACTGACATTCCTCCATCATGGACAGTTTACCCTATCCCAAAGTTATTTCAGACCATGCTTCATCGCGATTGCAGTTCAATTTCCGCTTCAATCATACATCTCTGTAACTCTGTCACTTGGCTCTGTCCCATTTCTGTCCGTTTTAGGTGGTTTGACCACGTATTTGCGAGATTCAGACTGGTTCCCAGTGCTCTATCACTTTGGTGCCCTGCTCTGTAGCCTCGAAACAAGGTTTGTACGAAGCCGAAGTTGGTTTCAAATTGTTACAACAAATACTGTTTCGTTTTGTCACTAAAAATTACTAGCAATGAGCTGTCGTGACATTTAGTTATTTTGTCATTCCTGTGGTGTTTCTTTCGAAACATTGTTATCTACGGCTCTTTCTCGCCTGAGAAAACTTTAGTTTCCTTTTTCTTAAATAATCAACACGTCTGATCTCTCCACTCTGCGGGCTTCAGCGGGCTTTTTCTCCGGTGATGACGTCAGTTTTCCGATCAAGATCATCACATCATTGCTTTTCCGTTCGGTTACTTCTTTCAATTTATCGTTTAGCGACTTCAGAACTATGTCTCGTTTTTCACTAATATCCCTCACAGATTCCGTCGTGTGTGTTTTTATCGATTCTTTGTTGCGTTCTTGTTCTTGCCTCTTTTCATTTTGCTTTTCTTGGTATAACATACCAATTTCGAAGAACACATACGCAAAGATCAAAGCCAGAAGAAACACGCAAGCGTTTCGGCGAATCTTTTTCCCCACACCACGCATAACGGATCAGATGTGGAGGCCACTTGCTGGTGTCTCATTCTAGAACAAGCTGGCTAGTGTATTTATGACACATTTTGTCTGAACAAAAGAACCAGCAATCTCTAGATAGAAAACAAAGTACAAATTTCCCTAAGAATTTTGAATTTCTGCTTGGCTGAAATTCAGAGGTGTTTAATTGTTTTTGCCTCCTATATGAACCAAACTGGTTTGATAACGATCATTGATACGTATGACGTAACAAGCAAAAGCGATAGAATCTATTCTTCGTAATACTTTCTTTCAGAGTTCGCTTAGGTTAACCGTAACCTGTTACAAATCCAATTATTAAAAGGCTCAAAAACACTTCATCGATATACGCCCTTAATCATTTTAAATATCTTGAAACAGTTTTTAATTGGAAAATAATATTTCGTCTTAGGAAATCAGCTAGGGGGCGCAGGTGGCGTTTCAAATTAAAATATTATGCTTCAAACAACCGAGTATTCGTGTTGTAAGCACGCATAATCTGATTAAAAAGCTTAAGGCCCCATTTTTCGTTTGAGTATCGTTTGTGGGGCGAAAGTTTGTAGGTCATTGGTTTAGCGCTACACCGCCTTGAGATTCGCGCAAACATTAGGGAGCTTAAGCAGCCACGTTTTTGAGCGACGCACGTCAACCGGAAGTGAGATATTTTCCCTCTTAACATGCCTTGATGATATAAAATTTGTATTCCTTAGCTTCTTAACTGTTATAGAAGCGATTTGGCTGAAAATTTGCGCGAAAGCACCGTCAAAAAATGAAAAAAGGCCACTTCCGGTTGACGTGCGTCGCTCAAAAACGTTGTTGCTTAAGCTCCCTATTACTACCTTCTCAACGTATCGGGCCAAAAACCAAAACCACTCGTGGCTTGCGCTTACGTCACTTTCCCGCGCTGAACACCGGTCACCCTATTTATTTTGTATTAAATTCTGATTGGTTTGTTGATCTATCTGAATTTGTTACAATTGGGCAGGGCTATTGCTACTATGGGTTTCGATAACAACACTCAAATGAAGAAAACTGCTCTGTGAAAAAAAAAAGAAGCGAGGGAGGGGGGAGGGGGGAGGGGGGGGGGGCAAGCTTTTTTTCGTGACGCCCTGATCGACCATCTTTGGTGTCCGCGAATCGTGATGTACTGAAAAACTGTTCCGTGAATCGAGACTTAAGTGCACTCCGTGAAACCTGAACTGAAGATCAAGCGAAGTAAATGAAGCGTTAATTTGGCCAAATGACCTTAACTAGCATCTGGTGGCTTGATTTAACTTCGCTTTCGAGTCTTTTGATGTAACTTCACACTTCAGTGCGCTCAGACCCACCTACAGCTGCCTTTCCTTGGGAATTTATAGTGGCGCAGTGTTCTTCAGAGGGTTCATGATACTCTAGTTAACTTGCTAAGATATAATTGAAGCTCTCTGTTTTACAAAATGGGACTAACCTAACGTTTTTGACATTTTGTACGACCTCTTTCCCGGGACACCTTTCCTCCATATAAACGGGGCCAACATAACTTTGAATTTTGAATTACTCTGAATTTCTTTGAATTTCGTATGCCTGTATTTTCCCACGAATTAGTAATGAGTTCTCGAAAGTACATTTAACCTAAAACCACAATCTTGTCAACTAAGACTATGTTCATGACAGACCTTCACACTATAACCGATAGCTCAGTTTACGCCGGCACGAAAACCATACTGGGTAGGGCCTCTGTTCAAACATAACCTAAGAATGGTGATTTCGGTTCGATTTCTGTGACGGAGCAAAGCTACGCATGTCTCTAAAGTGGAGAATCCCATATCGAATAGGTGTTCATACTATGATAGCGGATAGCTTTTTGTGTCGGCACCGAATAGCCCTCCGGCATATAAGGAACATAGCCTGAATACAGCAATTTCGAGAAATGTTGTCGCAAAAAGTGCACGCGACAATCCCGAAAGGTACTGTGGGTGGTTTTGAGTTCACTGTTCTTCAAAGAAATTTGAAAGAATGACACGAGAGGCTATGGACGTATGTTTGTGTGTACTAAAGGAAAGCAACAAAGGTAAGTTTGACAACTACAGTCGTTAGGAATAGTGTATTCATCATAGCCCATATTACTTTACGGATTTTCCCGTGCACATTTTTTCCGACAACCTTCCTCGAAATAGCTGTATACCAGGCTTTCGTGTTCGTGTTAGATGATCGGCTGTTTTGATGTAAAGTACCTTTAATTACACTCATCTGCGGCGTATAATTGTTAATTATTATTGTGGTTGTAATTACTTCTGGCAGTTTATAAACTCTCCTTCCTGTTAAATAGGGTAACACTAATTGCTGTAAAAGTTTTCGCCCCAGTGGTCCTCTTCAAACTTACGTGCTCGCGCGAACAGTGCTCGTTAATTCTGTTTAGTGCAGTTTTCTTTTGCCGAGAATAGTGAGTTGTTTACATTAAAATGGTCGTAATTAACCCTAAACAACCTCCCACTAAAACAGTGGGCGATGAATGAACACATGGTTCGAGGAAGATAAGGCCTAACATAAACGAAAATAAAAAACAGTGTGAATTTAAACATGAAAATCATTTGTTTATTGCGATCCAGAATCTTCGTTGTTTCAGTATTATCGCTTCATAAGCACCTTTAGCTCGTTTCACAATTAAAGACTGAAAAAACCCTGAATTGAACGCTCGCGGCGTATTAACTAGTGTCGTACTTTTTTATTGTGCGCAATCAACAGAACGTGTATTTCAAGCCGGACCATAAAAAGATTTTCAAGTAGGAAAAAATCACTAATTACGCGTTGCTTGACAATGAGATTGTTTGTAAAGTTCAGAAACCATTAGTCCATCAAAAGCGCGAATACCAGGAGGGGGGAGGCAAAACATGTCCAGTTTGAAGAGCGTTTCGATAAGAGGTTTGTTTGGGATTGTATTAGACAAGCTTGAATTGTGCGACTCACAGAATTTTTGTCTAACCAAATAAACGCCTCTTATACAACGAGTAAGTATTTGGAAGGTCAATGCCAAATATGAATCGGTTTAAGAAGTCTCCTTTACCTCTTGAGATTAACATTACAATGACATTTTTAGTGAGATATGTTCAGACTTAAACTCCCCCACGAAATGACGAAAACGGCAAAAAGTTGCAATTTTCGTAGGCGATATCGCGATTTTCTAAGTGGTTCCCTTGGAATGAATAAGAAAAGGCAGTAACTTTCTTATTTACAACAACTGCTTAGGTTCTGAAATTAACTAAAACGGGAAAAATTGAAAATTCTTAATTCTTGCAAAGCCAGTACGAAATTTCGTGAAATATATTCAACATTTTGTATCTGCGTGCGTGTCTATAGAGGTAAGTGTTTTTTGGTTAGTAGGCGCAATTTCGCCCTCAACATTGCTAAAATCTCCAACTTTGTGGACAGCCTGAATAATAAATGAACAAAAAGGTTTAGATTTTAGTTTAATTACATTTGTGGTTTCTTAAGGTGCTAATTTAGTGTACATTATATTAAAAACAACCTTTTTAATTCATACTCGTAGTGTTAGATTTACATCTAGATTCATATTTCGCTTTACAATCAGAACTCAAACAAAAAAATCCTCACTTAACCAAAGTGAAACCGTTAAAAGCTGTTGAAAAAGATTTCAAAGGCATCGCTACACCAAACAGTTTTGGAAATAAAAATTTAGTTGCAAAAGGAAATTAAAATCAGGAATATTTGAATGGTGCCTGAAGCTGGTAAAATTATGTTAGACCAGAGTATTCAGATTTTATTTCGGATAAATATTTTTATTTATTTTTTAGAACAATAAGAGACAAGAAACTAAGGCGCCTTTAGAATTTACGCTTTTTTGAATGTCATTCTCAACCAAACAGCGTAAAACAAAATTCTTTTGTAAAAAAGCAAATCAAAGCAAATCGTTTTCAGTAGAGTCCGCCGTAGTGTTATATACCGAAGCTATAAATTATGAAATTTTAATCGCCATAAAATAAGTAATTACAAACCCCTTTCGCGATTGGTTGTTACAGAGAGCCTTTGTTACCAGGAACTAACATCCATTTATTCGGCAGACTGCAAGTAATCGAATAATCCATGATGTGCTTTGGTATTAGCAAGGTGCAGGGAGATAGCGAGTGTCGTCGGAAAGTTTTACAGCTGACCGCTTAGGATAGAGCCGTCGACGAAGAAACTGATACTTAGACGCCGGGTCCATGGTGAGTATTGCAAATCTTAGTAAGGTCGAGAAGGTTGTTTCTGTTTAATTTAGGTCCTTTGGTGGTTACAAGAATGGTTGGCGGCAATTTTATTAACAATTAGCGCAACAAGAAAAACCAAACACAGGTGAATAGGCAATTTTTTTTATCTTGAAAATGAGCACCTCCGTGTCCAATAAATTTTAGCCAAACCTCCCTCGCTTGACTGATCTGAAATCACTTGATAAATATTGAAATATGGAAAGAAGTTTGGCCTTTCTTATCAAATACGGAGATAGGGCACTCAATTTCAATTTCTCTTCTCGGGGCTTTAAAAATATAAATTTCAGTTCTAGAGATAAAACTGTTCATTCACTAATGTTCTTTGATAAGACTGTAAGCGAGTGAGGTGATCGATCGAGACGAATACGCTGGTTGTGTTAATTTAACTATAGGTGGCGTTTGGGAAAAGTCACATCATTAATACCCAGGTTCGTCAGTTTTCAAATTAAAAATCTCAAGGTCGTTAACGTTAATCACTGTTGCTCACTCTGATTTTTGCTTGGTATTATATGTTTACCAGTCCTATTGCGGCCGCGAAAAAAATTATTTACAGTTCTACTCAAATAAATATACGGCGAGGAGATATTATTTTGTCCTTAAAATTCAGAGCAAACTAGTACTCCCTTTCTAAACGCAGGTTCACGGAGCGTACTCGCCAAAACAGAAATTAAATTAACAGGACAGAGAACATTAATTGAACCGCCTGAGGTGCCATGTTCATTTTGCGACAATAAACAACACTATTTTTTCTCTATCAAATGACTGAATCAGTTTGAAAGATCAAGTTTACCGTAAAGAATCTGACACAATACATATTGGCCGGAAAATGCGAATATATCTCGGTTGGTGATGTCACAAAAGATCACAATGCTTTTATTATGCTCCACTGACAGACAGAATGAATTTGACAAGAGCAGCTTTCAAATGATCAAACAGCCGCGCAGAAAACTGAGCCGTACTGTCTCGAAGACTCTTTTAAAATATCTGCCACATTTTAGCGCAAAAACAAACTACTCAATCTTTGGGGGACATATTTTGTTATGGTTTCTCATTTCAGCTCGCTGCTGGTATATTTCGCGTGATTTCAGGTTTCATTCGCAGCCAAGATTGATTATGTTTCAAGATCCTTCTATGTAAATTGCTTTCCATTTATTTACATTTCTGCGGATGTTTCTCACAGAACGAGTCTTTAATATTCACTGGAAATAATTACATTGTTTTTAAATGCTATTCGCATTCAGGGCCTAGCTTTTTCACTTCAGTTTCAGCCCTGCGAATCAGTTTCGCAGTTTCATTCCTCTATCCGACGAATTCAGTTTCAAGTTTTAAAATGTCGACCACCAGACGAGAAAGATTGGAAATTGAAACACTTGAGGTATTTTATCGTTTTTTAGAAATTACACAGAGTTAAGTATAATCAGACGGTATTTTAGTGAAAAAGTCGTAAAATTCAAACGGCAGTAATGTAGGTAATCCAAGGTATGTAATAGCGGTTTAGTCCATAACTCAAAGATCTCATGCGATTACAGTAAAAAGACAGTTTTTGAGAGAAACAGAGCCCCTTATTTTAATTTCAATTTTACTTTTCCAGTTAAAAAAAACTCGCACTGATTTGATGATTTAAAACCGTCGTCGTGTTGTGCCTTAGGCGGCAAACCCTGAGGATATGTTTGCATTTAGTGCGAAATAATGGGTTGAGAAATGAAAACAAAGTAATGCAGCTGAATTTCATGTTTTGCTTTGTCCTAAGCATTCAAATAATTTTAATGGGAAAATTGCGTTTATTATGGTCCTTACATGCGTTCTAATAAAACCTAATGTTATAAAAGATTCTCCACAATAAATGCATTTGAGTGGTCGAAACGATACGTCAAAGGCTTAAAAAGCAGCACAAAGATATATTGAAAGCGAGTTATTATTAGCTCCCTTTCTTCAGCTTTATATTGTATCCGTAAAAGTGTCTTTTTCAAAAGGGCTGAAACCACTTTTGAAGATAAGACAAAATTATTCCACGCATATCGTAAATTGATTTCATACGATTGAATTCAACAAGAAACGAAAAAATTCATTCTTAAACCTGATCTCAAATGGCACGGAAATTCTTGACACGAGCTTCTTGTTGAAAAGTGCTTTAAGTATATTAAGTGAAAGGGCATTTCTACTGCAAAAGAAAATGTCCACTCAAGCTTTGTAGACACTACATAGGAACTACAGGCTCAACTGAAGTGACATGAACGACAAGTTTCCTGTTTTAAAGACATACGATATGTTAACATATTCTACATTTCTATTTATTAAATTCTCTTTTGTAAACCAGCCGTTTTCATCTGAAGCACACATCTTCGTCTTTAAATTGCAACTCAAGGAAATGTGTCTTGATCAAGACAAGTGCAATGTTCCATTTACATTTGAATTTGATTTCGATGATTCACTCATATATCAGCGAAGCGGGGCTAATTAGTAAGTTGGTGATTGAGGAAAATGTTTTTGCCTAGCCAGTTTTATCCGCGCATCTCTTGACAGAAATAAATAGCGGGTTAAGGATGTACTATTGGAACAGCAACGCGAACATTAGAAAAGTAGTAGGTCTTAATAAGCATAGCAGTAATTTTGCATGGGCGTCACACTTGACGGCTCATTTCTCTGCCGTCACTTCACGACTACGAAGTAAAATTTCTTGATGCAAAATTTTACGTACGACCTGAACACGAGACGTCGAATTCTTGAACTTAGATGCTATTCCAAAAAATTCAACTACATTTGATAAATTGATGTGTTGGAATAATGGCGATAGAGTTTAAAACTGAGAACGCGAACACTTTTTGTAAGCAACGTTTTCGCTGCCGTCACCCTCCTACTTCGTAAAGGTCCTTAAGGTGGCTCGACTGGATTTTTCAGGGTGTATAATTCCACAATTTGAGCGTTCACCAAAGATATCGGAAAAAGGTTACCACAGCTGCACTATATAAAGATGAAAATTGGTTATGATCCATGTTTTATTGACATCAGAGTTACCTTGGCAACATAATGACGCCATTACGTTTTTTACTTTCCTTTGTATTTCTCGGTTCTAGGGGATTTTTTCAGAAATCGCTTAGGGGAGGTTGTACCTCCCTTAGTAACCTCGGTTGTGGCAAAGTGTGAACAAATTCTATGAGAGCGTGTTGGTTCTATTTTGAAACAAAGTTGTAACGGTCCTAAAAACAGTGAAGAAACATGCTATCGACATAATTAACTAAGATTTAAAGAAAACGATGAGGTCTGGAAAAGCGGTTTCATCTCATAGCGGTTTGATTCCATCTGAAAAGTTGTACGAAAAAAGAGGGGGATTGCTTCGGCCGATTGCGAGAAAGAGGAATTTGATTAGACTACGTTCGGCTTCTTTCTTTACCATTTTTGTATTACTTTGGTCCACGCCTACAAATTTCACGGTTATTTAAAAACCGCTCAATAAATTGTTTTAAAAACTTGACAATCCCGAGATTAATCATCAATTGATATCTCCGCCAAGTTTCAAGGATATTGAAAACAAGGAAGGTAATTGAATGGAGCTTCAACTGTCAAAACCTTTTCCCATATTTTGTGTTTACAAGTTAGCATCCCTCATTATTCACTGGCATTGTTTTCAAGTTTCATGTGCACGTGCACAATATGATACAAAAAAGTGCGATACGTATGTACAGACCTCCTTCTTTCAGCCACTGATCAGGCGAAAGCAGTTAGGGAACTAACCCAAAACGTACTCGAAACGACTTCAGAGGTTAGCGAACAGGACGTTGGCGAAACGACTCGTAGACGAAACGACGGTAAACCCAGGGGCGTAGCCAGACATTTTTTCCTTATGAGCCCAAGTCGTTGAAGCCCTTGTGGCGGGGGAAGGGAATGAGGACATAAAAGCCAGCCAAGTTAACTCGGACCTGTGAAAAATTCTTTTAGAGCGCAGCAGTTCTATAAAGGGCATACTGTCATAGTCAGCATCAGGGAGTCAATATCTGACCGTATAAAGCATTTTGGACTTGAAAAGAACTCTACTAGACACAGGTATATCTCTCAAGGTCTCTGCGTGTCTGGCTTGTGAGCACAACAGCTAAGGATCAGCCATTCTGTCAGTGTCGGAAATCGCACGTATCGTGTTTTCACCCTTGTCGGTGCAAAATCATTTCTCTGTAGTCGCAGTGGATACTGACCTGGCGAGGAGAAAAATGAGCATTGTGGCGACGTTAATAGTTGTAAGGTCTTTCATTGTATCGCTCAGGGTATCTCTGTACCTTGTCAAAGAAGAAGAAAGCGTTCGTCGGCCGTTTCAGTTTAAATTTACCGTCAAATACACTCTAAAATTTTAATTACTTTGTATCAAAGTGGGTAATTTTTTTTTAATGTGCATGTGCAATTCCCCCGGCAAATCAATCACATGGAGACTCGGTGGGAATAACTGTTTTCGTGGCGTATATTAATAGCTGATAACAGAGGAAACGCACACGAAATGGAGATTTGTATCAATTCGTGAGACCTTTGTTGTACACGCAAAGAACGTTTAGAAATGGATACTGCGCAGGTATTTTCAACTCCAAAAAATATTCTTAAGTAGCAGTACATACATATAAGAACGCTGCGGTGTTTAGAGTATCCTTGTATCATATGCACGAGAGTGTCTCTCATTTTTAACTTACAGTAGAACCTCGATAACTAGAACTCGGATAACTTGAACTCCCGCTAACTCGAACTAATTCTACTTTCCTTTGGATTTCATACCACTTCTTTTTTACTCGGTTAACTCGAACTCGGATAACTCTAATTCCCCATTATCTCGAACTAACTTTCCTTTCCCTTGATAAAAAATTCACTGAAATTTACCCCGATAACTCGAATTTTGGTTCTTATAACTCCACCTGGATGCCACCTCATTAGCTCTTCTTGTTGTGTAAGGGTAAAAACACTAAGCTAACACTGGTCAACACTACAGCAATTTGATTTTAATTGGTGCAACGAAAAGACTACGTTTTATGATCATAAGAAAATGCCTAATCATGTTACCGTTGCTGATGAATAAGTTAAACTTGCACTGTACTATACACTGAAGTGCTGAGAAAAATCAGTAACTATCAATTTTTAACCTGGCAAATTGAATTTTGCAATCGACCCCGGTAACTCAAACTCTCGCCAACTCAAACTGTTTTTCGTTTCCCTTCAGAGCTCGAGTTACCGGAGTTCTACTGTACTTAGAAACTCGATTGACGATCTTGGACAGCGTTATGTACCTTAGAAGGTAGTACTGTGGCATTCTATGAATCATCGAGCAGCATTTCGTTCTACGATGCGAAAACAAATAAACGCATTGCTTTTCATTCACCATAATTATGTTGAAGTCTTCTTGTGACTTATGACTAAAGGCTGTTTGTTACGTTTTTGACAGGATAAACTCACAGAGGAACAAATTGAAGGTAAAGTCACGTGAATTCTAGATATCTTAGAAACTCTGTAGTAAGGTTTAATCGTTGTACTTTAAAATCATTTTTCTGTGAATTTGCTCGAGAAAACTGTAACAAAAATGTCGCAGTATTCTTACGTCGGACTAACAACTTGAAAAAAAATATAGCGATTTTTTCAAGTTTAATCCGGCCACTTACAACCACTACCGACCTACAGAAGATACTGTTGCAATTCAATAACCTCGGTCGTCTTCGGCATCAAAACGAAACCAGTAATTGTTTTTTTTGATGCGAAGAAACTGTTAATTACTTTTCAGTTTGTACTAAAATAACATGCCTTTTCAAATCAAGATTGCCCAAACCCTAAACTCAAAATTTCGTGCAAAAGTTTCTTGCCAAACTGCACTTAAAAAAAGCAAAGGTGATACAGATGTTGTGTGATTGGTTGTACTCTAGACAAATCTAAGTCAATCTAAAAACTCTAAACGTTATTTAGTTGAAGAGGCCCCATGACGTACAAAGGTTTCGAAATACTTTTCAATGGATGCCCGAAGCGACAGAGTGAAAAGTAAACTAACGCTTTTTATAAACTAACCCAGCAGTAAATTAGCAAGTGCCAAAAAAAATCAGATCGTTACATACTTTTAAAAAGACCACTCAGTATACGTGACGAGGAAGTAGATCACTCCAGGCTGAAATTTGCAGATCCTTTGTCGTTGAAATGATACTACGGGCTAGAAAATCAAAATAGACAGGGGAAAAATTAATACCCTTTATATGTGATAATCCACCTGCCGTTAACGAGGAAGTTGTCGGAAAGAAAACATCCCTGTACCCTCTGGGTGTTGCTATATATGACTTGACTTGGAAACAATGCACTGTAGGATTAAAGTGGTTTATACTTTATTGACAAGGTCCTCTGCAGGTGGGAATGGGAGGTGCTTGGTTTAATTTGCAAATATTGTCATGTGTTCATGTAATAGGCTGTAAAAAAAGTGCGTACTTTCGGTTTGTCGGGTACGAAATAGCTTTTTTGGAAAATATGAACTAGTACTGAATCCCGGGAATTGGATAAACAATAGTTTCACAGTATCTTTTCCGTGTTTCTTTACATGCGATAGAGTTTTTTATAACATAGACTATTAGAAAGGAAAAAAACTCTATTTATTTTCGAAATCATGTCCTTGCGTATAAACAAACACACCGAGCTGCTGCTCATATACCACATGAGCTTGGAATACTGGTGTGCTAAAATTTAAATGATTACTCTTCTATGATTGAAAAGAGGTGGTCAGATAAGGAAGCACCCATTGAATTACCACCTTAATTACAAAGACTGTTTTAATCAATGACGACTGTAAAACTCCGTGTGGACTGATCTAGGCTGGTGTATTCGGATTTGTTTTTGATCCCGCTGCATGACCTCCAAGTTCTTGTACTTGAACTTGTTCGCTTTATATTCTAGTTCTTTATGGAGAACTGATACCATCGTCTTTGCGAAATTTAATAGGCTCCCCTCTCAAATAAGCCCCCCGTCTCTATTAAGCCCCTATCCCCCCCAAATGTTCTTGAAATATATAAGTTCCCCCTGCTCCCCCCTGTGGGGCTTAATCAGGATTTACGGTATTTGATTTCGTCACATGCAAATGCCATTCTAGTGAAACATTTTGAAATGTTATTTCGTCTGTTGTCGAAAAGTTATTTCATTTGCCACTTTAGACACAAGAAGAGAACTGGAGCCAAAATGCGTCTTACAATTGTTTCTGGGGTCGTTACTGGGGGCGCGCCGGTTAGGTATTGGTCAATTTTCTCCTGTCGCTAGTAACAGTCCCAGAAGTCTTTGCGAAAGTTAACTCGATCCAGTGTCCTTCTCGTTACCAATTGGTTTCATAGCATTGGACACTAGGGAGCTACGCAACGACGACGGCGACGGCAACGACAATGGCAAAAAAGCAATAGGTTTAGACAAGCCAAACAACATCACGCTTTTTTGTACATTTCTCTACCGTCGTTGCACGAAACTGCCTAATTTCACGTTTTGTCGAGGACGGGAACAAAAGACAAAAACTTTCTTTTTCTTTTCCTGAACTTTGATGGAGTCCTTTAGAATTCAATTCCAAAAACATTTGCTAACATTTAACGAATTAAAAGAGTTGGAATAAGCGCGATTAAGTTTGAGGCAGCGTAACTGACGTTTTCGTAGCCTTTGCCATCGTCGTTGCGTAAACTCCCTACTGTTACTTCTCGCCATCAGTGAAGCACACGTACATCGTATTGTTCCTTGTGCAGCAATTGGCCAGTTTGAGGTTGAGCTACAGACTGGGTCGGGTGTTGTATTGAGTTGCATTATGGGACTATAGTGGGGACGCTATCGCTTCTTTTATTGGCTGTTACGAATTTGAGCTGGGGACTGGGTCAAAATCTTTCCCCAAAAAGTCCCATAATGCAATTTGACACAACACCCTCTCAGTCTCCAGCGCAATCAAGTCTTAAATACTTGGATATGTTGGATTGGTGCCCTATTTTGGTTAATATCTTAGTGTAAGGAATTCTTGTTGTCCTAATAATATCTATTCTTCTTTGCTTAGAGTACCGAGACGCGTTCAAGTTTTTTGACAAAGATGGTAACGGATTTATAACGACCCGTGAATTGGGCGCCATAATGAGATCACTGGGACAAAACCCGACAGAAATTGAGCTTCAGGATATGGTCAATGAGGTGGATTACGACGGTAAAGCCAAAAACATACGTTTCTCTTCAAACATTTATCCTTACCGAGTTGATCCAAGATAAAAAGCAATAAGAATCACAACAAAACTATCCGTTCTAGCTACAAGTATCCTAATTGAAACGCTATAGACGAGTTTCATTTATAGTTCTTTATTCAGTCAGATTGGTTGCTGATATTATAGACCTCTTTCATAATGGCGGCTTATTATATATTCTTTTATATGTGTGAAAACTAGCCTTTCTGACTTCCTTTGAAAGTAAGAATTCTTTTGTATTTTGCACATGCTATCGAGGTCAGAAAGGTTAATTGTCATACAAATAAAAGAATTTAGTTTTCACCAAATCAGTGAATAGCAATTTTCGCGCGTTTTGATTGGCTCCTGCAACTCGGAGTATCCTTGGCTATTCACTGTTTTGCGACCGGAGCCAAGATGGCGTCTCATTTCGAGACATTTTCGGAAGACGAAATGTTTGCTATAAGTGTAGCAGTCGTACAAACACATACCACCTTGTCGGTGTTCACTGATAGGTAGAAAATTATTTTCATGCTGAATTTGCAACAAAATCGAAATATGCACTTGACAAATCCCCGAAATGTTTGTAAATTGAAAACAAAGTTCCTGCCAAGTGACGTTTTTAATTTATAAAAATTTACTTTTTTCCAATTTATCCAACTGATTTGGTAAATACCCTCAGGGTCGGTAAACAGCACTAGATATATACCTCGACGCTTCGCGTCTTGATATATACTTACCACTATTCACCTGTATTATATTAATAGGCCGCCATTATGAAAGAGGTCTGTAATCAACGTTTAAAGAAAAGTCTTGCTCACCAGACCTGCTGATCTGTTATTTTTGCAAACTGAAATCTTTTGTTCCAAATGGTCTCTCTCCCACCCTACCAGTGGAGCCTTTCTTTGGCTTGCTCAATTTTGTTGTACTCGAGAGAGACTCTGCACCAATCAAGTAAGACCTTTGTTGATCATGTGCTGCATGTTGCCAGGATACAGTTTCGAACCCAGGTCTAATAGCCGTTATCAATAGGGAACTTAAGCACCAGACGGTTTTGGTACCACGGACGCCAACCGGAAGTATTTTTGCAGCACGACAGCCATTGCGCATGTGAAGACTTTCTCGAGTTGCGGTCACGGGCTTCGAAACGCGAGTTCTCAGGTTGAAACCAGAGGTTCAAATTCGGTGTTCTTCGAAGAGTATTCCTCATTCAAAAGTAGAAATTCTTCGTCTAAAATCATGTTTTCTTCGAAACAAAACTTAACGCAAATCCTTGAAAGGCATTTTCAACTGATTTATTCTGTCGGCCTTCGTGATGGTTTCACGTTGTTTTGCTTACTGATTTGCATTTGGCACGCAAACCGCGTCCTCTATCCAGTTCTGCGCAACCAGCCATGCCGTTTGTGATGAATCAAGAACGTCAGGTGCTTAGTTCCCTATTAAACGGCTGCACGCGTACTCGAAAAAGCCAGTTTGACGAGAGGAAACGAGATTGACTCGTCAAGAATTTTGTATTGCGGCGACTTCAAAGGCTTGACGCGAATCAGGCAGAGCCTCCCTTTCTCCACCTGATTCAAGAAGGCAAAAGGCGGCTTTGTTTGCCGGGTTTCTCTCTCCGTTCCAGCAGGTGTAATTTACAGTCACATCCCACAGGTCAGAGTACACAGCAGAACAAGGATATCGGCGTTGCTTCGCAGACGTTACTAACCGGGGTTGGGTGACGTCTGCAACGCAGGTTTGTTAGTGTGCAGCTTTCTTCGCGGGAGGTTCCGAGTTGGATTTCCAAGTGTGACCTCAAATCCTTGTTTTTTCTTTTCCATGCAGCTTAAACTAGCTTTGAATCCGGTAAAACACAGCACTAGTCGAGAGAGGGGGGGGGGGGGGGGTTGGGTAAAATGAGCGCGCCTTCGGCCTTAGATTTGTCAGTTGAAGTATTGTTACGAGTTACCGACGTAAAATAATTACCTTACCCTCATCTATCTTTACAGTTGTGTAAATGCGCATATGGATAAATAGTGTTGCTCTTGACACCATACCTTTCGTGTGTAACAATGATCTGGCCTTACAACGTTTTCTTTTTTACAACACAGGAAACGGTGTAGTGGATTTTGGTGAATTCGTAAACATGATGATAAATCAGAATAATAACACACTTGATCAGGAGGAACTCCTGGAGGCGTTTAGAACTTTTGACGGTGACGACAAGGGATATATATTCTCAAATGAGATCCGTTACGTCATGCGACACATGGGAGAAAGCATTCCAGAACAAGACATCAATGAGATTCTACAGGATCATCAGGAAAGTAGGAAGCGAAAGATAACATTCGAAGGTACATAAGCTTGCAAGTTCTCGTGTCTTCATTTTTGCGTGTCTAACTATGCCTTGACGTTCTTAGGCTTTGAATTTACCGTGTTGCAAGGGACTTACGGATGTAAAAGACTGCAATCGCTTGAACAGTTCCGGAAACAGTTGCTTTTTAAAGTGAGCTTACCCTTTCATACACAAGAAGCATGAAAATGGTTCCCCTTGCGGGCGGGGTCTCCCGGTATAAACTGTTATAGAGAGTACCCGTCCCCTCCCCACCAGGAGACAGGTAGTGGTTCTCATTGTTTCGTGATTGCTGAGATGTACTATTAACACAGAAGTATTGAGTTGCTTCTGTGGACCGATCACTTGTATCTGCAAAGAAATAAACATATAAAAATAAACATGTAAATATATCAGTGATAAAGAAAATAAATTCGTTCCATCATACCGTAAAATTCCGAAAATAAGCCCCTCCAAATATAAGCCCCCCGGGGGCTTGCACTTGGGAAATTGCTCTCAAATACAAAGTAAAACAAAGCAAAAACGGTAAATTTACTTCCAAATATAAGGCTAGCCCAATCGATTGTGAAACGCAAATGTCCCTCCGTAGATAAGCCCCTCCGAATATAAGCCCTTCCAAAAATAAGCCCCTCAAAAAGGGTCTTTGAATAGTATAAGCCCCTGGGCTTATTTCGGAATTTTACGGTATCTACTACCATTAAAAGGCGCTGTCCACTGTACAAATATTACATTTTTTTTTTCAAATTCGTGTGTTCTTTCGGTCATATCCTATAATATATTTTGAAGATTATCTCACGTGACGCCAACTAGGACTATTAAACCAGGGTACGTTTAATTGTTGCTTCCCAAACCATGGAAATTACTTAGCTATTCAAAGTCAAGATTTTATTTAAAGCCATAAATCTAAGTCCTATTTTAATATAACTATTTAAAAACCTTCCGAAATATTGCAATAATAAATTTAAAGTTAAAGACTGGGTTACCATATTTCCTATTGGATGGGTAAATCACAGTACATTAAACACATTAACGCTAAATCAGGGAAATTTATGATAATCAGTAAATTCCAACGGTTAGTTTATACTTTTGTTGCAGAATTTGTTAAACTCGTCAAACCTGAAGTTTAAAGTCCACACCAAAGCTCCATTGTACGGATTTAGTCTCCATGTCCTCAAATCGTTTTGCATGAAACAATTGTTTTACGATTATCCATACAACGTACTCATCAGCAAAATTCTTTTGAGCCTCCGCTAAGGCAGTTGTGCGAAACCTCGTATTCTGGCCGGGTCGTATGGCTGAGACTAGCGAGAGTGGCCGCCATGGTCAGTTGCAATGATCGAGACAACCTGGTAACCATGGTTTTTCCAACGACCAGTTCACGCAAGAGAATCGGAGAGAGATGACTTTTAATTTTGCTGGAGAAGCACTTCGGGTATTTAAATATGCAAAAGAACGTCTAGAAAGAAAGAAAGTCTAGACAGCAATGCCTGAATTTGGTCATTTTTTCTGTTGCAGCCGTTTATTCGTTAACTTTCGCCCTTTATTTATTTATTTATATTGTTTTCTTTTACACCAAATGATAATGAGATCAAATTTAAAGCAAAAGGAAAGAAGAAGAAGGAATCGCTGCCCGTAGCAAGTCTCATTATCTCTTTAAAGGCAACAAAACAGTACTCGCTTTGAAAATGCAAGAAATTACTTTAATTTTGTTCAGGCAAGGTGTAGACATTTTGGAAAGTCGATCGCCATTGATTTGTTCCCTTGTTATTTTTCAACACGTGTAAATAAACATTGCAAAATTTTGTTTTTCCTTTTATTTTTATATGCATAAAAGCTAATTTAATGAATAAACGTTATCCGTGGTGAAATTTATTTGAAATCTTGTTATGTTAACAATTTTATGAATAAAATGGTTAAGGTAAAAAAATCGCGGGAGGATGATTTATATAAATTCAGTAAATACTCAAATTAGGAATAGGCTCGATTTAGGACCCTTGCTATCCAATAGCCAAATTTTCAAATGCGATTCTCCTAAAAAGAAGTAGCCCTGATATTATGATTGAATCCATGGTGCCAGACTGCAATCCTCTTTAATTAATTTCAGTTTATTGTTAACTAAACAGCTGCTTGAATATTGTAGGTTATTCATTCATTATTAAGCGAACGACCCGCATAAAAAGCAAATACGACACCTACATATATATGCTGCTTGAATATTGTAGGTTATTCATTCATTATTAAGCGAACGACCCGCATAAAAAGCAAATACGACACCTACATATATATGCAAACAGATTCAAATTCAGTTGTTCAATTTGATTCTCTCTGCCTTAAACTTCAACTAAGTCTAAATTACTTAGGTGAAAGGGTTTTTAATACGTTAGGTCGATATGTTCTCTTTAGCTTGTGTAATCACTCCACTGTTTTTAGCAGCAACGCTATTTATCCAAGGTATGTATGAGGTCATAATTTTTTTTAAAATTCCTCTTTCAATACCAGACTCTAGAAAATCCCCGCTATATTTCAAACCCCCTCAAAGTCTTCACAATATATATATAATTATATACATTCTTTTGTACCAAAGCAAAACAAGATTTAAGTCAAACGAGGTAATTTACAGTCATAAGTCTTTATTCAAACTCTGCAAACTGTCCAACTGGAACTCTGTTATTTGGACGCATTGCCACAGCTGTATAATCGATGTTGAGTTCCTTTCATTGTCTCTTCTTGTTCATATATTTCTCGAGAATGAGGTTCCGATATTGGACAGAAAAGTGTCTTAATACTGTTCCATTTATTTACATAATTTGTAATATTATCGGCTCACACCTTATTTCTAAATAATTATATAAAGAATACAATTGTTGGCTATCAATATTACCAATCCTCAAAAAATGATTGTTTTGCTTAGTTTACATGGAACAAAACCACGGAAATGTCAAATACCCGCAAAGGAACTTAGCACAACGATTCCTTCGAACGTCGTGCTGAGAATTGAATAAACGACCAATGAATAGCAGATGAAGGAAAACTTAGTTTTTTAAAAAAGCAAAATACACGCTAACAATGGCCCTTATGAGTAGCCTCGTTTATAAGCAAAATCCTTTGCATTTCCACTCTTTGTTCGTGGGAATTCTTTTCAACTCTACTGCCTTGCATGGGAATTTATTCATGCAAAACTTCGCAACTTTACAATTTAAAAACGAGGCCTGGAGGTGAACTGTGCAGGTCTGACGTAAACATCATAAGGGCTATTTGTTTAACTGAGCCTGTGCTGCCAGCAACCAACCTTTATAGATGCAGGGGTACGGAAATTGCTGTTAGAAGAGCATCCAACTTTGCTTTCAAAGTAAAGACAGAGTCAGATTTTTGTAGTAATAACATAAGCGTGCCTTGATAATCATTACATCTGTTTATACCTAGCTTGAAACCGATCAACACTAATTATTTATTTATCAATTCTAGTTTTTCTTTCAAAAAACTAGAGAGGTACCGCTGAGTTAAGGGTGGGGGGTGGGGGGGGGGGGGTTGGGGGAGGATTGAGACATGATTCCATTCAGTTCACGCCAATCGAAATGCCAACGGGGAACGAATAACATGCATATTGTTCACTAATAAGGCAGTAAGTCATAAGAACAACTGATGACGAAGACAGAAAAGAAAAGAGAGAAATAATGATCACTTTTGATGACCCTTGGCATCTCGGTTTTTTGTCTTTTTGCTTGTGTGATTGCAATAGGCTATTTCCGAGTTACCCAAGCCTCTGTTTCAAAACGTAGCTAAGTACCAAGCCATTGATATGAAAATAACTTCTTTTTTTTTCTCATGCTACTCGGAAATGGCCTATTAAGCTGTTGGCATGGGCTATTTAAAAGAGTGGCGAAATTAGTATCTGTACCTCGAAGGTTTACGAGCGAGTTCCGATCCGTTCCTCGTGGCGTCTCGAGAAAGTTCGGATCTACTCGTGGTTTCAAACTTCGGGGGAGTTCGGGCCTTCCCCGTGTGCCGCAAGTTTTAAAGGTTGTTTACCATTTACCACAAATTCCCGGAAATTTCGGTTGGGATGTAAATGGTATACGTTTTGTTGGTGCGTCCCAATGGAAAATTCCCGGGACAAACGGAAATTCTGAAAAGGTAGTCCCGTTTTCCCGGTTGGGACGTTCCGAATGGAAATACGTTTACCATTTACAAGTTTCTTGAGTTTCGTACTAGTTTCATGTTTTAACTAGAATCCAGTCTAGCGCGGCGCGACAAACCGGACACCTGCCGTCCTTTTCAGGGCGGAAAAACGTAATGAGCATGCGTGGACTTTTTAGCCCAGATCCCCTGGCCGGGTTTGAAAAAATGGCGGGATTTCAAATATTTTCTTGCCTAAAAATAAAATGTTTCCACCCATAACCTGGAAAGAACAGGCAATTTGTCTTCAAAAGTTGCAAGCTGTGGTTATAACCTTGTGGTTACTTAATTTTCTCGAAGAATACCTCATAGTAAAACGGACTTTAAGGACATTAATTTCCTTGCGTTGTAGTGGAAATGTGCATGCGTAGGTCCCATTTTTTTCAAGATGCATTCACAAAATGTGTTCATATAAGGAAGTTTCTGGATATATAAGGTCCGGAGCTCTACTGTGGACACAAAAACAATATATCTTTGGACAGTGATTTGCCCAAAAAAATTAACGCTTGCCCACAATGTGTTTGAAGTCACTGAACTTTGTCGCACTCGAGCGGATATTTTAAAACCCTCGCTCGATCGGACACTCGTAGTTTCGCAGATCACTAAAATATAAACAAAATCCTCAATGTAGAAGTTATTGCGTTGATATGTGAGCAGAGAGAAGGTCAATCTTTATCTGGTAAAATATTCCCAAAAATCGGTTTCAAAGCAACTATAGTTTTTTAAACTTGCTCGTTTCGCGCAGATATATAAATTTTGCTTTGTGTTGTCAAGTTGAACACGCATAACATCTGTCAAAAACCTACAAGTAAGAAGGATTTCGTTCAAACAAAATTAAAGTTACATTATTTCAAAAACTTGTTGCTGATAATGAAGAAATGAATTTTCTGTACGAAAACAACCCACCTAAAGATCGTAAAAGCAAAAGATCAGTTGCAACTTGGCAGCCAAGCCATGATTCACCATTTTTTGGAAAATACAGAAGATTGCACATAAGGGTTTGTTTTGCTCGCCTCAGTCAAATCAAGCTGCAGCAATTGTTTACGGGAAAAGAGTCAATTGTTTTGAAGTTACTGCTGGCAGTTGTCGTTCTCTACTTCACAGCGAGTGAAAAGGACAATTTGCATACAGAAAGTTATTCTTATAAAGAACAGAAACTTTCGCAGTGCACTGGAAAACAAAACTATGTGATGAAAAATGAAAAAACTCCAACTATTATTACTTGAGCAACAGAAAAATGATCTTGAGTAAGCTTGCTGGCCTTCTATTTTCGAGAAAGTTTAATAAGCGCACAAGTTTGTTCACTCTGATGCGTGATAACAGCAAATATGGTTCTTTGACTGAAGACAAAGATAAAGCTGGTTCTGCAAAGGTAATAAATCTGGGCATGTAAAAAAGTAACCGTAACTACTAATAACAGAATACAAGCGGGTTTTAATTCAGCCCGGCGAAATCAACTCATAAATTAATCGGATGCACAATCAGAAAAATACTCGCCTCTTAAGAAATCTTCAAAACCTTTTATTCCACCTCAGACTGAACTGAATGATCCGTTTTTCCTTTAACATTGGTTGTTCCGAGTCCAAAGTAATTTTCAAGTGACGAAAAACAAAAACCGCACAAAAGTAAAAAGGCTTTTCGAGGAGCAAACGTTCACACCTTGTGCATTTCATTCAGTCTTAGTCAGAACTCTCTCAGTGACAAACAAACGAACTGTCGAACAAAGTCAACACACAGAAAAGCCCGCCTTGAGCCTGCGATAAAGGATGCGCAGAAGCTTGCGCAGAACGTTTTTCCGCCCTGAAGCCGTCCTTAAAGTAGGAAAATTCTCAACCAAAATTTCCGGAATTTTTTTATAAATGGTAAACAACCAAAGTCACTATTACAATCATGTATTTTGCAATCCGCTTACTGCGTTCACAAAAATTGCTGATGTTGGTGTTGAAATACAGGTGAAAAAAAAGTTATTCATGGTCGTTTTCATGTGACGTGCGTTTTATAGGCACAAAATGTGATTCTTACGAACGGAAGTTGATAGATGAACTTTTGAAGGATTACAACACTGATGTGCGTCCAGTTGAAAACACTTCACAAGTGCTTGAGGTGACTGTAGCCCTTCAACCCTACAGACTGCTAAGAATGGTAAGCCACTTCCTATACTAATGCTATGCTCACACCCCCTGGCGGATTATAACTTTCGTGCCGACACGAAAAGTTGGGGTCATAATACGTTTCTAGAACTGCCCACCTACCCCTCTCCGAAGCCAACATTTTGCCCTGAATGAGAAGTAACTGAGTAAGTGAGTGTTAATGTTGGCTTAGGGGAAGGGTAGGTGGGCATGGACACCTATCTGATATGTGACTCTCCACTTTAGAGATCGGCACGGCGCAGCTTCGCTTCGTTTCAGAAATCGCGCCGAAACACCGCACGAAAAAAGAAATTTAAGTGAGCGTAAAGCTGGTGTAAAGTTCTCATTTACGTAACTTTACGACCCCACATGCGTAAAGGTATCGTAAAGAAACACTTTACGCTCTGCGTAAAGTTGGTTGTGCAATCCGGAATCCTGGGCTTTGAAGTCCGGAATTCAGCTCAAGCAATCCAGAAGTCCAGTTGTGATGGGATTAATCTGGAAGCCAAGTTCCAACAAGGAATTCATAATGCAATACCAAAAAAATGAGATGAACTGAGCTAAATCACTGTTCTTATGTGTGATCAGAAGCTGAACCCAGGCCTATCAGGTATGGTTTTTGTGTCGGCGCAAAAGCTATCAGGTATAGCGTGAACAAAACCTATGATATTTTGTGAAGTTTTAATTTACGATAAATGCGCTGCAAAAACGCTTCAGCTGAAGGAAACTTTTTATTGCTTCATGTATTTCTCTCCACTCAGGAGTTTGTGAGATTATTCTTCTGTCTTCAGCATCAAAAAATAGCACGGAGTAACATTGGTTTTCTAGGTTTTAAATGGTGTGATTGATTCACTCGTTTGTTTATCATTTATCTCTTAACGCGTTTTCTTTTCGTTAGAGTGAGGTTGAGCAACTGGTAAGAATGAGCTTTTGGTATAGATTGGTAAGTGATTATGATTTAACGATTTTAACGTCTCCAGTAGCTAACTACCTTTCTATTCACTTACGACTTTATTTGCGTTTGCAATATAGTATATAACAAAAGAAATGACGGGTTAACAGGCACTTTCGGACTTTGAAAGGGTGTTGGGGGGAGGAGGGGGGAGGGGCGGAGAGGACCTTTTTTCTTGAAAATTTGATTTTGAAAATGTCATCGTACAAACAAATTTAAATTACATACATTAGATAACAAAAAACACGGGGCGCCCCGTGCTCCACAGACAATATATTGAACGCGGGAACTCGCTAAACTAAGCAGAACTCTTGTAACCCTGAGATGTAGCTCTGATTACCACTAAAATCAGTTCACCCTTTTTGAGAATCAAAGAGCTATTTCAGAGAGGACATTTCCTTGCATGCAAGTATGCGATAACCTCTGAGGCCCTTTTTGGTTTGTTTTTATTGCTACCGAAAGCATTTGCTTTCCATTTCACATAACTTCTTCAGAGACACAAAAAAATCTTTATCCCTTGTAAATCCCAACGAAGTATCTACTTGAAGCTTGTGTCCCGCCTGTCTCCATGTATTGCAGTTCTGGGAGGATTTCTACCTCTCCTGGGATCCCATCAAGTATGGCAATATCACCCGTGTTAATATACCAGCAGATGCAATATGGACACCTCCAGTGGGACTGCTTAACTCGTGAGTCAGTCATTGTTATGCGGTATCTGGTTGTATAGCTGGAAACAGCGCGCGCTCTCATTGGTTACTTCGAGGTCACATGACATCAAACAATGAAACTGTTTCGCGCCAAAATCTCTAAGCTGGCAACATTGCAAAATCTATGACGTTAGAGGGTAACAGTGCACTGTTACCCGCGATTGTTAAGCGACGACCTCCGTTACAGCGAGGTTTATAAATTTCCAGCTATATAACAAAACACTTCAAGACTGGTCCCTCGGAAAACAGTTGATTTTGTTTCCCTTAGCAGATTCTAGGGAAACAAAATTTTAAAACTGTTTCCCTCGGGACCAGTCATGAAGTGTTTAGTATTAGGCGTATCTAATATGTCCATATTCAATCAGGAGTGTTGTATGAATATCACCCCACTGGCAGCGTCTCCTTTTGTCTTCTTCTTTATTGAGGAGAAGAAAAGGAGGCTCCGTCTGAATCGCGTCGAGCCTTTGAAGTAACTGCACAGGGAGGCCACTCAATCCGATTGGCGTCTGAGTTTACTGTTGACATGTTAATGTAAAGAGGGCTCGTCTTGTTGTCCTGTAATCTACGACATCAGATCACATCACATTACAGTAAATGTACTGGATTACGGTTTGAATCATCTGTAGCTATATATCGCTAAGTATGTGCATCAGATCAATGCTAAGTAAACGTTGTATTACCGTACCTACGGTAAATTGTAGTCCTGTTGCTTCAGAAGTGGTATTTTGAGCGATTTTGAAAGATTTTGAGTTCGCCTTTGAAATCCTCCAAAAGTCGAGGTAAGGGTTTAGGTCAACCCCTAGATCAAAAGCCCGGGATTAAAAACCATAGGGAAGTCATAAGCAAGCTACAAATAGAAAATGCTAGCTTCCCAATTCCGTAATTAAATCGAAACTAACGCTTTATTTAAACTGGTCAATTATATATGATTCATAGTAGTACTTCCTTAATCCCAGAATCGCAGGATAGGTATTGACAAAAGTTCTTGTTTAAGAGAAGCTAACAATGTAAAATACAACTGTGACGATTATTCCTGATATTTTTTTTTGTTATAACATGATCACTTCGTCATTGTCTTAATCATTATCATCATTAATATTTACATAATCTTCATTATTATCATCATCATCATCATTATCATTATCATCAATTACAGATTAAACTCTGGCGTTGCACCTATTCTCGGAGGGGATAATGGTGGACTCACATTAGCTGAGATCAGTTTTAATGGCCGCGTAAAACTCATGGTTCCTGCAATTCTCAGTATATCATGCATAATGGACATGACAATGTATCCATTTGATACTCAAAGATGCAACCTTAATGTTGGTAAGTCACTTGACTACTCGCCTCCTTAAACTGCGCGAATTACGCACACGTTCCTTTTTGCCAAAACCGTAATCGATGCAGCCAATGTAAACAACTTTTAGGATATTCAACTTCCTTAATACAGACACCAAAAAAGGACAGAGTTACGTGGGCACATTAGATAGGTGTCCATAACACAGAGGTAGGAACTGTTTTAAGACGCTTGTGGTCATTGCACCAGGTGAAGCTTCATGGAGAAGATTTTGTAAGAAGAGGTTGTACTTAACAATTTCTTCCGTTGTGAAATACCACATCAAGGGCCATACAGGTTCTAATAAAATGAATTAAATTAATAGGAAAAGTCACTTAACTGAATTTGATCATGACTCACTAGGCACCTGGGGATACACAAGTCATGATTTGATGTTTAAGGCTGATGTGGAGACCTCAACCCTCGCTGAATCAAGTGAAAACTTTTCTGGAAGTGGAGGATGGAGTGTCCTGGAGTACCGAGGTATACGCAGTTCAGTATATTTCATTTCTGTCCTTGCCTTTCTTTAACTTCAGTTATGTTCGATTTGAAAAACTAGAATTGGCTGACATTCTTCTCGTTATGCCTCAGTGCAAATCACCTGTACCAAATACATTTTTTTTTTCTGTATACAGCCGTTGATCAGCATGGAAATGATAGTCACAGTCACACAAGTCCATCCGTGACATTCACTATACAGCTGAAGCGTCACACAACTTACTACATTGTCATCTTATTCCTCCCGTGTTTCTCTAACGCAATGCTGACGCTACTGGTTTTCCTCCTGCCGCCGGAGACTGGAGAGAGAATTGGAGTTGGAATCAACACTCTTTTTACCATGTGGGTGAATTATCTCAGGGTGAGCTTGTTTTCGTAGTTCCTATGGCTTACTTTCTAGCGTCTCGCAAAGAAGAACCAACAGACCAGCGATTTGGAGAGGTGTGACAAAGAGACAATTTGGAGGCAAAATCACGCCGACAAACCACCAGTGAGGGTCAGCCTGATCTTTAGTAGACCTGGATCAGTAAAATCCTGACAATTACGACAATTACCAATTACTCGTACCGAATCAGTTTCATCCCCAGATTCAGGAACCTTATCGGTTGACTGGGGAGAAATTAAATTGAAACCATCGTCCCCGAGCGCCCACTTCTTTTTTTTTTTTTTTTTTTTTTTTGGCTGGGGGGGGAGGGTATGGGGAGGGTATACCGAGAGATAGTATCTTGGTCTCCCCCATCCTCTGAGACCCAGGTGCAGCTAGTCGGGACAGGATAATCACAGGAGAAACCACTGTAGAAGTTGCTTTCTTGTTCTCCATGTAAACTTTTTTTACAATGGTTTCACCCGTGATTATCCCGTCCCAAATAGCTGCACCTAGGCGTCCGAGGATGGAGGAGACGAAGACGGACTATCTCTTGGTACCCCAAAAAAATTAGCGCTAAGGGAAGATGGCTTCTTTTTACCTTCTTCCCAGTACTCCTACTCGCACAGGGAGAGAGGCCTTTAGGAAGGAGACAGGAAGTAGGAGTCCTTTGATGCAGGAGAAAATTATGTTCAAGTCCATTTAGCATATCTGTGTGAACAGGAATAGGCGTTCAGAAGCCAAGTGATAAGTTTCCTTCAAGAACCCACTGTTACAGTGATATGGGCATCTCCCGCGTTTTGGGCATCCCCATTCCCAAAACCCTACAGATATGGGCTTCCCCATTTAACCCTAACCCTTACCCTAACCAAAAATCGCTACGGTAATATGAGAAGGGGATGCCCATATCACTAGGGTTATGGGAATGGGAATGCCATATCATTGTAACACCGCCTCAAACCTCCTAACTTGCGATCAGGCGGTCCTTCTTCCCTTTTGCTTTTCACTTTAAGTTGTGCTGATGGTGAATGATACCGTTTTCTCCTTGTTAGGTACTAAACGACATGCCCAAAAGTCCTGACCTTCCTGCATTCTGCAGGTTTTACTACTTCGTGATGTTTGAGTGCGTGTGCGCTATCGCCGTATCGTGTCTTCTGATCTCATTCTTCCACATGAATGTTAATATTGACCAGCCCGAATGGGTGAAGGTAGGGAGAAATACGTGCTTCTGTTTTAAGATCTTCCATCAATGGGAGAATTGTCTTGGCATACCAACTTTGTTTCCTGGAGCTTTAGTTAGAGGGTCGATTCATATACGTATACAGAGGAAGCTCTCGTGAGCGCGGGACACCCTCGGGACGCGAACAACGGTGTCCGTAACTGGAGCTGACCGCTTACGGGAATGTAAAAATAAAGAGTTTGTATGGGAGTTGAGAAAAACGGGGTTTTGTGAAGGCGGCCGCACCGTAATTTTTAAGGAGTTATTATAACTCCAAAAAATGGAGTAAAAATTTTAGCCACGGGATAACCCCTTTTTGGGGGTTATTTTAACTCCTAATTTAACTCCGAATTTGGGGTCATTTAAGAGTTCTTTTTACTCCCAGTCTGGAGTTAAAATAACTCCGAACTGGGGTTACTTTTACTCCTTACATGGGTTGTTTACTCTTTTTGGAGTTAATTTAACTCTGAAAGTGGCGTAAAAATTTTAGGTACAGGATAACTCCTTTTTTGGGGTTATTTTAACTCCTCAATATCCGGGGTCACTTTTACTCCTAAAAAAGAGTTTTTTAAACTCCTTTTTGGAGTTAAAATAACCCCCCCAAACATAACTCCACTGTAAGGAGTTAAATTAGCCCCACTAGAGGAGTTATTATAACTCCTTGAAAATTACTGAGCGTAAGTAGCGCTGGCCGCTTACGAGAATGTCCGTTAGGAGAGCTTCCCTGAAGATAGCTTGTTCCAGGCGTTTAGAAAGTAAGAGAGCGGGCGAAAAATTGTAGGGGAAAAAACGAGAGGACCCCAGTCTCCCCTCGTTTTCCTCGCAAACGATTAAACTCACCATCTGAACGCAGCGCTCTACTATCTGAAGGCCTGTAACAGGCTGCCCTGAAAAGAGTGGCACGTACAAATAAAACTCCTTGGAAGGTGGGAACTGGTGTACAAAAATCTTGAAAATCTCCTGGAAATACTGGCGCGCATTTTTCTTAAATATAAACTTCCTTTTAATACATGCTTTCGACTTACATGTACTACTGGGCACGCACTAAATCGTTTAATTCCGTTTTAGTATCTAATCACATTTTTTCAATATTTATTTCCAGATTCACATACTAGATAGGTTGGCTCGGTTAGTCTTCCTCCGCAAGTCTGTTAAATACCGCCTTCAAACAGCTGAAAAATTCAGGAAGGAAGGTAATTTACCTTGGTAGGCTAAATAGCGTCAGCATGCTTTAAAATACATTACAGTACCATTCTATACCGTCCCATACCAACGGTTACAAGATTGTGACTACAGATACCTTGAAAACAGGAAAATGCGGACGTAACTCGGGTGGATTAGCTCTGCTCTACAAACTAAAGTTTGACGATTGGATTTCAGTGCAAAAAGAATCACCAAATTTTTTATGGTTTAAAATTAGTAATCGCTACACAAAAACTACAAAAGACATTTATGTCTGTGGAACGTACATTCCACCAAACAATTCTCGCTACTTTCGACCTGAACTATTTGATGAGCTTGAAAGCGACATCGAGAAATTCTCCTCCCTTGATTCAATTCTTATTATGGGAGACTTTAACTCCGGAGTAGGAAAACACCCGGACAGTGTTTGTCAAGAAGGTAATAAAAAGATAATAACAACGATTTTTCTGAATCTTCGTTATGCGCCACCCAACGAAAAAGTTTTGATAATGATTTAAATAATCATGGAAAACGACTCTTGGAAATTTGTAGAAGCGCGGATTTAAGAATTTTAAATGGTAGAATTAATGGCGACTCGTTAGGTTGACCTGCATTTCATGGTAAATCGGGAATCAGTGTCATTTATTACTCCATATGTGACCAAGATTTGCTACGAAATATAACATCTTTTATAGTGAAAGAGCCGAACAGTTTATCAGATCATAGTCCAATAGTAACATGGCTTAAGGTTAACCGTAATTTAGATAATGATTCATCAAACGAGGCAATTATAAATGATTCTTTGACTCCTCTACCAAAACAGTTTTTTGGGAAAACGTTTCGTCACAAAAATTTAGAGCTACACTACAGTCTGAAGACACTCAAAGAATGATCCACGATTTTATGAGTACAACAACAATCACGAGAAATGTTGACATGAACCTTCATGCTGTAGAAAATATTCTTATTTCAACCGCCAAACGCTGTTTGAAGATCAAAACAGCAAAAAAGCGACGTTGCAAAATATCTTCGAACAAAAAATGGTTCGACAAAGAATGCCGCTATAAAAGACATGAACTGCGGAAACTTTCTAATCAAAAACATAGAGATCCTCTAAACACTACCCTCAGAGAAGAGTTCCACAACGTCTTAAAACAATATAAAAACCTTTTGAAACATAAGAGAAACGAATACTATAGCAATAAGATCTGTGAACTTGAAAATACGGTCGAAAATTCGAACAATAAGAGCTTTTGGAACTGTTTGAAGTCAATGGACGACACTATGAAGGAAACCTACACCCCTCCAATTTCTGAAGAAAAATGGATGTCCCACTTTCAATCTTTGCACTCGAATGAACCCCTTAATGAACAGCAGGAGGCAATTATAGATGAGTTGCAGAATTCAAAGGATATTACGTCACGATCTCACTCCTTGGATTACCTCATCACTGAAAGTGAAATTCGCACTGCAGTTGGAAAACTCAAAAACAACAAATCTTCTTTTTCAGACAAAATCAAAAACAAAATGATCAAATCTAGCCTAAACGAATTAATGCCTGTTTATCTAAAACTATTTAACACGGTCCTCGACTTAGGAACTATGCCCCAAATGTGGTGTGTTGGCCTCATTACATCAATTTTTAAATGTGGTACTAAAAGCGATCCATCAAACTACCGTGGAATTTGTATTTCCAGTTGTATTGGAAAACTATTTTGTTCAATTCTCAGTCAGAGACTTCTAAAGCACGTTGACTTAAATAATATACTTCACAAGTCTCAAATTGGTTTTCTAGCAAATAATAGAACAGCAGATCATGTCTTCACACTTCGAACATTAATAGACAAATATGCCCATTGTCACAAGGAGAAAATATATGCGTGTTTTGTTGACTTTAGGAAAGCCTTTGATTCGGTTTGGCATGATGGGCTTCTCTATAAGTTATCTAAGATCAATGTCCAAGGAAAGTTTTATAGTCTAATTAAGAGTCTATACTCGAAGTCTACCTGCTCTGTCAGGATTGGAAATAACAAAACGCGCTCTTTTCAATACGCAAGAGGAGTGCGGCAAGGCTGCATTTTAAGCCCTCTGCTCTTTAACTTATACCTTAACGATCTAGCGTTCTCATTTGACAATGTTTTATCAGACCCCTTCGTGTTACCAAATGGCACCAGACTCAACTCTCTCCTTTACGCAGATGACTTGATAATATTATCGCGATCCAAACTTGGTCTACAAAACTGCCTTAACGTACTATCTTCATATTGCAACTCATGGATGCTTAGAATAAATCCTAAGAAAACCAAAATAATGATTTTTCAACGATGCACACGAAAATGTGAACATAACTTCCGCATAGGCAATGAAGTAATCGAAGTTGTCCAAAACTATACTTACTTAGGAACTCGAATTACATCTTCCGGAAATTTTACACTTTCGCTTGAACATCTCCGACAAAAAGCTCTTCACGCGCTCTTCAGCCTCAGGCGACACACGGATTTGAATAATCTTAAGCCCTCACTTGCGTGTAAAATTTTTGACTCTATGATTTCACCAATTCTAACCTACAACAGCGAAGTTTGGGGTGCTTTTGTTAAATCAGATTTTAAGTCCTGGGACAGCTCTGCAATTGAAAAAACCCATTTGCAATTCTGTAAACGTTATTTACAAGTACATAACAAGGCATCCAACATTGCTTGTAGAGCTGAACTCGGTAAATTTCCCATGATCATTGATATAAATAAAAAGATTCTAAATTACTTAGACTATCTGAGAGGTAAAGATGAAGATTCTATAGTTAAACAGGCCTTACAAATTTCAATTGACCTTCATCATAACGGAAAAACTAGCTTTTACTCTAATCTCATGAAAATGGTTGACTACTATGATCTAAACTATGACTTTTCCTGTAATTCATTGAGTGACTCAATAGTTAATAGGTATATCGGCATAATGAAAAATAAATACGTCTCTTACTGGAATCAGACCCTTCAACAATCACAAAAACTCAGTTTTTATTGTACAATCAAAGACGACTATAGCCCCTCGCCGTACCTAGTTTTAACAAGAAAAAACCCTTCGAGAAAAACATTAGTTAGATTTAGAATAAGTAGTCATCAACTTAGAATTGAAACGGGTAGATACGAAAACATTCCTCGCAATGAAAGGATATGTCACTTTTGTACAAGTAAGAAAATCGAAGATGAAAATCATTTCTTACTAGATTGTAAGGCTTATTCTCAGATCAGAGACATATTTTTCTCGAAACTAGAAACTAAAATACCTGACTTCAAATCACTTTCACACGATACTTTAATATCTCATCTTATGAATTCTTCTGATTATTTAATTAACCGTCAATTAGTTTCATTTATCTCGCAATGCTTTGAATTAAGGACCAAATTAATATCAATGAATGAATGAATGAGAACTGTCACGTTTTGTAATGTTTTGCACGTACTAATTAGTTGAATTAGTACTTAAATTTAGACTAATAGCTTTTGCAATACTGTAATTCCTTTATGGTCATGCAAATAAAGCTTTTGCTGTTACTATACCATACTGCGACAGACCATTAAATAAAAAATCGTCTTTAAATATCGATAAATTTCCCACGGTTATTAATTGAAGACGCTTTTGTGAGTCCCTTGCTGGCCACTCGAAGGCCTAAATCTGTTTGTAGAGCAAAGGCAATACAATCTTCCTCAGCTATTGAAACTCTAATCTTTTAACAAGACCAAGATATTGACTGAACATCAAAAGCACAAACTCTATTTTGTGGCATAAAATCAGTAAATTACTAGTACAGACTACCTGCAAATAGCGAAGCTAATCGAGGCATGTCGTACGGAGACGTATCACTGACACTTAAATTACAAAATTAATACAAAGAATGTTACAAAATATTGCAGTTTAATTACAATAATTACTTTAATTATATTTATCCCGCTCTGCAGACCATCACTTGTTCACAGTGAGCAATCAATGTCGCCGTTCACTTATTGGGTCGACAAACAAATTCTATTTGATTTTGTTTTCAGCGGAACAGTTCCGTTCAAGATTTGAAGGAAAGACCTATCACAAGATAACCATTGGCTTAAACCTGTTTGTGGATAACTCGCTGAAGGATTTCGAGACGTTTTGGCGTAAAGAGGAATGGAAACTTGTGTCGCTTGTCCTTGAAAGATTTTTCACCTATATCTTTTTGTTTTCGGTTCTTATTTCGTTCTTGGTCTTTGCTGCAACCGTTCGTTAATGGGGCGAGTTCACAATAGTAATGGGCAAGTAAGTTTTGAGAAAGTTTTTTCTGTTGGAGCTCTAGTGTTATTATTTGCTGGATATGTGCAGCTAGCCTCTCAGAACCCCTACCCTACTATAGTCTAAGTCTAGTCCACTCTGTCTGTGGCCTATTACAGGATTAATGTAAATTTTGCCATCCCAATGTAGCCTTTTTTTGTGTTTGCATTTACCTAGTAACTACAATCCATTTTAATTACGTCATACTAAAACGAATTGACACCTAGTCCTACTTGCCAGAATTTTTACTTCGAAAATCCGGAAATGAACAACTCTATTCAACTGACTCTATTGAGGATGCAACCACATTTATCGACAATTTAGTCGTGGAAATGCGATGCCGTTCAGCGTTACATGCCCATTAGCTCATTACCCCTTTCCCGCCCCGCCCCATTCCTCTGCAAGGATCATTTCCTTTTCTCGTTTCTAATATCAATAATGACGCAAAGTAAAGACATGCAATATACTTAATTGTGACTGATTAAATCTTTGTAAATTCACACTAACATAAAAGGTGATTGCCAAAGTTTTATCTGGACCATTTTCTACCGAGAAAATGCCATTTTTTAGTATTGACAATGTGATCACACAGCCTGTCTGTAACTTGAACTGACGCGGCTGGATGTGTGATATCGTCCAAACGCTCGCGTAAATTTGAAGTTAACAGTTACTGTCAAATGCTGCCTTTTACTTTGACCTATCAACAAGTTCTCTAGAGGGGACAGGGCAAAATAAAAAGTGAGGGGAGCTGCCTCCTCCACAGGCACTTCTTATTTCGCAAAGAGGCGAGAAGAGGCGAGTGCGAAACGCGAGTGACTGGTGACGAATGGCAGTGGACCTTGGTCTCGCTCTTTTCTTCCTTCCCGCCTTCCTATGCGGGCAAATTTTCATCGAGAGAGAGACACGAGGCAGTGAGGGGAGACAATGCGTCCAAACTGCATGTAAAAACAGTGGAAAAACATTTTGTATTTCGACGTATGTTTTAACTTTTTTTAGCTTCTCTCAACGTTTTAAGTGTAATTTTGTATAACGAAAATGTCTCTGTTGAAAGTTACTCAAATCTCGCCTAATTTCGTATCGCTTCAGTGCGTGTCTTACATAATAACTCAGATACCAATACAACCAACCATTATATAGAGCTTTACTTTCTGAACGTATGAGGTACTGTTTGCTTTGTGTTCCTCTTAGTTCCAACTGCATCTGAATTCTCCAATCTTGTCATTTTCTTAAATTCTGTAAACAAAATAATATTTTACGTGATTATCGGAGGATAAAATATCATGCGTACCAACGCTTTAGTCTGTGGATAAAGTCAATCATTGATAGTTGAAATTTATTCCATAGAACGTTACATTACTCCCATTCTAAATTTAAAAAGCTGCCACCTTAATACGCCAATAACTCTACGGTCGGACGTACTGGCTGATGTCTATTGTTAAGCCCAGTCAAACTCTGCTTTAAACGCCATACGTTATCAATTAAGTCTGGCGTTAAGTTTTAGGCAACTGGCGCGTGAGGTTTAGAAAATGGTAAAGGGCAAGGACTAAGAGACTCAGTTGTGTTCGAGGCGAGAAGTAACGTACTCAAGGAAATGTAACTTTCTCTGCGTAACAGTTTGAAAAATCCTATACCTTAAGTTTGTTTTAAACGGAAGCGTTATGCTCACTTAAACCTCAGTATTTTTATCCTATTAGATTAAGGCTTATATTGTCCGTCACTGTTTTATTTTATGTGTATGTTGTGTCCCAGAAAAAACTTTTGAAAACGTAAATCGGTTTTGGTGACGAAGCCGTATCATCACCATCGCCATCATCATCATCATCACCATCATCACTATCATCATCGTCGTCATCGTCGTCGTCATCATCATCATCATCATCATCATCACTAAAATGTGATGATGATTTATATGTCCAGTTGAGATTATCGTTACTTTCGTCGATCCCTTAGTAAAACGCCTTTCTTTGACCATAGCATATTTTGTTCAGTCTGTTGCTATAAAATCCAGTACCTTCAAATGATATTTTCCTGTTCCCTGATTGATACTTATCTTCTAAAATTTCATCAAGCTCGCTCTCGGGAATGTCTTCCTCCAAACTTCTGAAAGCCTGCCGAAGTTCTGAAGTGAGCACGTAGCCGCGGTCGTCTCTATCGAAAATCCGAAAAGCTTCCTTCGCTTCGGTTGCGTCCAGTCCATACTGGTTCTTTTTCGACATGAGTTGGACGAACTCTTGGAAATCCATTACGCCATTTTCTGTTGAGATATTAAGTAAAAAAGTTAAGAACTTTCTTAAAAATCGGCAATACCTGAAACGAGGTTTGGTTACGTAAACCCATGTCTTGCTACGCATAGTTATTTTAATAATACCGTAATCGTCTTCTTATAAAGCTTGCCATCTTTGAACCCCAATTTCCGTGACGTCATCCATGTGTATGAACTCTGATAGACGCATGGGCAACGACCAATTATAGCGCGCGTAATATTTGCCACATTGTATCAAATGCTATACATAGTTACTGTAGTCCTTACAATTCACTCCCACTGTGTCTGCGGGTCATTTTCAAATGACCACGCGCGCGCTTTGAAATCCTGATGGGTGTGTTGTTATAAGAGGAATCTTTACGGATGCGTTTACACCTTACCATCCATATCCACCACGTTAATGATTGACTGGAGCTCATTTTCTGTGGGGTTCTCTCCGAGTGACCTCATAAGGTTCCCCAGCTCTTTGGTTGTAATAAATCCACTGTTGTCCTTGTCGAAGTATTGAAAAGCATCCCAGTAATCTGTAAAAAAAGCTTAACATTGACGGGTCGCATTTCATATGTACAAATTAGGTGTCGTTAGAACTGGCGGTAGTCATCATAAAATTCGCCTCTTAAAACTGTTGTGTCGCTTCTAAATTAATTGTGAGGGAAAATGCAGGTACTAAACACGGTCCAAACAGAGTGGACGTTTAAAGGCGGGGCTATGTCGTGGCTATTTGCTATCTTTTTTAAAAGCTACGACGTGTCTTCGCATACTTAAATTCCAAAGATAATGGTACAGTTTTCTTATTTAAGGCTATATTCAAGTGGTCTGTCGATACAGATGGAAAGGAATGACATCGATTGAAACTTGAAAAAGTTGGGTCAACTTTTTGAAACTTGAAAAATTTAGGTCAACGAGAATAGCAGATCCTAGTAATACAGTAAACACCCGCATTTAAGAACAAGTGGATTAAGAACATCAGGCTGAAAGTTAGACAGTAAAGCAAATATGATAAGAACTAATTCAGCCTGATAAACAAAACATGCTTTATACAAAAAAAAAGGATGCCAGAATAAGAAACCAATACAGTAACTCGTATGTTTCCTTATATTAGTAGTACGGTAAGATTTATATATTTTTTCGTTGAAATTTATGTTTTAGTCTAAGTGATAAGACATTGTATTTTAATTAAACATCTGGTACTTTATAATGTATGTAGTATTTCTTAAATAGATTTCAAAACATTTTCAAGCTAATTACTCACTTAGTACTTGGTAAAGGAAGAACTTGATCCGATCCGCGAAGACCGTGAGCACTTTAGAGACGTTTATAAGTTGATAATTTTGGAAATACAAACGATGAGACTCTCTTATATCCATTAAGGAAAAAGCCTCACTGCTTATCTCTGACAAAAAAGAAATTCTGCTCTCTTAGAAAACATTATTGATCATCCCCGCTGTTTTGGTTAAATACCTACAGGCTGCCTAATTATAAGCTAATTGCTTTTAAGGTGATATGAAAAGGACAAAACATCGCAAAACGTATCGAAAAAATATTTTTTAAAGTCTCAGCCGTCATTTGAATTTTTGTTTGGCATGGGGGGTATTTACAGTTTTATGTGTACCTTTTTTGTTTTTTGAAAACATTTATGTAGAAGAAATGGGGGATAGGCCTTCAAAGTGGTTGAAACTGTTGTTGTTGTTATTGTTATCTTCAAAAGATAATCTAACTTTTAAATGACTTTCCCTTTAGTTCAGGTAGAATTAAACATCCACTTACTGGTGTGTTTTATCGTTTTGTGGGTTATTACATGAATAAGTAACCATTGAAAACTGGATCAAAACATCAAAACGTCATTGCATATACAAGCAAATATTAAATATACTTTTATATTCATAGTTTGGTTGTAATTTTTTGGGTCACACCTAGCAATGCAACCCAAGGTTCATGGCAAGTTCTATGCTCTATGTTCCAAGAAAATTCAAATTTTCCATACATTGTTTAGTTTTTGTGGCTAAAGATTTTTCTGCCGGACGAAGTCAATCTCTTTTTGGTTTAATAGACCTTATATGTTTTGTTTTCCAATATAGGTCAATTGATAATACTCTAGAGAACTGTTTCGTTTAAAGTTAGCTTTTCTTGCCGACACGTGTAAAGTGTGAGCGATATGTGACTCTCCGCTTTGGAGATCAGCGCAGCGCGGCTTCGCTCCGTTACAGAAATTGGGCCGAAATCACCTTCTTTTTGTGTGAATAGAAGCCCTATCAGGATGGTTTTCATGCCAGCACAAAAGCTATCGTGTATAACGTGAGTAGAACGTCAATTTTTTCTTATCCCTGTGTATATGCACGCGCATAATTAGTGAAAAGACCAAGGGGTAAATTTGCCTGAAACCTTCGTTGGGAAAACAGAGCATACAAGCCAAGGAGGTCTATTGAGCTATAACAAGGTACCCGTTCTGATCTGAAACCGCCTCTTCTGCCGTGGATTCCAGGGGCTTAGTGTTGTGGTACCATAAGCTCGATGGTCACTAGTGTGTACGTGGCTATGACAAAAACCTACCTGCGAGGTGGTATTCAGAAAGGTTTTCCTGCAACAAAGGAATATGGATGTCACAAATAAATGCAGGAAAACAATTACATTTAAAGTCTGTTTCCTTCCAACCAACTGACATATTTAAATACTGGCTTGAAAGCAAACACGTAGGAAACAAGTGTTTAGAAATAGTTTGATAACCATCAATTAGAGAATATGTTTAAGCTCTTTTCAAAATATCATTTTTCGCTATCTCTGCAATTCATGTATTGGAATACCTAGATTGAAGGTAAAGAGCCAAAAAATAGCTTTATAATAAAAATAAAGAGAAAAATTACTGATTTCGAGCGTTCTTCATACCATGACAATTAAGAGAAAATTTAATTTTTACTGAAGTTTATAACAAGCATTTCTACCCTGGATTTATCATACTTAAAGTAGTTTGTAAAAGTTATCCCCTCAACTGGAATAGCTCTGACTACAAAATCCCAAATTATCAACTTTATTAGTTGCAGTAAAGCCAAATTACAGCGCCTAAGTTCCAACTGTCAAGTATTCTGACTTTCAGATTGCCCGCCCGCGCACGTTTATTAGTGTTCTTAATTCACACTGACATATTTTTGTTTTTATGTAAACCCATACAATAACAATCTCACCATATTAGCCAGAGCCAACTCAAGATCCACCACAGCTTTACCCTCAGTCTAAAGCTTGTAATCTTCTCTTGATATTTTTTTCTGGTCGTTGATTCATTAAAGCAAACACAATTATTTTATTAAGAAAACGCTTTCCCAAAAACTCGGCGCAAATCCTCTGATTTTTTACTGGAACGATTCCAGCCTATCAGTATTAACCTTGCTTGTGTCTTATCAAAGAGATTGATTTAATCTGAATTATTTATTACCATCGTAGTTTAGCAATAACTTATTCATTGGTGAATCAAATCGTGGACTCAAATCTATTTTTTGTACACCAAGACGCCATGTTTAGAGGTAGAATGATATCCTGAGCACTCTACACCGACCTTGAAGGGCCTGGATAGTTGTTTTAGCATTCACTCTTTTCAATTCAGTTGAGATAAAAATGAAGAATTTATTTTTTGTAAATAAAAGACTTGATAAGAGCTTTCTTCTTGCTTTTTATATGACAGTGTTTCGGTGATGTGTCGAGTGCATTTTTACGATTTTGTTGCAAATTCGGTAACAAAGCAATTTTGTACCAACCAGTAAACACTGATAAGCCAAACGTCGTCGCTTTCTTCAATTTGTCGCTGAAATGTCGACATTCGAAACTGTCGCAAAAAGGAACGTCATACTCACTCCCATCCTAAAACAGTGAAGGGCCAAGGATATTCCTTGTTACAGGAGCCAATCAAAACGAACGAAAAATGCTATCTATTGATTTGGTAAATTCGAAATAATCATATGTTGCCACGTGACGTGTCAAAGTTATTTTGTAGCTCAGAAATCTCAGCGAAACGTTAACACCTTTTACCATGATTTAGCATTGTGATGTCAACACTATTGGGTACATCATTTCCGTGTTTGGACATTTTAGGATGATTTAAAATAAAAGTCCGAAAAGAGAAATAATTTTTCATGGGAAAATACATCCTCCCAATCTTTCCAAAAATAATTTTTTGATTATCCTCATTAGTATAAATCATTTGTGAAGCTATTAGTCGGCCAAAGTTTTTAGGTTGTTAGTAGTAAACCTAGTATTAAGGTCGTTTCTACTTTGTAGAAGCCCATGCCTTGATTACACACCGTAATCATAAACGGTAAATACCTGCGTGTAATAACCTACATTTTTTAAGTCTGGCAAAAAAGTTCTTGTATTTTGTGGTCAAACTCCTTGGTTTAAAATATTTTTCGTGATTTAACTGTAACCTACATATAAGAGCCTGCTTGATTTTTGTTAGCTAAACAGTTTTTTAAATATATTTTTAGGTATTTAAGACGCAAATCTTTGTCAGCAGGTCTTTTAAACTAATAGCTTCTTACACGCAGGTTCTTAAGTATAGCGCCCTCCTTCTCCTCCTCCTCCTCCTCCGCCCTCACTGGGCTTCATCAGCTAATTTATTTAAAAATTTTTCAAATATCGCTGCCTTTGCGTATAAAGGGCCTATATATTCTATATAGAAAAAAAGGTACCCCCTTCGGGCAAAGGCCCCCCGCGTTTTGGCCATTATAGGGAGTACCTCCTGGGATAAGAGCCTGTCTGCCGAGCGGTCAAAACATCACCCAGGGTGTTAAAATACTGGGTAGAAAGTGCTGCCTTGGTAATAACATCTTTTGGACCTTCTTGTGTTCCCGGGTAAGAACGATAAACTATAGACCCCCGGCCTCGTCTCACAACTCTTGGATAAAATTCTAGGGGACGTTAAAGAACCCACACACCGATCATAACGACGTAAAGTAGTCCCCGATATGGTGGTCTGTCTCAAATTCACACTCGCATAAGCTAGGGAGCATTCACAGCTCATTACTTCATTTCGATTCATTTATTTATCTAACCGCGGCAGGGTTAGGTCAGTCGGTAGAGCGCTTTACTGCAGAGAGGCAGGTCGCGGGTTCGATTCCCAATACTACTTCCTTTGCCCTGCAAACGGGTAGACCTTTGCGTGACTCGGATGACCACGTGAAATGGTAGTCCCGTCTCCAGTAGGAGACGTAAAAATTAGTGTCCCCAATTAGTACTTTAGTGCTAAATACATTGACACTCAAATAAAAACCATTTATTGGAAACTGCACCAAAAGCGAGTCTAGCAAAAAGCCCAGCTTCGTTCCCAGGGTTCCGGTATTTGCCTACTAATTAATTATTCACTTCATGTTTAGTTTTTAACAACCCCCAAATGCAATATTTTCCAATCGTTCAAAAATGTTACCCCCCCCCCCCTCAATTTTATACATTAAAAACATTTTAGAAATCATTCAAAAGTTCTGAAAAAATTATTGAGCCAAGAACTCCAAACTAATTGAGTCATTCTTTGATCGAGTGAAATCTCGGCTTGTTTTTTTTTAGAAAAAAGGGCGGATTTAAACAAAAAACAATGTTTTTAATCAGACTGCCCTCTTACTGCCCTTAAAAATATTATGACGTCAATCGTTAATTAGGGGTTTACTCAAAAAAACATTTCAGAATTTAAAATTTAAAAAAACTGTTTTAATACTTTGTTTTTACCCAGCAAAAGGTAGTTTATTAACTCTACAGCCTGTTTCACTTTTATTACAGGGAAAAAAAACACTACACTGAGAAGTACACACTCTTTTCGATACGATATGACACTGAAATGACGGCTTCATAGCCAATAAGATAGCTTTTCTTGGTTTATAGTGACCGGAAAGTTTAGATTCTGATTGTAGTATAAATACCAGACAATATTCAGAGACTTTTCATGTTTGAAAATGTCCTCCCACAAGTCAAACGATGTACGTCGTCTAGTCCTTTTGATCCAATAGCGTCTTCGAACTGTTTAAATCCCGGTGGAGAGTTCTTCTTAGGCTCCGTTCCAGAATCAACAGTGAATCAAGCTGGCTTGACGTACGTTCCCAGTTCCATGCTACGCAGAGTTTCCTTCATGCGTATCATCTTGCCGTTTATCGAGATTTAAAGAGATTTCTTCTCTTACTATGATGATATGCTGGTTGGTGCTGTAACAAGGTAACCTTCGTCCAAGTCCACCTGACAGCTCTGTGCAAATGTTGACGTCTTCAGGACAAGGCCATGAAAACATGTCTCTGCTCCAATATTTGCTTTCCTTTCGTTCGAAAATTTTCCTCAGAAAACTCCACATCTTCAGTTACTGATCGAGGTGCGCTGTTGCTCGTTCTTTGATGAACTGACTGCAAGTGAAAAACAACTTCAGTTTAAAAAATGCCGCCTATTATTTCCTTGCTAAGAAAGGTGTGTCAAGAACGTGATCTGCCTACACGTGAGCTTAATTACACGAGGTTTGTACTACGCAAAAACACATATCTCCTTTCCAACACAAGTTCCAACAGTAGTAGTTCTTGTTTTTGGTTTTAAATTTTTCTTCGCATTTTTCCGCCATTATCATTCTGCAACTACTTTAAGAGGAAACGTGTTGTTTCTTTAATGATCAATTACTGCTGCAATTGAAAAACAACTCTATAAATTAGCATTACAAGGTGCATGCCTGGCATTGGAGCGATTTAGAATCATTTTACGGTAAATGGCAATTAAAAAGGTCAATTGTACCACTGAACAAATTTTCCCTTTCCTTGTCTTCTACTGTTCATTATGACTAAACAGAAATAGGTATTTAAATTTCAGGTTCATCCTTAAGGACCTTAAGAATTATTTTGGGCAGTTTTTATCCGCTCATTTCCTATAAATATGAGAAATTGTCAACTGTAATCTCTTTTGCCATTTGCAGTAAACGTGATTCTACGTGGTCATAGTGTTTTGACTTATGAATATAACGTAATTAACTCATAACAACGTCTCTTAAAAATTAATCAACTTGATAACTGAAAAGTTCTGGAAAGTTCTCAACTCAATTAACGTGAGCTCGAGCATGACTCTGGGCGCTTTCCATTTAGGAAAAAAAACCGGAAATTTCGGTGGTAGCAAAAGTGGAATTTCCGATTGGTAAAAAGTTGTTCCATTTGGTCGTAAACCCCGGTACCTGGAACTGGTACAAACTACGAGAAACGTAAATGGAACACGAGATTCCGTTCGGAAATTCCAACCGGGAAAACGGGACCACCTTTTTAGATTTTGCACTTTTTCTGGGAATTTTCCAGTGGGCTAGGAACTGTGCTACTATTCAACAGGTTTTTATTTTAAAATTTGCCACCAGGCCCGAAGAAGTTACCGGACCTTTCAAGAAACGGGTCCCAGGGCCCGTTGTTCGAACGCTGGTTAGCCTAATCCAGGGTTAAATTTTAACCCGGCTTTTTTATCTTGTTATCAAAAGCACCCTCTCGGATAATTTTCTATACTAAAACAGTGGATAGTGTTTTTTTTGCGCGTTCTGATTGGCTACTCAATCAGTGAATATTCTGAATTAGTATATACACACTAAGTGATCTTGGTGATTTAAGCAATCTACGGACTATTCAACAATATTCACCTCCTAGCGAGTGGATAATGTGTGAGCTCGGTGTTTTTCCCATTTTTTTAGAGAACGATCTTTTAAAAGTCGACAAAATCCTAGCGCTGACTTTTTTTAAGGCAAGAAAAGACTTGGAAGGATTCAATACGGCGTTTTTCAATTTACTGTAGCTGAGTTTTGTGCTCGATGGATTGTCTGCAACTCCCGTGTATTCGCGTAGAAGAAGCCGTTTTGTGAACTCAGCGTTTTCTAACAAGAAAATTTTGGCTCAAAAATCGAAGTTTATTTATGATAAACAAATTTAAAAGGAAATGTTTGCAGAAATTCTACGTTTCAAGTAAACAGGAAAGAGGAATGATACAGGAAGACGACGTCTTAATTACCTCTAGCAACCGAGCCGACATTTTTGTCTGCTCTTCATGCGAAGAACGACACATCAAACCGTTTTGGCTATAAACTTGGCGAGTGAACAGAAAACAACAAAGCTCTACTTTTCTTCTCAGGTAAGGAAACAGTTCAAACTTTTAGCGGTTCCATTTAAGCCATTACGCTGTTGTTTGCGAAATGATAAACTTGTGAATTGCCATGTTTGAAAATTCTGCAAAGATCTATTTTAAAACTTACGCGTGATTTGATCTTTCAATCAAACTGTAATTTTTAATGGTTTCCTCTCTGATTTTGTTGAGATCACTTCGTGTGTATATACTAAAACAATTATTCTTTTCAATCTCGGTGAATAGTGGCTTTGGGAATATTTACCTCGCCGCTTTTGCTGCTCGGCAAATATTTAGCCACTATTTACCTCGATTTCAAAGAATAATAGGCCACTTGCACTAAGAGGTCACGTGACCAATGCTTCCTTTAAACAATGAGTTGGAATCTTGCTGATGCCAAAAATTGACAGAGCACATAAAAATTAGCATACACCCGAAGTTTGAGAGGAAACGCATTTAAGGGAGATATTTTATGGCACTTCGATTTTTCAACAAAGTATTATGATTTGTATTGGCCGCCATGCTGGAGGGCATACTTCTTGCCCTCCAATATGGCGGCCAAAACTACTTTTTGCTTATATCTTGTTAAACGTTTGATAGTTACGCTCAGATTTGCTGTAAACGTTACCGCATCATTTTTTCAACATCCTCCTTGAAGTTTAAGTGGAAAGCTTGTGTTCAGAAAGAAGTAATTCATAATTTTAAAAATAACATTTTGGTCATGTGACCAGCGAGGAACTTACTCATTTTAAGAAAATGGTGCGGGTTTGAATCACTATTATTTTGTTTAAGATATGACCCCCTAATCGTTTTTCGAAGGCAAAATCATATAACTTTCATTTTCATGAAAACTATGTCACATGACCTCTTAGTGCAAATGGCCTATTGTTAACTATTCACTGATTCACCTCCAGTTCCTCCGAGCGAGCGACGCCAAACTCGGCTAAGTTTCGAGCAAAATACCTTCCCGGTTTGCTGCCGTAACAAACAAAGAAATTTAACGACTAATAAAGCAAGCTGTTCCCAAAATACGCGAAGAAGGTGACGAAGTTCGGTTTGGAAGTTTTAACAGGTAAAGCTTTGTCTTTTTGACTTGAATTTATCGAGTCTTGCGTTACTTTATTTACTTTAAATTTAATAATCTTTTTATAGAATGACTTTAAATACAAAAAGAATTCACAACTCCTCCTGAGCTAAACAAATGCCTTCAACAGTTTTATTTGTCGGCAAGAAAAAGCGACGACCTCGGCCGTTCGGTCATTGCGCGCCAAAATTGTAATCGATGGCAAGAGTAAATGAGTTAAAAATCATCATTTTTGTGCTCAGTTATCTCAGGGTCTTAAAATAACCGCGGAACGAAGGTACTTTCTTTGCCCTGTAAACGGGTAGACCTTCGCGTGGCTCGAATGACCACGTGAAATGGCAGTCCCGTCTCTAGTAGGAGACGTACAAATTAGTGTCCCCAATTATTACTTTCGTTCTGAATACATTGACACTCAAATTGAAAGTGCATTTATTGGAAACTGCACTAAAAGCGAGTCTAACAAAAAGCCCAGCCTTGTTCCCAGGGTCCCGGTATTTGCTTACTAATTATTCACTTTTTATTCATACTTTAGTTTTTAACAACCCACAAATCGGCAATATTTTCTAATCGTTCAAAAATGTTAACCTCCCACCCCCCACTAATCTTGTTCATTAAAAACATTTATTTTACAAATCATGCAAAAGTTCTCAAAAAATTATTGAGCCAAGAACTCCAAACTAATTGAGTCATTCTTTGATCGAGTGAAATCTCGGCTGGATATTTAAGAAAAAAGGGTGGATTTAAACAAAAAACAATGTTTTTAATCAGACTGCCCTCTTACTGCCCTTAAAAATATTATGACGTCAATCGTTAATTAGGGGTTTACTCAAAAAAACATTTCAGAATTTAAAATTTAAAAAAACTGTTTTAATACTTTGTTTTTACCCAGCAAAAGGTAGTTTATTAACTCTACAGCCTGTTTCACTTTTATTACAGGGAAAAAAAACACTACACTGAGAAGTACACACTCTTTTCGATACGATATGACACTGAAATGACGGCTTCATAGCCAATAAGATAGCTTTTCTTGGTTTATAGTGACCGGAAAGTTTAGATTCTGATTGTAGTATAAATACCAGACAATATTCAGAGACTTTTCATGTTTGAAAATGTCCTCCCACAAGTCAAACGATGTACGTCGTCTAGTCCTTTTGATCCAATAGCGTCTTCGAACTGTTTAAATCCCGGTGGAGAGTTCTTCTTAGGCTCCGTTCCAGAATCAACAGTGAATCAAGCTGGCTTGACGTACGTTCCCAGTTCCATGCTACGCAGAGTTTCCTTCATGCGTATCATCTTGCCGTTTATCGAGATTTAAAGAGATTTCTTCTCTTACTATGATGATATGCTGGTTGGTGCTGTAACAAGGTAACCTTCGTCCAAGTCCACCTGACAGCTCTGTGCAAATGTTGACGTCTTCAGGACAAGGCCATGAAAACATGTCTCTGCTCCAATATTTGCTTTCCTTTCGTTCGAAAATTTTCCTCAGAAAACTCCACATCTTCAGTTACTGATCGAGGTGCGCTGTTGCTCGTTCTTTGATGAACTGACTGCAAGTGAAAAACAACTTCAGTTTAAAAAATGCCGCCTATTATTTCCTTGCTAAGAAAGGTGTGTCAAGAACGTGATCTGCCTACACGTGAGCTTAATTACACGAGGTTTGTACTACGCAAAAACACATATCTCCTTTCCAACACAAGTTCCAACAGTAGTAGTTCTTGTTTTTGGTTTTAAATTTTTCTTCGCATTTTTCCGCCATTATCATTCTGCAATTACTTTAAGAGGAAACGTGTTGTTTCTTTAATGATCAATTACTGCTGCAATTGAAAAACAACTCTATAAATTAGCATTACAAGGTGCATGCCTGGCATTGGAGCGATTTAGAATCATTTTACGGTAAATGGTAATTAAAAAGGTCAATTGTACCACTGAACAAATTTTCCCTTTCCTTGTTTTCTACTGTTCATTATGACTAAACAGAAATAGGTATTTAAATTTCAGGTTCATCCTTAAGGACCTTAAGAATTATTTTGGGCAGTTTTTATCCGCTCATTTCCTATAAATATGAGAAATTGTTGACTGTAATCTCTTTTGCCATTTGCAGTAAACGTGATTCTAAATCTCACCATTTTCTTGCTAAGAAAAGCGAGTCTTCACATCAAGCACGTGGTCATAGTGTTGTGACTTATGAATATAACGTAATTAACTCATAACAAAGTCTCTTAAAAATTAATCAACTTGATAACTGAAAAGTTCTGGAAAGTTCTCAACTCAATTAACGTCGTGATCATTCCACGTGAGCTCGAGCATGACTGCATGTGATAATCGTTCGCCATTTCTGTGGAGGGCAACTGATTATTAACAGTCGAACCTCCACCTGTGATTACCTTTCGTAAGCAGTCACCTCCCATAAGCGACCAGGGGCTCGTTTCTCGAAATTGTCGATAACTTTTCGGGCCGAAAAGCTGTTTTATGCTTGCTGCGTTTGCATTCATGATCAAAGTTTTATAATTTTGATAATGATACAATGAAACTATCAGTAAACGAAGCAACATTGACCGGTTTTACGTTTGTGAGCTAGGAACTGTGCTACTATTCAACAGGTTTTTATTTTAAAATTTGCCATCGGGCCGGAAGAAGTTACCGGACCTTTCGAGAAACAGGCCCCAGGGCCGTTGTTCGAACCCTGGTTAGCCTAACCTAGGGTTAAATTTTAACCCGGCTTTTTTTTCTTTGTTCTCAAAAGAACCTTCTCGGATAATTTTCTATACTAAAACAGTGGATAGTGTTTTTCGCGCGCTCTGATTGGCTACTCAATCAGTGAATATTTAACAATTATTTCTCGAGCCCGAACGGGCTCTACTAAGAGGCCATGAGGGCGAGAGGAATAATTGTTTTAGTAAAATCCAACTAGTTGGTCAAAAATATCGAGACAAAACAACTTTAGCTAGCAAAACGCGATTCAGCCGCCAGTTTTTTGGATTTCAAAGCTGGCACTTTTCGCTACTAGTAGGCTATAACATATAGCCTAGTAGTAGTTCAACCAAGTTGGGTTTTACTAATCTGCACTATTCACTGATTCACCTCTAGTTCCTCCGAGCGAGCGACGCCAAACTCGGCTAAGTTACGAGCAAAATGCCTTCCCGGTTTGCTGCCGTAACAGTTCTGTGCAAATGTTCACTTCTTCAGGACAAGGCCATGACAGCATGTCTCTGCTCCAATAGTTGCTCTCTTTTTCGTCTGAAAATTTTCCTCAGAAAACTCCACATCTTACTCATCGAGGTGTCCAGGTGCGCTGTTCTTCGAACTTTGATCAATTGATAGCAAGTGAAAAACACCTTCAGTTTGCGTCGTATTTCCTTGCTAAAATAGGTGTCTTCTCAAATCAAATACCACCACGTGATCTCATGCTTGCACGTGAGCTTACACCAGAGTTTCTAATACGCAAAACGCATATCTCCCGTTCTGTTAGTTTGTTTTTCGTTTAAAAGTTTTTTTTTCGCACTTTAACACCATTATTTTCAGTTACACTTCACAAGGAAACTTGTTCTTTCTTTCATGATCAATTAATGAAGGCTGCAAACGAAACACAAATTTAGTTTACAAGGCACCTGGTGTTGGACAGATTTAGAATGAGCAAATTTTTCCCTTTCCCTGTCTGCGACTGTTGATTTTCATTATATGTAAACAAAAATAAGTAATTTGATTTCAGGTTCATCTTTAAGAGTAATTTTGGGCAGTTTTTATCCGCTCATTTCCTATAAATATAAGAAATTGTCAACTGTAATCTCTTTTGCCATTTGCAGTAAACGTGATTCTAAATCTCACCATTTTCTTGCTAAGAAAGGCGAGTCCTCACATCAAGTGCGTGGTCATAGTATTTTGACTTGTATAACACAATGTTATGAACAAAAGAATTAACAAAAACGTACCTTGAAATTTTAATTGAAAAGTTCTCAAATCAAGCACGCGATCATTCCACGTGAGCTCGAACTCGAGTTTGTATTTCATAACCATTCGCCATATCTATGGCCGTCGACGGCATAGTCCGGCGGCTTAGCAAGTAATTTTCAGTGAATTGTACACTTTTAGAAACAAGCATGAAATTTGGCGCACTGATAGTAGTCACCAATACGAACAATTTCAGATGTATTGCGAAGCCGGAATTACATCGGTTTCCATAAGAACTCCAATTTATTAAAATTCATATAAAATGTATGAATTATTTGTCCTAGTTTATCAAGACGTAGTATCGTTTCACTACGTCAACCAACCTGTACATCTTGTTTATAACACGCTATTGTACCTTAACTATGCGATGCCATGGCAACGGTAAGCAAAGGAAAACTAATTTCCAAGTGCAAGAAATGCAGGTGGTACGCACTATCTGCAGCTCTACCGCAAATACAAGCACGGTGACCCTTATTTTTCTTCATTATTTTAATAATAACGATGCTTCCATTCGATGTCAATTCTATGACCAGCGGAGGAGGAAGGTGTATCACACACTGTTAGGGCACGGAGGACAGGGAGGAGAAACGTCGAGTCAGATGGACCAAAGGCCTTTGCAAAGAGTGTGGGTAGGATATTTCCTGTCACACAGGACACTCAAAATTCCTTCAAGTATAAATAAGCCTGTTCAAAGCTGCAAGATACAAGGGAAATGGAGCGAAAAAAAGCGCGAGATTTCGAATCATGGTTGACTAGTAAACATTTTCTACCGCATCAGCTTCATGGACTATCATTTTAATTAATGTCTATTTTTCCCACGTGCAAACAGACGCATTCTTGACCGTGTACGTTTGATGCTGTGGATTAGTCACAGAAATTTTTCTTTTCATTATGCGATCCGGTTTCGTCCAGTTCGTGAACGTATCTCGAAGAGATCTTTGCCACATAGGAAACGACTTGATAATATAGGAGCCGAATTCCATTTCCCATTCAAAACATTTCCCGCCGTAGTCAACTGCTAAATTTAATTCCCCCGTCTCATAAAATGAAGTTAAGTCTTGTTCAAAAATTAGGTATCCAGCACAAGAGTCGTGCCGTTTCAAGTAAACAGGACACTGAGGGTTTTCAGTTGTTTCCTTCTGGCAAATAACACCTCGTTACCAGTCAATTGCTTGAGGCAGCGACCTGTTTCCGCCGTCTTCAAATTAACCTATTTCTTACTTCCTTTTTTTAAACCGACGGTTTTCTCTTTTATATGACTAGAATAGTTATATTTTCTAGCTAAACCGACTCGCATACATATTTAGAATGAGATAGCACAAACTCTTACCATCGGACCAACTCAACCAAGAGAAAAGAGAGAAAAAGCAAATGCAGATAAATTCCAAAATATGGCCTGCATTTATATATATATGAAGAGAGGAAAATAACAATAACTATTCGCATCCAAATTTAAACATGATCTGTATTGTTGTACCTGTATTTTGAAATAAAACGTCTTCCCCGGACCCACATCTTTCACTTTTCCAACACGAAATTGATCCACCTCTTTCTTCTTTTCTTCTTTATCGGTTCCTCGCCAAAGAATAGAATCTTATGCATCGAAATATTCTTCTTAGGGTCAGCTACGTTAGTGCAACGTGCTGCAACACATCTCTCAGCCATTTTCCACGATAAATTTTCCACGATAGAGAAAGATACAACCAAATCACTTGGCTTGTAAGGAATAAGAGTTCTTGAACCTACGTCACGGCTACAGTCCAACCGAGAGGAGATTACTGCGAATGGTGAAACAAAATGGCGGCAAATTTAGAAGACTTAAAAAAAAAATCACAAAAAAATCGCTTTTCGTCGGAATCAAAAAATTCGTCTGGGGAACGTCTTTGCTTGATATGTAGATTTGGAGGAAAAAATAATAAAAATCCGTTATGGGCACTTATACCTAAAAAAAAAAGAGCAAGAAAAATAACTTTGCGGGGGGTCTCGTTCCGGGTCTAGAAATTTCATTCGCTGCTAATTAGCTAGAATTAGAAAATTCAACTTGGCACTATATCAGGAAATGACCAGCCTGGGCATGTAAATATTCCTACAAAGTTTGGCGCTTGTATCAAAAATCGCATAGTTTTCTAGCTAAGCCGCCGGACTAAGCAAGTAACTGATTATTAATACTTTCGTACCTTCACGTGCGACCACCTTTCGTAAGCAACCTCCTCCCAGAAGCGACCAGTTGTCCAGGCTAGATTTCTGTAGGGATGTTGGCTCATTTCCCGAACAGCGGTTTCTAATCGAGCCTACTAATTGTCCAAAACATCAAAATTTGGCCAGTCAAAACTCTATAACCTCTTGTTGGCTACCACCTCGCCCAGAAACGACCACCCCCCACCCAAAACACCAAAAGTTTTTCCCAATTAATACTCTACCTTTCGTAAGCAGCCGCCTGTGGTGACAGCCCCCACACCCTTGCCGGCCTTCCTTTCTTCTCTGAAAACAGGAAATGTTAATTTGCTGAAAGCGAGACCAGTAAGGTAGTACGTACGTCATTCACAATGGAAAACAATCTAACGTCAATCTCTAATAGTTCAGTTCAGTTCAGTTCAGTTCAGTTCAGTTCAGTTCAGTTTATTCACACTTGTATATGATATTTACACTGTGTATAGTAACGTAAGAATAAAATTACAAATGAGAGAAAAAAAAAAAGAAAAGAAAGAAATCAATGCCTTTGATAGAAGACCCTCCCCACCCAGGACACTGGGTAATTGTCTTCGCCTCCCCCTGAGCTCTGCAATTATCATGATAATTATTGTCAGTAGAGGCCTGATTGAGCTGGCTCGGGCAAAGTAGAAACAGGGTACTTGCCAGTCAATAGCCTCCGTAGCATGGCAATTTTGGTTAACCGCGCAAATTAATAAAGGCGGGCGAGGGCAGATTTATTTTTCTCGCGGATTCGCCGCTCAGTAGTACATGCTACGCAGGTGGCCAGTCAAAGCTTCTAGTAAACACTGCCCCCTACTGAAGGGGTTGTGTCAAAATAACCCCCTCCTACATCACTGGTTCTGCCCCCCTCTCCCCCTAGGCCTGGGCCACCCATACACTGTTAGGGCAGTCCCTAGGCTATCCGCCTGTGCCGACCAAGACGCCAAGCACTCTCAATTTTTGGAGACCGCACTGGCCTGGAGCCGCGTCAGGCGAAAACATAGTGGCCACGTTTTAACGAATTCATACAGATATATATCTATGCTGCAAATCAGGCCTAAGAGTTTACATCAGTACTCTGCCTTGACTTTTGTATATTAAAAAAGTAATTGTACTCAGAAATAGAGAGATAACAATTTAAAACTGTTCAAGGTTTAAATATGTCCTCCCACAACTGAAGCGCTGTTTGTGCGTCCAGTCCTTTTGATCCAATAGCGGCCTCGAACTGTTTAAATCCCGGTGGAGATTTCTTCCTAAGCTCCTCCAGAATCAAGCTCGCTTGGATTGCCGTTCCAGTTTTTTCTTCAGCTCCATCATCTTGCTGATAAGAGAGATTAAGAGAGATTTCCTCTCTTTCAATTATGGCATACTGGTCGGTGTTGTAACAAGGTAACCTTCGTCCAAGTCCACTGGACAGTTCTGTGAAAATGTATACTCCTTCAGGACAAGGAATTGAAAACATGTCTCTGCTCCAATAGTTGCTTTCTTTTCGTTTGAAAATATTCTTCACACGACTCCACATCTTACTGACCATGATGAGTTGCTTTTGCTCGGTGCTCGAATTACAGCGAATGAATCGAAAATAACCTGAGTTTAAAAGACGCCGCTTTTTATTGCCCAGGTAAATTGGGTGGGTCCTCAAATCAAACAGCGATCTCATAAACGTGATTTCATGCGCGTAAGCTTACAGGAGAGTTTGTCCGGCGCAAAACACAAATCACCGCACCAATGGTGTTTTGTTTGTTTGTTTGTTTGAAAATATTCTTGGCACGACTCCACATCTTATTGGCCATGATGAGTTGTTTTTGCTCCGCGATCGACTTGCAGCAAATGAAAAATAACCTCAGTTTAAAAGACGCCACGTGGTATTGGGTGTGTCCTCAAATCAAGCACATGATTTCATGCAGGCATGAGGAAATACATTGGCCGCTTTCGTGCAAGGCAATGAATATTTTCGAGTTGAACCGTTTTGAGTGCCTTGAAGACTTAGCTTCAAAGGCAATCAAAGGTTAAATTTACCCTTCCTCAATAAATGTAACCTTTCCTGCCATATTAAAATTTCCATGATATTTGTGTTGTTCTTGACATGCTTTGTGTTTGTTTCTTATTCTGATCAACATATTTTACATATGAATGGCTGATATAGTTTTTATCAAAATAAAGTTAATTTTAGAATAGCCTCGCCTCCACTGAGGAGGTTCAAGTCCAAGTCACTAAATTCCGGTATATAGAGATGTCAAATTAGCTGTTTCTAGCTGTTCCTTTACCAAAGTTAAATAATGGAGTGATGGCAGAATCGAAAATTGGCGGCCCGATTAGGCCATTTTACAGTTATGGATAGAAGCGAGGCTGGATTTGACCTTGTTTTTATACAAACCTTCCTGCTTTACTATGTAAATCATGTTATTTTTTTGCTAACTAGTATTTTTCAAAGGCAATTTCCATAACAAAGCAGAGGAGGTTTATATCAAAACAAGTTCAAACTCAGCCTCACATTTAGGGCTCCGGTACTAAGTCCGAAGTTTGATTGACATTTCGGTTTATTTGAAGTAGTTGTTTCCGTGTGATAAAAACTGAAACATTTATTGCACTGAATCGGTTTTTTTTGACTAAGCTATGAGCTGGGGTTGATATACATTTTCAACAATCATCTCAAATCCGGTGTTAAATGCTCGTACGATTTCTTCGTTTTCAGTGGGGGAACGAAGGTAGGAACGCTCCCTACCGACCACATTGTAGGTGGACAGGGCCGAGAAAGACCTTTTTCAGCGCGGCCTTTCCTCCTTATCCTAAGTTCTGGATGATCGCCACCCCTCCCCCATCTTCACCTCAAGATTTGGACTCGCCACTGTTGAAAGTCAGGTGAAAATGGGTTTTCTAGAAAGGAGACCTGCCTCAGTTCTACTACAATAGAGGTCAAAAGAACTTGGGAAACCGTTCCAAATACTTGTTACGTGCGACTTTGCTCCTAATGACAATTTTTGCTTGGTTTTGGCCAGATCATCACTTCATCTCCTCTCTTCGCCTTCCCAGCAATGTTTCGCCCAAGGAAGTACTCATTTCTAACCATTCTGCTCCAAATTCAACATTTTTGGAGGTGGGAGGGGGTACTGAGGTCGCCCGTTTTACTGATAATTATCACTCAGCGGCTCGAATTGCCGGCATTTGCCTTTTCTTTCCCGTTATCCTCTGTATCTGCTACAGGTCGTCATAACGTTCAACAGCTGTTGCTTAACACGGGGTGTATGAAGTATCCGATGGAGCGAAGGAACGAGAAGTGCTTAAAAAATTTTCGCATTTGCAAGTGCAAAAAATTTCGAGAGACTTACAAACTTTCGTTTAAAATGCATTAACCGTACGTTTTTTCCATGACATTCGAAGTCTTATCTCTGGTACCAAGTACAAGGTGATGTCTACTGTTGGTATTTAGGAAATAGAAGAAACGACAAAAGCACCTGACAGCAAAAACTTATTTATTTATTTTATTTTATTTCACAACATCTCTTACAAGCTTTGAGTTGCACCACTGGTCACTCTCCTTAAAGGTTCATACAATGAACCCATCATCTCGGAGACTCCACCTCTAGTATAAGGCCTGGTTTACAGCCTGGTATAATTAAATGTTATCTATTTATAAATCAGTAATTTCCGCTTAAAAAAGCTCTCACCCATTCAGAGTAGAGTGGAGTTTCCAACAGTCCGACGAAAGAACGTTGCGGGTAGTGAGGATCGAGGTGCCTCTAACGCGAAGTTCAACCGCCACATGAATTGTGCGGACGTTTGTGAACACAATGAATTACGTTGCAAAAGAATCTAAAAATAGAATGAAAGCCTAACACGCTCTGACACTCCCTCAACTCCCCTTCCCCCCCTCAGCCCACTCCCGATGGACACTCCAATGAGATGGGCTAGTGTTCTTAAACATCACTTGAACGGCGTTCAACTGTAAATGTAGAACTTTTGTCTCCTTCGGGCATATTTTCCAGTGGTACGTGGTGAGTGATCTTTCTGTTTGGATTCCTTTGGACAAACTCCTTCCTTCGTCATTTGAAAAAAATCTTAAAAGAAAGAAATAATACATGTCTTTAAAAGGAGCTGGGTCACGAACTTCATCAAATTTCAAACATAAAAATTTCACCTGAAAACATTAATAGAAGGTATAAAAAACACAACGAATAGAAAAGGAGGCAGGGATGGACAACATTGAAGAAGATGATAACGAACTGAAAATTGTGGTTTTTGAAAACTTGTTAGCCTTAGTTTATTTTTGTTGTCTGCAATAACGTCTGAGTAAATTCTTGGGAGACATATTCAGTTTGACATGAAGCTGTGATTTTGTAAGTTTGCCGGTAATTCCTTTCGTCGCTTATGTTAAGTTCCATTCCCAATAAGGACGTGTAAATTGGCAATACTGTCAGAAGAACCCCGCTAACTCGAACTCTGAAGGGAAACGAAAAACACAGTAGCAGATCCAGGGGAGGGGCCCTCGCCTTATTTTTAGACCAAACTGAGGCTCGAAGGACCAAAAAAAACCACAATTTTGAGACCGGGCCTCCCCCCTCCCCCTTATCTCAGGGTCTGGATGACCGCCCCCCTCCTTTTCGGAAGGTCTGCATCCGCCACTGAAACAGCTCGAGTTAGCAGGGGTTACGTTCGAGTTACCGGGGTCGATTGAATCTTCAATTTGCGGCTTGTTAATATTGATAGTTTACTAACATTTCAGCACTTAAATATACAGCAGAGTGCAAATCAAATTTATCTGATCAGAAATTGTAACACGATTACGCATTTTTATGATTATACAGGAAAATGACTGTTAAATACATGTACGTGATCTATTTGTTGCACTTATTAAAAACAAATGGCTTTTTAGTTTTAGGGGTTTTTGCACGACAAGAAAAGCTAACGGGTTGGCATTCATCATGAGTTGTAAGGACTAGGTAAATTTTGAAAGTTCGAGTAAAAGTGACTGAATAGGAGGGTCAAATTCAAGGGAAATTGGACTTAGTTCGAGTTAGCGCGGAGTTGGAGTTACCGGGATCCTACGGTATTGGCAAAATGAACCAGACAACCGCGACAGATTCCCTTTAATGTCTTGCTTTTTTTACCCTTGAAGTTCCTCTTTTTATTTTCATTTACTAAAGCACGATTTATGCAGGTATGTTGTCAAAGAACTCAAAGCAGAGTAAGCCCGGTGACTTCCGTGCTAGAAGTGGACTTTTTGCAATCTTGGGTTTTGGATTTGCCCAAAATTTCGGGAAAATCGTCTCTCTGAGAGTAAACGCACTTAACAGTTCAAATCTGGTAGCTTCAAGGCGTTTTAAAATGGAAAACGATTCACATCCAGTTTACGTGAGTCACTCAAATACGTCTTTTGCCTAAGTTAATGTTGGTCTCAGTCTCACTTCTGACATTTGGCATTTCTTAAAAGCGATTTAAATCCAGGCCCACCATGAATCCACAAGAAAGAGTCTTATCCCGCCCTTAAATAAGCAACCATCAGTACTCAAATAATTGCTCTAAGTACGAACAGGCTAGCTATTTTCTAGCTATTTTTTACCTGTTACTCTTCGTAGATCCTAAGCTTTTCAAATTCAGTGCTACGAGCAACACAAATATCCCGGATATGTTGCAGCATTCTGGCCGGGCGATGAAACACGTTTTTCACGTAAGGTATATAAATGGGTAAAAGTAACAGACTGGCTGAGAGAAACGCTAAGATGGATTGACTAATGATATTTCTACAGCCAGGTCAATTTCTACTGCTACTAAAAATGAGATAACCCGTGAATCTCTTGGCCTGAATCACCCAACTAGTATTCGCCCCATATAAGGGAAACTGTATTCCGGAATCCGGGACATTTTTGCTTGTGGGATCCGGAATCCAGAAAATTTTTGCCGCAGCATCCGGAATCCAGGGCTTTGGAATCCAGAATACAGTTCAAAGAATTCGGAATCCCACTAATGCTTGGAATCCGGAATCTAAGTTCCACTGACAAAGAATCCGGAATCCAGGACCTAAAATCCGGAATCCACGGCGTGGAATCCAGAATCCAAGACTGTTTCGAATTCCGTCACGTGGCGCGTTAGTATAATCAAAGAAAAAAACACAACAAAACACTGATTTGTTTTTTTTTACTCACCATCGAAAGTAATTTTTCTGTTAAACTGGTGCTTCTGATCCTGTAGCATTTCACTGATGTCTTCCTCGGGAATTTTTTCCTCCAGAATTTGGAAGATGCTCCGTAGTTCAGTGGACATAATGTAACCTCGATCATCGCGATCAAATATCCTGAACGCTTCCAATGCTTCGTCTTCGTTAAAGGAAAACTGGTTCTTCGCCACCATTAGTTTAACAAATTCCCCGAAATCCATCTGCCCATTACCTGAGACAAATCGAACAACCCTTGGCGTTAAATAAGGGCTTAGTAATTTGGCCATGTAATTCTACATAGAAAATTTTAGGTTTCCATACCACAGACGTTTGAACTTGTAATTAAGCGAAAAGGCGAGTTATTAAATTGCCAATAACTTGGCAAGGAACAAAAATCAGTAATAGACCCCTGGATGCCTTGTCTCCGTAGATTAGGTTCGTGCGCTCCGGAACGCGGAGACGGCAACCACTGACGTTGTCGTCTTGGCGTTCCGGAACGCACGAACCTAATCTAGGAAGACAAGGCACCCAGGAGTCCATTATTGACTTTTGTTCCTAACTAAGTTATTACTGGCAATTTAATAACCCTTAGTGGCCTCATAATCCCTAAACAGTTAATAGAGGAGAATGGTTATGAAAGCCAGCAAAAACCAAAGAAAAAAATAATGGCGATGCAGTTTATGTTGGGAATTCCTTGACCGAGCATAATCTTTTGTCTTTGGTTCACACATCGTGCCTGCATTTTTCAATGGGTAGTTTTTATAGGCCAGTACATGGTGCACAGTGCAAGGTCAAGTCCAAAAATCCCTACAACATAAAGCTACAAAAACCTACAACATAGAAATCTCACTGATTTCCTAACCAATGCACTTTATATTATTTTTAAAAACTTTGGCTCAAACTATATTGTGATTGAATAGTGAGGTACTTTCCCCAAGCTCTTAACAGAGACCTCCTTTAGGCTGAGTTTAAACTCTAGAGCGTTTTCACGTGACGTTAAGTCCACCATATTGGTGTTCCAAAACAATGAAACGGCGGCCATGTTGGTGTTCCAAACCAACAGAAAAGCTTTCTTTTGTTCCAATAAATTTGCATAGCTGCTGAACACGTGAGTGAAAACGCTCTACACCGGAGAGTTCTTGCGCCGACACGAAAATCATACCGGATAGGGTTCGGACCGTCCCGAAGCGAGGAGTGGACCCACTGTGACGGAAGTAAATACTGATAACAATAAATACTGATCAAAAGTGAGTATCGGGGTTAGTTCACCAAACCACTGCCAACCACTCCGATACGATGTTCGATGTGCGTGAATGACTTGCTCTAGTTCTGTCCCGTTGTCGTTCGACTATACCAGGATAGCTTTTCATGTCGGGACAAAAAGCTATCCGGACAGTGTCGACATAGCATTTCACAACGGAGATTCTGCTTTACTTGCCATCAATGTCCACGCTGTTGATCATCATTTGTAAGTCCTCCTCGCGCGGGTTCTCGCCCAGGGAGCGCATGACATTTCCCAACTCCTTTGTGGTAATAAAGCCACTGCAGTCCTTATCAAAATGAAGAAAAGCTTCCCTGTATTCTAAGGATATGAAAAAATAAAACAGTGACCCATGACTGTCATCAACGGTAGTATCGCTGAAGACTCGTACCCAGTCGCTATTTATGTGTATTTGGGGTGGGAGGAATGAGAGAAGATTATGGTTTGGTTAAAGCGCGTTGGGTGTCATTTCATCCCTTCCCATGAGTCCCCGCGCGCCTCAACCTGACCCTAATCTTCTCTCACCCCAGGCATATAAATAGCGATTGGGTGCGATTGTGGTTTCAACGATTTCTTGAGTCAGTCAGGAAACAATATCTGGCCAAATTTACAGCATCGGCCTTGACATCATGGTATATTACTTTACCTGGAATTAAATACAGCTTTCTATAAAGAGACTCAAGTTTAAAACAGCGTCACGCGTCTTTGTAAGTATTCTTTGTCCGATCTATCTTTGAAAGCCATTCTATCGTTTAATCTCATTTACTGTGGTTTTGCCGACAGGATTGCTTTTGATCTTTGTACATCTGTTTCTTTCTGTGGGTCTGGGTATATAGGGAGAATTGCAGTAGAAACATTGTTTCTACTTTTGTTGAACATAGGCCAACTCGTTGGTTGAGGAATCTCGAATCCACGTTCCCCACATTTGAATCTCTCATGGCACGGCACGAAAACCGAGGGGAAATGTGTGGAAAACATGTGCAAGGTGCCCGATGGTGTTGGCCAATGTTGTCCCTACAATGTTCCCTGATTAAACAAGCCCTTAAGTCAAAAGATTAAAAATTGTGTCCTGTCTAGTTTCACTTGCCTTGGATCTGATCTTGGGTCAGCTTCTCCTGATAAAGAAATGTTAAATTTAACGTTACAAAAGCAAACGCCTCTATGTAAATTCTGTCACTCGTATTGCGCCTCTATTAAACGTCATTGCATGTGTTACATTTTCTCTATCAACAAACATTTGTAGCGGTACTCTAGTATGAGTCAAGTGTAAACGCGATCAGTGCCTGTTCGTTTTGTATCTATTTTAGTTTTGGTTTACTACAGTGCGTTCAAAGCTTTGATTCTCTGTCTCTCGATCCGCCTATTAAAAAGTAAATAAGAAATGATTGTTTTCCCTCATTGTACAATTCTGTATTTTCCAAAAGCCTTCAATTTCTAAGAATGTTGGAGCTTTTTGTTAAATAGCAACACGCTTGTTTATTTTTGCATTTTAGCAAGCAAGCTCTGAACAGAAGAAACGAGGACAATTGTACAGTGAACTCAAATATTTTCTAAAAAGTCAGAACGTTTAAATAATTAATAACAGTGAACTGTTTTTCTATGATCTTTAACAGAGAATCGATGGAAATGTTTTTTTATTTCTTTAAAAAATTTCGCCATCATTTACTGAAGTCTAAACAACCCAGAAAAAGTGTGCCATCATCATCATTTTTTGGCGTCATGTCCTCGGCCCATATTCCTTTAATCTATAATGTTATACTCTTACAGTATTGCATTATCAATGGCATCCAAATTTTGTACAATGCTAATGTGTACGGTGTATTGTGTACGTGCGAGAATTTGTTAACGGTTCTTATAGGCAACAGGTACAAATATAAAAAATAATGGAATATGCTTCACATACCATTATTCTACCCTTGAGTCAGTTTCCAAAGATCAGAAGGAAATAGATGTAAGGACAAAGATTCCGATGTCGACAGACTGGGTATAAAAGACGCATTATTTTATATTATCACCAGAGGATTTGAGGTTTTGATGGAATTCTGTGGTTTTTCTTTCCGTGATTTTGATATGCTGATTTTTAATTCGAAGCCACCTGTTTTCTTACTAGAAAAATGAAAGAACCCGGTATAAACAAGCTGACTTGCTTTCTTTACACGAAGAAAGCTAAAAAGAGTGAAAGGAGTTTAAAACAATTTTAAAATGAGGGCTTGCTAAAATCGCTCATGTCCTCTCGGAGGAAAAAAAAGAAAGTTACGGAATATTTAACATTATTAGTTCACTAATTTGTGAAACATGCTCAATTAAAATGGAAACTGCTAGAAAATGCGTGTTTTAAAATGAATGTCAAGTTTAGACGCTAATTTAAATGGCGTTACTGATTCTGAGGCTAAAATGAGAGGAAATACTCGACAAGTTCGATTCTTTAGTTGGTACTAATTTCAGTTCCGCATTGCTTGAACAGAGACATACATTCGTATGTCCGCTTATAAAATCAGTGAAAGTTACAAGTAGAAGGGTTCCCAAATTTTGTGTTGATGTTTAGCTTAAGACCAGTCCAGCTGATCGAGAGACACAATAAGGTGACGCAAGCCAATCAGATCTGTACTTCATTAACTGTCACAATTTCAATAACCAACAAAAATGCTTACCGAGAATGATTATGATTGGTTACATCTAAAACCATGCTGGGCCTATGTAAAATAGCTGACCCAAACCAAACAATTCTGCTGTACTTGCATTTTTCCAAACTAGATTGTTGCAGAAACTTCTTATCAAAATTGAACAGAGCAATGACATCTCTTCCTTAACTTTCCTCCCGAGGAACATCGACAATTGTTGTCGACTTAAAATTGTTAAGAATTCGTTAATACCAGTTCGATAAATAGGGAAGGGAAAAACTATTTAGCTAGAAGAGCTGTTTGCATTTTACATGAAAGATGCCGCGAGAATAGTAAAAGTGGTGAGGATATTGGCAACCTCCCTCGTCCCCAGGAAAAGCGCTGTGGATAAGGTTGGGAGGTCTTGGGAGATTGGAGCAAGTCATGTTCGACTGGCACCAAACCAATCCTGTGTAGCGCTCATTGCAGGTGAAGTTTGAGACGGACTCAAAGGCCAAGGCCATATAAGTATTATAAAACACAGTAGAATAATTCTCATTTTACTCTTGTTTATTCGTTTATACAGATATTTACATTAAATTACTTACCGTAGACTTAAGGTATTGTACATCTTTACAATGGATTATTCACTAGTCTAACTTAATTCGCTGTTATTTAGACCCTGTTTACATGGAGTAGGGGACCTCCGTCTAGTAAGGTGGGTTTCTTTTGTTTTGTGTCCCCCAGAGCGTGAAAACAAAAGAAACCAACCCCACTAGACCGGGGTCCCCCACTCCATGTAAACAGGCCCTTACTCTTTCTGTTTAGAGGAGATTTTTAGATTTTAAGACGAAAACGACAACGACGGGACGAGATTTTCTCAACACTCAGAAGTGCGTGCACGTGAGCCAGCGTTATAACAGGTTTTAGCGTGAATGTCGCAGTCGGAAACAAGTTCTCAAATGTTAAAAGTTTTATCATTTTGCAATCGAGAGAAGGCTTAGAACTATTTTCAATCTGAAGATAACCGTGCTAACGTGTCTGGTAAAAAATAAGTACAATGAAGTTTTCCGCGGTATATATTTTTTGAGAAGTAGCGGAAAAACTTTAAGTTAAATCTCGTCGTCGTAGTTGTCCTTCTCTTGGAATCTAAAGGTCTCTAATTTACGTATATATGTGGTTTTAATGGCAGCTGAATTTGTTTTAAATTTTCTTCCATAATAATATAGTGATCAAACTGCTGACAGTGAAAATATTTACGAGGTTATTGAAACGAAACATTTGCAGCTGCACAAGTCCTATGAAAATAGCTACCAATGCTACTTTTTCGGGCAAAATTTTTGAATTATCTGCATTTCTTTTTTCTTTTGTTTCATAATTCATAATTTCCTCAGATGTGTCTAGTTTAGTCTAGTGACCTAAGAGGATAAATAATCTATAGATTCAACTCAGCGTAATCGAAGGGACCGAAATTTAACAAAGTCATTACTTTATTTAACTTAAGTTGGAGTCATTTACTGAGAGTGCCTGTAAGCATGCCATGTTTTGGTAAAAGAAGAAGGCTCTTTATTATAAGTCGTTAGCTCGAATTGGACATAGTTTAACAAACAACAAACCTACTCATTTTTTACCTCCTCCTCTCTATCATTGCTTCAATTTAAAGCTACTTAAGGCTATCGGAAAGGAAAGAAGTCAAAAAAATGGGGCCTCTTGCAGAGAGGGCCGCCCAAAATCCCAAGCAAGAGTGAGTGGGCAGTAACAACCTTTGGCCCCTAATGATGTGAGGTGAACGCTGCACTCCAGATCAGCTACTAAGCAAGCTCATTAGTTAATCAAGTGACGCATAAGTCCACTGATGATTTATCAGGTGGTGACTACTGTGTGCTTTGCTTACTGACCTCTCATGAAACAATCATATACAGATTCAATGTGGACCACTCCATTCTCTTCCAGGAGCTGCCATCCTTGTGGTCAGCGCCACGAATCGAGAGCCTTGCTGAGACTCCCTTTAATAATAGAAGGTAACCGTGGTTGTCTCGATTTCTGAGGCTGTGCAAAATATGGGAAGTCCGTGAATTGCGCACTTCCTACTTCGACCCCAGCAAGAGCTTTCAATTCTCGCAACAAGGATCACAGCTCTGGGACGGGAGTGCTACTACTCTAAAGCCACCACCAAATATTTTCAGCATTCTGGCTGGTCCATTATGATCCTTATTGAAGGTCAATTTGACTGTAGAAGGATTACGATTTCTTCAAACTGTTTGTTTTCCACTAACTCTTACGGGGATGTGTCTCTTCTTGATTCGCCCTAAAATTGAAAGAAAAAAGTCCCTAAAGTGGATGATTTGCCTGCAGCAAAACGCAGGTTGGGGAAATCGACGCAAGTATTTATCAAGCACGATTCTCTCTGAAAAAGTTGGTCCAACTTTTTCAAGTTTCATTCCGTGCACGTCCCTCCTTGCCATCCTTTGTAACAGACAACTGGACAAATTTTCAACTCCTAAAGGCTTGTTTTTACTAGCGAAGGAGTCGGAGTCGTAATCAGAAGCCAAGAGCTTAATTTATGAGCTAGTGACCTTTAAAAACCAATCACGAAGCGTGGGAACGTGCATTGTGATTGGTTTATCCTTCCGCTTCTGCTTCCGACACCGACAATCTGGAACGGAACGTAAGCGACGGAGTCGTAAGCGGAGTCGGAAGAGATGGAAACGTTCTGCATGATTCTTCTGACTCCTATTCCATCGTACTTATGACTCCGCTTACGACTCCGATTTTTGATTTTCACCAGGTCATAAGCGCTTTTATGATTCCGCTTACGACTCTGACTCCGACTCCGTCGCTAGTGAAAACCAGCCTTAAATATAGTCTTAAACAATAAAACCGGACCGTTGTTTTTGGAGTTCGATTGACTTGAAGATAGTTTAACTTTTGTGAAAAGACAACATGCACAAATAGCGTGACGTAGCCCCTTTAAACTAAGGTACAAGAAAATAAAATAAAATTCCCTAACGCAGCCAAAGAGAACGTTTCCTTACTCTTTTTCCTGCTGTTCGTGGAATAACACTTAAAAGGTGAAACAGTGCAAAACATCCAGCCTTTAGGAATGAACACACGTTTTCTCCCCTGGCTGGTCTTGAGGTTTATTGTGCGTCCCTCTTTGATTTTCTTGGCTTCATCTGGTAAAGACACAGTCAAACCATTTCTTCCACCTTCTCTAGGTGTGGTGTTGTGTGTCAAAGCTTCAGAAAAATAACAGTAGTCATCTTTATGCAGGAAATTTATATTAAGTTCATTCGGGAAGGTTAACCTGTATAATCAAGACGTTTTCACTGAAGATTTTTTGGTTCTTTCACGGCTCCCCTTTGCTGTGGTTATCTCTCTTCAAAGTCTCGTAGAGTCATAGTCTCAATTGATAAAGAAACTGGAGAAGTCGGCTGTAGTTATACCTGATTAACAAGAAAATGTCACCCGGCCTTGTTTGGGATGAAAGGTGATACATTTGGAGTGGGTCTGTTGAACTTATTTGTACTCTATTGCAATCGAACTCGATAATCACACGAAAAAAAAAGAAACATTCTAATATATGTTCTAATATGCACTGTGAAGGGTCTATGCTATCTATTCTATGGCAGCCTTGTCAGGGTTATGACTTCACACGTTTGTCATCCTTCCTGAGCAACTTCCTCAATTCTAGAATCATGTAAAACGTTCGTCGTAAAAGTGATGACGGCGCCATTACACAAGTTTCCCCAAAAGATGGTTGAATTAAACCCAGGGTTAATTTAAAAAGTAAACAAAGTTTTCCTGACTAGGAACATGTAACTGGAGATTATAAATATTATTAGGTCTTTACTCTGAAGTTATGATTAGACCAAATGATATTGTAAAAAATCTACAGGGAGGCTAGTATAATCCTGAATTAGCCCCGGGGGACGGACCCTCATCACGTCGCTCAATTGGGTTATTACTTGGTGTTACGGTGCACGAATTTATGCTAATTAGTATATGCCAATGTCTATGTCATATAATGATAGTATCATGGAGTCATGGTTTCATAGGTCTCGTGATGTCAGTGGTTTCATAGTTTCATGTGTTTCGTGGTTTCATAGGTTTAGTGGTGTCAATAGTTTCATGGTTTCATAGGTTTCGTGGTGTCAATGGTTTCATAGTTTCATGGGTTTCGTGGTGTCAATGGTTTCATGGTTTTTTAGGTTTCGTGGTGTCAATGGTTTCATGGTTTCTTAGGTTTCGTGGTGTCAGTGGTTTCATGGTTTCATAGGTTTCGTGGTGTCCATGGTTTCATGGTTTCATAGGTTTCCTGGCGTCAATGGTTTCATATGTTTGGTGGTGTCAATGGATACATGGTTTCATAGGTTTCGTAGTGTCAATGGTTTCATGGTTTCATAAGTTTCGTGGTGTCAATGGTTTCGTGGTGTCAATAGTTTCATGGTTTCATAGGTTTCGTGGTGTCCATGGTTTCATGGTTTCATAGGTTTCGTGGTGTCAATAGTTTCATGGTTTCATAGGTCTCGTGGTGTCAATAGTTTCATGGTTTCATAGGTTTCGTGGTGTCAATGGTTTCATGGTTTCTTGGGTTTCGTGGTGTCAATGGTTTCATGGTTTCATAGGTTTCGTGGTGTCAAGGGTTTCATGGTTTCATAGGTTTCGTGGTGTCAAGGGTTTCATGGTTTCATAGGTTTCGTGGTGTCAATGGTTTCATGGTTTCATAGGTTTCGTGGTGTCAATGGTTTCGTGGTTTTTTAGGTTTCGTGGTGTCAATGGTTTTGTGGTTTCATAGGTTTCGTGGTGTCAATGGTTTCACGGTTTCATAGGTTTCGTGGTTTCATAGGTTACGTGGTGTCAATGGTTTCACGGTTTCATAGGTTTTGGTGGTTTCAATGGTTTCATGGTTTCATAGGTTTCGTGGTGTCAATGGTTTCATGGTTTCATAGGTTTCGTGGTGTCAATGGTTTCATGGTTCCATAGGTTTCGTGGTTTCATAGGTTACCTGGTGTCAATGGTTTCATAGTTTCACGTGTTTCGTGGTTTCCTAGGTTTCGTGGTTTCTATGGTTTCATGGTTTCATAGGTTTCGTGGTGTCAAGGGTTTCATAGTTTCATAGGTTTCGTGGTGTCAATGGTTTCATGGTTTCAGAGGTTTCGTGGTGTAGATGGTTTCATTTTTTCATGTTTTTGGTTTCATAGGTTTCGTGGTGTCAATGTTTTCATGATTTCATAGGTTTCGTGGCGTCAAGGGTCTCATGGTTTCATAGGTTTCGTGGTGTCAATGATTTCGTGGTTTCATAGGTTTCATGGTGTGAAAGGTCTCGTGGTTTCATGGGGTTCATGGTGTCAGAGGTTTCATGCTTTCATAGGCCTCTTGGTGTCAAGTAGCCTCCCCTCAGACGTCCTTTGGGGTTTGTTCGTCACGCGTTCATTTCTCCCCCACGGACGTCTGCTAAACACAGCCGACATTTACGTTCACCGATCAGTGAGGCTTTTGATCGGGTGTGCGAGAAATTTGTAATGAATGCAGAGTTAAACAAGTATCAGAGAGACGCTATCCTGCAAATTTTATAGAGAAGACCGATCAGTTCATAAATTTGCCGACGGGATTTGGTAAATCCCTTATGTATCAAGCTTTGCCGCTTGTTTGCGACACTGCTTGGAACTCCTGGACATTATTGTTGTTGTTTCGCCCCTGGTAAATCTTATGAAAGATCAATCTACAAAGCTGGAAAATATTTGTATTCCTGCTGTAGTGCTCAGTGATATGTATTTTTTAAATTCAATTTAATTTATTTAAAACACTTGCAATTACAAAGTACTTACTTACAATACTTACTTACAAACAATGTATGTTACTTACGCTACTAACAAAACTATACTCTACTTACAAAACAATACTTATTTACAATGTGAGATACTTACGCTACGAGCAATACTATACTCTACTTACGATACAAAACTTGCAATACTTACTTACAATGAGATACTTACACTGCTAACAGTGCTATACTCCACGCTTTACATATGTATAACAGCTACTTGCACTACTTACAATACGGATTACATACGCTACAAAAACCAGAAAATAAAGGGGGCGGGAAAGTATGGTAAATTTTAGTTAACTGTAGTTTTAACTCAAAGGAGAAAAAAGAGATTAAAGATATTTTCTCTGCTGATTCACTGAAAATTAGCTTTATATGCCTTGAATGTTGAAGCGAGGAAAATAGGAAGGAAATGTCTGGCAGGAAGGAAAGTGTAAAAAGAGCGAGAATAGTTGGAATAGTTGGAATATTTCTTTTGCTTCTGCAAAGCCAAATGTAGAATCTCGCAAGTAACAGAACGAAGTTAATTGCGGCTTTGTTTTTGGAAGTATCAGGCATCGGACCCAAGACGACAAGACTGTTAAGGAGATAGTCGTTGGATAAAAGTTTACGATCCGTTAGAAAGGCAATAAGGTGTTTCCAGAAAAGTTCTATTTTGCTGCAGAACCAGAGTTTTCCGCTTCTTCATGGCAAAGTGAACACCTAATGTCATCTTTGTATCCCATTTTGACTAAAGATACGTTTGTTGCCAAAGTTTGATGAAGGAATCTAAACTGAAATTCAGTCAGTTTGGTGCTTTTGGTACATTTAAAAGCGGTCATATATGAGTTTTGCCAGATTAAATCACGAGCTTCTGGGAAAACTTTGCTCCATTTCTCCTGACTAGAAATTTTATAGTTACATTTTAATTCCACCAGTTTTTGATAAGCTAGTCTGCTGGGCTTTTTCGATTTTAAAAAGGTGGTTGTGAAAGACTCTTGTTCCATACAGTTTAGTGGTACATTTGGTAGTTTTTGATTTTTCCAGAGCTCTCGGAGGGTAGATGTCATTCCATAGAATGTCAAAGGGCAAACCTTTGTCTGATACTTTTTCTTCAAATTCTGTTGGTGACAAGAAAAAAGTACTTGGTTTTTCCTTAACGATTTGATTCACCTGAGAAATGCCCATTTGATACCAACTTTTATAGAAGACCAGTTTGTCCATAACTCTAATCAAAGAATTATACCACAGGCTTTGTGTGAGGAAGGACTCCACCGTTTCTATTGAACCTTGATAGTTTAATTCCTTGGTTTAAGTCCTTGGTCCGCGACCCATGACCTTGGTGGAATTACATTCGCAAAAAAAGGAAACGGCCTTTGTTTTCGAAGAATGCTTTGAAAATCTTCCCTATACAAGTTTACAAGTTCTCTTTTCTTATTACTTCGAATATATACAGATTTAATAGTAATTGATATTGACCGTGCTGAAAACCGCTCCGCGCTCGTATAGGAGACTGTTGTCTGAAGTCTCTCAAAGAAAAGCAGACTATTTTATACTTACAACAACTTCCCAAAAAACTATACAGTTGACTAAAGCTCTATTGCATCATTACTGTGATTTTTTCAAAACGTTTGAGTCGTCTCAGGTGGAAGACAGCTGTGCAAATAAAAAATTAATTTGACGTACACAAAGGCACATCAACGTCCACAGCACGTTTGATGAGCCTTGCGATGTCGACTGCGCTTTTTCCAAACACACGAACTTAGTTCTGGTCCTTTCCTAAATTACAGCTACAAAAAAAACAAAAAAAATTCGCTTCTTATTATAACTTTCTTCGGAGTCTCATCCATGCATGCGCATGGAATAAATATTCCTCTAAGAAAACGAGAAATAATTCGTAGGTGCCGTTTCACTTGTATCACAGCTCGTTACTGGCTGATCGTGACACAATAACTAACCGCTTAGTGGCTTATTGAAACAAACAAGAACGTAAATGTCGGCTGTGTTTAGCAGACGTCGAATCTGCAACCGTTCTTGGAGAAATTTTTTCGATCACCAAAGTACTTGTCCGTACTCCGTATTGGCGTTCTGTATTCCTGCTCTGTCAACTTTTACAGCACTTCTGTTTGCTCTCCCACGAAAAATGACTTCTTTGCCGTGAATCAAGAACGCCTCTACTGAAGGATTTCAGTAGTGCGTGAGCTTTTAAAAGTTTCTCTCTTAATCTCTTGAACGCACCCTCCGTGCTAACTTTCCAGCAACGTGGCCCCTTCTTAATACCTACGACTTACAAATCCTATCCAAACGCAAGGTGTCGCAAATAAAAGCTACTGTGAAAAATCTAGTAATTAACAATTAACGTTTAACGGTTTACAATAGATCCTGATGAGAAATGAATATTTTACAGAATTAGTTTTATAACGAACAACAAAATTACAAACAACAGCAATAAAAGTTACGTAGTCGCGTCCTACGAAAACAATATGTTTAAACAAAAGAAACCTGTATCCGAGAAATAACTATTTTCAATTAAGCATGACACTATGAAACCATTGAAACCACGAGACCCATGAAACCTTTCACACCAAGAAGCCTATGAAAAAAAGAAACCCTTGACACCACGAAATCTATGGAACCATTGACACCACGAAACCTATGAAACCATGAAACCCATGAAACTATTAAACCTAAGAAACTATGCATGAAACCTTTGACACCACGAAGCCTATGAAACCACGGAATCCATGAAACTGTGAAACCTATGAAACTATCAAACCTTTCACACCATGAAATCCATGAAACTGTGAAACCTATCAAACCACCAAACCTTTGACACCACAAAACCCATGAAACCACCAAACCTTTGACACCACGAAACCTATGAAACCATGAAACCTATGAAACTATTGACACCACGAAACCTATGAAACCATGAAACCTATAAAGCCATTGACACCACGAAACCTATGAAACCCATGAAACCTATGAAACCATGAAACCATTGACACCACAAAACCTATGAAACTATCGACACCACGGAACCCATGAAACCATGAAACCATGAAGCTATGAAACCATTAACACCACGAAACCCATGAAACCATGAAACCCTTGACACCAGGAAACCTATGAAACCATGAAACCATAGAAACCACGAAACATATGAAACCACCAAACACATGAAATCATGAAACCATTGACACCACGAAACCTATGAAACCATGAAACCATTGACACCACGAAACCTAAGAAACGACGAAACCATTGACACCACGAAACCTATGAAACCATGAAACCATGGACACCACCAAACCTATGAAACCATAAAACCATTGACACCACGAAACCTATGAAACCATGAAACACATGAAACTATGAAACCATTGACACCACGAAATCTATGAAGCCATGTATCCATTGACACCACGAAACCATTGACACCACGAAACCTATGAAACCATGAACCTATTAACACCACGAAACCTATGAAGCCATGTATCCATTGACACCACGAAACACATGAAACCATGAAACCATTGACACCAGGACACCTATGAAACCATGAAACCATTGACACCACGAAACCTATGAAACCATGTATCCATTGACACCACGAAACCTATGAAACCATGAAACTATTGACACCACGAAACCTATGAAACCATGAAACAATTGACACCACGAAACCCATGAATCTATGAAAGCATTGACACCAGGAGACCTATGAAACCGCGAAACCATGGAACCATTGATACCACGAAACCTAAGACACCATGAAACTATTGACACCACGAAACCTATGAAACCATGAAACCATAGACACCACGAACCCTATGAAACCATGAAACCATGGATACCACGAAACTTATGAAACCATGAAACTATTGACACCACGAAACCATGAAACCATTGACACCACGAAACCTATGAAACCATGAAACCATAGACACCACGAAACCTATGAAACCATGAAACCATTGACACCACAAAACCTATGAAACCATGAAACCACTGACACCACGAAACCTATGAAACCATGAAACCATGGACACCACGAAACCTATGAAACCATGAAACTATTGACACCACGAAACCTATGAAACCATGAAACCATTGACACCACAAAACCTATGAAACCATGAAACCACTGACACCACGAAACCTATGAAACCATGAAACCATTGACACCACGAAACCTATGAAACCATGAAACCACTGACACCACGAAACCTATGAAACCATGAAACCATTGACACCACGAAACCGATGAAACCATGAAACTATTGACACCACGAAACCTATGAAACCACGAAACCATGGACACCACGAAACCCATGAAACTATGAAACCATTGACACCAGGAAACCTAAGAAACCATGAAACCATTGACACCACGAAACCTATGAAACCATGAAACCATTGACACCACGAAACCTATGAAACCATGAAACACATGAAACTACGAAACCATTGACACCACGAAACCTATGAAACCATGAACCTATTAACACCACGAAACCTATGAAATCATGTATCCATTGACATCACGAAACACATGAAACCATGAAACCATTGACACCAGGAAACCTATGAAACCATGAAACCATTGACACCACGAAACCCATGAAACTACGAAACCATTGATACCACGAAACCTATGAAACCATGAACCTATTAACACCACTAAACCTATGAAACCATGTATCCATTGACACCACGAAACACATGAAACCATGAAACCATTGACACCAGGAAACCTATGAAACCATGAAACCATTGACACCATGAAACCATTGACACCACGAAACCCATGGAACTACGAAACCATTGACACCACGAAACCTATGAAACCATGAACCTATTAACACCACTGAACCTATGAAACCACGAAACACATGACACTATGAAACCCCTGACACCACGAGGCCTATGAAACCATGACTCCATGATACTATCATTATATGACATAGACATTGGCATATACTAATTAGCATAAATTCGTGCACCGTAACACCAAGTTGTAACCCTCAATTGCAAGTAACGCGGTCCAAATGGAGTGAATGTATATTTTAAAAAGTTACTCTCTGATATATTTATGTTGTGGCTCAATTTTATCCTTGGTTTAATTTGTATTTCCCAGTTTGTTTTAAATTCATTACCATACGCAAGACAAAGGAAAATAAATTTTAAACCAAGGATAAAATTCACTGAAAATTGAACCACAACATTTACGTAACGATAGAACTCTTTTTTTTTCTACGCGACTATATTGCATACCTTGATTAGTGTGCTCCTCCACTAAATTGAGAACTAAAAGGAAAAATGCTTGTCAAAATTTTCTTCACTTTTAAATTTATAACAAAAATAACTTTTTATGTTAATCCGTTGTAAAAAACGCATTTGACTTACCTTCAAGAAAAATAATGCATCCTGCGACTCTAACTTATAAGGATAAGTTCTTTAAAAGTAGTTTTTCTTGGCAACTTTCAGTTTTCTTTTCTCTATTTTTACACTCAGGGAACTTGTTCAGAAAAAAAGCTGAGCTAAACTGTTTCTAAAGACCATCAGTTAACTTACCTTTCTCTATATTTGTTCGTTTTCTGCTCTCTGCACAAGAAGAAAGTTTAAACTGTGATCAATGGATGATAATTTTAGGGGACATATACAAAGGCTAGAAAACCTGTTAGACCGACCGGTTTTGAAGTGCAACAGCTGTGATATATAACCATAGCTAAGATTGATAGCTGAGAATGGGGCGGGTTTTACTCATGCGTGATTTAGTAAGCGCCGGTTTAGAGGCTAAAATCGAGAAGCCTTTTACGGTAAGATATGTGATCTTACGTGTTGCCCCTTACAAACAGTCTGATGGATTGACGGTCTGACCGACCGAATGACAGCCAGATAAACAAGTGGCTTGCCACAGTACTGAGTACTGGATCCGGAGGAAGTAAGTGCTGGGTTGACTGTTCAGCTGGCTGAGTTCATAGCGCACAATAGTATCAAAGTATTTAACACTGGCAAAGGAAGTATTAATATAAGTGTTGTTCACAAGGTACTGACCGTGGTAAGCAGTCTCCCTTTCTATGGACCTCAGAGCTGTTGAAAAACGTAATTACTCCATCAGTAAGTATTAATTTACGTCAACATCATCATCATTCGGCCCTTATTCCATGCATTCTCAATCTGTTCAACATCACGTTCGCAAGATATCCTCCCTGGAAAATCCGGGAATTTCTCGAGATCATATATATCTTGGAATGTCATTTTCCTTGAATGAACAGGGCCACTTGGTGCCCATAACGAAAGAGACTGAATGATCACCTCACCCTTTGCTCGTTGGCAATGACGACCCCTTGTCAGCTTTTGGGAGACCAGTGTTAGTTTGCCATATGCTCAAGTGATGCGTGCTTTGAACAGTGGATATATTGGACATGTCGTAGTAAGTCATAAGGAAGCAAAAGTTCTAAGAATAATTCTCAAAATCTTCGTTTTCTATCCTTTTCCCCCTTTTTTTCTATTCAAAAACAACAAATAGTTAACTTCCAAGCTTTTAGACAAACTTGAAGTTGGCTGGTTCCACGCCCTGTAGAATAACGTAACTAGGGGCTTAGATTCAAAAGAGGTTCTTACCTGATTCAATGTCTCTTATCTTTCGATCATCTTGTTCCTCGTCCTCAACAGAACGTAGAGCTGTTTGTCCAATAAGAAATAGACCATTTTATCATTGAAATGACACAACCCCTCATCTTTTGTATGTCTGTGACTCGTGTCAGTCAGCCACACTTTAAAACAATATAATGTCGAGATAGAGCAAAGGTAAATATATAGGTCGTGATTTTTGGTGTGGTCTCCTACTTTCCTTTACTAGGGCTAAGGCTAGTGGGGTAGTGGGTTATTTGTAGTACTTGAATTTTCCCTCCAGAGTAGAAATTCTCTGTTCCAGGCTAAAAGAGACTTCAGAAGACTTTGAAAGCAAGCCAAATTGTGGATAGAAGGTCTTTGTCACTACCTTATTGCCTTTTATGCAATTTGAGGAAACTCAAATATCGACAAACGATATACAAAGATGGCAAAAAGTCGTCCTTGACTTTCAAATACTATAGTCACCGACCGATTGTCAAGGTTTTCAGAATCGAAATTTCGACCTTAACTATAGGCCAACGTCTTTTCTCTCTGATCTGGGTTCGGCTATAACTTAAAGATAACCATGCCCGGTGAGTAATGAAAGAGACTGGCCACATGTTTAGTATACCTTTCTTTAAAGATTCCATGGCTTTCTCTTGATGATCCATGGGTTTCTGGGCAAGATCTACGTTGTCATCGATTTCTAAAAATGCTGTTAACAAAAACAATACCTGAAATATATTGTAATTTCTTTATGACTGTCCTCATACAGGTGTCTGACAGTGTTACTTCATAAGTTAAAACACATAATTTATTTACAATCGCGGCAGTATTTCTATAGCATAAAAGCTAACAGAACCGAGAATAACGGAAACAAATATTCCAAATAAAACAAGGCTAAGTAGCTATATATAAGCGCTTCCGACGAGTTGAACTTGGAACTACCAAGAAACAAATTTAGCTGGAGGTCAGGGCTTGGACTATAGGGGCCTCGGGATTGCAATTGCAACGCCTTAACGGCTCAGCTACAGAAAAGAAGCGATTCCTTAGACTTGTTTTACGCTGCGATTGCTAGCACTGCGCATAACATTGCCAACTAGTCTTTTCTTTCGTCAATTGCATAAGTTATGTCTTTAACTGCCATGATTGTCTTTGCATTTAAAGGGCGTTTTGTCGTTTGCTGAAGGCGTCTTTCTTGTGGAAAATGAGGGGGCTTTTGTTTATAAGATATTCAGACCTCACGTGGATCTCCAATTTTTTAATATGAAAGGAAGAAAAACGAAATGGATTCTGTTAGTATTACTAAAAGAAAGCCATCATGCAAATGACCTAGTATTCTATGATAAGAGCTGCCTGATTCGGCTGACCAAGGGAGAGTAATGGCGCCTAGTTATAACCACAAGTGACGTAAATATTACTCTTTCGAGAAACTATTACATTTCAGAGACACATCATTTTTAAATTATGTACGATGTTTTCCAAAGTTATAAAATCTTTCTTAACTTAAACTTTAACTGAACTTTATTTCATATCACACACTAGGAAAAACTGAATACATAAGAGCGACCAAAGCCGGGAGCTTAAATGGCCTAAGGTAAGCAAAAAAAACTGTAAAATTAACCGAAGAATGTAAGTTTCAAGAGTCTTCAATTGATATCTTGATAATTGACAGTTTACCTTTCCTTAATCTTTCTACTTCCATGCTAGTTCCTTCAAGACTTAGTTTTCTTCCATCTGTCGTAGTTCCCCCTGTTAAGCTATCTGAGAGCAAAGAAAAATCAAAAAACTAGTAATGAGTCAGGAGGAAAAGATAATTCACCTTCAAGTGGTTGCCCAATCACTTACCTTATCAATATCCTTAATTTTAGCCTGCGTAGCAAGCTTTTTGTGCGATTTCGGTTAATCTTTGCTCCGAAACCACACTGAAGCGCTAGCTACGCAGGCTTCCTAAATTTTGGCGCAAACGTTTAGCGTTTGTTTATAATTTCACATTCACGTGAAATTACTTAGTTGCTATGACAACGTTCGGTATGTCTCTGGTCCCGTTTACACGGGTCCGGGGAAATTTTTCAGTGAACGAATTTTTTACCTGTGCAACCCGTTTACACGGAACCGTCCAAATACTGTTACAGATTGCACTACAGTTTGCCGTTCAACAAAAGTTGCACGGTTCAGCTGGTTCCGTGCAAACGAAAGGCGGATCCGTTCAAGTTTTTGTCCCAGAAAATTTGTCTAGACCAGTGTAATTTGTCTAGACCCGTGTAAACGGGGCCGTCTTAGTGCCAAGATGGCGTCGAGGTTTTACAAAAGTTATGAATGAAGATGCCAGGGCATCAAAAGACGCATTAGAAACATAAACTCATGAAAGAGCGCATCTCCTAAAGACTCGGGAAATTATGAGAATTTTGACAAAACATGCGTGAAATTATTCCGTTATCTCACTCGTCACCATTTGATTACACACACTAATCAAATTCTTACCTTCGCATTTCAAAAGAATTTTTAAAATACATTCAGAAATGATAAAAAGACTGTTAAGGAGCAAAATATGTAAGATCTTTTAAAATTAAGCAAACGCAGAAAGATGCTCTCACTAAAAAGATAATCGCTCTTTAATCTCGTATGTCTCTCTGGTGGCAAGATATAGTTCACTTAAAAGGGTCAAACCGACAACTCCCTTTTCGGTCACTGGTACCAGTTTCTGTGAAACAAATCGTGAAATTTTGAGATAACAATAGCAAAGGACGAGCAGAAATTTTAGAATCAAACTATACCTCAAAATATTGTAAGATTACAGGTTAAGAGTCAAGCAAGTGCTTTAAGATATCTTCTCAGCCTAAGATACATTTTATAAAAATTAAACTGAAAGAAACGACGATAGAACGCGTAAGGTGTTTGTCACGGGGTGTAAAACGGTTAATTGTCGATAATTTTATGTCTAGAAAATGTTTTTTAAAATAACTAAATATTTTTAAAATTACTGATTAGATGGAATAAAATATATATTGTGTCTGTTGATACTGTGGTCTTTGGATCTAGAAGTGAATGAACGTGAAAGAAATAACATATTCAAGAAACTATATGCGTCTTTCAAGAATGGAGGCCTAACAAATATGAATTGACTGTGTTTGCATACCATTGATCTCCTTATCTGGGAGAAGATCCCTTTGATATACTGGTCAGGGCTTTCTTTTAAAATGAACCATGTGTTTGAGTGATTAGATTTATCTGTTGACGCGTTATAGAGAATATTTTAGACTTGATCAGAGTTACGTAAATTCATCAAATAAAAAAAACAACTCACCTCTTGTCACCGTGATTTTAAAGTTGAACGCCACTTGCACGCATAGCAGTAAAACGGGGATTAATTTTCTTATTCCAAGTTTTAACTGCATCATTCCCCCGCCAGGGGATCGTTTTCGTTTTTAGACGGAAAACTAAACGTAAATGTGGTCGTTTTAGCTCAAAAATGGTGACAATGGGTGTTCAGGTAGTGATAGCACCGGCAAGTTCGTGAATAATTTAACACAAAGGTCTTCACCTCAATTCACAGGTGTCGAGAATTACGAAGTTAACTGGATTGTTCCTATTGATGTTTAGCTGTGTAATATGCGATATAACCGCTGAAGTGGACCGTTGTGGCCTCGGTCAGGAAGACTTACGAAAACGTTCGAATTTATGTTTTACGAAGGTCGTCTTAGTAGTGCAGGTGTTATCAGCTGAAGGGTCTTTCAATATACTTGTCGCAGGTCGAAGGACGCCCAGGTATATAACACGGTACCCTGGCCCCGGAGGTCTGTTCTAAAAACGTCTAACGAAATAGTCTCGGTTCCTTTAATAAAATGACCAGAGGACTTCGGGCGCATTCCGAAGCAATCCGATGACGTCCGATGATTGTAGTGAACCTTTGGAAGGTATCATTAGTCGTGATTCTTAAAATTCCGAACTCTGTGAATTATTTCCGAACGGGAGACAAAAGATGTGAGCAAGAAGAACTTGCAGGCTTGCGAAAGTTGACAGACGAGTAAGGTATTGTTTTAATGATACAATGTTTGACTGAATGTCAGGTGAAGAAGGCCCGGAGTAACTTGAACTTCTTAGTGAGACTTGTGCCTCTCACGGATGTCCCAACAAGTCTGTCATAACGAAAGGCTACTAAAAATGTTTACAAGATATTGGTGAAAAAATGTATAAGCCAAGCGTAATTGAATAACTGCAGTTATGGCACAAGTTATCAAACTTAGAATTTTATTAATTTAAACCACTTGGTGGTGCTCTTTTTTCTTGTTAAAAACGCCCACAATAAAATATAAAATGTTCTCTTTTGGTCAAGTGGTTTTCAAAAATATTTGAAGCAAATTTTATTCGCAACAGAGTCTTCAGTGTCACGATAAATCAACACGGTTCAAAGTTTCTCCACCAAATTTTGGAGAGATGAATTTCTGCAGCCTGGCTTGGTTGGTTTCACTAAGCTAATCATCTGGAAAAAAGAAAAACAGAAAAAGAATGTCGATAATGAAACGAGAATTAGTTAGATTGTTATGGCATCAATAGACAGGCACTCCACTACACTTATTTTGTAAATATTTTCTCTGCATTGAAACAAATGTCACTATCTTAGATTTAATTATAAAATGCGCACCACTGAGCCATAACGCTAATCTTGCATTGTGCTCCCAATATAAAACAGTTTACTATTTTTACTAAAGCCCCAAAATTTGGAATTCTTTTGGATCAGAAAGGATATGAGTGAATATTTACTTAAGAACATGAGATATCTAAGTTTCCTTATAAGCTTAGCAACCGCACTGGTTGATTTATAATTTAATATGAGATCTCTTTCGATGAGATAACGATTTCTAAATGGCACTATTTCTTCTTTAGTCAACAATCATGCAATGTACCGTGGTAAAAAAACAACAACAACAAAACACAAACAGACCTTTATCATCTTCAACTTTTGGTGACACCACAATCTTTCTACCCTGTAACCTGTCAGGTAGTGGGTCGAGCGCAGGCTTTTTGTAGCTTTCGTCAAAGCTCATCCTCACTCGGCTAGATGTTTTCGTGCCTCTTCGTTTTCCTCTAAAAGTTGCCTCTGTACCAGAATCGGAATAAGCACGCTCTCTTATTTCAAATCCGTCACGTCCTCTTGAGTGAATTCCTTATCAAAATGGAACAGGAAAATTGAAATAATACCGTGATAATCCTCTAATCAAGCTATCAAGTGAGCTTCGAATACAAAAATCAGACCCTTCAACGGTTTTTGACTTAAACCAAAAAGGACCTACCAGGGATTACCTTTCCTACCCTTTTTACCCCTGTATCGGCTAAAAGATTTTCTGAAAGATTTCACGGTTATCCTTGAAATTCATTTTCTCTCGGCCGGTTGTCATCCTCTGTCAAACTCATCACTCATTATCTTCCAAAGAGACTAGCCTTCGAGCAAGCTCTCCCGGGGCTCGGAAGCTTCCGCGGGTAAGGGGGTGAGGGAGGGAAGAGGGGGAGGAGCCCCTCTCCTTTTTCGCCCCGCCTCCAAAGCGCCCCCAGGAGAGGACCAGGCCAGGGGAGAAAGAGATATTCGTGCAAGGGCATTATATAACTACAAATTTCCTACCTACAATATCCAGCACTGAGGGATTATCTTCTGGGTCATCAGGCATTGCACTCTCATGGGAACGCGAAACAACTAAAATCTTCGGTTCTTCCGCGTCAAAATGCAATCTAAAACTTTTGTGAGCCCTAGGTAGTACGCAAGGTCCTTCATAAATTTCTCTGGTGTCCATATCCGTAACCTTTCCTTGAATAAGAATAGCCTACAAAGATAAAAAAAAAAAATGAAAGACCAACATAGAGACGTGGAATACGATGACATTAATCTTAACAAAACGCGCTGTTTTGTTTTTTCACCATTCTTCCAATATTATTTATACCCTTGTACTATGACCAGAGGCTCATACAAGGGTTCAGCCTCTTCCTCATGTATGTGAGGCATATCACAATCCAACCGCAAACTACTACAAAAAGTACAACTTTTATCAATCACAATATAATATTAGCCTCAAATCAATAATACACCCATTTACCTTAGTAATGTTCATTCTTTCCATTAGCTAAGGAAACGTGCATTTAGTTGCCTATCAGTTCCAACGTACCTCTTTCATCTGTTCATTGATTTTGAAAACCGGATTGGGAACTTTGGGAATAGACGCAATATAAGATCGCACGCACATCACACGGATTTTATCTCTCGACCAGTTGTAATAGGTGGGCACCTCCAGAAGAAGAGGAACAGCTAATCTGATACCGAGGACTCTCCACAAGCGGTCCACCAGATCAGGGTAACGAGTCGTAGCCTCTATCATGTCTTCTTTTGTGATGAAAAAGGCCTAAATGAAAAAACCCTATTGATGCTCCTGACGAAAATAGGAAAGTTACCGATTTCTGGTAGTTAGGTTTAGTCAAAGCCTTACGCAAAATCACCGTTTAATACTCACTTGGTTCCAGGGCACTATCCCCGTGCTACAATCATGATTAAATTATGTCTGCGATGTTGTGTGTTGAATTCCCACAAGTGCGGTACGTCGATTTACGTCGTGAGATACTTCATGTTTTGAACTGCTGTCGCCAATGTGACAAGTGTACACTTAAACACTTAAACTTTGTGGTCAGTCACTTTTTAAATGCTGAGGTGTCCCCTTAATGGATGTTACACCTGGGTTTCAGGACCCACAAAAAGTGTCCCTTTCCCCTGAATAGAGGTGTCCATTCAATAGAGGTAACAAATACGAAGAGTAACTGAACATTTTTCCGGGACCATATTTTGTGTCCCAGAATGGAGGAGGTGTCCCTTGAGCAGAGGTGTGCCAAAGGAGAGGCTCCACTGTATAAGAACAGTGATTTCAGCGCGATTTCTGAAACGAAGCGAAGCTGTTCCATGCCGATCTCCCCTAAAGTGGAGAGTAACATATCGGATAGGTGTTCATGCTGTACGGGATAGCTTTTCATGAACATGGCCTTAAGCAGGAGACAAGAATAACAGAATGATTTCATACCTGAACAGAAGACTCGCAAGTGCAGGAGGAGTTTCTTCTAGTTGAGGTTAGCAGGCCCATCTCACCAATCAGGTTACCGGCAGAAATGTAATCAGTAGTTACTATCATCTCTCCTACTTCCGGTTCCTGGCCATCCATGTAGCTCTTTCTTGCTACTGAAACGCCTATCATCTGTAATGAAGAATGAACAACAAACGCCATTTGTACCAGTTTCTGTTTAGTGGTTGGTTGTATCTTGGTTGAACATAAGAATATTTCTTATGGGCTGATAGAGACATTTCACAACCACGTTTTCTACCCCTGGTTGCCAGAGTCTTCACTTTTCATGCGCAGTTTTCTGTCTCGATAAAGTGTTCACAGCGACAGAAATCGCTGAAAACAGGGATATTCAAGTGACATGCCCAAAATTTAGTTGGTATAGCATACAGGGAGTGGCTAGTACCTTCACCATTCCAGAAACTATTAAGTATATTCCCGTCACTTCTTCGCCCTGCCTTGTTATAGTATCACCGGCTTCAAACAGCTTTATACGAGCAGCTGAAGTGATGAAGTCTACCGCTTCTGATGCCATTCCGTCTAGCCACACCACGTTACTCAGCAATTCCAAGGGCTTCTGAGGTTGAATGGAGGCTGGAGCACTCAGTTGTCGCTTCATCTTCACTTCGACGATCTGTAAGTCGAAGATCGAGAATCACTTAAGTTTCTTTACTTATTTGTGCAGCTTTTGCACTGTGTCAATGGCTAATCAAGTCTAATCAACGGGATACAGACTCCGACGAAGATCAGTGTCTAACTAAAGAGCTTAAACAGGCCCTAGTTGTCCAGGGTTCAAATTAAGAAAGTCAGTTTTACAATTTGACATTCGGGCAATTCAAGCTTCAGCTAGCATATATTAGCCCAAGAATCATTTTAAATAGCCCGACGAAAAAATTATTGGTGATCAGGATTGATTACATTTCTTCTGCAAGTGAGTTCTCTAAAAAAATCGTTTGCTCGTCGGGCAAGTTAAGAACAGAATTCACCAGCTGGCCGGGTCGATAGCAAAATCCACTAGTCCTGGGACATCGAGCACGACTTTCTTTGCACGCTGTAACTCTATCCAATGGGGATAAATCTCTATCTACTGAAAAACACTATTGGTTTTACGAATATCTATCCTCTGAGCAGTGATTTATCCGTTGGACAGCGTTATACAGCATTTGAACAGCCGCGGCTTAAAACGACAGACACTGAGGCAACCTGCTGGAGCTGAGCAGGATAGGGTAAGATTGACGATGATCAGATGCCAGAAAGTCTCACTAACAAACCAGAAACAAAGATATAATAGGTTTAAAACTTGATTACCGATTCAAGTTTTGCTGCTTCAGCCTCATCCAATAGTCCGCCTCCTTTGAGCTCGTGAATAACGTCACGGGCATTGTTCAAAATGGTACGAATCGCTTGGCGGGTTTTTACTGAGATTGCAATTCCTGGATGTTCACGTTGCAGCATGCCTGAAAGAGTTCCAACAAAAATAAATGTTTGTTAGGAAACTGAAATTAAAGGGGAATAGAAAAATGTAAGTTTAGAAGACACTATGGATTTGTTCTCTCTTTTATGTGAGATGAACCTAGTACCTGAGGTCTTTCTTATTGAGTCGTATACTTTAAACACTGACAAAAAAGACTATGAGAAGTCTCTGTTTTTTTAGTCTGTCGAACGAAACACGGCTCGCGCGCGCGTGCACTCCCCTCACTAATATGGAAGAAAAAGAGAAACTGCTCGCAGTCTACTGACAAAAGTAATGTTACACCTTGTGCGACCGATTTTTGTGTATTGATATTACAGTTATCACAGTTGACCAGCGGAACTGTCAACGCAAGTTTTTTTTGCAGGTAAATCATCACGAAAAAGTCAATCCAGCGTAGTGTTTTGGTCAGCAATTAAGGGGATTTGGGGCGGGGGGACAAATGGTAATTTAGTTCACTTCAAATTATTGTTAATGGAGCGCCTACTCGCTTACATCTAGGGAAGAAAACGCTATAGGATGCTCTTTTTTATTGCCATCGAAATGCTACATGGCCTTCAGAATTATCACAAACACAAAAAGGATTAAACGCGCGAAACAGTAAACGGAGAAAGGAGTTATCATCTCTCCTTTTTACCCTCCCCTATCCTCTTTCTTACTCTTCTTCCAGCCTGAACTAAGATCTTCTGGTAACCGAGGTCAAAAACGTAAACCTAGATAGGGAAGAATAACGCTGCAAGCGCGCCTGCTTACCCAGGCTTTTCACGACATTCAAACGGTTCTGTTCTGATCTTTGTTTTAAATCCTTTGCGATTCTTTTATCCACCACCATGTGATCTATCAACTTGATGATTTCTTCCTCGGCGATAATGTATCCCTTACCAACATCATATCCAAAGCTCAACTGACGGTTGATAATGTTATTCACAGAGTCTATCAGTTTTGGAAGAACTGCCTGTAGGGAAAATAAAATGCTAAATGAGTTGTACGCCCGGTCGAGTCGTTTCTAAAGTTCGTGAATTGAATCTCCCTCAAGAAACCTCAATGCGTTCTCTGATCTTGCCCCGTTTAAGGGAATTGGGATTCCGGAATCCACGATATTTTTGCTTGTGGAATCTGGAATCCGGGAAATTTTGAGTTGTGGAATCCGGAATTCTGGGCGTTGAAATCTGGAAAACAGCTCAAGAAATCCACGCTATCCCGCTAACGATTTGAATTCGGAATCCAAGTTCCACTGACTGAGAATCAGGAACCCATGGCATGGAATTCAGAATTCAACACAGTATTGCCTCCCTTACATGGGGCGACTGATCGTAGATTTGAAAATGCTCTCATTTTTCTTTGAGGTAAATGGTTTCTTAACGCAGTGACAGTTTATATTATTGGAATTGTTCCTGATACCAAAACAGAAATCGAACAAAACAATGTGAAGGTTTGTTTCAAAATTCAAATCGACATGTAAATACATGTAATCGTCTTTTATGACATGGTTCATGAAACTCAACTTTTCGCGGTTTGTTGGCATTCTTTACGTTATCAAAAACCATTCTAATAATTCAATCACGTGATTCAATGTGTTCGCGCACACGCAATGATCGTAGCTATCGAGAAGACAAATTTAGACAGCTGACCGAAAGCGTTTTCTTTTTAGACGAGCCAAGGAAAACTTAAGTTGAAAACAACTATAGATAATGGGGAAACAACTGACAAGTTACTTGTCAGTAATAGATGAGATGGCCTACCTTGAAGAGCCTCAAAAGACGGCCCATTCTGAGTACTCTGAAAACTTTGGCTACTCTAAGGATTGATGGAGAAAAATTCCCTGTGCCTTCTTCGACTGCCTGGTCAATAATGATATCGATAAGGGACAATATAACTATAAACAGGTCGAGAAGGTTCCAGTAGTCTTTGAAGTAGTAACGACGAAAAGCCAAAATCTGTAAAAACAATATATTCGTTTAGGATTTGTAACAAAACGTATATTTCAGTACTAAAATATTCACAGTTACATGCATTTTATCTGTAGACGTCACTGCACCTTTAGTACAGGTTATGATATTTGACTGAGGTATAATTAGCAAATGAGATAAAACATATTTATGTTTACTTACGAAGTATCAATTCATTTTCATATTTTTTTAGTAGTCATGTAACTTCCAACTCAAACCTTAAATTAAAAGACAGCCAGACACCTACAAAACAATTTAGACAAGGTAGCTTTCAAATTCAAAGACAGCTACACACCTAAAAAAGAATTTAGATAAGGTACCTTTTTAGACAACACATACCTTCCAGGCCGCTTCACCGACGTATATGGTACAGTAGACATAATTGATGACGTTCAAAGTGTTCATGTAAGGAGCATCGTCGTCTGAGGCCAGTTCCAGAATGATAGGCACCATGTTGATTATGATCAAGGTATTCATAACGATGTCAAACGATACGTGTACAGCCACGCTGTACATGAAGGAAAGAATCTTGTTATTCGGCGTGGGTACCCGTTCAGCCGGTTTGTGGTGTTTCATTTGCTCCAGTTTGTCTTTCTAATGCAAAAAAGAAATTATAGAGTTAAGACACGTCATCATCGTCGCCATCAGTACAACCGTTATCATCAACGTTGTCATCATCACCTTTTTCAACGTCATTTTATCATGATTATTACCATCATCATTATTATCATCACCATCGCCGTTATCATCATCATTATCATCAACATCACTAGCCCAAGATCAGAACTTTCCGAGACTCGACCGATCTGTTTCAAAATGCTGCCAAAAACCCGATGCTTATACCCGAAGTTGCTGTTTTAATCTTCACCGTTTTTTTTTCTTTGAATCGTGTTTTTTTTTTTTTGCCCTTTTTTGTTTTAACAGTAAATATCAGCCAATAGCCTTACCTATATACCCGAAGTTATGCTGTTTTAATTTGCAACATTGATTCATTTGAAATGTGTTTTTCTTTGGCTTTAATTATCACAGCACAGCAGTAAATATTATAAACTTTGAAGCTCCGTACCAAGTAGCCTTACTGATGAATCTTCAAAGCGTACAGAGTGATAAGAAATGAAAACAAAATTCATTGTTAGTAGAACTCAAAATCATTAAACTACTACGAAGAAAGACACGTACCAGCTTTTGTAGAGATGGTGGTACCCTCCAATAGGGCTGTAAGTCATCCACTTCAATAAAACTGTCAACAACAAAAGCATTATCACTCCGAGAAAAACAAGCAATACAAAAAATTTCCGGAGGCTTTGTTGTCAAGCTGACATAACTACACGGTGCCCACTTTACGGTGGATAACGTGAAGTTCTCCTTTTGGCGACTATCAGTGGAAAACGGGCTAAGATTTTGCGTCGTCTTTATTGAAAGAACTGTAGATACTATTGAAATACTGAACAATAAACCATTTTCGTATTCCCGTGAACAAAAATTCGACTCGACTCGACTCGTTGGGGGTGACTTTTATAAGATTGGCCAACCAGGCCACGAGCTGCTTTCATTGTGTGAGCTCACTGAGAGGAATACGGGAGGGGTCTATTGTTAAGTTTGTTTCACATCCATTTTTTAACAGGTTAAACTGTTTCTAGCTGAAAAGCCTCCTCAACTACTTTTTCATTTGTGATCACACATGATTTTTCAAACACCCTGTTGCCGAAATCAAAATGGAGACTTGCCAGGGCCTGAGCTAAGTGTCTGTCTTAAACTTGGACGGGTTTAAACTTTATAGGGAGTAAAAGAAAATTATTCGAGAACGGCTGGATTAGCTTTAGGTATCCGTTTCAAAGAGGTCTCACTCTTATATCACAAGTCGTCAAGAGAAAGTTGACTGTCATAACTCTTTATTCAGTTGTACCTTTCTTCTTCATCCATTGCAGTATCTGCCAGATTGATCAATGCCTGCACTGCCTCTCGAGACAGCATACCATGTTCAAACTGCTTCCAATAGCTGACTTTCAATGCTTTTATCAATCGCACTCTACCATCGTTTGCCATTTCGGCGAATTCTTTGGGCGATGGTTCGTTTGGAACGCTGCTTTCACAGTTTGGACAAGTGCTAAGGCGAACTAGCAAAGGAGTCTCTTCCGCGTGCTAAGAACAAAAGTACAGGAGTGTGTGCTATTAGCATAGGGTACGTGTTCCACAAGAAAGAAAAGCCCTCCACAATATGAGTCGATACAAGGAAACTAATTCCCCTGTGATAGTAAGCCAGCTAAAGGAAAGGTCTTATAATTTTTCTCTCGTAACAGCTCTGTGGAGAGGTTTTGTAACTAAGGAACGTCCACAGAGATGAAACAGAATTAACCGCTGTGCGTTCATGTCACCGCCAAGAAAGCTCCCTTTTGATCTTTGTTGTCGGCTGGAAGAGCACAGAAATGTACAAAAATGGAACATGCAATTGCAAAGCTAATGTCTTTCCTCGTTTGGCACCTAAAGGTAGCCAAAGGCTATCAATTTATTAACTTTCGGATGATCAATCCAACGGACGACCTGAAATTCTACATGTAACTGAGTTTCTATTAAGGACATAAACATGGCAGGCAAGAGGTGCTCCAACCGTTCAAAGCTGCTTTTCTTTATCAATGGCAGTAAACATTTTAAAAATGAAGCAAGGAACAGTAGCCTAACACCAAATACATATTACTTTAGAGTGATTTTACTTGACCCGTGAAGCTGATTATAACAATTAGTGCGAGATAGCTATAAATAAACAAAAGAAGACAAAAGAATTACTGCATAATAGTGCATAGCATTCTACTACATATTTCATGGGTTAAGTAAAATCACTCTAATCTCAACAACCTAAATTATTTTGGCGATGGATGATTGACAGTTAGATACTATTCACCCGAAATGAATCATTATCCGCTGGATTAACAAAAAATCGAAAAAAAAAAAAAAAAAAAAGCAGAATTGCACTGATTGATTCACTGAATCAATCAGTGCAATCGGGACTTGATCAATAGTGCTATTTCATCTTCCTCGGTTTCTTGGTTTTGCGTGAGGTGGATTATTATTCATTTTCGAAGGGTGTTAAATTCCGTCGATCTGGAAAAATTCTTCAAATCATACCTGAATTCAATGACTGCTAATTTGCCACTTGGAAACGAGAGAGGAACTGGGACTCGTTTCTCGAAAGTCCCGATAATTAACGGGCCCGTAAAGCTGTTATGTTTTACGTGCAAGATAGAGGTTTCAACAGTTTTGCATCTAACATGATAAAACTATCAGTTAATGAAACAAAATGGAGTAGTTTTCTGGCCAAGACCCTCGCTCTTATTCTTTACATTTCGATTTGAATATTTGATTTCGGACCCGAAAAGTTACCGTGACTTTCGAGAAACGGGCCCCAGGACCCAAAATGCGTCTCACAATCGTTTCTGGGATAGTTACTTGGGACGCACCGGTCAGCTATAGGCCCGATATTTTTCCTTATTCCTAGTAACAGTCCCAGAAGTCTTTGAAATAGTCAACTCGGCCCAGTTTCCCTCTCGTTTTTAATATGGCGAATTACCTCCCCGTCGTCTATTTCCATGTAAGGGTTACCCATTTCGCAATCTCGTTCCGCCATATCCCAGTCAGCGTCAGCCAGGAAGCGGTCTGCTTTCAGCATGGTAAGTGTGCGCAGATTACTCTCTTGTACCTGCCTCACGGCATTAGCCATGGCGATCTTCTTCGAGTCTGAAATTTCACTCATCCCGAGTTTGTCGAGTAGCTTTTTCATCGTTGTGGCGTTGACGAGGAGGGTAAACATGACAATGGCAGCTGTGTGGGCTAAAACCTGAACAGAATAACAGACATGAACAATGCGAATGCTGGCAATCAAGCAACCGAAATGGAATCGTTTGGACTTTTGTGTTAACAGCAGGCACTATCACAAGACGTAAGGATAAGGGAAACGTAAACTTTCTCAAAGTCCTTTGCTTCTCATTTCCGGTTCCGGTAGTCGAGTTCTTGCTCTCTCGCTCGCTTTTGCCGCAGAAAACATAAAAAATCTACCACTCGCGCTTCGCGCTCGTGAAAAAATTTGAGCTCGACTTGTAGGCAAGTCTAAGGGAAAAGGTGAATACTGCTAAAAGTTCCTTTTGATTCAGTCGACTTTACTGAGGTTGTTCCTGATAACATAAAACGTCTTTACTGCGCTTAAATTCACGCGAGATTAGCGCGGCTTTTATTTCGGAGCTCTCGAGAGAGGTGAATTTTCATTTACCTTTTTCATATGGCTTTCTGTCTGTAGAATAAACATATTTCCAGTGTAGAAAAAGAAACGATCGTCGGAAACGTACTGTTAAAGCATGTACTTCGTACTCGTAAGTGATACGTAAATACACTAGTATGGGGACTTTTCTCGAGCCCTGCAGGAGTGTTGAAATTAGTGCCATGTCTTACCTTTCCTCCAATCAGAGGATGGTCAATATACACCTGCAGAGCTAGAGCCAGTCCCACAGCTCCTCTTAGTCCACCCCAGGCTGCCACTACAGCATTCTGCCATGAAAGGCCGTATCCGATCCGCATGAGAATGGGACTGAATGTCATCATAACAAGACCCCTAGAAACAAATCATGGAACAATTAAGAGTGGGTTTGATTGATCAAGATCGAAATTGATAATATACCAAGAAATCACCTCATATCTTTTCCACCGGGATTTTAAATCAACAAATCCATACGTTCTTAGATCTTTCTCATTGGGATCACAATTAGCCTGAATTACAGACAATCGCTGCGAGTCCCATACTTCCTCAGAGAATATGCGACTAGAAGGTATTGTCTGAAATTCAGGCTAGATCACAATCAGTCGAATGTGCTTCAGGTGTACTGTTCCGTACAGTTGTAGGGGATTACAGTCTAGTCTTCATTCTGCATGTAAACTACAAAATCAATTCTTTCATACCGTAAAGCAGTTCTTATTTAAAGACAATTTCAATAATATCTTCCTATTAAATGGTTGTGTAAAGTCGGAATTTTTAATAATACTTATGGTGCAATTTTATAACAAATTGCGACAATATTTTTAAAAAAAATAACGAGAAAGTTATTTCAAATTGCGAAAGGCACTCTTTGTTTTTTAAGTTGTGTTTGTACACTCACCTTATGACAGTAACACCGAAATAATCCACCACTAGAAGAAACAGATCATATTCGTTCAGACTGTTGAGGGCTTTCTCCATTATGACCACACCGACCATGATGAAGATTAGAGTGTTGGCTAAGTACGCCAGCATTTCCCAAAACCTGAGCACAAATGGAAAAAGTCTGGGCATCAGTTTAATTGCAGGCTCTAATTGGCTGAAACATCAAAAACTTAAAAACAGAGCCGGGGGACCTCTACATCAGACTACGAGTACGAGATTAAGAGCGAGTAGAAGGAGGTTTCAGAGCAGATTTTGTTTGCTTCTGAATTATAGCTTTCATTCTGCTGGTCAGTAAAGGTTGGTTTCCACACAAAACCGTTACGATTATGACCTGTCTAGTAAGAGGGGATCATGATCGTTAAGATCAAAGAGCGAAAAAAGCTAAACCACCATATCGATATGGTAGCCTACGTGTAACCGCACCCTCAGGATCGGTATTTTAACAGGTTGATCGCTGTGATGCTGATTCCCTTATGATCTCTGCAATTGAAGATGTAATATATAGATTTAGCCAGGGCTAAAAGCGAAGCTCTCTTTAATATTTATGGATTCCTCAAAGAAAATATAAAATCGATGAATACTAAAGACAAGTTGAAAGCAACGAAAACGCTAAAAACGACAACAATAGATCTAATTAGCAAAAAAACAACTTTGCACGTGCAGCACACTTTTTTTCTAATTAGCAAAAAAACAACTCTGCACGTGCAGCAGTTTTTTTTTGTACATTTCCTTACCGTTGTTTTACACGACTAACGTGAAACTTCTTTTAGTTTCCTATTTACGCGTTTTATGGAGGAAATGTTTGTGTTCCTGTTCATTCTATTTTTTCACTGCCGCTGCTTTTTCACATTAGTAGCCGCTAGCATTCTTCATTTTCTAACCGCCGCTATATAATTTTCATGTTTTTCTTCCAGCGGCATTAGTCTCCGTTGTTATTTATTTCACGGTCCTGACAAGTGTGACACTTGACATCGGCTTACATGAAGTGTGTGTACGGGTGGGCGGGCGGGCGTACCCTACGTCATAACCAAATTTTATCGGATGGATAGTTTACCAAATTTTCTTACCCATGGTGCTCCGCTGGCGCGCTTCGCGCGCGAGAGCTCCGCTATTAACCAGGGCCGAGTTGTTCAAAGCTGGGTTAAGATAACCCAGGGTTAGAGCAAGATTTGAAGTTAGATTTGAAAGCTTAAAATGCATTTCAGTTTTAATTCTTTTTGTCTACAAGTTGATGATTGGAAGCTCTAAAAAATAGCAGAGAAAATTATCCGAGAAAATGCTTTTGAACACAAGAAAAACAAACACGGGTTAAATTTAATCCCGGGTTAAGCGCTAATCGGCCTTCGAACAACTTGGCCCAGGTCCCAGTTCAGTTCCAGGGCCGATTAGCGCTAACCCAGGGTTAAATTTTAACCCGTCCTTTTTTTCTTTTGTTCAGAAGCATTTTCCCGGATAATTTTTTCTATTCTATTTAAAGCATCCAGTCATCAAATTGTAGACAAAAAAATAAAACTGAATTTGCATTTTAAGCTTTTATATCTGAATTCATATTTTGCACATATGCTTTGCTTTGAACAACCCAGCCCAGCCTAAAAAGTGTTACAGAGAGCCATCGCTTCAGAGAAAGGCTAAGAAACGGCTTTCTGTCAATTATTGTATGAGTTGTCAAATCTAAAAGTCTTAAATATCTACATGGTAATCATATTAAGTTGTGCCGTTAGCCCAGAATAAACTGAGGGCAGACTGATTTGCCGTTTTCAGCTCTTCTGTCACTCTTCTTAGCGAGCGGGAAGAATAGGTGAGGGGTCTCTGATTTTAAAAGAAGGATTCTGTTATACGTTGTTATAACAATATTTTGAATTGTCACAGTCATCAAGATACAAAGAAGGCTAGCGAAGCAAAGGGAGACAAATTGTAAGTCTCACCTTGTTTGTTGCTTCAACTAATATTGAAATTGTAAAATATAACTTATCCCGTAATTAATTTGATTTGAATAAAATACGTTCGACGAAACTAACGGAAACTCAGGGTTCTCAATAGATTTTTAAGTAGGAGGTGATCACTGATAAAGTAGGAGGCTCTTCAGCAAAGCGAGACGTGTCAAAACAAAGCAAAGAAAAGCGACTTAGACACAAAGTAAGCGGCTATAAATCCCAAAGTAAGCAGCGATCAATCGCCGGGTGCCGCCTTCTATTGAGAACCCTGGAAACTACGATACGACTCTTTCTCTCTCTAGTCATGTGCAAATAAATCCAAGTTTGTGAATACCTGGGGTTAATCTTCAACTGAAGTAGCCCTTCATTCATATTGCGATCCGCGATAAACGAGCTAGCTGAGGGCGAAAGAAGGAGAACCAAATCTAGTACCAATCCCTTTTTAATCACGTCATTGTTTGCAACCGCACCGACTGGGATGATCATGAGAAATCAACGGATTTTAAAAGAGAAGGCAGTCTTTCCCCCAAAACACTTACCTATGCAAGAAAACTTCAACTTCTGGACTGATGCTAGTTTTCAGTGCGTTTATCTGGATCCCCAACATAACCACGGCGATCACACCAGATATACCTAACACCTCTTCTCCTATGTAGAATGTCAAGTAGGTGCTAGCTAAGGTGATGGTGATTTCTACCATGGCATCGTTAAACACGTGTTGGAGCCAAAATACAGTAACTCTTCCTGCCACTAGACCAAAGAAGAATCCACCAAGGGCGACGCGCGGGAAATACAATCCAATTTCGGTAGCTGAGTACGAAACGAGAAAAAGAAATTGTGTTCATGAACAGTTTAAAAGAAAAGAAAAACATCGTCATTGGCACAGCGGATGCTCTGGATCATGTGATTATCTCAGTAATGCTGTGAAAGGTTTGAACCCGGGAGTCATTTCAAAAGTAGGTTGAATTTGATCGTCCGGGTGAACGATATCTCAGTAATGAAAGGTGTTTTAATTAAAGGTAGAAAAAAGACTGATTTTGAGTTTAAACTATCATTTAGTAGCCTAAATAAACAATATACGTTTTTCATTTACAAGACAGCAAAATGTGTTATTTTGCCTTTTATACTACCAAGGAAAACTTGTTTGTGTTTAGGTGAGTCGTTACGTTGGAGTGTTTCATAAACAGTAGTTGAAGCAATGGTGTTACAATGTCACGACTCTTTCAATGCTATGTCTTCTATCTCCAGTCAGAATTATCATTTGGAAGAAAGGGAAACTGCAACAATATAAAAGAACATCGACAAAATTGGGGAAATATCGAATGAATTGCATATCATCTTACCAGTCATTGAGGAAAATGCCAGGTTGAAAAATATCTTGTACAGTACAATGGCCATACCATCGTTCAGTAATGATTCACCCTCTATGATAGTAGACAACTGCTTACTTGTTCCTAAAGGCACCAAGAAAACAAGTGAATAAGAGCTAAGAATCTATAACTTGAAATCAGAGCGTCTGTTTAGATAATATATGACCACTGCCTTGAAACCGAACTGTTTCGGAGATTCTAAGCGCCTCCACAAAAGCGAAAAAACTGGATTCCATCTGCTTTAAATTAATCATAGTGATCTGAATAATAGTACTGATAAGAATACAAAAGACTGAGAGACAAACTGGAGGACTGTTATCACATATCAAATGGACAGCAATAGCGTGAATAACGTACGTGCAGTGCAAGAAAACTCATGTTTAATTGGTTAAAAGCGATTAAAATAAGTTATTCACTGATGCGTCCCCAGAGTTTTATGCCACATTTCTGATAAATCACATTCGTGAGACTAAATATCGGTGCTACTGTATAACGACCCCGCTCCCCGACCCCGCCCTCTTCCCTCCTTCAAAAGCAGTGACCGTAGAGGGGCCATTAGAGAGTAACGAGGTCGTTACTTTGCATACTGTATGATATATACTACTTTATTTTGCCTCTAATGCCGCACAGTACACAAGTATATTATTTAGGGAGGGATGCATCAACCTGCTGTTACCATGGTTACCTACCCAAGTCATTAAGCAGGGCGACCACTGCAACAGGATCTGTAGCACTAACTATTGAACCAAATAGTAAGGCCTCAAACCAGGTCCAGCCATAATCCACAAAGACCATTTTGGCCATGACACCAGAGAGAGCTGTAGCTACAGCCAGACCAAACACAGCCAATATTACAACTTGCCAGAACATCTTGTAAAAAATATGTACATCCATGGCAAAGGCGGATTCAAACAGCAGAACAGGCAAGAAGGTTGTTAGGATCAGATGAGGGTCTTGGCTGGACACAGCTGTGTACCTTGAACAAACCAATAAAAAATATGTGTAAAAATATAATATTAAAACATAAATATATATTTTCCTCTTAAAACTTATTGTCTATTGGAGAGATGATAATAATAATAAAAAAACATTACATCGTTTATTTTCAGGACTGGAAAAAAGTCCCGTCCGGTAGCCCGGGGCAAGTCGATTTTCTTGCTGGGAGGGAAAACATAAGGCTCACTTGCCAAATTAGCAAGGGTCTAAGCAAGTAATCTTCTAACTAAATCATTAACTAAGACGAGTAAGAAGTCAGCTTCCGGCCGAGCAAAATGTTGGAGAGCTGCTTGCCCAAAGGACACGCTGGAATTCAAGGTTTTTTTCGAGCCCTGATTTTGCTCATTTCTTATTTTAGTCAGTCAAACAATCATTTTTTCAATCAATCAATCAATCAAAAGACCGTCTTGATTTACTCCAAACTTTAATGAAAGTCTATGTTGGAAAAGTGAGATATCCTTCTAAAAACTGATGTGCGCAAAATTTTCTTTAGTCGGTGCCCCTGGCCTTGTACTAAAGGCCTTGTGCCACGGTAATAACACAGTAACCTTGTCTACTAGTGTGATTAGTAGCTCAAACTTACACGTTTTAAATAGGAAGTAAACTCACCATAACTTGCTGAAATCAGTATAAAATGCACATGCTCACAAAAAAAAAAGTTTCTGTTTACGATTTTTAACTTGTAAGCTTATATATGTTTACTTCACTTACTTCTGTAACTCTGGAACTGCACCTGATATTGCCCCAAAACAAAGTCCGAGAACTATCAAAACGACTGTATAAGGAATAGGCCAACCCTTCATAATCTGCCGAACAACAGCTGAAACAAAAAAGGTGTTGGGTTACTAACTTCTCCAGAAAAATATATATTTGATGCACTGGATGTTAAGTTGTACGGCTTTAATCTTACCTCCAATAGTACATGATGTAAAAATGAACAAGATTGCATAAGGGGTGTCATGAACCTCGTGTGATTGATGTGAATGGGAGGCGTTAAAAACCATTTCCCTTTCAACATTAGCTGCAACCGACTAGCCATCCACTAACTTCCATATCCTATAGAGTCGTTGCGAGCAAAGCACAACGCATTTTTCAGTAAAGTCACGTTTCCTCAGTTCAGTGTAACAAAATTTCTTCAAAGAGTTTAAGCAAAGTAAGAAATGAATTAGTTCTTGGTTTGTAGAAAGTTTGGAGTATTCAGGACATCAAAACTATGAAGAAGCTGACGAAGCCTGGAAGTGGCATCAAGCAAGTCGTTTTCGCGGGCTTTTCGTTCAAAGTCCGCTGGTCAACTTCACTCTAGTCCCACTCCTAGCAGAGGCCTATCACTCTATCAGGTAAAAAACGTATTATTATGATTTCAGTGGCGGATCTATGAGAGGGGCCCGGGGGGCCAGTCCCCCCTCATTATTAGACCAAATTGAGGCCCGAGGGGCCGAAAAAGTATTTTGGGAGACCGCCCCCCCCTCCCTTATCTAAGGGTCTGGATGACTGCCCCCTCCCTCCTATCTGCTTATATTATTATATGCTTTGTTTGAGTATTGCTTGTTGTTTTTGATGGCTTGTTTGTATTTAACTTGAGAGAGCCTCTTTAGACTAAACTTGAGAGCCTAGTGGCTTTAATCTTTGGCTAGCCTCCTCCGTAGTCATCTTGATGTGAAAAAGGAAGTAATCAGGAAAAGGATTCCCCTCGCGTTCATTGTTTTGGTTGCCTGATGAATGGGCTGAGAAACAGGTAAAGACAGGAGCGGCTCCTGGTAATGGTTGAATGAAACTTCTACCGCAGTTAAAATCTTTACTGCAGAAAACTCGATATCCGTGCTCCGTCTGGGTCGCGTAATCTCGCAGAATTGAAATCTTCTTTTTTTATATCCGCAAAAATACATGTGTAAAGCAAGGCTTATTTGAATAGTGAAGAAATTTAATATATTTAATTGCCACTCTTTCGAAAGGCACTAGGTCGAGAAAGCAGCCGATATTTAGTGGCGGCGTCGCGAAACGTCGACTGCTTTCTCAGGTTAAAAATGCATGACTGCGTATGAAGATTATGAACACATTGTGATTATAAAAACTTCCTTCATTGTTAAAACAGACTTGCTTCTTCTTGTATCTATAAATTTTACGGCTGATTAGATCCTCCATTTAGTTATTTTGTCACGCAGATAATTACTTACATAATATTAGGTTTTTGACGTTTGACCTGAGCTTCACAAACTCTGATAAAATGTGAACCAGGAAGTTGCTCATATAAATAAACAACTGAAATTTTTCCGGTTCTTTTTTCGATGTTATCTGAACTATGTCACACAAAAATAAGCAGAAGGTCTTAGCAACTAGATCCAAAGAAGGCTAAGTAAAATAAAGAGAGAGAGAGAGAGAAAAATACACCAAAAACAAAAAAAGACTGGCAAGTCGCCCCGCATGAGCGCCCCGCATGAAATGATTGAAAAGTCGAAAGAGTCTGGGGCGAGACTTTGAAGCCAATCTCAAAACAAGATGGCCGCTTGGCCTTGCGCAAATGAGGAGAAATTGGGATGGTAATTTGTGCATGAAGGCAGAGACTTTTTCCCAGATTCAGGCAAAATGGGAAAAGAGCAAGACCTTATGCAAGCTGCAAAGAGTGGAAATGTCGCACACATCGAGAAAATTCTCGGCCATAAGGCAAGAAAGTCTGGAATCCAAAGGTATGTTTGTGCTTCATACAGGCCGGAAATTGGTTGATGAGCTCCCCTCTTGCACACAAACGCAATAATTTGGTTGATATCTTTGTAGCTTAATGAGCAAAACGATAAATCCTAATCATCAAGACGAGCTCGGGAACACTCCACTTCACTATGCAGCCCTCAATGGCCACAGGTAAAAGCTGTATATTAATATTTACAAAAATTCTGATCATTTTAATGAACTTACATACGTATACTTATTACTACTGCATAAAGTGTAGTCTTAACATGCGTCAAGGTGTGGAAATCTAGCCCCGGGAGGTAGGAAGCTAAAGTAATGTTGGATATTTACCCTACTTGACAGTTTGCCCTTTTATATTGTATTTTTAGGCTTCATTTACGTTATGGAAGGGTCCCACCCATGTTTCCTTGAATCAACCGTGTTTAGATTCAAAGTATTCTTCATTCTCTTTGTCAGACAACAACGATTCACAGACAAAACTGTTAATTGACTGAATCTTTTATACACTTTCTAAGGACCCTCCATTAGCTGAGTATGAAAACAAATTTGACATGACATGGACCAGTTAGTGAAAACACAGGTAACCCAGGCTCAATGTTTGTGTCATGTACGGGTTTCATAACATGAGTAATATAGAGAAGTTTAGGTCTGGAAATTTGCTAGAAAATGGAAATAAAAATCAATGAAATTTACCATGTGGCGACTTGTTGTTGTTCTTAATATGCACATGAAGTTTTGGGAAAAATAGTCTCCTTCGTGTACATATTAACTATAACAAGAACTCGCCACATGGTAAGTTTCATCGATTTTTATTTCCATTTTCTAGCAAATTTCCAGACCTAAACTTCGCCCCACAAATTATGTTCTCTTTATTTACTCATGTTATGAAACTGGTACGGGACACAAACAGTTAGCCTGGGTTACCTGTGGTGAAAATCCACTCACACTGCTGGTGAGAAAATAGATTGAAATTGGTTATGCTGCCACGTTTAAGTGGTCGTGAAAATGAAAGGTTACAATTGGTGACAGAGATATGGCATTCCAAAGTTGCGGAATTTTAACGATGTTTGTATCGTGGAGGGCAAGTTTGCAACAGAAATGGTGGCTGGAAGGCCATGCTACTTTCATGTCTAAAGTGGCCATGGTTGTCCACTGGGATTTAGTACAGTCCGACCTCTATTAAGCGGCCACCCATTAAGCGGCCATGCTCCATTAAGTGGCCACTTTCCGAAGTCCCGATTTATTTGTCAGTAAATTGCTGTATTGGATACCTCTATTCAACGGCTACCTCTATTAAATGGCCACGGCCACCTTTTTGCTGTCGCAAGTGTATTATTTATATGGTTTTTTACCTCCATTAAGCGGCCAGCAAATTATCTTTCCAAGCGAAATGGTGACAGATGACATAAGGTGATAACTGATAACAACAAGAAAACAAGAACTGCAATTTAATCTACACTAAAACAAGTCACAAGCTGCATTCACGTGCAAACTTTTCACATCTGGCGCTATACAAACATAACAAGAGCTAACAATAGATAGAGCTGACCCACTGTTTTGTTACAACTAAAATCTGTATAGGAAAACCTTATTACTACTGTACTGGAATTTTGGATTTATCTTCATATATGTTCACTTTTTAAAAGCATTTTGCTAGATAGAGTCAATGAAATCATGTTTACTGCCATTCCTATTCAATTTATATTGTAAGCGGCCAACCTCTATTAAGCGGCCACTTTTCAAAGTCCCGAGGGTGGCCGGTTAATAGAGGTCGGACTGTATATTACTCCGTATGTTTATCCAAACACTTATTTCCAGTCCTTTGACTGTTGACTGAAAGGGCTCGTCAACTACACATAAGATGTTTGCCAAGATATTATCTTGGCAAACATCTTATTTGTCAACTGGAGATCACCATCAAGTGAAAAACTGTATAGAAGGTTGATAAATTAAGTAAATTTTCTTGAGGTAGTCTCTGATTCTGGACTTTTAAACCTAGATATTGGGATTCAGGCTCCTCTGTCACCTGAAATTAACGATGTGAAATATGAATACAACTGTGTATTTTGGGTTTAAACTGCATTTTAAAAATGCAAGCATCATATTTTCAAAAATTACTTCTTTTGCCTTGTGTCTCAGCTCAGTTTTTTTCCTTTAACACATTATGAGTCTAGCCACTCAATAGAAATTAGCCAGGTTAAAACTTCAAAGCAGGTTAGGTTTTGAAGAGTCGTTGACCAGGATACTCAAAAAAAAAATAACTCCGATAACTTGCTAAGTGCAGCTGCAGCCATAGTTTTATTGTGTTCATGTAGATTCTCATTTTTTTTAGTTTATTTGGAAGTGCAATTTGTGGTTAATGAGCTTGAGTGGCTATACCATGTGTATACTTTCAAGAACTTGGAGTTGGTTGTTATTTGAAATCAGACTAGTTTGGAGAGTGATAATATGACCTACTACTGCTCTGTACTACTTTATTATACTCATGGATCATTTTTGCTTTTTAGGTCCTCTGCAGAGCTTCTTTTGAAATATGATGCATCAACTAATATTCCAGATAATAATGGTATGTGTTATACTTGAAGTGTTCTCCTTTAAAGACAGTAAGAATGATCTGTGATTCTTAAGGAACAAGCACCTGCCACTGTCTACTTCACTTATTCAACATTCTAAACGGGTACAAGAAAACCACTACATAAATTTGATGCCCATCAAGTGTTGCATTTCACATGTTGCTCTCTTTCAAAAGAGGGGGGTGCTTTATCAGGCAGAAGAGGTCGTAACCCAGCCTAGGAAAATTCCTGTGAATGATTAGACACCGGCACACAGAGAAAATGATGACAGAATTCTAAGGGATTAGCTGTATAGTCCTTCATGTACTGTAAATTCTCTATTAAGTTCCCCAGGGTTTTATTTATTTCAAACTCATCTGAGAGTTGAGAATGGGGGGCTTATTTAGTTTAGAAAAGACAATAGTGTCAGTTCTCCATAAAGAACTAGAATACAAAGTGAAAAAGCATAAGGACAAGAAGTTGGAGGTCGTGTAGCCAAGAAACAAAAGGAAGTCCAAACTTCCAGTTGGTGAATAAACTGTCGTGGATCAGTGCACACGAAGTTTTACAGTTGTGATTAATTAATACAGTCTATCACTTATTAGTGAAGAATCATTAGGAGAGGGGAGGGGGGCTTACATATGTGTAAGAGAGAAGGGGGCTTATTTGAGAGGGGAGACTGAAAAGAGAATTTCACTTCCTGGTAATTTTAATAACTACATTCGTTTTCTGTAATAGGAAGGATGTTGTGCTTTTTGATTGTTTAATATATATTTTTTTCATTTTCCAAAAAAATGGTAATTTGGGCAATGGAAAACAAAAACGTTTCAAGTGTTGCCTAAATAACAGAAACCTCCTCTACGTGTACAGCTGTAGATTGTGTGATCACTGTCAGTACCATATCCTGCTTTCGCAGGTGGGGGAAAGAGAATAGTCAATACCTAGCCTTCCAGTTGTGCTATCATAAACTGATTATTGCCTGATCGTATTTACAAGTGCAGTGCACTATTTGTGATCCTTGTAAAATATGGTGTCAAACATGATGTACTTATTAGTTTTTCTCCATTTTTTTCTGACTAGGGAACTATCCACTTCATTTAGCTGCATGGAATGGCCATGCTGATGTAGCTAGAGTACTAATAAACACAGGACCATCAAGAGCAAATGTCAATGAGCAGGCAAGTGAAAAAACATACTTTGACAGTTTTCTGATCCTCCAATTTTTTAAGGGATTTCCCTTTACATAACACACACCCACTTTATTAACAATTAACATTTACATGAAGTCCATTTCCACCTGCAAATACAGCAGGTGCTAGTCGAGGCAGGCAGAGATACAGGGGTGCAGCAATCAGTGAAAAATTACAAATAAATATATAAACATATAAATAAGTAAATAAAGCTTAAACATAAATAGGTGACATTTAAAAAATCAACCACTTGTGAGAGTTACTGGTAAATATAACTGCAAAACCCAATTTAAACTGTATAGTTTGCTATTTTTTGAAGTAGAATCTTCACTTCACAATTGTCCTCAGCCTCTAATGAAAGCAACATGTCATTAAGGGTTTAGTTTTATTGTTTGTCTCACGATTGTCACTTTGATATTGATTGTGACGTTTTGACTGCACACTGCAAGTCTTCATCAGGCGATAGTGTTGATTTACTGAGTCAAACTATTTGTACCACCGTGGTTGTTAGTGATTGGTGTATCACAAACCTTGCTCATGGTTGGTGGGTTTCGATCCAAAGAGCATTATTGGCCTTGTGAGAGGATGAAACTGATCCCTCGGTGGTACGTTGTGGTAGAGATCGGTTGTCATGTTGTCTGATTGTAAACATTCAAGCTTCAGGAATCTCAATTCCACTGTCCCTGTTGGTGTTGTTCAAGTTTGAGTTCGTGAAAGCCATATATCCCTATCGTGCTTCACCCTAAGACGATGATGAAGACCTGCAGTGTGCAGTCAAAATGTCACGATCAATATCAAAGTGACAATCGTGAAAGCGCTAAAACTAAACCCTTTGTACACATTATCCACAATGATTAATATCTTTCATGACAACATGTCATTGATATGTTTTTTAAAAACTCTCTTGGGATGTTGCAATCAGTTAGATGTGTATCGCATCAATCATAATTTGATTATATAACATGTAGAAGTCATGATTTCATTTATTGTTTTATTTACGCGTAAAACCCAGAAATATATTCCTCCATGCCTTAAGAAGAAGAATGTATAAATTTGAGGTTTGAGACTTGAAAGGTTGAATGTACATTTTTTTCCCCAAAGAATGGTACAGAGGATACAGCCTTACATTCTGCTGCTCAGTTTGGTCACAGCCTTGTGGTTGCTGTTTTACTTGAGGTTTGTATATGAAGTTAATTTTTATGTCACTTTTTATTGAACAGTACACTTGCAGGTATACCTCCCCTACACCCAGTGATCACTCAGGATTTGAAGATGTGGTGGTTGCTTATTGTAGTTGGTCACTTACGAGATATTGAGCCATGACACGTCTCTTCTGAGAGGAGCTTCGGACACATTCTTATTTTTGGAAGAGAATTATTTCATGCAATTTTAAATATACAAGTAACTTTGTACACCCAATCTACCTACAAGAAAGACAGTGATCAGGCCATGCGTCAAGTGTTTCCTTACAAATGATGAATATATTAATTTCATTTATTTGAATCGCGGGATGAAGAAATAAATGCGGAGAAGATCTTCATAGTTGAATTCAAATAGAATACTGTAGAATAGAATGGAATGGAATGGAATAGAAAAGAGTATTTTATTTAAACACATGTCATGCTTTAAGCTCATTCACAATGTAATTGTACATTTTAATTGCCTATCTAACAATAGAGTGTTCACAAAATGAAAAAAAAGTCATCAATGATTTTAACAAGTATCATAATTTACTCCATAATTACATGTACATACATGTGTAGCCCTAATAATTTTGGGGAAAAAAAATAAAACATTTAAAAATTGAGAAAATAACGCCATTGCTTGAGGTTTGAACTATAAGGCTTGACTGGGAAAATTTTGGTGTTTTGGATCAGTGGTTGCATGCTTATGGAAGGAGTTTGCTTATGACACATGGTTGCATATGGAGGTTTGCTGTACTTACAACAAGGGACAGGCAAGCAAATGATACATTAGTTCATCCTAACAAGGCTGATGATTAATTCCATAATACCATAAAAATTAATACATACTTTTTTTTTATTACAGAATCATGCAGACCCCTACATACGTAACAATAGGCAAGAATCACCTCTTGACTTGGCAGCTCAGTATGGTAGAATGGAAACTGTAAGTGATGGTGCTACTTCTGTTCTGACCATTTAAATTGAAAATGTGCTGTCTTCAAACCCTAAATAATATCCTCACCAAAAGCCATACCATATTATTTTTTGTTACATAGATACTGATGAAATACAAGGATTTTTCCTTTTATTAAAAAATCATATCTTCATCGCACGCAGTGAAGATACTATTTTTATCTTTCACGTGTGAGGGTATTGGTGTCACCATGGTTACTAACATTAATTTTGACTTTTTGGAACAGAAAATATAAGTATTATTGTCTTTATTTCTCCTTTATAACTTTATATCCGAATTTCATAACAGTTTTGTGACAGGCATTTTGCAGTAGGTGACCACTTTAATTACACTATTTTGCTGTTGCGAAAATGAATAAAAAAAAGTTGTGTTTTATGTAGGACTTTCATCAGTATCTATAAAATAAACGGAACATTACATGGCTCTTGGGGATACGAATTTTATCTTCTCGTGCTGAAAGTATTTCTCACTCGTTCGCTTCGCTCACTTGTGAGAGATACTTTCAACACGAGAAGATGAAATTCGCATCCCCGCGCGGCCATGTAATATCCTCTATATTCAATTATTAACCACCCTGGGCGCTTATTAAATTTTTGGACCTTGAGAGTGTGCGCTTATTTGAGGCTGGGTGCTTATTAAATTTTTACCATTTTCAGCAATTGTAAGTATGTATATTTTGCAACAAAACCGTTAATGGTAATAACAAAACATGAAGATGTAACAAAGCAAGGTTTCTGTAAAATGCTCTGAAGATTATTTCCTATTGGGGAAGTCTCTTATTAGTACTTATTCAATTTTTTTTTCTAGTTGGGGAGGTGGTAGGGAGAAAGGGGTGGGAAAAAAATACTTTCAATGCACAATATGCTAGTTTAGGTTATTTATAAGTGACTGTATTGTAACCAGCAATCTCTAGCTCTAATGTTTATGATTTTTTTTTACTGCACTTTATAGGGTGTAAAAAAATCAGTTTTACAGCTTGCCATTTGGGCTAGCATTAGCTATCATATACTACCGGTAGCCCAAAGGAAAAAAATAATCGATGAGCAGGATTGATTGCAGTTCTTCTGTAATTTGAATTCCCCAAGAAACTTCACTGTCAACAAAGAATTCACTGGGCCAATAGCAAAATCCACTAACCTAATGGTATCAGAAACTACTCTTTTTGCATGCTGCTCCCAGGGTGATAAGTTTTTAAGAAGGTTTCTTTGGTACACACAAGAAAAGAAAAAAGCAAAAACAAAAAGCAAAAAAACACTTTTACCTTTAGTTGCAGTGAAAGTGGCATTTTATTTTGATTATTATCTGTGTGCTTGCAACATTTGAGATAATTACATTACCATACTTATTACATGTTCTTCATTTCAGGTTAAACAGCTCTTGAACTACCACCCAAATCTACTTGAAGATATGAGTGCAGTCAGGAGTCACACCTCTCTTCATCTCGCAGCCAAAAACGGTCACATGAATGTAGTCTCCTATTTTCTCAGCTGTGGAATGGATGTCAATATAACAGTACGTCTGTTTTTTCAATATTTATTTTTAGTAAACAAGAACATACAATGTTTCTGGAACAAGAAATGATATCCAGTATTTTTGGTTGGCCTGGAGGAGCATAAAAATGATTGAAGTTTTGAAGAAACAAATTCCTTGTCAGTTCAAGAGGACCCTTGCAACAATGTAAAAAACAATAATCAAATAAAGTTAACAATCGAACCTAGCCATAAAACAAAAGAGCTGCAATGTGCATATATTGTAGGTGTCCAAAGAAATAAGAGGCATTACAATGTAAAGAGGTACGAGGTTACTGATTTTCAAGAAATGTATCCTAGCTTAAGCCATGGGTCTTAAAACCAGAAATGTAGAATCAATTGTGCATTTTCTCCTGAAAGTTCAATTTGTACATGCATGAAGGTGAACACGATCATCGCAGTAGAATGAACAACCTAAGCAGTTGAAAAAGAAGCTGAAAAATTCCTGACCTTTGCGATGACCGGATGCAACACTCTATCCATTGAGCTAATCAAGCCAACTGGAGAGCAAGCCATTCACATTTTTATCTGCAGTTCAAAATATGATTCATTTCATTATTTCAGTTGAATGATTGTGTACTTGATTCACAAGAAAGTTGCGAGAGGTGCCTCAGCAGTCTACTGTAATGCATCTAGCCATTAATCCTTCCCTTATGGTCCTGTTCAACCTAATATAGACGTACCCTGGGGGCGTCCCTTATGAGGGCTTAATAGGGACATGCAGCCAGCCAGGGTATGTTTTTCGGGATTTTTGTCTTAAACAGGGTATCGATTTTGTCATTTTTTGTCTTAATTAGGGTATCGATTTTATCAATTATTTTTGTCTTAAACAGGGTATTTTCTGATTGTCAATGGATTAAATAAGAAAGAGTTTCGTATTATTGTCTTACAGAGGGTATGGTTTCGGGTTAAATGTCAGGGTATCAAAAATTGGAATTCTGTCTTAAACAGGGTAGGAAAATCAGCGATTTTTGTCTTAAACAGGGTCAGGGTATGAGGGGCCAGGCCACACCTCCCCACCCAAGTATATATCAAGTACCCTTAGAAAATCTGACGTTCCACTATATAAACCCCGCAAAACAGTGGAACTACATAGAAATGCATGCTGCATCTATCGGTGAGAATACAACCCCCAAGTCAAAGAATCTTAGAGTACACTGAAATACAGTAATGTTGAACCTCTCCACAACGGCCACCTTGTGGACAGAAGAAAGTAGGCGTTGCAGTGAGGTGGCTTCTGTAGAGAAGTTTAAACAAGAGTCAATGTATGGACTGTGCCGCCAAAAAAGTGGCCATTGTAGAGAGGTGGCCATTAGTGGAGTTTGGACTGTAATGATTATTCTAAGAGTATGACTGACAATAGTTAGAAATAAACATTTCACTTTTAACAGCAACAGAGATCTTCACTTTTGAAACAAATTTTTATTTTTCCTGTCTTTTTTTTTTTCACTTTTAAATATCAATGCAACACTTAGCAACAAAGTTAGCATTTTCAGACATTGTAGCTTTTTTCTAGGAAATGTGGATATCTTTTCACTTTTTTCTCCCAGATTGTGATTTGCCATTCCAACCTGCATGAGCAACTTCTTATTTTCAGAAAAATCATTACTTTGCATAGTTTGATCCCCAGCACTTCAACTATTGTGAATCAAAATGCTTTCATCCAAACAAGCCACAGTCTCAAATAGTTTATATTATTTTTATATCCACTCGTAAATGGTCGCTTACGGGAGATGGTCTCGTAAAAGCAATTGCACTACAGGGCGTCTCTTTCAAGATGTGCAGATGTCAGAGTATTATTTTATTGCATGTAATTTCCCAGTTATGTACATGTGTAGTTCCATGTTGTCACTGAATGTTCTTCGTATACTCTGTATGGTGTAGTATATACAGTGAACAAAGAGACCACACCATGTGTCAAGTGGTTGCTTACAAGAGGTTAAAAACAATGGAAAACGTCATAACCGTGAGGCGAGAGAGAGGTTCTAATTATATTGCTTTGACTGGGAAAAATTTGTGTTTTTGATAGGTTTTCAGTTAAAGACATGGTTGCTTACAAGAGGTTAACGTTGTTGCGCATGGAGGTTCAACTGTATATAATAATATTATTTTTGTAATTTTTTCAAGTGGCTTAATGAATGTATTGTCATTCTCTTAACCAGTGTTCCTCTGGTACAGCCCTTCATGAGGCTGCTTTGTTTGGTAAAGCAGATGTTGTCAATCTTCTCTTACACTGTGGTAAGTTAGATACGGCTTCACTAGTTCATCAATCTATAATGATTCTCTGTGTGGTAAATTTTCATACCCACTCCAAGACAAGTTCTCAAGGTAGCCAAAATAACTTAATACATACAGCACATGTACACTACTTGCAGGTTTTCAATGTGTACTAAAAATTATTAAAAATAGAACTTCAAAAAGTCAGTTTAATACAATTGGAAGAGTGGAAGCAAAGGACAGGGCTATCATTTAGAGGCAGGGACCAGCGATTTCCTCTGGCCACTATGGACGTGGCCCCGGCTACGTTCAAAGGAAAATAGAAGAAAAATAGAGCCAAAGAAACGCCTAACTGTTAGATTCCCTGCCCATGTGTTGTATTTACCCTGGGCTCTAACTTGAAATTTAGGGACAACCCTGAGAGGAAGAGGAAATGGTGGTGGAACTGAGAACGTGCACTTTGTGATTTTAAACAATCAACTCAAGGGTTAAAACCAAACTACTATCAATAATATTATAAGAAAAATTAATGTTATTAAGAGAGGATGAAACTTGAGTTTACACTTATAAAATTTAATGCGTGGCTCTCTTAAGTGTCCCCAACTAACTTGAGTTATTTTCCTGATTCAAGTATGCATGTATCAAGAGAGAAATCTTTTGGAACAGACAAGAGAACATAGCAAACTCAACCCACAGAATTATGGTGTTGATGCTTTGGTTCAAACCCAGGCCAAAAGTGCTCTCACCAATGCACCATTCCTGTTTGTCCAAAAGGAAATTGGTCATGCTCTTTCCAAAGATCTCACTTTTCTCATTAATTTTGGAATCTCCATTATTTTGTGATTGCAATTTTGCCAAATTATCTACTTTTTCAGGAGTGGATGTAACAGTGGTGGATCACAATAATAAAACTGTGTTAGATCTGTTAGCTTCTCACCCCTCAGCAAGAACAACAGAAATCAGGGATCTCATATTTGGTAGGTCTTGTCAATTAAGTACTAATAAGAGCCATAATTGAAAAAAAAGCCTGCCAGGGCTGTGCTCTAGCAGAGCTTGGTGGCTCTCAAATGACCTACTTTTCCCTTTAGACCACAAAAAAATCTTAAAACTTAAATAAGAACTATAACTGTCTTGTTATACACAGTAGACTGGTCATCTTAGACCCTGTTTAGACAGCTCCAGACAAATTTTTGCAAGTTTTGAACAGCAAATTGTGCAAGTTTTTGACCTGATCAGATTAGTTCTATGGTTCCACATTTACAGGGACTTGTGTACATAAATACCTCACCTGTGCAAGTTTTTGTACAGTAAAAGCCTAGAGCCTAGTAATATGCGCCTTTGATAAAAAAGGCTTTTCCAATGCTGACACTGACAAAAAATTTGTATGGACATGTGTTAACACCCCTGTTAAGTAACAGAATTTGCACAGTCCTTTGTAAATGGGTTGCACAGGTAAAAAATTCTAATGTTGGAAGATTTGTCTGGACCCATGTAAATAGGGTCTTGAAAATGAAAATTGGCTTTTTAAGAGTATTCACCAAAAAGCCAATATTGCTACACTGGTAGATAATGTTACCGGCCAAAATTAAATTCAGGTTAAAATTTTTTCAGTTAGGTTGATTTTTAATTTCCTTTGTCTCCTTGAAATTATTCATGAATTAGGACTAGGAGACAAAGGAAATTGAGAATCAACCTACAAGTAGGTTAAAAAATTTTAACATGAATTAAATTTTAACCTGTAACACATACCGTATATTTCCTTGAATATTATAGCTGTGCCTTGATTAATTGCCTCTCTTGAATAATTATTGCCCCCCTTAGATGGAAAAATTTGGAATAATCGCACCCCCACTCTCTCCCACTTCTCACACTATCTTCCCTTTCTTTTATCCCTTCACTGTCAAGTTGAAGTGTAGTGTGATTCAGCAAAACTGATCAGTAACGATTTAAGCTCTGACGCTGAAGATACAGACATTGAAAATTAATCAAAGAACCAAATTTGGAACACTTAAAAAGCCCATGTTCAGTTTATTTGATGTGATCATTTTTTGGTTTAATAATAAAACAAAATACTTAGGGCAATACCTCAAATAATCGCCCCCCGTTTTGTGTGAACAAATAATAATCTCCCCGGCCTATTATCTGAAGAAATACAGTACGTGTAGTGTTTAGAAACAGGTTACCAGTAATAAGGCAATAGAAAGATCTGTTTAACTGTGGAATTCCGTGTAGGGATAGGCTGGTCTGGCTGGTCAGTTCTGACTTAATGGTTAGCTCCATTTATATAGCTTTTAAATGAAGATATGATCATCGCAGTGGTAATTGTGATTTAATCAATTGCAAATTGACCCAAAAACAAAAATTTCGGATCTTCAACGGGATTCAAACCCATGGCCTCTGTGTTAGCACTGCAGTGCTCTACCAGTTGAGCTCTGAAGACCCATACATTGGGAGCAGGCCAATTTGGTGAGTTCATTTGTACCTGTAAAAGGAATGAAACATGAAGATGATGTGAACTGTGGAAATGCAAATTTAAACGAAGATATGATCGTTGCAGTTGTAATTGGAACTCAACAAATTGGCCTGCTGCCAATGTATGGATCTTCATAGCTCATATTGGTGGAGCATTGCCTAGCTAATGTAGCTAGTACGGCCATGGGTTTGAATTCCTTTGAAGTCTCGAAATTTTTTTCGGGTTAATTAGCAATTGCTTACATTGCAATTACCACTGCAATGATTCATGTCGTCATTTATATTTGTATTTATGCAGTTCACATCATCTTCTTATTGTTCTTATTGTTCCAAACTTATATGCTGGGCACTTTGGATTTTGTATTTCTACAGCCAAAATTTTCTTTGAGCATAGAGACCTTCCTTTGCTGTGCACAGAATTGTCACATTGCATACGTACAATACAACACATTTTATTCACATTTCAACATACAATACTATAAAAATATACTAATGAGAGCAATCTGTACTTTAAGATTTTTTGAAAAATATTATTTTGTCACAAGATTCAAAACTAAGTTAAATAGCTACGGAAACAAAATAAATTAGCTAATAAGGATCTTTTACTAACTTTTGTGAAATAACATTATTAAGATAAAATACATTAAATGTGTTAAGGGGAGTTTAATTGCCCTTTATAATAGTTTATGTTTAAATGTGGCTAAATTTTATTGTTTTGCCATCTCATTTTTACGCCATTATATTTTTGCATCGTGGATAACCTGCATTTTTATTTTGATATATAACAAACCCTTTGACTCACTTCTAATTATTAACACTTAATTGTTTTAACTATTACTAATTAGCCTCCAGCCTCAAAGAACCCACATGTACGTCTAGCTTAAAAAGACAGTTTACCGGTGAGTGGAGCTTCATTTTCACTGGTGCACAAAAATTAAACAGTCACTACTAGTAATGTTAATGCCATAAAAAAATGTGTAAAACTATTTATTTATACTATTGTTCTTTATGTCGTCACACAGTCACACTATCAATAGAGTGTCTAAAGATATTGTCTATTGCCCCTCCCACCCCTTTGTTCATGCACCACAACCCTGTATGGTTTAGTGCATTATTTTATTTAAAATACATGTTTTTTGTCTCCATCTCACTTTTGTATAATAGTGAGGATATTACAAGGAAAGCCCCTTTTTCAACTTTTACTACCATTGGCATGGATATTAGATTGATGTCAGTTTTTTCTCTGCTAAGCCAAATCATCTTTTCTGCATTTCCACATGTTGCAATTTTCTTTTCCACTTGAATATTTGCCAAAGTAAAGTTTACCCCCTTATTAGAACACCCTCCTTTGAATAGGTGCATGAGTTCCCTTAAGACCAAAGATTTAAAATACAAAAACACTTAATGTCAGGTCCCTCGGGAAACTAGATAGTTTTGTTTTCCCTTGAGTCCTGATCTTTCCCTCAACTTCTTCTCGGGAAACATCAGGACTCTTGGGGAAACAAAACTTACTGTTTCCCTCAGGATCTGACATTAAGTGTATACTATTAACAAGGTAATACTAAAAATTATTGAGTGTTTATTTTAATGTTTAAATTATCATGGATTACAAAATTGACATGATCAATAGAAAAAAAATTAATTTAGTGATTCCCTCCTCGCGCGCCCCTCGCGTTTTTCTCGCACCTAAAACTCCCTTTCCCTTCCCTTTCAAACGCCTGCCACGCAGGCTAATTTAGTGGAAGCAATTCTTTAAAGGCATTCATAGTGGTTTGATTTTTTGTTCCAGACTGTAGCACCTCAGTAGTGAAAACTTCATTTCCCTGCCTCAGACAGTGTCCAGGGAATGAATAAATTGTGAGCTGAACTCCTTAAATTGTGGGAATGAATTTGTGATGAATTTTTGAAAGCGCCATGCGCTAGTGCTTTCATTTGTCTCAGCCTTATTTTGACTGGACCAAAAGTGTCAGTAAAAAAGTAGTAAATTCTGTGTCCAAATCACCTTACAACCTTAGTTAAACTCTGTGTAATTTTGTATTCAGTAGGTGTCTATAAAACTGGATCCAACAGCAGTTTTTGCATCTAGCTTTTGTGCTTTTATCTTTTTTCAGAATTCCAAACTACAAAAAAGCCTTTTCCAGGAATTCATTCATCAAACACATTCCATGTGAGTTTGTAATTATTGTTAAAATGTTATGCAATTAGATACCTTGTAAAGTTTAAGGGGCCCATTTCAAACTTCACATGCATTGAATTATTATAATACTAAGGAGGAAAACCTTGATTTCTTGCTCATATGCATTAGATTTTCCTTTGACCTTGTTGCTCCCTAGCTCAGGTAGAAATTCATTTTAACTTCAATTTTTTTTTAATTTTATAAAAAAAAGCAGGTCCTACATGAAAGTGTATAGTATCAAAGAGCAATTGTTGCTTTAAGGCAAATTCCTGTAAGGCTCTCATCTTTAGAACAACATAAGTACCACCCTGAATCCAGGGAACTCACCTCAGGTAGAAAAGTTTAAGATCATCGAAAAATTAATTGGGCAGTTGTAAATATGAGTTAAGTGATTTTGATGGCAGCAATGTTTTTTATTCATAATATATATTTTGTACAAATAAAGTAAAGCCCTGTCTATCATTCTCCCCCATTGCGTGCACAAGACGTTGTTCTTACTTCAAAATATATGCTTGGTAATTCTCACCCATCTGTTCATCTCAGCTGTTGTTTCTTTTGTTATCAAACTGAAGTCTTGCTACATCTCTTTGTTGTTTGTCTTTCAACTTTAAGGGATTCTCACCTAACCGACCAACATCAGCTGTTTACCCAAGAAACCTTCATTATGATGATGTTCCTAACCCAGTACCATATCAAAAAGGTTTGTTTGGATTTATTTATTTCTTAAGGAAGCCAGCATCAAAACTCTTTGTGAAATTATTTATTTTGTAGCAATGTTTTTGACAAGTAAACGTTACCTGTGGTGGTATTTTCTTGTCATTAGATGTGGCTTCACGTACCCTTCGTAGGTCTGGTTCATATGATTCAGTCCCACCCCCCCGAACAAGACAGGAATACTTGGTAAGTGAATATAAAATCTTATGAAGTGGTGGAACCACTTGATTAAGGACTTCTCTCGCTTGGGACACAAAAATGCGTTACGTGCTTCATTTTACACTTTAACTTCATTTTGGTGCATTTTGGCTAATTTAAAGGCACCTAAACGGGTGCATTAGTCATAATTAAATACAAAAACTTGCATTCATTTATTGTACTGAAAAAGGTGTTGGTTACTACAGTAAAGGAATGATTCATATTGGTAACCCTTCATCAGAGTAAATCTAAATTCAAATTAGAGCAAATCTTGGTTGTAATCATTTTATGTAAGCAAATTTTTCCTCTTAATTCAAACAATGGCTCCAATTATTATTTTGTAGTAAGAATTTAATAATGGATGATGATGACAATAACATAAACTATTTACTCATTGTAACAATTATTGTTACGATGAGTATATAGTTTATGTTATTGTCATCATCTGGGCCTAACTCCTGTAGCTCTTTCTCCTCTTTGGATCTTTAAATCTTCGTGGTTCTTCATCTTTTTCTCTTGTCTTCTGGTGCCTTTGTAATAGCACTGTGCAAAATTGCTTCTTCTTCCATTCATAACACATGAGCTAATTCCAACCACCATCTCCTTTGGAGACTTCATTTGTATGCCGATCAGCACTGTATTGCTTTGCCTGTTGCAGTTACTTCTGCAGGGCTGGAAAACAGAAGAAAAAGGAAACCAAACAAAATTCCCGACTGTTTGATTCCCCACCTACTTCTTGTATTAACCCGGCAACGTGAAATTTTAGTGACAGCCCTGATTCTGGTTGCTCTTTCTCACAGGCCTTTAAGATTGTTGCAACATATTTATGCTGGGAGGTGTTTAGGTTTTATTATCGATCAGGTTTCTGTAATTAAGTAGTTAGTGTATTTAAAGGTCTCATAAGTACAAGCAGTCACAATAGATTACATGTTACGATCAATATTTTTTTCTTTGCAGAGGCAATCAAGTTATGATACTGTCCCCCCTCCCAAAGGTTTGTTAATAGTCTTTATTTTGTGAAAGGTTTGAACCCAGGAGTCATTTCAAAAGTAGGTTGAGTTTGATCGTCCGGGTGAACGTAGTCCTGAATAGGACTGTTGTTGTTGACAGTGACTGACGTTTCGACAACCTGTGCGGTAGTCATCTTCAGAGTCTTCAGAGTCTTCGGTAGTCATCTTCAGAGTCTTTATTTTACTAAAAAGTCAGGTTTTATCTCAGGTTTTGTCTATAGAAGCACTATTTTTTCAAAAGTAAATGACTGAGACAGTCTGCTTGACAATCTATTAATATTACATTTCAATCCCTTCCGGGAGTTACCTTTATCAATAGCTGTATCTAAAATAATTACTTTGTAATATGTTTAGAAATGACCAAATCCTCCGACTGGACTAAATATGATGAAGTGGAGGAACGATCTCCTGGTAACATTCAGCTTTCCAATGCTACCAAAGGCTACTCACTTCTTGGACCAGCCGAAGAGCCCGCCGAGGGGGCACCACCGCAGCTCACACCACAGGATATCCATGGCGGCTATGCCCTCATTGGGTTTCCTGCGCAAGGAGAAGGAAACAAACCCTCAAGTTCGTTGCGACCTGACAGCACTTATGCTGAAGTTAGAAATGAGGGCGACAGTTTTGCACCAGTTAAGAAGTCTTCTCCATCTCAGGCTGATTTCAGTGACTACTTTCTTGTCGGATCTCTGTCTGATGGTAACGAAAGTCAACCTTTGCCTGCATCAGGTATGACGTTTTCAGTTCTTGAGGTATCTGCACAGTCAAATCTGTAATAAGCAATCACTCTTGAAGAATGGCCAACTTGCCTATTAGTTCAGGTTGACCATTCAACCTTTCACTAGACCAAAAATTCCAAATTTCATTTTGTAGAATGCTCGAAAACAAATATTATCGTGGGAAAGTACTTTTAAAGATATTCTATTTGAATGGTCACGCAGCAGGGTTTCGCGGTCCACAGACATGGAATCTGGAATCCACTACCTGCATTCCGGAATCCACAGCGTGGAATCCAGAATCCAATACTTGAATTATATGGATCATTATACGTTTCTGGGTAACCGCCCACCTACCCCTCCCCGAAGCAACTTTTTGCCCTAAGTGAAAACTAAGTATTAATGTTGGGTTAGGGGAGCGGTAGGTGGACAGTTTCCCAGAAACGTTTAACATTACATGGGGCGATATACTGTTTGTAATGATTATTTTTTCTTGAAGGTATGGTTTCTGAAGAGAACTCCACCTATTTCTTGGTTGGGGGGCAGCCTCGCAGAGACGCCCGTGAGAGTTACGACACTGTTGCACCTAAACCAAGAGCAGTATCACAGCAGAGTATCTATGAAGTACCACCACCAATGTCTTTAAAGGGTGGAGGTGATGGCCAAGGGAATAATACCATACCCCGCCAGACCCCTCCCTCCAGGATATTGAGGCGCTCATCTTCGGATATATATGAAAATCAACAAAGGCGAGCTACTGATTATGACTTTGTCGCTCTCCCGGGACGGAGAGCTACACCTGAGGCACCTTCTTATGACAATGTATCTTTACCTAGTCAAGTTCCACAAGTAAGTTATACTCTAATCACGCTGAAATGATTATAAAATATTTTGTGACTAATCTAAAAATCTGAATACACAGAATTAGGAGCAGGCATCTCGTTTATTGATGCACAATATGAAGCCAGCGTTACGGCATTACAGACACAGCGTTACAGTATTATAGACACAGCGTCACAGTATTACAGACACAGCGTTACAGTATTATAGACACAGTGTTACAGTATTATAGACACAATGTTACAGTATTAGTAATAGTTGACACTACAGCTGCCCCCGCTCTGTATATTGTCGGTCAATAGTATTCTTGGTCGTTGTGAAGTCGTTGTGTAGCTCTTTGAAATATACCGATTCATAATGAAGATTTTCACACATATTCCATACAATAGGTGAGATAAAAACAGGAAACGCAAGGTAATATGCACAATTTTAGTTCGATTTACACAGCTCTGATCAAAACATTCTCATTTTCGAGAATAGTTGAATTTTCGCTATTTTTCTTTCACTTTTTACATACAGTTCATTTTATTTGCCAGAAAGTAAGTCTTAGAAATTAAAAGGACTTTTGAACTTTAAAGCCGAAGGACATTTGTGAGCCATGGAATAAGTCAGCGCAGAATTTGATTGTCGGCGAATTTCTGTAATCGTCCATCGTTCTGGTAGTGAGAACCTTGCCGTTGATTCGTTGATTCCAGTCAAAGAGAGAGAAAGAGAGTATGGCAAGGTTTCCAATCGGATTTGTGAACTCGTGCCTGGCAAACTCCAAGTGTTTATATATACACAGTTGTAAGCGCCTTATAACTTCATCTGCGCTTAACGAGTGTGTTTTGGTCCATAACTTTCAAAACAGCTGCTCCCACCACAGAATGTCACTGATAACACGTAACGCAAAAGAGTGTCGAAGTATGAATGTACAATAAATGTCACAAAATCTACCTAAGCGGTCCCTTCGGGATTTTCTGTCTTTACGTCATCCTAACCATCTCGTACTTGCGGGCGCGAACAATACAAACGTCATCATTACCTACCGATTCCTCGCGGCCCCTGTTCAAGCAAATCGAGATTTTTTCTGGCATGCTGACTGTACATTTCAACTGTAAGTACCTTCCTTAATATACGCGCGAGTTACTAGAGTGCCTGATCACACAGCGATACAGTGCTAGCGTCACAGTATTATAGACACAGCGTTACAGCATTACAGACACAGCGTTACAGCATTACAGACACAGCGTCACAGTATTATAGACACAGCGTTACAGTATTATAGACACAGCGTTACAACATTACAGACGCAGCGTCACAGTATTGTAGATACAGCGTTACAGTATTGTAGATACAGCGTTAGAGTACTATAAACACAGCGTTACAGCATTACACTCACAGACACAGCGTGTAGTTTACAAAAAGTTACTTTTTTTTCATTTTTATCTAACTGATTTGGTAAATGCTAAAACTGAACAGCGCAGGATATATGCCTCGACGCTTCGCGTCTCGGTATATTATCACCACTATTTACCTCCCCTTCGGCGGATAGTTGTATACTATTGCGATAAGAATAGACACAGCGTCACAGTATTATAGACTCAGTGTTACAGCATTACAGAGACAGCGTTACAGTATTATAGACATAGCGTTTAAGTATTATAGACACAGCGTTACAGCATTACAGACACAGCGTTACAGGATTACAGACACAGCGTTACGGCATTACAGACACAGCATCTCAGTATTATAGACACAGCGTTACAGCATTACAGACACAGCGTTACAGCATTACAGACAGAACGTTACAGCATTACAGACACGGCATCACAGTATTATAGTCACAGCGTTACAGCATTACAGACACAGCGTTACAGCATTACAGACACAGCGTTACAGCATTACAGGCACAGCATCACAGTATTATAGACACAGAGTTACAGCGTTACAGCATTACAGTATTATCGACTTAGCGTTATAGCCTTACAGACACAGCGTTACTGTATTATAGAATCCGGGGAAATAAATCAGGGTTGACAAAGATGCCTCGAATGGCCCTTGTATAACATAACAAATCTTAAATAGTCTACTATCCCCTAGAGACATCTCATAAACACGCCCTAAATACTTCTCCAGTTACCACGTAACATAGTGCAGATACTTTCAACATATATTTACTCTCAGCTGGAAAGGTGTCTTGTACATTGGGAAGGGGTTCACAGCCTAAATGTTAGACACATTGATCATGGCGTACAATGTTGCTTAAATAGAAGAAGATTCTTCTGATGCAATGTCTCTTGAAACAATTTCACTCGCTGTCTGGGCACTCAGGCTTGAAGTGAAAACTTTCCCACTAGAATGTTGGAAAAGTTGCACCTAGGCCATTTATTTTTCTGTGGGGATCTGACCATCCACTTGACGCCAAAACATAATGATAATGAGAACGAGAACGAGAACGAGAATGATAATGATATCGATAACTATAAGGAGAAGGAGAACGAGAAGGAGAATGATAATGATAAGGAGAACGAGAATGATAACGAGAATGATAATGAGAACGAGAACGAGAACGAGAATGATAACGATAACAATAAGGAGAACGAGAATAATAACGAGCATGAGAACGAGAATGATAACGATAACGAAATGATAATGATAATGATATCGATAACGATAACAATAAGGAGGACGAGAATGATAACGATAACGAAATGATAATGATAACGATAATGATAATGATATCGATAACGATAACGATAAGGAGAACGAGAATGATAACGAGAACGAGAACGAGAATGATAACGATAACGAGAACGAGAATGTTAACGATAACGAAATGATAATGATATCGATAACGATAATGATAAGGAGAACGAGAATGATAACGAGAACGAGAATGATAACGATAACGAGAACGAGAATGATAACGATAACGAAATGATAATGATATCGATAACGATAACGATAAGGAGAACGAGAATGATAACGAGAACGAGAACGAGAATGATAACGATAACGAGAACGAGAATGTTAACGATAACGAAATGATAATGATATCGATAACGATAATGATAAGGAGAACGAGAATGATAACGAGAACGAGAATGATAACGATAACGAGAACGAGAATGATAACGATAACGAAATGATAATGATATCGATAACGATAACGATAAGGAGAACGAGAATGATAACGAGAACGATAACGAGGACGAGAACGATAACGATAAGGAGAATGAGAATGAGAATGAGAACAATAATGTGAATGATACGGTTCTTACAAACCGGTTTTACATCACGTAGTAGTCTCAATTCTAGAGAATAAGTCCTGTTAACTTAAAACCCTAATCTGCAAGCACTTTCTTAAAAAGAAAAAATCTTTAATCTTGATTTAAAAAAGTCTACATTAATGGTATCTGGTGGGTCGTTCCAAAGCCTTAGTGCGATAAGCGAGAAAACTCTCTCGCCATAAGAAATCGTTTTAATCTTTGGAACAGACAGCAGATTTAAACTGCTTAAAAGATGGGAACCGGGAAAAAAATACTCAAGCATTATGAAGCACCATCCTCAAGTTTAGTCAGTCACACACACTGCCGTTGGTGGAATCTCAATTTCCTTGGAAAAGATGATTCAGTCAGTTACACAGGCGTCTTGGAAGAAAAAATTCGAGTACACCCAACAGGAGATGAACCTATGACCTTCTGGTTTCTGGTCCAGATGATCTACCACTGAGCTACAGAATTCTCGTGGGTGCTAAGGCCACTAAACTAGGTTCCTGTGACAAACAGCCTGCATACTGCTAGGACTAGAATGTCGATATGTCCTAATTCACAATGATAAAAACGTGATGGTCAATTCCCGTGTTTCTCATTTACACCTTAGGATCAACCAACCAACCAAGAGACCCCTGCGGCATCTACGATAAGGCCTCGTCCTCAAGGAGACAAGATGTGTCCCCTGGCAGATGCACAAGGATACGAGTTTGTACACGTGCGGAAACCAGAGAAAGGAACAGAAGAGTCTGCGCCTGAGATGCAGCCCTTTGCTCCGCTGCCTGGTTATTTGCCTATGGGTCCCGCGCAGCCTGACGCTGGTTATGAAGTGTTAAGTGCGCCAGCCGAGTCTCAGGATCAGTTAAGAAGTTATGCTGGCGAATATGAGACACTTTCTATGGCTGGACCTCAAAGAACAGGGACCCAGACAGCATCCAGTGCAAGGAGCATTCCATCATCAGCCCCTCTATATGAAGTGCCACCCTCCATGTCACCCCCTGTTTATGAGATTGCTCCTCCTCCAAAACCCACGAGCATGGTGAGCTTACAATTAGCGGAAAGCTGTGTTTTGGGTACATAGTGGAGGTATACTGTAAAGCCACCTTCCAGCACCTTCAGGGTCTGATAGTGAAGACCAGTGCGTCTAACTAACTGAATAAATATCTATCTTAAGTTACTAACTTGCTAACCGCTAACTGCTAACTAACTAACTAACTAACTAGCTGACTAACTACAGTGTAACCAGCTAGCTAGCTAGCTAGTAAACTAACTAACAAATTAACCAACAACTATGTAAATAAGCTAACTAACTTACTGACTGTCTGTTAAAAGTTACTGTCTTCAAAGCAGTCTGTGTCTGGAATGGTTATGTTCGCAATGCTCTCGGATTTTTTTCTTTTAACAGTTGTCATCCGCTGAGTGTATTATATAGTATCGATACTGCCAATGAGCTTTCATTTGAAAACCCGTAGAGTGAACTGCTCAGTTGCAACCCACGACTTTTCTACTTTAGGACGGATTGAAAACGTTAGCGAGATTCTTTGGCGAATCTCAAAGCACGGTAATGGAGATTCAAGGCAACTGTGAAAATATTTATCATAACTCAATTGCGGTCTACTCTAAGCATTGACCTTGTCTTTCTTTTCTTACAGGCTCCACCCATTCCTCCTAGACAACGCTCTGGAGGACAGTCGCAGCCATCGGTCACTGGTGAAGTGCAGTGGATTGAGAAAGAACCGACACAACCTAAATCTCCTGCACGAAGACAAAATGAATATTCCGACTGGCGTCCTGCAATGTTTGGAGAACCTGGGTCACCTGCGAGGCCATTGTCGCCTGGGAGGTCTGTGACGTCCCCTAAACCAGACGCGTATGAACAGGTGCGCATTGAAGGCCCTAAAAAAGGGACAGTAGATCGGGGGAGAGCCAGACAGATAACCGTGGAGCATCGTGGAGGGGAATACTGCATGCTGTCGCCTACTGCAGTAGGACCTAGGGAAACGGAAGGTGGGGAGACGGCGGTTGCGGGTGAGAGACTGCCCAGTTTAACCGAACCCGTGATGACGCCACCCTTTTCGCCTCCATCACCCAGAACGGCCGAAGCGTCTGTTTTTGAAGCGCTTGGCTCATTACGGCCGTCGAACGTGCCGACGATTCCGGAGGCGCATGAGGCAGACGGAGATGAGCAGCGCGATAGTAAAAAACGGCAGGCACCGATTCCAAAACCGAGGAGAAATTTGCAGAATGCAACGAAGCCCAAAGTTCTTCCCCGCCATGACAGCTTGTTAGATGAGGAGTTTGATACACCCGCGGATCCCAAACGAACCTCTGGAATAGAAGTAGTGAGTCAAGACCCGTTCAGCTTTCCACCTGTCGTGTCCTCATCAGATACTTCACCAAAAGACAATCCAAAGAAAAGTAATTTTGCTGAGTTGCACAAGCGCTTTTCGCCATACTCGTCCAGGGAAGACATCTTCAACTACACAGACGATGCGCTAACAAACAAACGCGAAGAGCCCGATGGGGCAGAGAATGAAAGTGATGTGAAGCCATCGCCCTTAGTTTATGAGAATGTGTTGTTTAAACGTCGAGACGAAGAAGAGAATGGTGACGAGGCGACTTATATTTCAAACAACACAACTGAAGAAAGGCACGATGAATCCGCGGAAAGGCCTGATTCCTATAGGTTAAGCAAGTTGTCAGCAGATAGCCCCATGGATGAGAGGGAGGAATGGGAAAAGGTATCGTTTTCATAGTTGTTAATTAAAAGCTCTTTAGTTCAGTCTTAAAGCCTGCAGAACAGGCGCTATTTTTTCGCACAATTCAGCTGAGCACTAATCGAGCGTGGAGCGCGAGTTACGCGCGTGCCTTCCGTGCCTTCCCTCATCGCGCGTGTCTTGCGCTCCTCGCCCGCGGCATGAGGGATAAGGAGGAGTAAATCAATCATGGCAACCTTTAGGATTAAAACTACTCATCTTTCTAGGAAGAAAACAAACGAAAATAATTAATGAACCTTAGACAATGGATTTAGGAAACCTTCTGAACGAGTGAGTCAGGGATGACCCCACCCCTTCTGGATAAATTTTATGCACTACGTAACCCAGCCTGGCGTTCAGGTTAAGACTGTGATCAGCTTAGTTCCCGGTTTCTTTAATTTTACGAACTTTTTTTTAAGTTCCAAGAGTGACCAAAGTGAATTTTCTCCTAACAATAAATCGACTCGTAATCAAGGAATGTGGTTATGAGAATTTAAAAAAATGATCACCAAAAGGAAATGCCCTGATCTGTTATCAAATTATCTAAACTAAGTCTCTTAAGGAAGTATATGGAAATCAGTGTGGAGAATTTGTATGTAGATTTTGGGGCTTGAGAGTACAAGTATGAGATTCAAGATGAATTTGATTTTGGAATTTGGAGCCACTTTCATTCTCAGATCTGTGATTCTTTCCGGGCACATCACGTAAACAGAAGGAACGACCGGATAAGAACGATATCACAACTGACTATCTGTGGTACACCAGCCTGGTTTGAGAACTCATATTTGTGGTAATAAAACTCCTTTCTCGCAACCTCCTGGCCAGGGACACTTTTCTGCCCCAAGAGTGATGGGCATTTGCTGACTTTGCTCTAGGGGATGGGAAAAATGGTTGTAGAAAATTCGCATTTAATCTTACGTTGCTCAAAGCATCTGGACCCAGGTTGATACAGGGCTTCTCATTAAAAGATGGGATGCATCTGTGTCTTCATATCTGCAAAAAGACAAAAAAAAAGTAAGTTTTACGTCAAAATTGAAATACAAACAATCGAAATGAAAGGGTGGCCACGCGCGTTAGGGTAAACTAGAAATTAAAGAGTGATGTGGTTTGCTTAATTTTAGTTCTATTTCTTTACTTGTCAGATCGAAGCTTTCCTATCATCCATTGGCCAGATTGAAGTGCCTCAGACGATAGAGGAACAAATTGCGAATGCAGGTTAGGTCTTTTTTTGTCTTTCTTTCTGTTGTAACAGAATTACCAAAAAGATCACGTAGCAGCATAGGCTCTCGATTACAGCCGCTGCTCAGGAAATACGCCTTCGCTCCTTTCCTCCTTCCCTCGGGGAGGAACAAGACCAGACCCGAGGGAGCGGCGGTCATCGAGACCTGTAAGAGTACTGATTCCCTCAAAAAAGCATGACTGAACATGGGTCACACGGTATTCAATTCTTCCATTTGCCTTTTGTGTTGCAGGTAAAGCGGAAACTGTGCCGGATTGGCTTAAGGCACTAGACTTGGGTCAGTATGAATCCTCCTTGATGGCTAACGGATTTGATAACATACGTTTCTTGGTAAGACGTTTAGGTTACAAGTTCATGTTATGTGGATCACCTAACGTACTAAAATTGAAACTGGTAGAATCTCAAACAACGCATCACCCGGTTTTGCTGCATGAAGTTCAAACGAGTACTGCTTGTTCACTTTGGATAGAATGATTTTGTTTTGCCATAACTTCGCAGCTCTATTGAAAGAAGAGGAAGCAGAATGTTTGTGCGTGCCAAACGTGGCAGGGCTATTACCCGAGTTTTTTTTCGTTATCTTCACTTAACAGTAATGTTTTCTGGTCTTTTACAAAAAGATATGTTGAAAGAAAGGTTAAGTTTGGTGGAAAGTTTTTTTGGAGCATAATTATTGTCACGCTTGTCACACAGTGTTTGCCGTCTTATTTCCTCTCCCGTCCTATTGCGTAAGTTCAGTATTCCTTTTAATTGAAGGGAGATAGTTTCAATGCCAAGTAGCCATTTTGTAGTTACTTGCGACACTGAGTTTGTGTTGTGTCGAACTGCACTGTGGGACTGTTTCAAGCACGCTATTTTCTTTTATTTGCGAGAGAGACTGGGTCAAAATTCTTCCCCAAGACAGTCCCACAGTGCAATTCGACACAACACCGAACCAGTCTCGCGCACAGCCTCGATAGGCCTCTTCCGAGTTCCTTTAACTCTCATTTTCAAAACGAGGCTAAGAAAATGCAGTGTCCGTATGTGACCATAACTAAGATTCGACACTTTCTAGTTACGGGTGGTGTCCGCCTCCATGAGATATCTGTTTGCTGAGGTTCCACTCTCTTCCACCTCCCCCATACTGACTTTCATACAAAATTGGTTGGAGAATTTTTGTCTCTAAGAGCGCATCCCTGCATGTCAAACAAGAACCCCGTTGATACGAACAGCTCGTTTTCACGGCCATATTATTTCGGTTCGAAAGTAAAACATTTTCACGGCGAAAACCTCTTGAAAATGATCAGAAATCGTGACCCTTAGATGGTTACATTAACATGGCTGGGTTTCACTGTTATCTAATGTTTGCCTTATTTTTACACAGAATGGAATTATTGAAGATGAAGATCTATTGCAAATAGGAATTGTCGACTTTTCTCACAGGAGGTAAGACAAACGTCAACTTTTATTTTGAGGGTGCAAATTGACGTAAACTGATGTGATCATAATTCAGCACGGAAATTCTACTGAATTACTCTGATATCATGAAATTTCAAAACTGTTTCTTTTTGGTGATCAAAACTTACATTGTCATAACCTTCAAGCTTGATAAATTAGTGACATTACTAGGAAAGAAAGCGTGGCGCAGTGGTGGGAGCACGCGCCTTCCATCAATGTGGCCCGGGTTCATATCCTTGCGTCGTCGCCATATGTGGGTTAAATTTGTTGTTTGATCTCTCCTTTGCTCCGAGAGGTTTTTCTCTGGGTACTTCAGTTTTCCCCTCTCCTCAAAAACCAACACTCTCAAATTCCAATTCGATCTAGAACGCACGGACTCGTTTAGACGAGTTCTCAAGTGCTTCGTGTGAAAGCAAGGGACAGTTACAATTAGGAGAAGTTAGGGCTGATCCCTACTGTAGCCATCAGTGAAAAGGCCAATTCTTCGCTAAACGTACACCAATATGTTTTCCTTTGCAGGACAATAATGGAGGCAATAAAATCTTTACCAGTCTGTCCTCGACTTAGTGACCCAGACATCACTAAACCCGATACTCTTAAGGGCTGGTTAGAGTGGATCTGCCTTCCGGAGTACTTTGATATATTTCAACATAACGGCTTTACATCCATGGACAGAATACACATACTTTGGGAAGTGGAACTTACTTCGGTAAGTAGCTTTTGCAATGTGATAAGGACATGTCATATGTGGGTTGAGTTTGTTGTTGGTTACTCCGCTTTTCCCCTGTCCTCGAAAACCAAGGTTTCCCACTTCCAATTCGAACAGGAATGTTAGACCAAGAACGACTGTGTGGATGTGCTGCCTCTAAATCATCATCATCATCATCATCATCGCCATCGCCATTGCCATCATCATCATCATCATCATTACTATTATTAGTAGTAGTAGTATCATTTATTACTATCATTATTATAAAGTTAAGTAACGAGGATGAGCACAAGATTCTGAGAAACTGGCAACCCACCCCTCCCTTAGCCCAGCATTAACATAGGGCAAAATTTTGGGTTAGGGGAGGGATGGGAAGGGGAAGCAATTTCTCCGAATCTTATACTGATCTTCAACTTTCATTGACTCAAACAAGCAAATTGTTAGAATGAGCCTTGCGTTTACCGAGGAACTTCTTGTTGCTACGCTAGGTTTTGGAAATAAACTTGCTTGGTCATCGGAAAAGAATTCTTTTCTCTTTAAAAGAAGAACTGAAAGAAACTTCTGAACAACCAGAGGTAAGTAATGGAAAACAAAGGGGTCATCCTAGGTGTGAAAATTGGTGAAGTTTTACTTAATTTTGTCGCTATTGTTTTCCCAAGCTTTGTTATTTTGACTCCTTTGTTTTTGTGTAACGTCATTCGTGGTTTTTAAACCAGGGACCGTAAACCGCTTCTTATAGCCCCCCCCCCCGACACACACACAGGTATAAGCCTCCCTCCCACGTATAGGCTCCACCCCACGTATAAGCCCCTCTCCACCCCCACGTATAAGCTCCCCGCCCACTTATAAGCCCGCGCCCCAGTTATAGGCCCAAAATACATCCGATTATAAACTTCCCCGTATATAAGCCCCTTTAAGCTTTTCTTTTCTTGTATTCCATTTTTTGTGACGTTTTGAAGCTTAATTGAAAACCAGTAAATGTAGAACGTATTTTGATTAGCAATGCTATGTCTTGTTTCGAAGCGCTTTTTTATTATTCCACTTTTGAGCCCCCTTGGATACAAGCCTCTCCGTCAATAAACCCTCCTAAAACCACTTACGAAGATGTATAGAGCGTTTTCACTCTCGCGGCCAACATCTAAGCAAATTTATTCGATCAAAAGAAAACGTTTGCATAAGAAAAGAGCTCAACTCCCACAGGATTTGTTTGGAACACCAACATGGCCACCGTTTCATTGTTTTGGGACACCAATATGGCCGCCGTGACGTCATCTGAAAACGCTCTATAAGCCCAGCTTATAAGCGGCAAGCAAAGACCTTATTTTCTTTACACCATCCTTCTTTCTTCTTCCTCCCTCCTCTGCCACCTACACCCGTCGCTTAACCTTCTCTCGGAGGATGAGGCTTCTTATCAAAGGGTGTCCCGTGAAACGTGCACTGATTTATTCGCCTTAGGACGAACCATTGTATGTAAGCAGCACTCAACTGGCAAGGCAGGTAGCGGAGCTTAAGATGTATTGCCCGGACGATGAAAAACCCCAAGCTGTTCCAACACCGGTGGCGGGAAATGCCGACAACGTGATGGCTTCTGCTGAAGAAATTATGATGAACTCCAAAGAGGTATGACGTTTTCTTAGCCTCACTTTAAAACAAAAGGAGGGGTGAACGTCTTTCCACAGTGCATTGCGTTCGCGTTTTCACAAGATGGCGTAGTTTTCCGTCACGAACTGAGCATTACAATGAAACCTCGGTTTCAAATCGAGACGTACGATGAAAGTCGTTTTAAATTGAGGCTAATCGTGCAAGTCATGTCTTAAGAAGTGATTTTCGTCAATTAACGTAAAGCCATATAAGGTTAGTTGACCTGAAACAATTTAAATCTCCACAGGAAGTCAATCCAAAAACTAAAAGGAAGAAGACCAGCAAGTGGAGGCATGATCCGTCGATACTGATAAAGGGTAGCGTGAACTATACGACTTTGGTGAGTGTACAGCCTTTTACCTCATGAAAAAGCTGCGATGCTACCTTACCATTGCGTTTTAGGGCTAGTAGTAGTAGTAGTAGAAGTAGTAGTAGTAGCAGTAGCAGTAGCAGTAGCAGTAGCAGTAGCAGTAGCAGTAGCAGAACAGTAGCAGTAGCAGAAGCAGAAGCAGTAGCACTAGCACTAGTACTAGCGGCAGCAGTAACAGTAGCAGTGGCAGTAGTAAAATGACGTCATCGTGCAAATGGACAAAACCAATAAGTAATTGGTTAATACACATCTCCATACTCCAAAAAGACGTTGACAAATTATGATTCATACACAAAGTAATTTTCTACAAAGGAAGGAACCGCATTGACCATCAATACTGATTAGGGTTAAGACCTGAGAATAGTGTTTAGGGTTAAGCACTGACTCGAAAAACGGTTAGCTTCTATTTAGGGTTAAGGTTAATGCTGAGTACTTCCAACTCAAACCACTTCTTCCCAGCAAATCCTTGGCAGTCTAGTGGTTTGGGTGGCGGACTGCAGATCCGATGCTCCTGGATGGAATCCTGCTCGTGCCATCCTGAATTTTTTTTCCCTAGATTATTGAAGAGACTTAGACTTTCATGAACATTTTATCAACTAGAAATTTCAAGAGGCATGGAAATTTCATGTAGGAAAAGGGAAATGTCTTGAGAGAGCCACTGAGAGGGAAGTGTCAGTTTGGAGTATGGAGTTGAGTGCTAACTTAATTAATTGGTCATAATTACTGTACCTCTTTTCATGTATACCGTTCATTCTTTTAAATTATAGTATCTTGGGTCCCATGCGGTTAAGACTATCACCGGGCTGGAATCTACCATTGATGCCTGCCGAAAAATGAGGGTAAAGTAAAGTGAATGCTTTTGTCCTTCTTTGCTTGAACGTTATAATTCCCTGACGTTTTCTTCTGCCCTTTTTTACAGCTATCTACGGCCAAGCTACAAAAGATTCCTTCAGTCATTTTGTCTGTGTCTGTGAAAGGAGTCAAGTTCATTGATGCCAGGTCTAAGGTACTTTGATTGTTCTTATTCTTGGTTAGAGTGATTTGTACATTTGCTGAGCGTTTTATCGCTCGCTGAGTGATCATGAGCTATGGACGATGAGTAATAATAATAATAATAATAATAATCATAATATTTATAGAGGGAGCCCAACTCGCCAAGGCGGTTTTCAGTGGGGCCCTCATGCATTAATCTAACTAATTAATTAATAATTACGAAAAAAGTAAAATATGTTTACAAGTAAAACAAATTTAAAAATTTAAAATCTTAAAATCGATTATACAAAAAAAACATCAAGGTTTAAAATTAGCTGAGATCTTTTAAAAAAGTTTTTAACTTGGATTTAAAAATAGATAAAATATTACACTCTTTTAAATCATTTGGAAGGCTGTTCCAGTCTTTCGCGGCGTGAAAAATAAAAGTTTGTTTACCCCAGTTTGTTCTGGGTAGGGGTAAGCGAATATCATTAGAGCGTCTTGTATTATATGAATGAACAGCTTGACTTTTAGTAAAATTAAAGCTGAAATCGGTTTCTCCAATAAGACACTTGTGGATTGCAATGCAGCGATGAAAAAACCTTCTTGTGGACAGTGACTTAGTGTATAGACCATGGAGATGACATGGTGGTGGCGCTGTTTGTTTTTCTCTCTGTTTCACGCCCAATTTTACGAGAAACGTCAACGGAAATGGACCGTAAGTTAAGAGCTTTCAATTTTATTTTTTAAAAAAATCGACAAAAATTTTCAATGGTCTGTTCTTTAATTGACTATAGGACCGACCTTGTCCCGGTTCCTCGAGAGATGGTTAAGTTTAAACCAGGATTAAGCCAAATTTTAAGCAAGGTTTTCTTGTCTAATCCTGGATTAGCGCTAGTTGGCCTTTCAGGAACCGGACCCTTAAGCTTAAAATTAACGTCAGATGAAGATCGATTATCCGGCCGATTATCCACCAGTGTTACGCGAATTATCCTGCGGATAATCCGTCCTCTAATGTGGATCTTAAACGGCCAATGATGGTGGTGATTACAGTTACAATAAGGAAGATGAATGCTGACGACAACCACGATATTAATCATGATGACCATTGTTGTTGATATGATTTAATCTCGTATCCAGATCTCACTCTGTTTTACGCTGAAAAGGGGCCCTTGGCCGAGGGAGGTCTGGGTACGAGATTAGATATGATAATAAAAATGATCACGATGATGATGATAATGATTACGATGATGATGACGACGACGATGATTATGATGACGTTAATGACGACAACGATCATGTTGAAAAGGAAGAAAAAAGAACTGAACAAAGTAAAAATAAATGGTTTTGTTGTCATTTGTAATCTGATACTGCAAAGTAAAGGACACTATTACCGGTCTGTTCTAGATTATGGTCAGCTACCACGATATGAACAACATATCTTACATCACGCAAGATCCAGAGGACAGAAGAGTGCTGGCATACATAGCGAAAGATGCCAAAACGGAGAAGCACTACTGTCACGTATTCAGAGTGGATTCCTTTGTGAGTCACGCATTGTTAATACCCACTAACGACGCAAGCATGAAAGCGAGTCTTAAGGGCCACCAGATTTCCCGCAAACTTCAAAAATGTTAATAGGGCGGAAAAAACAAGAAAGATTTGTGATTTAGAGATTAACAATTAACCCCAAAGGATATTGCTGGAACAGTTATAGTAAACGAACGTGCGTTGGAAAATGGACAGTGGAGAAATTAACCTTCGGCAAGGATTCTTCGGAAATACATGAAACGTCAAGTCTCTCCTATTATCGGAACGCTTATTACGAAGCGCAGCAGCGGAGCATTTGTGAGAATTATTTCTTGTCGTAGTTGTAGGGTGCGCTTTTGCCACATTATACAATTTAATTGCGATGTGGCCCTTAGGCCTTGCTTTCTTGGTTATGTCGCTATGTGTATTTAAGAGTATTGCACTTGTGATCATTGTATTTAATTGCGTAGCAAGAGCACAAGGGTTTCTCACATCTGATTAGATTATATAATATTTTAATAAATATTACTTACTTTATTGATGCGTGGAATAGGTAATTTCTGAGTTCCGAAAAGCCCCACTCTCAAAACGAGGCTAAGTGTAAAACTTTCTTGTGATTATGATTTTTATTTGCATGATATATAAAAAATTGTCATATCAATGGCTTCTCACTATGTCTCGCCTTCAAACAGAGACTTGGGGCAGCCCGGAAATGGCCAGTAGTTTTCTTTGGCGGCCATTTTAAATTTTTCGGTCAGCTGGTGTCGGGCAGGAACCCAGAAATATTAGGGGTCTGGTAATGGGTCTGGGACAGTCGGGAAAATCTCGGAAGATCCGATTGCTTGCGGAGTATTATAAAGTCTTATAATAAGAGATACAAGCAGCTCCGAAGATTTCTCAGTTCCAGACCTTCCAGAGTATTCTTAGAGTTGTAAGAGTTCTCCATCTCATGCGAAAGTTTCACGTCGTGGTCGTACGGGGAGGGTAAAAATGTACCAAAGAGAGTGATGCACTAGCCTTTTAGGAAGCTCTCTGGGGTTTCCCGGAGATATGGTAGTGGGGGAGGGAAGAGGGGCCCCGCCACCAGGGCGCCCCGGTGATTTTGCTTACTGGCTAGTGATGCGGAGTTGTTGGTTTTCTTATTGTTTGAATCGCAACGATGACTAACACTTTCCTTTTACTTTGTGCAGTGCTTCTAACGTACTGACTATTGTGCATCTTTTTAATCGACGCCTTGCTTTTAATCTTGTTTAGGCTTTGTCAGATGAAGTCACCATGTCTATAGGACAAGCTTTTGAGGTAATTACCATGCACAACTATATAGCTCACTGGGCCAACACTGTTGTAATCACATCCCTACAAGCTGTCAGTGAGATGTTCTACATCCATGGCAGCAGAAAAGAGCACTCACTCTCTTTAGGGCGACTTTCCTAAGGGCAAAGGGAGAGGTTTTGAGAGTGCGTGCGCGCACGAGGGAGCGTTTTTCCCTCGCGCGATCTATAGAAACCAGTAAAATCAACCAGCGCTTGCCACAAAGGCATAATTATTCTATGCGAGACTCCCCGCGCCCAGACGTTGGCAGACCTTATTAACTTTTTATACCCTTGAGTTCAAAGGCAAAAAATGCAATGAAAGTCCTAGATTCCATTGAATAACATGTTGAAAAAGAAATAGCACCCTGCGAAGGCGCTACAGAAGAGGTCATTGAAATGGTCATATCATAGGATTTCATCACATTTGTGAACTTTAAAATTGTCGTTAAGTCTTTCCCTTACGCATCAGGAGGCTCAAATTTTCCTTGATGGAAGAGGTTGAGACTAAAGAATTTTTTAATCTTTCGTGATATTTGCAATCGGGAAAAAACAAACTGAACATGGCTTTACCTGAAATTTTACCAGTAGCCAAGTACTCTACGCCCTTGTCAGCCGGTTTTTTTTTTTTTACTTGTTATGTTTAATCAGAAGCATATAACCTGATCATTGGGTTGCCTGTGTCCGACTTCCTTTTGTTAGCTGCTTTAACAAATACCTTTGGAAATTGTAGTGCAAAGGTGCGAGTTACAATTTTCTGTTGTTTTTATTGCAGCTGGCCTTCAGTCAATTCCGACAGGCTCTAAATCGCCGCTCCGATCAGTAAACCAAACATATTATCTTAAGATCAGCAGTTGTTTAATATTTACGTTCCGGGAGGAAGAAGAAGTAACGGTTTCTTAAAACCTCTCAAAGGAAGTTATTAAGTTATTGAAGAGTGATCAAAGACTCACTGCAATAGCTATTATAATTAAGGTCAAATCTCCTTCAGTTTGTCTCGATGGAGATCTCGACCACAATTAACAAACGGCAATGTAGTGAGGGTAGATAAGTGTTAGCTACCAACTATACGGTATAAAAAGGCTGGTTAATCGGCTTACCTTAAGCCTTAGGCTTTTGTGAGTGCCGAATATTGGCGTCGTGGCTTGATATTACAAAGACTTGTAAAAGCCAGGATCAAAGTAATCGCAGTAATAATGAAGAATAGATAACCAAGCAAACCAATCAAAATTCAAAGTGCAAGGGCGGGAAAATTGTATTTAGTGCTAAGCGCGGGAAAAATCAACCCAGCGAACCAATCAAAATTGAAAGTAAACAAGCAACTGCGCCCAGTGCAAGGGAAAGAAAAATTGTAAGAACAACCTAGCGAACCAATCAGAAAGAAGTCATCAAAGAAACAAGTAGCATCGCCCAGCGCAAAGGCGGGAAAAATTGTGTCGGGCGCGAGGAAAAGTTTGTCACGGGTTTGGGTTTTTCTCTAAGGAGTGAATGATGATTAGAAACCTTGTTTCTGTCCATGTAAATGCTTATCAAACCATTGCGAATCGCCAAGAAAAAAAACGTTTAAGTTTGAATGAAGCGTCTTCTTTTGTATCAAACCATGATTTTAAAAATAATTAATTTGTAAAGACGATTTGTCTAGTGTGCCTTCAAAAATAATATTTTCGCCCACAAAGCAGAGTATTTTTTTATCAGTATATTCTTTTAGAATACAAATTATCGAATCAAATTTGGAAATATATTTTTTAGAGAATTTAGCGGGCCAAGTTCTATGACTTTAACCAGCAACAGTATTTCTATCGTTGGAAATTTTTTCAACTTGTGATCAAACAGATATTTTGATGGGAGCAATATCGAGGTAGAACAAGAACATTAATAATTGAGTATATTTGTACAAAGTTAAATAAAGATGGTTTTAAATATACTACTTTCCTAAAAATGTCCTTAGACTGGCTTTTCTCCTGTTGTAAAACGTAAGCAGTTCTTCTACGTCATCGGTTTAAGGGATCATGTGAGATTGCAGTGCGCATGCGCACTTCAGTGCAGTAAGGTTGTTCGTGTTTCATGATTGCGTTTTTTTTTTTGCTTCAAAATCTGAACTTTTCTCCCGTTCATGGTTAGTAGCAATTACAAAGTGTCCCTTCTTCGTAGAAGCAACTTACTGTTTCCTTTTTTTCTGAAAAAAGCGATATTGTCGCTGTGAAAATCGCAGATTCTCACGGGGAAAGCTGACCTCGTACTCTTGTCAGCTTTGAACACAACCTGAATGAAAACGACAACGCAAAAAGACAAAGACCCGAAAGGTCCCACTAACAATTCTAGTACAGCAAGTGCGGCATGCTGACAAGGATGACACTCATCGCAAGAATTTTAGCGATTAAAACAAATCAGTTAATGTTAAACAGTTAAACATCAGGCCATACTATCTTCGATGACGCTAGCGTAAAATAGTGGGTAGCCTACGTGGCAGGTGCTAAAAGGGGAAGGGGAGGTGAAGGAGAAAAGCGCCTCTCCCCAATACCTCTCCCTTTTTCTCTTCCTCCCTATCCCCTACCCATTTCGAAGCCTGCTATGCAGGCTAATACTGGGAGACAGAGGTTGCCACCACATCTTTTTCTCAGAGCGCGCAAGTTAGTTTTAATCCCGTCATCCCGATCCGAATTTTCGCTCAATCCCGAAATCCCGAGAGCTATTTCCGGCATCCCGTGCATGCTTTCAATCCCGAGTCTTGCCACCATTTTGCTTTAAAATCTCGAATCCCGAGCTTCAAATAAGGGAAATCCCAGATGCCGAAAGAAACCTATTGGGACCCTCATGTTAGGCTGCATGTACAAGTGTCATGCTCAGGCATGATGGAGGAAATGAGCAAGGCTTGTACAGTGTGCTCAGAATGAGTGTGACAACTGCGGCAGTGTTGACTCGATTAAAAAAGTGCTGGTCGGCAGAGCGGGAGTCGCAGGTACGATCCCCGGGGCCGGAACCAATACTCATGGTCTTAAAATAATTGAGAGAAAAGACACTGCCAACTAAACGTTCAAGTGGCTCGGAGAGTCACTTAGAAATGGCTGTCCAGTCTCCACTAGGGGGGCCTAAGAAAAATACCCTGGGTGGGTACTTCGTGCTAACACAGTGGCATTGACATAGCAAGGTCTTTTTGAACAAAGCAGGATCTGGAATGGTTTTCCTGGACTCTGGGATTTGACCAAAACACAGTGTGCGGGATTCGGGAAACGTTAACGGGATAGGGGATTTGACGGCTCCCGGGAAGGGTGATGCGCCAAAATTTGGGCACGAGATGGGGGATTGGGAAAAAAAAGGATATTTGGAATAGCAATGACAGAAGTTCGGGATGCGGGGTTCTTGTGAAAACAAAGCGGGAATGCGGGATCAGGACCCCTCTTTCTAGACCCTAGCATATCAGTTTCTGGAAAACTGCCCACCTACCCCTGCCCATAAGCCAACATTTTGCCCTAAGTGAGAAGTAAGTGTTAATGTTGGCATAGGGGAGGGGTAGGTGGGCAGTTTCCTAGAAACGTATGATGATCCATATGTCGCCTCCCACGCAGGTGTTTTTAGGGAAGCGGAGGAATTACGACTCCCCAAACAAAGCGGCCTGTGTGGAAGGCTACGTAATAGGTCGTTAGGGTTGAATTTTCAACATGCCTCCGGGTCTTTTTTCAATATTTGAATCTGGCAAAGTGTTCCATTCATAGAACAGTAACTCCCAGTTTACAAAAAAAATTAAAAGCTCCAAATTCATCTTTTTTACTATATACTTTGTTTATTTTTCTGAAGCAGTACTTGCTACTGTAACTACTCGTAATATCAAAGCGTTTGCACTAAAAAAAAAAATGCCCTAATACATTCTTTAAAGGTCAAGGTGATTACATGCACATAATGTTAGAGACGGGCTTCAAAATCTACCCTCAAATAACTATAGAGTCTTAGAAGACTTGCGGCTTATTTGAGCAGAGCCAACAGAATATTTATGAAAGCTAATATTTTTACCCTAAAACAACTACCGTTCAAGAAAGGCGGATTGTAACTGAAAATTGTTTCTAACTTGTATTCCCGCAAGTCGATGTAGAACAGCAATTTCGATCAGGCGATTCGTTTGAGTTCCTTAGCTTGCCAGTTAACCAGCTATGACACTCTATATCTTCAATAGTTATTCTTGCCCGAAAATCTAATACCAACATGCTACGTATAAGATCTTTGCAGTCTTCTGAAATTTGTTGTTTTGATTTCTGGAAGGTAACCCCTCTTTTGATGTGCTGTAGTAAGACTTTCGTGTCAGAATCATCAAAAGGCATCCGGCCTGTGACCATAGTATAAAGGACAACGCCCATACTCCACACATCTGCTTTTTCACCATCGTAAGGTATTCCTTTGAAAATGAAAATAAGATACTAGTAATTACCAAGGGTTAAGGAGTGGGGGCGAGTTTCAGACGCATGTTTTTTAGACACAGGTTTCTTGGTCAAGAAAAAAGTTGCATGTATGATATTTTCGCACTATCAGAAAGCCTACATCGCAAAAGTTGTTAGTTGAATCATTCAGTCTGCAGTGCGTTAGAAACGAGAGAAGAAAGGATGGATATTTAAAAGCGCGCAACAAATCTGTCAACTTGGTTTTAATTGCAGAAATTGTTTGCAAAAAGACGCAACAGATAAAAGTGAGGAAAGGGGAAAACAGAACTATACATTTTCAGTATATTTGAATTTAAATTTGGTCTACGGAAAAAAGGGTACCACTCAATCCCCCTCGGATCCCGCCTATTCCCGACGTGGGGGGTTACACAACAAAGTTTATACAGGGAGGCTCCGCTCTGAGGTCCGACATTTTACACTTTTACATACGATTTATGACAAGAAAGGTATCCCTTTTCGCACACCTTTTATTCACAAATAGTACCCTTTTCACATACCTAGTTTAGACATATGCATCCCTTTTAACTGCTGTAAACGCATAAATCACAAACCAGAATTTTCACACAGCCATAAAATGTATATATTATGTTAGCTTTTTGGGGGTCTTTTTACAACTTACAGACCAACCTAACAACCTACATTTTTCGTACATAAACTAGTGAAATTTCAACACTTTCATATACCTAAGCTTGAAAAAGGTACCCCTGACGGGCTGAGCATTCCCGTATAGGCTGGGTCTAGGACCCTCTTCGGAATTGTGTAGGGTGCGATGAAGGAGGAAATGCGTTCCAGCCATTATTAAAAGCGTACATCTTGAGCACGAATTACTTTGGCATTATGATTGTTGGCTCTTCAATTTCGTGCTGATTTATGCATCATAGAACGTACTCTACTCCCTCTTAGGGCCTGTTTACATGAAGGTAGGGTATCCCAGATAGGTAAGGTAACCCACTCCATTGGTGTGAAAATTAACCTGCGTTTACAGCCAATTTTACCTCCCCGGCATCCCGGAGAGCACAGTCCAAATTTGCTCAATTATTGTCACAGAAAAATGAAAGCATAAAAAAATGGCACGCAAACGGCTTGTTTAGATAGATGAATAGACAGGTAGTGTTTTAGTGGTTAATGCTCTCGTGCTGCAACAGGGTAGCAGTATATTCTCTTTTTCTAATGCATTTCCTTATCACTGTTCTCTGCGCGGGTACGAACACAAATACACTGATTAACCGCACTAACTTGATCAAATCTATTTCAGAAGGATTTGTACGGAGTCATCCGAACATAACATTGGTTATATTTCACCACTAATTGGCACTATGACAGCATCCTGATTTTTGGCAAATGGACGTTTTTCAACTTGGTCTTTCTGGTTAGCCCACCCAGATCAATATTTTCTTAAATTTAGTTTTTGTGACGTCATCACTTTTCTACCCTTTAAGTGTACCGTATCGAAATATCTTCAAAACTTCTTCGCAAATAAAAGATATGCTGTCCACTATTTTCGGAAAATTATCGGAAACGTCCGTACAGTCTTCGGAAATATTCGCAACAATAGAAGCTCTTCGGAAATCTTTCTGCTCAAACCGCCATTTCAAGCCAAGCAGCCTACTCATTCCGATTCGATCCGTTTTACCTTTAACCAGAATTAAATGAAAAGGAATTAGACTTTAAAACTAATTTGTTATCAGACCTTTATATATCCATTTGTGTCCAATAAAGTTTTTCGAATAGGAGGCTACGTTTGTAATAATAATAATAATAATAATAATGATAATAATAATAATAATAATAATTTATGAACTTATTGTGCGCAGCTTAACATGAGAATGATCAGCTGCGCATTACAACTGCATTACTTTTCAAGAAACAAATAAAAGAAAATGCATTTAAAAATAAAACATAAAAAGAATATATATGTATGCAAGTAAGAAATGAATATAAAATTGATCACCAATATACAGTTCTAAAAAGATAAGTCTTAATATGTGCCTTAAAACTGTTCACATTAGTAATCGCTCGAAGTTTTTTTGGAAGAGAGTTCAAGAGCGTTGGCGCTGCTGCCATGAAAGCTTTATCACCTAACGTAGTCTTCGATCGAAAAGCTGGCATAAAAAGTAAAATACTACCTGAAGATGTAAGGTTATATAAGGACGATTTAAATGTTAGTAACTCGCATAGATATTTAGGAGCAAGGCCTTGAATTGCTTTGAACGTAATAAGCAGTATCTTAAATTGTATCCGGACTTTAACTGGAAGCCAATGCAGACCACAAAGAAGGAGTGAGATGTGGCAAAACCAAGGCGCATTACAAACTAGCCTGGCTGAATGAGGCGTTGAAAACTCTCTACAATTTGTTAAGCTATTAGTTGGGCAGCCTATACAAAAGAATGTTGCAATAATCAACAAGAGATGTAATAAATGCATGGACAAGCATTTCCGTTGATTCTCGGATTCTTGTAGGTATTCGGGTGGAAAATACCCATTACTCACCCGTTCATTTGATTTAAGCAGTCTAATGTAAAAAGACATATTACCTTTAAGTATCTCATACGCCGCGTACGCTGCTGAGCCACAAAATGTCTTGCAAAGATCAGATTTGTTATAATATTTAGCAAAGCCAAAGTCTGTTATTCTCACGTTGTTTCCTTCATCCAAAAGAATGTTTTCACATTTTAAATCACGATGCAACACTCCATTTTTGTGGCAATGTTTTACAGCTTGTAACAACTGCTTGAATATCTTTTTGCCGAGACTTTCTTTAACGAATCCTCGTGTCTTTATGTAATTGAGTAGATCCCCACCAGGGGCGAGGTCCATGATTACAAACACCTTATCCTCTACGTCCAGAACTTCATACACGCGAATTATATGAGGATGTTGAAACATCTGAATAATGCTCAGTTCGCGAGGTAGAAATCTCTTTAGGAAGTCCTCAGGGGCCTTTTTACGGTCCACTATTTTCACTGCGACACGCAGCTTGAGTTTTGTGGAATAAGCCGTCCTGACTTTAGCATATGATCCTTCTCCAAGCGGTGGATCGTCAAGAAGTTCGTAACCATTTTGTCTTAGAAAACGTCCATTAAATGATTGTTTCGACATCACGTGGGAGAAAAAACGCGTAATGGCAGACATTTAAAGATGTTAAAGATGCAATCTAATTTCCATTCTGTGAGAGTAAAATTGCTAATGCCTTTGCGCGAGATACCATTTATTTCGTCACAATGCCTCTGTTGCTTGTTGTCGTGTTCAGTGTTCGCTTGCGCGCGCGATCGTGTATAAATGTCTTGGTTTCTAGAGCATACATGGATCTCAATGTTAATCACATCTTGAGTTCTTTTGCCGTAAATAATAATGATAATTATAATAATAATGGGTAGGTTTTACAGAGTATAAGAATTAAATAATTTTCTAAATTGGCTTTTTAAGTAGAGAGATTCATATCATTATGTATACTAGGATGGTATTAGGTTTCCGACCGACCTTTTTTTTAGTCCTAAGTTTAGCTTCTCAAGTGGTGTAGGTTACGTTATATGCTCCCTATACTACTCATAATGTGGACAGCATTCCAAAGTTTTATACTGCGAGATGATAATAATAATAATAATAATAATAATAATAACAACAACAACCACAAATGATCCAACCGACCCGAATGCAGCGCGCTTCAAACGTCTCTCGCAGGTAACGGAAGGCCACTCTAAACGGCGGAGGAAATAAGTGAGCCGAAAGTTTAGTAAATCCAATTTTAAATCATATAATTAAAAATGTATATGTGTTTGGTTGATGGCAATTCCAATTTAACTACACACGTGTCATACGTTTTCGGTCCGTTGTCGCCAAGTTGTCGCCATTTTGGTTTCTCCTAGGACTTAGTCCTCTGGCGCGTGTCTCGCGCGCGAGCTTCACAGCACTCGCCTCGCGTTTCTGGAGTACTCTTAAAACGCACTCACGGGCAAAGGCGTCAGAAAAATAAGAGGACGTGACTCTTGCTTGCGAGCGGTGTTGTGTTACAAACGGTTATTTACAAAGGCTTGTGTGGGATGTAAACAGTTTTTCTTAAAAGAGAGAAAAAATGTCATGTTTTTTTAAAATCAGACTTACTTTATTGCCTTGTTGTATTCTTTGTTGTTTGCCCGCGTCTCAGGCCGTTTTGAAGCGTTTTCGGCGAGTTAGCGCTATTTTGGTGTTCCTCCTTATTTTTAGACCAAAGTGACGCCCGAACGACCGAAAAAGAATTTTTTTGACACCAGCCCCCCCCCCCTCCCCTTATCTCAGGGTCTGGATGACTCAGACCCGATCCAAGCCACCGAGCGTTTGGTTGTTGTTCTTGCAAGCGATTTTGCAAGCAGGATAGCAAAGAGCGGTTCTAGGGACAGCAATTTTGTCAAACGGAAAGGGGCATTTCGGTCCTACCGACCGAAATAACCAGACAGGTCAAAGAGGCACCACCTTCAAAGCTGGCCCCGAACATTCCGGTCGGACCAAACCGAAATGGTCGGTTCCATTTGATCATAGTAGCCGAAATTTCTCTCGCTCAAGCTCTCCGTCGCTCTTTTTCTCGTTGAGCTTCGCTGGCCTGTCGTCTATTTTTTCTTTTTCTCTGTCTTTCTAGATCTCTTTCTCTACTTTCCAAATTTGTGGACATGACAATTAATCATACTCTTAATTCTTTATAGACCCTGACACGGATACAGAAACAATTTCCACTTTTCGTTTTTGTCTTTATTGACTCTTTACTGTCACTGCTTCACAAGACGCGGGTGGCTATGCGATTTCCCGCCAAAATAACCTCGAGTTGCATTTGGGTTGCCATACCTGTTGATTGAAATATTTTACATTGGTATCTCTCTGGTGCGTACGGACGTGCGGACGCTCGGACGGGCGTACGATCACGTGATTACCAAAATTTCTCGGAAGGAGAAGAGATTTTTAAAAACGTTAGACAAGGTCCTGGACAATTATTTCCCGGCATGGCTTTTGTTCCCGGCTAATAGTGTGAAAATTGGGAAGCAGGAATCTTAAAATCACGACACCTTTTGGGTGGCACATACCCTAATAGGTTATTTTTAGGCGCGACCCTGGTGTTAAGTGTGTCTGAACGATTCCCAACGATTCTGCGAAGGTCATTTTCATTCGTCTGCTGATTTTGTTTATTTATCAGTTGAAGTTTTCAGTGTCAATTGATCCGATTTATTCTTCCCTTTCACCGATTCTTACCCTATTTGGAGCGCTATGATGATTTTAATAGCGTACAACAAAGCGTGACCGGAATCTGAGGAATACAGGTAATTATAAGTAGCGGGACCTGAGCATCACGGCTGATAATACGTACACCCTCTCTCACCCCCTCCCTCTAAGGCAGTATAAATGGTCCTCCCGCAGTGCTCCGTGTTTTCCTCTCCTCCTCCACCCGCCTTGCATTTTTGCATACTGAGTCTTCGATATTTTTTGTCTGAGCACAGATGGAATAGATAAATATTGTAAATGCATAAATTACACTAACATAGGTTCGAAGTAGCCTGTGTACAGACGTCCCCCCTCCCTCCTGATTTTTCCTGATTTTTCGAAGTCATGCAGGAAAGAGCTCTTTTGAGGATTTTCATGATTTTCCCAGGTTTTCCCCCATTCCAATGGTCACGACTTATTTGCCAACGTGGCAGTTGTTGGCCAATCAAAATGCAACAAACATCCAATGTGACCACAGTTATCCAATCAAATCACCTCACCGGCGAGCATCGCTGGATTATCTATGCAGCTAACCCGGGAAACTTGTAATGTGAAAAGGCGTCTTGAGCTGAACCATTTAGCATCTTGTGGAGCTGAAATATTTTCCAAAAACATGGCTCGGCCTTTCTCCGTGGTCTGTGTCTGTTTATGTTTGTTCCTCGTCTACGCGCGCCCGCCAGAAGCGAAAGGAGAAAAGAAAAGTCGCGTCTACGACAAAGAACTCTCGGAGGAAGAACATTTCAAAGCTGAAGGTGAGGACGAGGAACATAACATCGAATACGATCACGAAGCTTTCCTTGGAAAGGACAAGAGAAAATTTGACGAGCTCTCTCCTGAAGAATCAAAAGAACGACTAGGGTGAGTGGAACGTTAAAATGCTGCTCGCTGCTAAATATAAATATTGAGCTCTAAATGCAATCTTCTGCATAGCTGCCAAAATGGCAAACTTATCAACCTTCCATTGACAGCGTCGAAATGCTTTTTACACAAGAACCTTTAAATTAGTCTGCATTCATCGATATGCTTGGCTTGTGTTATTATTTAAAATGAGGTATATTTATACAAGACGTATCAACCTTTTCGTGAAAGGGTAATGTCTTAGCTTACCATTTTTCGAATTTTAAAAGACTGACAACAGTCCACAGTCAACTGACTTGGAAGATGCCGATGCCACGTTGACAATTGACTCAGTGTGTGCAGTAAATAAAAGAAATTAAGTTAAACACTATCGTTTTCTTTGTGTATGTGTAATTGCAAAGCGTGCTAAATGATGTTAATTTCTTTGTTCTCATTAAAATAATATTCTTAAGTTAAATTTATTCTTTATGTCGGTTTCCCTGGCAAGAATATAATTGGCGTCTCAATGTTTGGAATTTTGGCACTGCAGTTTGTTTTCATGCTGCTAGTTATACGCGTTGAATCGATATTCACCCATTCGTCTACCCTGATTAGTGTATGGGAAGATTCACTTCATTTGATACATGGAAAAGTTTAATTTCTCGCGTAAAAATATATGAAGTTGTTGATTTCATGCTTGTTGTCAGTTTCTGAGGAAGAAAGTGCCACGTGTCATATGCGTCCTCGCAGGGGAGGACAGGGGTTAGAATTTTCGTTATTTTGGCTATTCGTTTTGGATTTACGATGCTATAACCCCCCCTGGACTACCCTCATAAAGGGAATTTGAATATATATATATATATATATATATATATTTAATGCCTGTACTTGCTACATATTTTTATGACTAATTATTTGTTTAGTTAAATCATGTAGCAGATATTTTGCAACAACGTTTTGTTTTGTTCATTACTTGACATAGCTTGACCTTGTTGTCAAAAATAATCTGTTACAATGTGCTAATGTTGACATACATGTTCAAAAGAATTATCATTTTTACATTACATTTTCATAAAAAGTTAGACACTCACCCCACACTGTTTACAAAAAAAAAGTGTTTAAATCTTTATCCAGTATTTATTCCGTAAAATTCTGAAAATAAGCCCCAGGGCTTATATTTTTCAAAGACCCTTTTTGAGGGGCTTATTTTTGGAGGGGCTTATCTATGGAGGGAAATTTGCATTTTAAAATCGATTGTGCTGGCTTGTAGTGGGAAGGATATTTACCATTTTTGCTTTGTTTTACTTTGTATTCGAGGGCAAATTCCGAGTACAAGCCCCCAGGGGGGCTCATATTTGGAGGGGCGATTTATCTGAGGTTTTTTTTGCGTTACGATTTTGGGGGGCTTATATTAATTTTGTAGGGGCTTATACATGGAGGGGCTTATTTTCAGAATTTTACGGTATGTTATTAAATTATGCTTTTTTATACTTTGTGTGGAGTGCCTTAATGCCCCAAATTTTTTATTAGTATCTATATGTGTTTGTATGTTTCCTTTTTTAACTGAGTGGAGTTTTTCACCCCAAATTTTTTATACAGTGCTGTCTGACTTTTGTGCAAATCTCGCCAAAGCGCATATACCGCATGTGCAATGGATATAATAATTGTATGAATATTATGAAACCTTTGAGAAGTAGGGGATTGTTTTTAACTGTTTGGTGTATTTTAATACAATAGTCCTTATATCATGATCTCATTGTACTGTAGCTGTAATCAAACAGAAGAATGAAGCTTATAACTACTATTAAGAATTTGAATGTGTAGGTATTAGTTTAACTTTTAAGATGCATGATCACACCAGCTCACTGATTAATTTGATCATGCTAAAATAGAGTTACTCAGTTGAGGTGGATTGTTGTCTTTAAGTAAGGGCTACAAGATAAAAATCAGCAAGGAACTACAAGTTTCTGTGAACAGGAGTGAGTGTACTGATTTTTACAGTCTCAAGTTGTTTGTCGTCTTTCTTGCAGAAAAATTGTTGACAGGATTGACAAGGACCACGATGGCAAAGTAACACAGAAAGAGCTAGAAGACTGGATTAGATTCACATCTAAACGGTATATTTATGAAGACGTGGATCGGCAGTGGGATCAGCTGAAAAAGCTTGAACAATCACATCTGTCGCTTGAGGAGGTATATGTGGAAAAAAAGAAAGCTGATCCAAATGAGGCAATCAGTTGGGAGCTGTACAAAAATTTGACTTACGGCTACATAACAGGTGAGTTAAAAAGCACCCTCCATCAAGAGAATTTACTGATGACTTGTAAAATTATGACTTCTGTTCTGTTTGGACTCTAAAGCAACTCCTCTTCTTGATGGCAGTAACAACTTAAATGATCCATCATCAACAAATCTTACAGATTTCTGACTACAATTTTCTTCAAGAGCAAAAAGCACATTATGACACCCCATAATAGTAATGCAACTGGGTAGGGTTGTTACGTTATAAGTCTACTATCATGGGGAATCCAGACAATCCACCTCATTGGGTTCAGGCTCAAACAACCTCTTTTTAGCTCAGTAAATAGCACTGCGCACAGATTCTGAAAATACACTACATCTGATAAGACCCCCCGCATGACTCGACAAACTTTGCTTCTCACTCAAAGGCTTTGTATGCGCGTTTACCGAGTGTTGAGTCAAAACATTGCTTTTTTTTGGGTATTTTTATTGGGATATGGTAAACAACAAGCGTTGCAGCTGGGAAGAATGTGAGAGGGAGACGAGGATCCGTGAAAAAGTGGTCTGAGTCACTAAATAAATGCGAGAAATCTGCAAAGAAAGCGAAGTACGCTGTGTTTTGTGGCAGTGATCAGGCAGCCGGGAAATGTTTTGAAAGAGGTAGATACGTGACAGTAAATTCACGTTCCAGCCACTTAAGTGCAGCCATTCTGATACATGTTTGCTGTCATGACAGTAATTAAAACATATTTAATCTACCCAGTAAATAAAAGTAAAGATGCATAACTTTTGCATTAGCAAATAAACCTGGAAGTAGCCAGTTGACGAAATAATTAAAGATTGTTTCATTGAGAGAAATGACATAAGATGAGTAGAAATCAGCATTACGGCAGTTTTACAATTCTGTTGGAAGTAAAGTAATGATGTTAGGGTATCAATCTTAGCATTGAATGAGGCACAATTTTAATGTATCTGTCTTTTTTGTAATTGTAATCATGCAATTTATCTGTGTGGCAATTAAAATACAAACCTTTTTTTTTTTCCATGGAAATCAGTCTTTTGAACAAGTAATTGATTAACTCTCTGTGGATTGCATGCAGCTGTTGAAGCAATGAAATCGATCACACGTGCCTCCGTTTTTCTTAATTTGGTTAATGATATTAAGCAACTACAATTTATGATTTTGTGTGTAACTTTTTTGTATTGATTGCAAAAATGGTGACTTAGTATTACTTTTTAATTTCCTTCCTTGTTACCTGGTAACTGGTTAAATCATTAGGCTATCAGAATCAATGACTTGCAAACTTGTCTGTTCTGAAAACAAACAAGACAATGCTTTTATTTATAGAGGATGATGAATTTGAATATAAAGACATGCTTTCACGGGATAGGCGACGATGGGAAAAGGCAGATGTCAACAAGGACAATGAAATAACCAAGGAGGAGTACACTGCATTTCTTCATCCTGAAGAGTATGATCATATGAAGGATGTGGTGATAGATGAGACATTGCAAGACATTGACAAAGATGGTGATGGATTTGTATCACTCGCTGAATATTTGGGTAAGCCTTTATTTTGTTTTACAGTCAACTCCCTCTAAGACGGACACCTTTGGGATGGGCAGTAAGTGTCTGTCTTAAGAGAGATGTCTGTCTTATAGAGAGCCAAATAAAGGGAGTAAAGAAAGCCAGGGACCAACTCTAGGTGTCCATTTTAGGGAGCTGTTCGTCTTATCGAGGTGTCCGTTAAGAGAGAGTTGACTGTATTTTATTTATTTTTTTGAATGAATGTTGCTCATTCATCTGTAATTTTAAAGATGCCTTTTACTTGCACAGACAAGGCATTAAAATTTGTCTTTGAATGTTGTAATTTGTAAGTGATTGACCGCAGGCAGTCAATGTGCGAATGTGTTAATGATAGATAACCAATAAATCTCGTTAACAACCTGATAATGATTGCCTGTTCACAGTCAGGGTTGTCAAAAGTAGCCGGCTGCCGGCGAAAATCGCCGCCTACTTGGTTAGTATCAGCCCACTACTCTACTTAGCATTTCTTTATGGATGGTGTTTTTTAAATATAAATCCCTGGACTGGCTGCTTACTTTGACAACTCAGCTGTCTACTTCAAAACTTTCTGACAACCTTCCACAGTACAAGTCTCATTTGGACTTTTAGAGCAACTGAATACTGGGATGTTCAGATAATCATTGTTTAAAAACAATAAACAAAATGTTAAGGGAGATATGTCATGAGGATATTCCTGTCTTAGGTCAATTCTGTATTAAAATTATTAATTATTAGTGCCTTTACTCATACACAAAATGCTTCTTTAGAGCTATGAAGAACATATCAAGCAAATTTCACCAGGGAGCACTAACCATGATAATAATATTTTTATTATTGTTTTTGTGATTTTTGCGGGCAAAGCATTAAAATTTGAAAAGGCCGGCTCATTACAAGTATGTTTCCAAGTTCCAATCCATGTCCATCCTTGCAATCTGTAGCGACAGACAACAGGAAACAGTTTCAATGCCTAAATTTTATCTTTAATAACAAAGCTGGACCATTATTTTTGGAATGCAACTGATGCCAAAAAAAATTTAAGCGTTCTTTAAAAGATAGTAAATAGCATGACATAGTCCCTTTAAGTACTTGTGGATTATCTGAACTCAAGGTGCTTTATGATTCTGTGGCTAGATTCTTAAAGTCATCGTGTAAGCCTTGTCCACATATTTTTCTTTCTAACCATACAAAAGGAAATGTACTCATGATCATGATGTACAAATTTTGACATAACTATAACAAAATTCTCAATTCTGATTGGCTATCAACTGTCCTGACTTCTGCACTAATAGGACAGTGTATACGTAATAGGACAGTATGAGTTATGCCTAAGTAATTATTGGACAGTATGTGCTATGACATGTGCTTTTAGCTTTTTTTTTTTCACTGCTAGTAAAAAAACCTGGATTTTTTTGTGTTTTAAGTTTAAAAAAGCCTAAAATATCACAAATTTTGTTGTAGTTATGATTAATTGGTAACAGGACTTTGTGTCGTCCAATTTGTAATAGTAACAGGACTGAGTGGAGTCCAATTCGGTCTGTAATCAAATGAGTGATTAACGAAATCAGACGACTGCCTAGTGGGAGTATGATTTGTTTAATCACGACTATGATTACAGACTGAATTGGATGACACGGAGTTCTGATCTGTTACCTATTAATCATAACTTTAACAAAAGTTGTGAAAAAAGGCTCCTTTGTAAATCAAAACACAAGAAATTCCAACTTTTTTTTTTGCTAGCAGTGAAAAAAAAGCCATTTAAGTGCGCGCTTGATGACGCATACTGTCCAATTACTTAGGCATGACACATACTGTCCTATTAAACTGTCCTATTAAGGCTGAAATCAGGATAGTTGATAGCCAATCAGTTTTGAGAATTTTGTTTTAGTTAGGATTAGGTCTGAAATCATACTCATAATTAAACAAATCGGACTCTCGCAAAGCATTCATCTATTTTTGTCAATCACCCTTATGATTGTAGACCAAACTGGACTCCACTCAGTCCTATTACCATTATAAACACAGTTGGGTTTTTTATTGTGGTCTTTAGCTCCTTGTCCTGAAATGTAATATCAAACATACAGTAACTGCAACTGCTGGTTAAGATGTGGCAAAAATGGACTGCAAAGTGGATTCCATCCTTTGACATTAATTATTTTTAGTTGCCTAAACAATAAGAAATACTTGACATGCAAATAAAGTGTATAGCCTGACCCTACCAAGAAAGGGTATAAATGATATTAGGGTCATTTATACGAGGAAAAAAAGACGCGTCTTTCATTAGATGTGTCCTAAATAAGACACAAACTATCTCGTATAAACGGCACTTCAAGACTCAACTTAGCCGAGACATGTCTTATCAAAGAACAGGTGTTAGCAGCTGTTCTTAGATAAGATGTGTCTTAGCTAAATTTTAAGGGAAATGTGCTGTTTATACGGGATAGTTTGCGTCTTGTTTAGGATGCATCTTATATAAGACGGGTGTTTTTTTCCCTCATATAAATGGCCCTATTATTGGGTTGCAGCAATGTTGTGAAGCTGTTAAAATGTTGTCTGCTGCCGATTTTACTCGCTGGCTCTTTTAAAAAAGATATTGTATGTTTAAATTAGGTGATCTGTATCCAGAAAGTGAAAAGGAAAAGGACCAAGAGGAACCAGATTGGGTGAAGAATGAAAGAGAACATTTTAATGACTTCCGTGACAAAAATAAAGATGGCAAAATGGACAGGGTGTGTATCAAAAATATGTTTCAGGTTGTATTTTAACCACTTAGGTTGTTTATTCAACTGCAAGGATCATTTCCACTTTCTTTCTCCTTATTAGCCTGCGAGAACATCCGTTTCTCGTCGCTGTTCGCCGCTGGGGACGTTTCGCGAGGAGGAACGTCTGCGACTCAGCGACAGAAATTCCATACTGAGGACGTAAAATCTGTCCAGAATCCGGTCAGAAGTGCTGATTGGTTAACGGAGTAGTTACATTGTTTTAGCTATTGTTTACGAATGACAGACAAAAGGCCACAGAGGTCAAATGTAAACGCGAAGAATCTCTAGCTAAACAGTCAATATTTGTAGAATATACTCTTCTCTAGAAGAAGTATTTGAGTTTTGCTGGAGCTCGTCGGCAGACGAACACAAAAATTTACCAAAATCGACCAGAAGACGCGTAAAATTGTACAAATTTGTATTTGGAACCCCATGACTACCTGATTTATTATGTAAACATTGATTTGCGTGATCAGTATGGAATTTTTGCCACTGAGTCGCAGACGTTCCTCTGCGCGAAACGTCCCAAGCGACGAAGAGCGGGGAGAAACGGATGTTTTCGCGGGCTATCTCCTTATCCGCAGTTGAAAAACACGAGTCATTTCATATAAATTATTTTCATTCAAGGGTATTTTTCTTATCTCTTTGCACTTCTTGGTTGTGTTAATTTGTTTTCATTTATCTATTGTTGTTGATTTTGTTTATGAAGATTCAATGTATTTTTTTCTACCGGTACTCCAAACTTGACATTCTGAAATGGAGAGTACCATAAAATTCTGAAAATAAGCCCCTCCATGTATAAGCCCCTCCAAAATTAATATAAGCCCCCCCAACCTCGTAACCCAAAAAACCATCCGTTAAATCGCCCCTCCAAATATGAGCCCTCCAGGGGCTTGTACTTGGAAATTGCCCTCAAATACAAAGTAAAACAAAGCAAAACCGATAAATTTCCTTCCAACTATAAGGCTAGCCCAATCGATTTTGAAACACAAATTTCCCTCCATAGATAAGCCCCTCTGAATATAAGCCCCTCCAAAAATAAGCCCCTCAAAAAAAGCCTTTGAAAAATGTAAGCCCTGGGGCTTATTTTCAGAATTTTACAGTAATTGTTTTCATAATTGCTGTAACAGGATGAAGTAAAAGATTGGATAATCCCTCCTGATTATGACCATGTTGAAGCTGAGGCAAGGCACCTTGTGCGTGAGGCTGATGCAAATGAGGTAATACAGCGGTATAATTTGTAACACTCCAGCTTTAGAGCATTCACCCTGCCAGAGCTTATTCCAGCTTCTCTAGCCCAGTTACAGTTCAACTATTGTTACCAGGGCCACTTAGACAAAGGTGACCAATCAGACTGCACATAAGTAACATTTCCATTCCAAAAACGTTAAAAAGATGGAATCCATTACGAAATTGAGTAATTTTAATTTTCAGTGGACAAAAACTTTGTACCAGAATAATTTAAAAAATATTGTGTAGTTCCAGAAATATCCATACTCCCCCCACAGAAGGGATTGGAAATTCCTGGGGAAAATACCTCTTGAAAATACCTCTTGAAAACCCGTGGAAATGCCATTTCTGAGACTCTAATTTTCACAATGTCCCTAGTTTCCTCAGCCCTCAAGAACTTGTGCCTTTGGTGTGAGTTCCAAAACTGCCTACTACACATTATCAGCCTGCTGCGTAAAAAATTTTTGACAACCCTGTTAAAGTCACATGTCATTGCAAAGCACGGCAAAGTTGATGAAGAAACTGCTGGTAGATTACAACATACAGCTTGTGACAAACAAATGTGTCTCCTTGCAGTTTAAAGGTCGGACAGAAAACATTGTCTTATGATAAATTTTGCTTTCTTGGAAACGTTTACTATCATTAAATTTTTGTTCTTCAGGTAACTCATTGTTTTCTTACGTACTGCTGATTGGCTAAACAAACTTTTTCGGAATGTTTTGTTATTTTCTTGCTATCAAATTGCTCAACCTTGTCTAGGTGGCCCCAGTTATGGTAGTTACACTCTAAGCACTTCCAAAACCCTTTAACTCCTCACAGAAAATTTTTTAAACTGTTATAATTTATTTTTATTTTGTAAATTCCTAAGAAATAAATGCGATGTAGTACTCAGTGAAAGTTCTGCCTAACAGGATTCATTTGAATGGTAACACTAAAGGGTTTCATCCAAAGATTTAAAGATTACAGGGTGCAAAGAGGTTCATTTTTAAAGCTTGCCATTTGGGCAAGCTGAAGCTAGCATATACTAGCCCAAATGTCATTTCAAGTAGCCCCAAAAACATTTTGATGAGCAGATTGATTTCACAGTTCTTCTGCTATTGGAATAACTCAAAAACTTAAATTGCCCATTGGGTAAGTTAAGAACAGAATTCACTAGCCCGATAGCTAAATCCACTTTCCCCAAGCCATCTGACACAGTGACTATTTTGTTTGCATGCTGTTATAATCAAATGACAAAAAATCTTGCCATAACATAGTGTAAGAGTGAAAGGGTTAAGGCAGTTTTTTCATTACATCCATTTCTCTGAATAGCATACTGATCTACTGTAGTATTTCCTCAAGTGTTATGTGGTCAATACTCATTTCTACACTCTTGTTATTAATAAGGTCTTTTTTAAGGTCTTTATTATGTTTTAAGGAAAAATAAATGCTAAAAACTAAGAACACGTAAATGTAAAAGCAATATTAAAAAGCTGAAATAGTTGAAAAGCTTCAAATTAAAATTAACATTAAAATCCATTTTACATTAAATTGCTACTTTATATTTGAAAAAAAACGTGTTAATAAACTGTTTTTCAAATGTTGGGTATTGACACTAGGGAGTTGGATGCTACAAGCACAGAACTTTCTTTTGTTTTGGGGAGTGAAGGATACAAAGGGTGGCTGGGCATGTTCGAGATCGTCTTGAATAGCATGCGATGTACATCATCTAAGACGTCATATATGTTAATTTGATCAGATACGTATCTGCGTTTAAAAGAGTGCTGTAGAAAATTCTGGACCGTTATTAATTCAGGTGTTGAGGACGCGCGTGTATTAAATTTTATAGAAGACTTAAAGTTAGTTTCGGTAAAACTATTGATCTAAAAACATTATCTACATCTGATTGTTGGTCTCCTCCTTTATGTAAACACCTTATCGTTTGTTCACACGGTTTGAGTTTATTGCACTGTATTAATGTAACTGTTTTTTTTTTCCTTTCTGTTGTGTCTATCAGGATGGAGAGCTGACAAAGGAGGAAATTCTAGAAAAACATGATGTTTTTGTTGGAAGTCAAGCAACAGACTTTGGAGAAGCACTGACAAGACATGATGAGTTTTAGAATCTCTGTGATTTTACTTTATTATCTTAGGATATATGAATATTATAGTTTTTGAACCGTTAATTTTATAAAATATTGAAAAAATATATATATATAATTTATATTGGAATGGCTGCCTCTGCTTTCACCAGATAGGCATTTTAGAAGAAAATGTGATTAAAATTTGTATTGATCAACAGAATGAATTTGAATAATGAAACCATGAAAATAACTTTAACTTAGCCAATGGCAACAGCTGCCTTTTTTTGTTTGTCTGCTTTATAATATGGCTGAGGATTTATAACCTTAGTGTACAATTTGTTATAAAAATTCTTCTTGTCCAGAACATGTGAAAACACATGAGAGTACTGTACATTATTTTCCTGTAAAAATCAGTGTTGGTGTGGATAGAACATAGATAATTATTGCTTTCAATATATTTAGTATGTTCGCATCAATACCGTGACATTCGCTTGCTTTAATTTGGCTGACACTGTTACTCAAATGAAAACAAAGTACAATTTTTAAGCTATTTAATTTCTTTTTTCAAGAAAGTAGTTTCAAGAAGTTGTATTAGTCTCCATAAACGTTCCACAAACACTGGTATAAAAAAAATAAAACATTGTACAATATAAATCTCCTTTGAAATTTTGTTACACTTTCTTCAACTTGTAATACATGGCTTTAGGAGTTCTTTGAGGTGGCTCCAGGGCTGTTGTCGAGCAGAACCCAGTTAGGATAAACTGATATAGTGGGGCGCCTATAGGACCAAAAAAAAAGATTTTTTAATGTTGTTGGCAAGAGTTTCTAGTAAAGAATGGGCATGTTTTAGTTGTTGTTAGAGGAAGGTGTTTTCCTGAATAGCTTTTGTTATCCTCTCCCCATGCAAGAACTTTTGAAATTTGGAAAAAAATCTTTTAATCTAAACTTATGCAATGAATACCCAGGATTACTGGTAGATGCAAAGAAAAGTCACCAAGGACCTGTGAGCTCTTTGGAGGTGTAAATTGCAAATAATATCCCTTTTCAATTCTTCAGTCCCTTTTTTATCCAAATTCTGCAAGAATCTCTCAATGATTTTTCGTGGTGTAAATCTGGTACTTCTAGATTTCAATTCGTCTGTTTTATTTCTATAAAAAAATGCACTGGGCAAATAAGAAGGCATATTTCGATAATGGGTATTGATTGTGAAAAAGTCAACCATGGGTCGTTGAGTACATAATTATGACTCTGCCTTGTTGAACAACTGACCCGCTCACCATTAATTTGAAATGTGTTTGAATTTTTGTTTAAACTGATTTTTTTCTAATTTAGTTTTTTTAACTGTTTACATACCTATGTTCCTCCTTTGTCAAATTTTTATAACTTGCTAAAAATGCTACCAGTGGCTTGTTGTAACTGGTTGGATTCTGAAGGTGAAATCATATGATGTGATTATGAAGCGACCTCCACAGAACTACATGTATTCTATTATTTGCAATATTTTATTTTCAAGAAATTATACATGGTAGTTCTCTTAAATTTTACACTCTTTGGGCCTTTAGGTACAGTGTGCACTTCGAACCCCGCGGTGGAACTGGGTGGGGTTACTCCCTATGATGGCCTATATTGAGAGGCTCTACCCGAAAGAGCTCAGGTATATAAAAGGGTAGCACTTTCACAAGTTGGGTTATGTGAAAGTTAAAAGGGTAGAGAAATCTGTCATTTAAGTATTTAAAGGGCGTTTAATTATGATATTTCAAACAGACTCGCCTTATGGCTATATCATTATAAAACACCGACATATAATGAAAAGAAGACTTACTTTTAGTGTGAGAAAGGGACACCATTTTCAGTGGAAGGTGTGCGAAAGGAGTACCTTTTTTGTCAAAAGTGGTATATAAAAGGGTGAGGGGTTGTACCTCGGAACGGAGCCTCCACGTACCCCCACCCCCGTGCTTCTAAAAACAAGTACAAGTAAACGAAATGATTCCCGAATGTTAAATTTGTCGATTTTATTATAACAATTCGTCTCGTTAGTGTCATAGGAAATGTAAGAACAACGCATACATGCCGATGAGAGCGCTAGAACATCTTATTTTTTCTACCTTTTGTCGGCCAGGAAATCAACTCCACGCCTAAACTTCGTGCGTGGGGGTGATTTTCGAGATTTCCGGTATGTCGCGTTCACGACAGTTTAACTATACCCTTCTGGTGCCTTTTGTTCAAAGCGGGAACGGTTTTGAAATTCCTTTTATCGGGTTCCCCTGCTTAAATCCATTCTTCAAATTTACGTCAGATCTCACACAGGGAAAGAGTGGGGAACTGCCTCCTGTACACAGCCTGCAACGAGCTGTTCCAAAAAAAACCCGCCAACAACAAAGAAAACAATGTAACATTGTGTTACCGAACAAGACATCGAAGACTTGACATCCGATAAACAATAATGAATGGATCTTTATTTTTCGGGCCCACAATAAGACTTTATTTTATCCCTACAGTTTTTTTCTTGCCAGCGTGGCAGAAATTCGAGCCAACCCTTCCCAGGGCCCGACCACATGTCAAACATTGTCCAATCAAATATTCGCAAGCGGCAGCGAGTTTTTGTTTTTCTGTCACTTTGCTCCGATCTGTTCTCAGAGTTCTGCACGCGTTTTGTTCTTCAAAGGTATCTCTCTGTGTTACCTGAGTATCTCGCCTTCTTTTAGCAAAATGAATCCTTTTTCCTCCGCATTAGTACTTTGTTTGTGTTTTCTCGCTGTTAGTACAGCCCCAGAAAAAAACAGCGCGAAGTCTCGAATGCACGATGGAAAACTGTCTGACAAAGAACATTTCGACAAAGATGGCAAGCACAACGAAGAATACGATCACGAAGCTTTTCTCGGAAAGGAAAAGAAATCCTTCGACCAGCTGACTCCTGAGGAATCTAAGGAAAGACTTGGGTAAGACGAAGCGGTCCTTGTTTACTGATGTTTGTATTTTCAATAGTTTTGTTTTGAAGAAAATTCAAGCGACAAGCCACTAATGAAGCCGAGCCTACAAGCTGTGGCTTCTCCGAGTTCTTTAATATTGATGTCAAACTATGGATGGAGTTTTTAGCTATCATATATTATTACCCAGCATCCAATACAGTAAGTGTTATCATTTATGCGTTAAATGAATGAAGAGAGCCCAACATTTTCGGAGTTAAGGGTGGAAATGATGGTGAGGTACGAAAAGAGCTAGCGATACCTTTCTTTTGAATTCCTCGTTGTCTGATGAATGAACAGTCCTGGAGCACTTCCATTTGCGTTCATTTTAAATTACTAAACATGATGACCTTGTTGATTTCGCTACGTACAGTTAATGAACATGATATATTTGCTGCAAATCGACTCTGCCACGTGGCAGCGCATTCCATTGCTCGCGTTTCCCAAGCATGATATATAACGGGGCATTCGATTTTGTGACGATAAAGTTATGGCTTTCTAATGACAGATGCAGTTGAACCGCCATTAAACGGCCACCCTCGGGATCCCAGCAAGTGGTTGCTCAGTGGAGGTTGGCCGCTCCATAATTAGCATAACCTTTAGAGGAACATCACTTTTTTTTCAACAGACATGTGATGAGAGCGGCATAATTTACCGTCCACAATCAGCTGTGTCACCTTCTATCCCGGGGGGAGGGGGGTGACTTCCATTTGATGGCCACTCACAGAGGTGATAACCATACAACTGACCATAAATATATATAGGAGAACTTGGGCGTGGATCCACACCTTTTTCCACCATTTTACGGAAATCGGCCAGATTTTTCATATTAAACATATTTTTAAGATAACCAAACTCTCCATGATGAAATCGAGAGATGAAATAATCGGCCGATTTGCAAGGCGTTATCCAAGGAGAATGGAATTAGCCAATATCCTGTCTGGAATGATTCAGAAACCTTGGAAATTTCCAGGTGGGGCATGCCCCCGAACCCCCCTAGAACCTTGCGGTGCTCATTCAGGAAATCGGTCAGTATTTGTCCTAGATCTGCGCCTGGAACTCTCATCAGGATGGTCAAAAGGTGGCCTTGGCTGCGTAATAGAAGTTTTGTTTATTTAGGGACTTTTATTACAGGCCACTTAAGAGAGGGTGGCCTCTTAATAGGTGGCCATATACTGGAGGGTCAACTGTAGTTAAGAAAAATATATTCGCTATTGGGTAGAGTTGCAAAGTGATAGAACCCAATAGGGAATATATATTTTAAAAGCAGTAAATTTTGCTGCCTGAAAGTCAGTTTTTAGTTATCTTGGTTTATCTTTTTTTTCTTTTAATGATTATCATTAATTAGGTCTTTCATGTGTAGTAATAGAAAATATCTATACCTCCCTCACAGAATAGATAGGCATTTATAAGAGAGAGGTGTTAATTCTCATTACTGCAATAAGCTCAACAAAACTAATATGGTTTTTGGCAAAAATATCTCGAGAGTTTAAAAATAGTGGAATATCTGCTCCATCAATTAATGCGCTTAGGGTGTCTAGAGATCCACATCACTCTTTCAAATCCCAACATCAATGTCAGTCATAGGTCACGGTTACCATCGTTAGTCTATGCTTACTTTGAACTTGACATTGAGCAAGACAAAAAACACAAAGCCTTGTTAATCAGGCAAGAAACTGAATGAATTTGCTCCTTTTTGCCAATCCCTACTAGTTAGGGTGTGTCTATTAGACAGGGGGCGTTTATTACAGAGGGGCATCTAATACTATTTTAACAGCATAGAGGGGGCGTTTCTTAGGTAAGAGGCGTTTATCAGGTCATTTACGGTGCACAATTTCAACGTCAACTAGTTCAAACACAATTTTTTTTATTTTTTATCGACGCAATCAAACTAACTATGATAGAACATTGGAGAACTGGCCATTTTGGCTAACAATACACGACTGTGTAACTGTGACAAAAGACGGATCGAAACGCCACCAATTACATTATGAGTCTTCATAGCCAATAACGACAGGGCTTAACTGACAGACGACCAATAACATCGCAACATAATTGACCAATCAGGTCAATAACCAGAGTATAATACCATCAACTGACATGATACAACTCACTTTGACTCTGAAGGCTACTTCATAGGTTGTCAAAATGTCAGTCACTGTCAACAACAACAGTCCTATTCAGGACTACGTTCATTCGGACAATCAAACTCTACCTACTTTTGAATGAGTCCTGGGTTCAAACGTTCCACACAATTTTTATATCTTAATAGGAAAATTGTGGAGAGAATTGACAAGGACAATGATGGGAAGATTACAGAAAAAGAACTGGAAGACTGGATTGGATTTACCCGAATGCAAAACCATTACGATCAGGTAGACAAACGCTGGAAAGATCTGAAACAACGAGAAAAGAACCTAGTTTCACGAAAGGACTTTCATGGCGACAGAAATGTTGATCCAGATGGGCCTGTAAGCTGGGAAATTTATAAGATAATTTCCTTTGGTAAAAACCCAGGTAATATTACTGGTAATATTTGTGTTTATTTAATGGCAACATTCCTGATAAGATAATTTATTGGGCAAATAAATCAAGTTATAAGTCCCATAAATAAATATCTTGGGTTTTACTGGAGGAAGAAAAAGTTATATTTCAAAACAGAGCCCTGCATTTGGTGGTATGCGAGACTATACAGGATTGTATAGAAAATTTTAGGTAAAAGGAGAATGACAAAAAGTAGGCAGCAACTGATAAGATTGAAAAGCATGTACATTTTTCATGGGGCACACCTGTGATTAGGGGTAGGTACAGGAAGTGCCTCGCTCCCCTTTTGGGAATATTTTATTTTGGGGCTTCCTGTAAAGTGCATTACAGTCCATATTTCGAGCAGTAAGGAAAAAAAATTTAGCTATGAAAATGACACCTTGATTTAACCACATTTGAACCATGTTGGTTTTTATAGAACAGCCATTGCTTCTACATGTATCATGTAAGAGCTCTGTTCCCATGTACATCATAATTGCCCACAGTTACTGATCTTTCCAGCAGTCGTAGTAAACTATTGAGTAATATTGTAAATTTTGTTGACCTGTAGAAAAACATTCAGATCATGTACGCCTACTTAATCAAATGAGCACAGATGAACGTCGGTGGAAAAGAGCAGATATAAATCAAGACAACAAACTATCAAAGGAAGAATATGGTCCATTTTATCAGCCCTGGGAGCATGAGCACATGCATGATGTTGTTGCACAGGAAAACATCGAAGGCATGGATAAAGACAGAGATGGACGTGTGTCACTTCAAGAGTACCTAGGTTAATATTTTTTGTACTTTTAAGGTCTTAGGTAACCAAAATACCAACAAAGGAGTACTTTTGAAAGTGGAAACGATCCTCGCAGTTGAGTCATTTCCACCATTGGGTGTATTAAGAACTCACTCTCCAGTTGGCTTGATATAGCTTAATAGATATACAGAGCCGCTCAAAAGTAAGTTACCACCCTCTCTCAAGACGTAAATCGCGTCATGCAGGACACTATTCTCATAGTGTTTTGAATCATTGGTTGCCTTGTGGCCTCAGTCGGTGCACTTTCTAGCTTTCCATTACAGTCAAACCTCCCGAACCTCCAGTTGCAACCACCTCTTGTAAGCAACCACCTAGCATGAGGGACCACCAATCCAAAACACCAAAATTTTCCCAGTCAAAGCCTTATAGTTGGAACCTCTGGTAAACGACCACCACCTGCAAGCGGCCACAGCCACTTTTTGGGCCTGACAGTGAATGATTTTCCATTGTTTTTAACCTCTTGTAAGCGACCACCTTGCATATTCACTGATATCTATTTTCGCTGTGTGTGCTATGACAAAATGGAACTACATGTATTCTAACGTAGACATTGCATGCATTAAATTGTCTTCCATAAAGTAGATGTGCCTAGACCTCTTCTCGGAAGAGACCACCGGTGGTTCGATTTTTGTAAGCAACCACCTCCTGTAAGCGACCACTCAGTCTTTGCATTTTGGGTGGTCACTTACGGGACGTTTGACTGTATGATGTGATAAGGTCTAAAAAAAAATGTTTCTTAAATGTTTTAGATGACATGCATTCAAAGCCAGAAAAGGAAATGACAGAAGAAGAACTTGAGAAGAAGGAGAATGATAGAAAACATTTTCATTCATACCGCGATGCAAACAAAGATGGCTACATTGATAGGGTAAGAAATGACTCCCTTTTGTAATTTTGATATCAACTATCCACCCATGAAACAAAAGGGATGCTGTCACTTAGTTTGTGCAATTTTCCAGACCTGGAAAAAGTCTGGAAACTGGAGATTAAGTCTGGAAAAATGGTTAAAAGTCTTGAGTTTTTTTTGAAGCGACATCAAGTGCTTTATAAGTGAAATTTTGTTCATTTTGGTCAAATCTCTAATTCATTCTTGCCTGTATAAGTGCAGTGCATCATGAAAAGGCTTTGTTCCTGCGGTTTTTAAAGGTCATTATTGATCACCTATTCGATAACCTTAGTCTGGAAAAAGAAATTATTGCTTATTATTTTAATGGAAAAAAGTCTGGAAAAAGTCTTGAATTTTGGATCCAAAACTCTGTTTGAATGCTGTTTGTGTGAGGAAGCTAGAAGTGGTCTCAGAACTAGAAACATATTGCATAATGCAAAATGTAACAATCCTGTATTAAAAGTTAATGCTGTTAGTCAATCAAAACCACATAATTCTGATTATCAGTTTGTGTAAAAAAAACAACGGTTAATTATTTATTTTGAAACAGGATGAAATGAAGGAATGGATGTTTCCTACTTCCTACAACTATCTCCAAGCAGAAGCCAGTCATCTCATTCATCATGCTGATTCTAATCAGGTGCAGTTTTACATACATTATTTGAATTATTTAAACCCATCAGGTGTCCTGTATTCATTAGTGAACTTACGCGACAGGAAGGAAGAGGAAAGAAGATGGCAAACCTTGTGTGACAAGCGTGACAGTTTGAAATAATTTTTCACCAAACTTCACTCTCCTTTAAACAGTTCTTTTTGTAAAAGGCCAGAATACATTAATGTTGGGTGAAGTTCGTGACGAAACACGCAAGTAATAGCCTGTCACATTATTTTGTCATGCACGAGTGTTTTGCTGTCCTCTTCCTCCAGCGTCAATCCTATGAGTGCCCAACATCTAATTCTTTTTGTATCAACATAATGATCAAACATGTCATCATCATCACCAAAATGGTGGAGGAGGGCAATGTCAGGTAGTGGACAAAACACCGACCCCCAGTCCATGGACTACCCGTATGGACTACCCTAAAATGGACTACACCACTGTAGTTTAGTGATCAGGGCTAGGAAACAGAGTAAATGAGGCGTGAGGTCAGTTTTCCAAGTATAATGACCCTAAATGGAGCTTGATTCACTCAGTTTCCCTAACCCTTATCTCTTAACTTCGATCAGCAGCGTAGTCCAAAAATAAACTGCATGCCAATCACGAGACTCATTTGCGTACAATAAAAGTCATAACAATTCTTATCCCCAGTTTCCATGGTCTCCACTAGGAACACCTGGGACCATAGCCACTATTAAAATGAAACCCTTCCATTTTCTGAGTCTTGCCTCCAAAGCAAGCGACACTAAATACACACAAATTTGCATCTAGTGTTTAATTGCAAAGTAACTACATAATTTATTCATTTACTATACATATCTTATGTTTCTGTATTTCAGGATAAGGTTTTGGCAAAGGATGAAATCCTGGACAAGTATAGTCTTTTTGTGGGAAGCAGGGCCACTAATTTTGGTGCAGATCTGACACGACATGATGAGTTATAAGAAGCAAAAGTGAAACAAATTGTTGCCATTTTTTATGCAAGATGTGTTCTTACAAGTGGTTTTGTATGAGCAGTATTTTTGTCAAAATTATACAGGTTTTATTTCATGGTTTATATTTTTATACAGGTACGTAAAAGCTGAAATGTGAAAGATGATCAAATCTGAATATGTTTACTAGCTCCAGAAGGTGATTTCATGACTTAATGAATTTTGCAATAAAATGCTTAAAAAAACCGTCCAAGCTTCATCTGTTTTTGGTCTTGTCGATTTACTTTAACGTGCTTTTTCGCTATTCTACATTTGTCATGCGCGTGTCTTGCCTTAATCGCCGCAGAATTCACCCACCTTTTGAGCCAACTATAAATTTTAATATACCGAAATTCCCTACCCTAAAGCAAAAAGGCTGCAAATCAGGAGCTGGTTTAGGCGGAGACGTTGAGCATGAACTAGGGAATATGCCATTCATTCATAGAACCTCCGTTGGCAACACTTGACAAAGGATATGCCACTGCTATGAACAGTCTCTTGCCCTCCCCCTCCCTCTCCCCATCCTGTTAATATGCTTTCAAATGATTTATTATCCACTTAACAAGGACGCTTTTCTACCGGAGGTATCGACCAGGTGTTAACCAAGTTGTGCTGTGGTGTAGCTATGAACAAATACACTGCTAAGGCGACGTCCACTCTAGCACAAAAATATTGGTTTTTATTTTTTATTATTCCTCTTTACACTTGTACAGATTGTTAACTAGACACACCCTTCTGAAGGTGGTTAATAAATTAATTGCTTTTTCTGTCATTTTTTTTTTTCATTATTAAACATTGCAACTATATACAAAGCATATGTTCATTTTGTTCTATCAGTTAGGAAATTAAATAATCTTCAAATATCCGCCTATTGTAGATATACAACGTGACGCAATTTAACAACTTCAACAAAAGGCCGGCTAAAAGCTCTCGGAACAGCTAACCGGATTGGATGAGAAAACAATAAACAACAGAAACAATGGACCCTGAAACGAGAGAGTCTCGTGCCGGGAACAACAAATGAAACTGCAGGTTGGAATTTGGCGGGATTTCCAGCCGCTGTTCAGGAAACGAGCCCGTGCTCCTCCCCGTCTCTTCTCACGGGGGGACCCGAGACAGCGGCGCAGATCGAGCCCACGTGACGGCAACCAAAAAAGAGACAAAGCTAAAGATTAAATACTTAGAGGGCTTAGAAAATTTATTGTATACACAATTGGTCACACAATGATCAGCCTCTGCCCTCTGAAGTGCTTGATTTCACTCTTCCTCAGGGTTCTTTCACATCTCAATTAACTTCCGAACTTCCGGAATCCCTTTGTCTATATCGATGTCAGCCTGCAACTTCTACCCAGTTTCCGTCTTGCTCTTGTTGGCTTCGTTTTAGTACTTGGCGATTGTTCTGTATTGCTAATGTCCAGTTGCTTTCTGCCAACAGAGTCAGTAGAATATATAGTCAATTGTAATTCATAATTCGTAACTCCGAATGCTTGCGCGTGCGTTGCCGTTGTTGTTTTATTTAAAGACTCCTTAAAAAGGGACGCTAGGAGGCTAGTTAGACTTCACGCATTCGTGCCACCAGAGCTCTTCTGTCTGCGCATGACTAAGGAAAACCGGAACTTCCAACCTCGTTCCCAGGGTCCTCTCCTACTCGTCCCACCCACTCTCTCCTTCTCCGGGGCACGAGTAGGAGAGGATCCTGGGAACGAGGCTGGGAACACAGTTGCGGAGCTTCTGTCGAGTCATGAGCAGCCATTAGACCAGAGGCTCTGGTGACGAGAAGGAACGACACAAAGCACTTCACAGGTTGTACTTTATGACTGAATAGGAAATGGTCGTTTTCTGTCCACATGAGACAAGATAACATGTAGCCTATGGAGCAAACGTTCCCAGTCGAGTTATGACGCCAACGTTGGAGCAAGAGCAAAAGAAATGGAAGATCGAAGAGGGTGAGGAAGCAGAAAAGAGTACTCTCAACCCCGCTTTCTCGACGAACTCGCGCGGAAACGTTTGATACGCAGGCTAGATAAAATGCCAAGGACGCGTACAGTTCTGGAGAATCTGAAAGTGACTTTGGCTAAAAGACGAAGAAACCCTTACGCAAAGTGCGGGAAGACATGGTCCACTGACAATGCCATACGAAAAGCTTACTGGTCTTGCCGTTAACGTTAAACTACTTTAATAATCCAGCAAGAGAAGATAATATTTCGAATCTTCGAACGTCACTTTCCTTTAGATTAACTCATACCGAGAAGATCCTGTGTTTCCCTCTTGCAAATTTTGAGGGTGTTACCACACTCGATATTAATTACTGCGATTACTAACTGCACTGGTAGTGCAGTCTGTACCATGTTCACAGGCGGCACCATCGCGCGGAAAAAAAGAGCGCGGGGCACCATGGGAAAGATACAGTGGTTAGTACTGCCATGCCTGTACCGCCTATAAGCCTTTTTCCAGACCCTCGCTTTTTTGCTCGTCCCAGCTAACAGAGAGCCTAAGAAAGGCGATAATTATTGAGAGGGTAAGAGTAAATATTGCTTACAATTGAGCGATATCGTTGTCTGTCGGACTGTATCCATTTTTCCTCCTTCTTATATTTCGGTTCTGCAGACTGATGTTGAGGTTTACGATCATTGTAACTAGCTCTTCTTTCTGATGAGAAAGGAGATAGAATGAATAATAGAATTTACTTACGCACTAAATTGTACCGAAGTATTAAAGGCTGTAGAGTTTATCTGCCGGAAGCGTCCAGACTTTAGTTCCATCCCCAGAGCCTGCCGTCTGTTTTTTATGGGCTTTTGTGTTTCAGCAACAACGAACGCCTGCGACGAAGGCGAAAACCTCACTAATAAAACTTCGCTACAACTCGCTCAATGTGTCAAATTTACGTGAATTTTCCTGCAATCTAATTCTGGAGACCGCACCCAAGTTTAGACTAGATTGTAATAGATTCTTCCATAGATTGTAGCATTAGGGTATTTCGCCTGTTGGTCACGCCATAGAGCGCATAGAAATGAATCAATCAGTCCGATGCACGTGAAGAGTTTTTGACGTCCTTAATAACTGGCGCGGAGCCATATCCGAGTTCCAAAACTTCTCACTTTCAAAACGAGGGTAACTAATTCCAGAACCTTTCTTGTGAAAATGAGTTTATTTTTTGCTTAAGAATAAAAATCATTTCTATATCAATGGCTTCGCAGTTGGTCTTGCTTTAAAACAGAGGCTTGGGACAACTCTATACCAGCCACAGGCCAGAGGAATCGTCGATACGGAAAGTACTTACAGACTTATCCATGAGGCTGTCGTAATCCTTCGTGTCTTTTGCGATAATTTGAAGACAAGTCGGACATGTTTTCGCCTCCGGATCCAAAGTTTCTGATTCTTTGAACCGCACTTTTTGTCGTTCTTTCTTCAAAGTGTCGCAGTCACTTGAAACATCCATAGATGTTTTGGATCGTTTTCGTAGGGGACTGGCTAAAATATCTTCTTTCTTTCTTTCATTTAGTAGTTCATTGTATGCGCATTTCCATTCTGTCTTTGGTTGACGGGATAGTATTCCCCTGAAACATGAAATTCAAAAATCATAAGTTATAAACGCGTTGATTCGATTGTCTATCGGGGTGTTCTTATATTCCTTTCGGTATTTTAAGGTTTCTTCGGAGGCTTTTTTTGGTGGGTTAAATCTTAGTAAAACTACTGGGGGATTCAGCTCACCTACCCCTCCCCTAAGCCAACATCAACACTTCTCACTTAGGGCAAAATATTGGCTTAGGGGAGGGGTCGGTGGGCAGTTTCCCAGGAACGTATAATGATCCCAAGTAAGTGGGGGCCAACTCATCCAGATCCTAAGATAAGGGGGCGTGACCTGGAATTAATTTGATTTCTGGGCGCAAGTGCTATCCGGTAAACATAGCCTCAGTTTGGCCTAAAGGACGGGCCCAGGTCCCTCTTGTGGACTCACTAAAGCAGGGGCTGCCAAGGGCTGCTGGGACATTTAATCATTCGTCGTCGGACTAAAGTTTTTTGAAACAACTCAACGCCTGACTTATAGCAACAATATACAGCCTCAAGTTTGGTTTCCTCAGTTTGTTTCCTCAGTTACCCGCGGGGTATGATTATTATCAAAATCACCCAATAGGTAATTAAAAATTTAAGAACGCGGATCACGTGAAACTAATCTCGCTATGTATTGACCATTAGCCTGCGACAATTCTTGCCTGCTAGTAAGCCCTCCATTCGTCTATGTAGCGAAGCGAGAGAACGCGTCTCCGTTTATTTCTAGTGCTGCTTACTGCGCGTGACTTCTCGCGAATTCCCCAAATCGAGAGCATGCTCGCAGACAAATTGGCCACTTTCTAGTCGTTTTTGGATTTCTTCATCCGAAAATATCTCAATACAAATTACCCTGGCATGTGAAACACCCACCCCTCTCTTTCTTTTCTTCGTTCTCTTTTCTGTTTTTTTTTTTTACTTCTAATTTTGGCCTACCGAATTACCTTTTCACACGCGCCTGAGGAGCATCAGCTTTGATGCTATTTTCCCGCTTCAGATATGCCTCCTTGTTATTTCCTTCAGCATCTAGTGGAAAAACAGAAATATTGCTTAGGACTTAAAGTTTTGCTATAGCAAAGATAAAACCTGACTCTTTATTCCTTGATTCAACGAGAGAAAAAAGACTCAATGGACCTTTTTTTCCTCGCTAAAGCCACTCAAGATCTATACTTATAAACTGGTGAAAGAGACCTTCGTCACCGCAGCCTTCATCGGAGACACTTTAAACCCCCTGTATAGACTATTCTTGGTTTGCAACTACGTAACGAGGTGGCCATGTCGGAGATCAATATAATATAAATTTTTTCTCGAAGAATTTACATAAAAATAGAGTTCAGTTTCCAGAGGAGAGAAATGCTTTTGACCACCAACATAGCCGCCGTGACGTCATGTGCAAACCAGCACTAGTTAATGGACTATACCAATGGCTTAGCCGATGCCTTGCCTGGCTGCAACGCAGGTTACGCCATCTTTGTGATGTGAAAACAAAGAACATTCAATCATGAACATTCAAGATGCTTCTAAACCATTATCGAGGGTGTCCGCTTAATTGGGTGTCCGCTTAATGGTAGACAAAAGAGTCAGCAGTCTCTTATTTTTTCTTCTCGGGCTTACGTCATTTCTCGCGGCTCGCACACTTAGATTTCGCGTGCAGTAACTTTGCAAAGAAAAGTCAGAAAAATAACAGACTGCTCGCAGTCTACTTAATAGAGGTTTCACCGTAATTTTTTTCAGCATTCTCCTCACGTTTACGTCAAAATTTGTACCACGTGACCAAGGTTTCCTTTGCTTGTCGCCTACTGTTCATTATTTCTAAACATAAAGTAGTGTTTTCACGCAAATTTTTACCCATAAGAATTTTCTGAGCTATTTTTATCTGCTTATTTTCTATTTTGAGAAATTCTCAACTTGAATCTGACGTTTGCCCTTTGCGGTATACGTGAAGCTTTAAAAACTCTCTAATATTGTTCGAAGAAAATATTGCATCCGCTCTTTTAATAGTGAACGAAGTGAAGATGTTGGTAACTTTATTGGTCAGGTTATGCAATAGGTGCCAAAATAATGCAATATTAAAGTGCGCTTATCATTTGTGTGTTTAAATGGCTGGGGATGAAATCAATTAAATTTCCTGATGTTAAAGACAGCTGTTTATTGCTTCATTTATCTTCTAGAATCACTAATCAAAAGGAAAACGCCGCCTTTTGGTCCGTTAGATTATGGCCAACGCAGCATGCAGAACTTTTAAAAAGTTGTGTTTGAGCTCACCGATAACAGCAAATTAGACCGGGGGGGTTCTCGACCAGTATTTGGGTAAAGGTGAGCCGCTGAAGCTTCGAAACTCTGAAACTGTTTAGGAAAAAACAACCTCAACTTGATTACCCTGTCTAAGTCGAAGGACAAAATACACGCCGTCTTTGCAATTAAAATAGAGCGAATTCACGTTATAGTTGTTGCTTTTGTATACTTGGACCCCGTGACTTGGACAGGTGTACAAACAAACTTCATGAAGCAAGTCAAGTCAGTCATACAGCTAATACCCTGTTTATAGTTAGGACAGCTCGCACGAAATAATACACCCTGCTTTAAGACACACTAGGGCGAAATTAAATAATGTACCCTGTCTAGGACTGAGAGGACAAAAACCATACCACGTCCAGCGGCACATCCCCTTATAGGCCATGTAAAGGAGTACCCCACCCCTACCCCCCCGGGGAAATTAGAACGCCTTAAAAATAGATTTTAGCTATGCAAACGAAAGGTGATCATCACAAAAAACTGTTGATGAAATTTTAAAAAAGCACTTTGAGTTTTGTTTAAGCCCCATAGGCAAATAACAAAAAATTTAGTATAAAAACCGAATTTTCGTAACTCCCTAATGTTTTCCGTCGAAAGCTCTGAACGTTTTCAATTTTTTGTAACCAGGGGCATCCTTACGAATTATATATTTTGAATCCTGGTATCAGATCTTCTGTTTTCTAATGAATAAAATAATAAACGAAAACAATGCATTGAAATAGGCCAGCTCAGCTGATAGTCAATATCATAGGGGGTGGTTCTGGCTTCCACAAATAATCAGTAAGCTTAAATTTGTATTGCGCAATCCTACGCCTTTCTAAGTTTGAGTCAGCTGTGTTTGCCTCACCTCTTTTAAAATATATTAAATCCTTGGGCCTTTTTTTTCTTTTTCTTTTTCTCATCAATTTTCTGATATCGTAAACAATTCATTAACCAAACCAGCTATCTTTGAAATTTTTCATAGGTGGCCGGCATCTTTCACGTTTTTAGACAGATTAGTTTAACTGATGTATCCCTTATCACAAAGCAAGCATAAGCTGTAAATCCGTTCAGGCTTTTGTCCTCGATATCAACCATCTTTTGAAAAAGCTGACGTTTCTGTACTAGTAGATATTGAATTTTTTAAACATTTTACTCATACTGTACTGTTGAAACTTTGGCACAATTTTACAACTTGTCCAAAAGGGGTTAGTAAAGTTATAACTGAACAAATCGAGAGAGTACGATTTTGTATCTCACTAAAAATGCGACAAGCTGCTCTAAGCGGAAGTGTAAAACCGTAACCTCTGTGGCACGCGTTGAGCGCTCGTTTAGCCTTAAAAAAGAAAAAATATGAGATCGGTGAAAACATCGTAGAACCTCGAAAACAGGGAGCTAATTTAAATGCGTTCTTGACTGTCGTAGGTTCTAATTTAGTTAATGGCTGCTAAATTCCTTGAAAACTGTCAAGCTGTTCACGGCTTTTACGTGTACAGTCTTGAGTTATCCGGTAACTTGAGGTTTTTTACGATGACGAATCCCACTCCAGTCTAAAACACTCCTGTTCCTAAATTTGTGCCTTTCAAACCTTACTGGTTTCTATGTCCGTTCTCTGTTTCGCTCTGTTCTCTCCCTACGCTCTCGCTTTCAATCCATACTGAATCCGGTTTCGCAACGCGACTGAAAAGCGTTTAGTCGAGTTGAGCAACCGGAAAAACGTAAACGACATTGACTGTAACATGCGTAGCAGGCCCAAGAAATATGGAACGTGTCTCCCTCTCCCTCGCGCGCTAGTTCTTTCTTGCACCCACTACTTCCAAGCCCCTGCTACACAGGCTACATTGACTGATGTAAGTGTACAGTAACGGCTTACCTTGATGAAATACTAAAGCGCGGAATCTGTACACTTTTTTGTTAGTTTTGTCCAAACGAACAGAACATGTATCCGCAATGGCTGAAATCATGGCGTCCTACCAAGGCAAACGCGGCTATAAATACTCCTTTTTTGATACTTCAGTGTAGCTTGACAGGGCCTGACTGCGTGAAAGATCAGTAGACGTCCTCCACCTTCCTTGCAAGCGTTGTGAAAGAAGTAATTTGCAAGTGGCTTCAAATAAAGAGACGTTATTAGTCGGTATTTTTTTTTTCATAGGAAGTTGCTCTCATTAATGGAATTACCAAAACTATTTGATTATACCTCCCCGACACAGACACTGTCTGTTTATGTTTTTATAACTAATATTTCTTTCTCGACCAGAGGACAAGTTTTTCAAGGCAATTGACAAGGCACGTGGGTCTCACAAATTCAAATAATAAAATTTTAAACCAGCTAAAAAGGCCGCTGCTAAAACATTGCTTATTGCCCGGTGCGCAGTGAAAACTACTAAAAACTAAGACAGACCTGTTTTATCAACCTTTTAAGCTCACTTCCTTTACAACACTTGTTTCACTCAGCTGAATCCGGCTAAAAGGAAGTTTTAAGGCTTGTCACAGGTGGAAATTGTTCTTGCGTCAGTACCAGAGCATTAGGTGCTGTAATATAGAAGTGGAGTTGAATTTTGTCCGAGTCTTTGGTAACCAAGGATATTTCGTCATTGGGTTTTTTCAATTTGATAATTAAAAAAAGAAGATAAACATACTGACGCTTCTTCGCCGTTTCTGTCAATTCTTGGCACACAGCTGTTTCTCCAGTTTTTGGTAGGTAAACAGAAAAAAGGTGAAATGAAAATTGAGTTTATAGCGATCACTGGCAGGCCTAACTGTAATAAAGTATATAAACAAGGTAAACCCTCGCTTAGAAAAATCACGGGTATAAACTCTAAGTCTAGTTCAGTTGAGAGGTTCTTTAGTTTAGGGATAATTACTGGAAATTTAACTTATCGGAATAAAATATCTTGATTAAAGAGTCTCAATTTCCTCTTGTGGGAAAATGCACGAGCGAAATTACGCCCAAAATTGCTACTAAGCTCACAATATTCAAATATAAATATCGCTGTAATAATATTGGTATTTGGAAGTTTGTGAGTGACGGCTACTGAGGGCCACTGAGGTATAACATGATTTTAATCTCGTAATGTCACATCTTCGAAGTCAAGTCATCAAATTATCGCACGAAAGATGTAGAGACTTTAACATGTAAAGATAATTATACCACGTATCTCAGTGGAATTTACCGAGTTATTTCAATCGTGTCCTATTTGATTTTAAAATACGGCTTTTGTAAGACCGGTGCCACGCCGCATAGGAGTATTGAATAAACTTTTAATAACCGTCAAAAATGGCTTGGGTTATTGCTTTCTCTCATCATGTACTGTGTACATATATTCATTCACGAAGTACATTGCTTTCCATATTAAGAATGAACTGTAATCTATACAAAGCACGTTCGTTGTATCGGGTTAGGTAACGTCACATATTAAAAATCAGGTACGGCTCTAATCAAGCGGAATTGAAAAAGCATTAGTACTATACAATAATTGCGCTGCAATCCGTGTAAATTGCCCTGTGATGATTATACTGCATTCAAATTTAAACCATCCCTTGGAATTCACCGGCTTTCGTTTTGATAACATCGCCAACAACATGTATTATAAGCGCCAAACAACGCCCAAATATCACCTTTTATTGTGAGGTTAAACTCAAACAACAACCGTCGGGCCACAAAAGTTTGACATCATATCAGATTATGTGATCACCTAACTTAGTATTATGAAATGGGTATCAAGGTTCTTGGCTGAAACCGTTTTTGTATTGTCAATAATATTACATTGTTGTACCGTGGTATATTTAGTAACTTCGGTATTAAAATTTCGCCACTGACATACCTCCGTTGGCAGAGTGACAATTATTACAACTTACCTCTAAAATCACGAAACTCAAGTTATATTTTCTGAATGTAAGCTCTGGCACATATATCTTTCTGACTGCTTTAGTTTAGTTGCTGTTCACTTTTTACGACAGGACGTGGTTGATCATCATCATTGCATGAGGTTTAACGACAAAACATCCTGTTTTAGCTTTATAGGGTCGTCTGTGTGTCAATTAAAATACAAATTAGCTTAAAAGTCACTGACAGCTACATCGAGCTATAACCGGAGGTAGTTCTTTACGTAAAACCGCGGTAGGTTCCGGGTCACTGTGATCTCCTACTCGTTTGCGGTCGTACCAGGTTGTGCCTTTTCCTTCCAAAAGCCCTGGATTTAAAAATGAAAGATTCACATTGAAAATGTCCACATCATTTATATCACTACTTTTTAAAAAAGTTTCAGAACAATTTAAAAACTAATTTCAGAAGAAACTGTATGAAAAATTTCCCTTCTTACCTCTTATCGGTCCTTATCACATTTCCTCAGGGAACGATTCGTCAGGATCAAAGGTCCAAGCATGTTTAAGAGAAATGCACAGACAATATTCATCAATATTCCTCCCACTGAAAACATTTTGGGCGCCTACACGTGGGAGGGCTAAAAAAAGGGAGTTCGAAAACAAACATGCATAATCACACTGCTGAGGGATACTTAGCCTCCCCGCAGACGTCCGTTGGGGTTCGGTTGTCACGCATTCATTTCTCAATGCGTGACAACCGAACCCCAACGGACGTCTGCGGGGAGGCTAAGGGATACTGGACTGGAGAACGTAATGCCATTCTATCCATTGATACCGTAGCTATGTTCACAGTGCCGGATCCAGACATTGAGATAAGGGGAGAGGGGAGAGGGGAGGGGGGAGAGGGGACGGTCTCCCAAAAAATTTTTTTAGTTTGGTCCAAAAATAAGAGCGGGGGAGGAGGGGAACGGGAGCCCAGCCCCCCCCCAGGCCCCTCCCCTGGATCCGCCACTGGTTCATACATGTATAAAAGGAAGGATGTAAGTAATTAAGAAAGAAAGTAAGTAAGAAAATTAAAGAATGTAACAAATCCAAACGGTGATATAGAGATGATATTACACGGTGGCGCGAAGATATGAATTTTATTTTCGAGTGGCAAAACAATATTTTACGAACGAGCGCAGCGAGTGAGTAAAATATTGTATTTGCCACGAGAAAATATAATTCATATCTTCAAGCCGCCGTGTAATGTTCTTTTTATTATATAGACAAAAAGACATCGATAGAATAATAGAGGGAAATGACCGAAATTACGTCATCGATAAACTCACGTGTGAGATTATGGAAAATAAACCACTCGGGTCCCGGATGTAGTTTTTATGAATTTTTACGAGTGGCTTATTTTCCAGTAAAACACTCGTGTCTATATAATACTGAAGATTATTTACACCCACGCTACTACGTCGCACTCCCGATACAGACGGACTCTATCTATGATAACTTGCGCATGAAGCCTATGAATGTGTGTATCAAACCAAAGTTGCCACTAGCCTGTTACCTTCCCTGAAATGCTTCACTGGGCACTCAGGGCACTCAACTGAGGCATCGTGAGTCTCCTGCCCGATGTTAAAAAATAAAGAACTCTGTATGTTACTGCAACGTTCTTGCAACTTCCAGCTTTTAATGTCGACATCAGCAGTGTAAAGCTGATGTTTTATTGGCTGTTACCTTTTGTAGTCATTACTGTTAAGAATTTTTAAAATAAATTCTTAATCTCCTTTCCAGACCCCTTGTAAAATTTTTGAATATATTGTCTTGTCATTTTCTTTAACGGTCACTGAAGATCATTTTTGAAAATGTATGTTGAATAGCATGCGAAACGTCTAGTTTAGATGCGAAAGCTTACAATGTTTATCACCCCTGTTTGTGTTTTATTGTTAATTAAGTGACTCTAATCTCTGGCATAAGAAAGGATAGTGTGGTACTGCTGTGAACAGACGTAAAGCTGTAAAACTTCCCTTCAACTTTCTGGCTTGGGGAGATTGCATGTTTGAACAAGGTAGAGAAAGTATCTTTGTACTCATTGACTTTCTCAGTTTCTACTACATGAAAACGCACATATTCCATCTCCCAAAATGGGACTGATAGGCTTAAATTACAGCTGCCGCGGTGTAGCTCTGGCAGGACTCTGAGTATAAGAATCCGGTCTTCCGTCTGCATGTATAAAGATTATCTTGACTAAGGCGCCATCTTGGTAACGCTTACGCATGAACCCAGACCCCCACAGAGTGTAACCCAGACTCTTAAAGAAAAATTAGTTTTGTCATGACAGGAGCCCATAACCCGTCATGACTAGAAAGTTTTGTCATTAGCAAAAGAGTTTTGTCACAGGAATTAAGATTTGTCATGGGCAAAAAGGTTTGTCACGAGAAAAAGATCAGTTTGTCATGAGAAGTTTTATGAAATGTAATTACGAGAAAAAAAAATTGTCATGATATCTATGGGCCACCGTAATTTTTCGACGAGGGGCGTTGTTCAGTGATGGATGAAAATGCCATCTATAAACCTGATTATTTTCTATTATTGCGGCCACGTTATTTTTGAGTAGGAGGTGGCAGCCATGCAGGATCGGCGAAACAAGATGCTTATTTCCGTTCCGTGCGTGAGACTGCGTTTTGGAAATGAATCACCAGCATTCCGGTGCGCAGTGATTTCCGGAAAGCGCTGTGGGACGGACTCTGTATGAGCAGGCTCCTGGTATAGGCTCCTGGTATGAGAAAAACCAAGTTAAGTATCACATATCACAATTTTAGTTTTAACATCGTTACACCGATATTATATTTATTAGAATTACATAATGACAGGAGCCTCTGAAACTGAGTGTTTGTCCTCTTTAGCATTCTCCGTGGTCTATAACCACAGGTCACCCAGGCTCACTGTTTGTGTCACGTACGGGTTTCATAACATGAGTATATATAGAGATCATATGGGGCGAAGTTTAGGTCTGGAAATTTGCTAGAAAATGGAAATAAAAATCGGTGAAACTCACCATGTGGCGAGAAGTTGTTGTCCTTAATATGCAAACGAAGTTTCGAGAAAAATAGTCTGCTAGACTATTTTTATAATGCTGCGTGGCGACACAAGGAACGGCTATGGGACCACATGTAACCCCCCCCCCCCGGTTCCTATCCCACTCTAGCTTCAAGGTCTTTTTTTGCTGACTTGTTACGCCCAGTTAATTGAGTGAAGTGTTGACGTGAAGAGAATCTCCTTACGGGGCAAAAATAAAAAAACAACAACAACACGAAGACGAAGACGGAATACTTGGAAAGAGAATTCAAGGGGACAGTGGATCCAAAAAGTACAAACCGGGAGCCATTATTCTTGAATTAGTACAAAATAAATATCAGCACAGGAATTTACAATTCTGCAAACCAAATAGGGAGGGAAGCACGAAGGTTTCAGAAAAAGAGGCCCTGCACGGATTTAGCCGGTTAGTTTCTTATTAGTGCTTTTCCGTAATTCCTTGACCGACAAACTCTGCTTAGCGTTTCCTTTCTCAACCGCAAATGTTAGCGGTGATGATGAATATGATGTTCGGATCGTTGGCGCTGATACCTAGAAAAGAGGGCGTTAGGATAGGATGGCAAAATCAGCCCGTTCGCCGATATCAGATGTTCATAAGGACAAAATCATGAGGTTTCAAAAAAACTTAAAATTGATAAGCCATGGAAGAGTAGTATTATTCTATTTTCATTCTTCTCAAAACGAGCTAAGTCTTTGAGCTTGAGTCTTTTTTCACGGACATTTTGCATTGTTTGTAGCAAATGAAATACCTTTAAATCGATTCACACTTAATATTGTCAAAACCTCAGGTAACATCCAAGTGTACTGAGCGACTGAACGCTTAAGGTATTACGGCCAAAATATAGCCTGAAATGCGACCTGAATTCAGCTCCTTTTAAGAACCCATACTTACCTCCAACACTAAAACAAACCTCAGGTTTTCCTCAAGGAGTTCCTCAAGGGTCTATTCTTAGCCCTCTACCATTCCCCATTTATAGAAATGACTTACCAAATTGCTTAGAATTTACTACCCACTGTTTATATGCGACCCAAATCTTTGCCTTTAGTATTGAGGGAAATTTTCTTGCTAATAATATCAATCTATTCTGATCTAGAAAACCTTTGTGATTGGCTCACAGTTAATAGGCTCATTCCACCCTTTGAAAACTACGTTCACGCTCATTGGGTGGTCGACATATAACTTTAAAAATAAATCTAAAAATTTACCTGATGCTTTAATCATTGAAAATAATGTTGTTCGCATGTAACTTCTAATAAATGTTTGGGAGTATTATTAGTTGAAAAGCTTACTTTTGAGACTCACATTGTATATGTAAAAAGGCTTGTGCTAGGAGCTCTGAGAAGATTTAAACTTTTTGTTCCGCTTTACAACCTTGGAAACTTATACAATTCACATGCACAGCCTCACTTTGATTACTGTTACCCCTTGTGGGATACTTGTGGAAAGAAACTGAAAGATAAATTGCAAAAAATTCAAAACCGCGCAGGTAGAGTCATTACCGGTTCTTCATATGACATCAGATCAGTAGATGTGCTTATTTTCCTGTGCAACTTTTTTTTTTTGCATATAAAAACGTTTTCTTTTCAACTCTTTTGTCTTTTTAACAAGAATGAAGTTGGGTTGCCTGTGGTTTTCGCTTCCGGAAAGTTTGTGTGGTACCCAGACCTCCCAGTGTTAAGTTGTCACAGGTCAGACATGATGAATTTATGTCATTCAATTTGTTTGGTTTATGGGGTGTTAAAATAACGATATTTTGCTACTTATGGGACAACAGTATAGCTGTGCGGTGAAGGTTTTGCAAGACCATGCTCTTGTTCTCAAAGATCTAGCCGTGTTGAACCATGAAGGACTCTCAAGTAAGCTAGCTATTCAGATTCGAAAGCTGACATAAGTAATCATCTTTCTTAACACAATTTTATTTCAATTGTCCTTTTTTATTCGTTTCGTTCTCTAAAATTCTTGTTGGTTATATTTAATTTTTTCTTTGTGTAGGTGCAGTAGTGTATCTCAACAAAACGTGAGTAATAATCTTAAGAAAGATAGTGTGATTCAACGCCAAAAATCATGCTCTATATAAGTTCTTTTGAAGACTTACTTTTAGTACATGCATGTCAACATATATCCAAATTAAAAACAATAATTATGTTACTTAAGTAGTAATCATTGATTAGTGAATGCGTTTGGTCGGTTACTTTTAACTGATGTCTCTCGACTCTTTCCAGAAATGACTGTATTCAAAGGCTAAGATCTGAATTACTTTGGTAAAATCCAACTAGTGGTCTATCAATGCTGCGTTCTGATTGGTTGAGCTAATACGAGGCTATATGTTATAGCCCACTAGTAGCGAAAAGCGTCGGCTTTTTGGCGGTAAAAAAGGATTAAAGTCTAGCTTTAACTAGCTAAAGTTGTTTTGTTTCAATAATTTTGACTAACTAGTTGGATTTTACAAAACAAAAATAGTTATTGTTATAGTAAAATCCAACTAGTTGATCAAAAATACAATACAATTATTGTTTTAGTAAAATCCATCTAGTTTCCTCTCGCCATCATGGTCTCAGTCAATAGCCAATTCAGTGTTCAGCCTCATGGGCTATTGACTCAGAGCGCATTTGGGCTCGAGGAACAATAATGTTAAATACAATTCCTGTGGGTGCCCATTATTATTATTACTACTATTATTATAATTACTGTTATTGTTATTGTTATCATTATTATTATTATTATTATTTACATTGTATTATAATGAAATTTATTAATTTTGTTGTAGTTGTTGATTGAGCTCTTATGAGCTCTCATGGTTTTCAGAGAGACCAAAATAGTATTAGAAATTTTTGAATTTGGCTTTCGTAGGATATGAAGAATGCTGCAGATCGAGGTGGATAACACCCTCCGAGATCTGCAGAACTCTCCATATCCTACTAAAGCCGAATTCAATAATTGTATTATTATTCTTTCAAAATAATTCCAAGTTTAAAAACAAGCTAAAAGATGCTAACCTTGGTCGATGTAAGTTCATATCGATAATGCATCTTTCTTGGGAAGTTTAGGAGATAAAGGTCTGTTCAGGTTCGCAATAATTATTATACTCCAAATAGCAGATCCGTCCGTCTTCATGCTGTTCTTGCCATGTTTTTAGACAGCATTTCGCCATGAAGCGAGTAAAATGTTTCACCGACTGTTCCGCCATTTTGTTCTAACTACCAAAACAACTCAACCTCATCCCTAGGTTTTCACGGTCAATGGTTCAATAACCTGCAACCAGGCTGCACTTTTGACATCATTTTGACATCATTGGTTCAATATGACAAAATTCTTTCCAGATTTGGTCAACAGTAGCTGGTTATTGTGAATTATGCATGTGGTTTTAACCAATCAGAAACGGGGAAATATTTTGAATGAATAATAATAATAATTATTGAACAAACAATTAATTACCCTCAATGTTTCTCTGAGTATTAAAAGGGGAACATCAAGGTTCATGGAATTGATCAGACTACTACTTACAATATCATTACAGTTGACTCCCGATAACTCAAACCCTCACTAACTTGAACCTCGAACTAACTAGAACCAAAACAATTTCCCCTGGATTTTCTTCATACATTTACTGTACATAGTTTTACCCTAGTACCTCGAACCCTCAATAACTCGATCCTCCTGCTAACGCAAAGTAATTTTTGTTTTCCCTCAGATCATTTCTATATAATTTTACCCTCGAGATCTTGAACCTTGTTTTTAGCGCTTAAAAGGTTGAGAAAAAACAGTGTACTGGAGTCCAAAACATTGGATTTTGAAGTCCCATTGACATGTTGTAGACATATAGTTTATTTAGTTTACTAGTGGAGGCTAATGTTGTTTGTCACAAATCTAACGTGAAACAGCTTTATTTTCAAAACAGTAGAACGCATGCTCTATTTAGGCTATGTTTTGTTACGTTACGTTCTGATTTATTATCTAAAAGTATCTTTCAATTTTCACTTAACATTTCTACAATAACATGTGATTAAAATGTTCACTGTACAGTAAAAACTGTTTTTTACCTTACTTTCGGCTATTTTCTTCAAGCTCCTGATAACTTGAACTCCCCATAACTCGAACTTTTTTGGATTTCCCTTGAAGGTTCGAGATATCGGGAGTCAACTGTATGCACATTTTACACCTACTGTTGGGTTAAGCTCAAGTCATGAACAATATTTTTCTTTTGCATAGACTCAAAACCTTTGCAGAGGATAGAGGACATCAGATTATGTTCACAATTAAAGAACCCTCTGAGGAGCATTATTATGGATACTTGTGGAAAGCCACAACAAGGATATTTTGTTACAAGGTGACAATTTATTGGTTAATGTAATTTTCAATAATCATGGTGAAAAGAATGTGTAATAGCAAAGACAGCCATTCTGGTGAAATAAATATGGCTTAGTCTATACTTTGAGTTCTGTTCTCCGTAGTGGTACTCCTGTGGCAAATTATTGAAAGATAAACTGTAAAGATTCCAGTCATGCGCTGCTAGAGTTCTCACAGGTGCCAGTTATGATATTCACTCTGCAGACTAAATTGACTTTCTTTCTTGGGAAACACTTTGATGATAGACGGCACTATGCAAAGTCAAATATTGAATGACCACACCACCCCCGGCCTAAGGAACTCTTTTGTTAGAAGGAATGTAGATCAGTTTAATAACCATCTATGTAACAGTACAGGGTTATAGTGATCAGACACTTCCTAAACGTAAAAGAGAGTTTTTCCAAAGAAGTTTTAAATTTAAAGGTGCTATGCTTTGAAACCAACTCTTGAATGAATAAGACTCACCGAGTCAATCCTTTCATTTAAAAAGCTTGTTAGAATATAGCTGGGTCTTGCCAAGCTGTGTATCTTTATAGTAGTGATTTTAATTCCTTGCTTTCTATTCTTCTGTAGGTAAATTCTTCAACTTCTAAGGTGGAAAGCCAAAGGGTTATGGACCTAAGACAGTTCTGCAAATTGTATCGGGATATCACAAAGCAACTGAGGCACACACACAGTCATGAAGATGAAGACTGGGAGAGAGTGGATTGTATTGGAGAGGTACTAAAAGCTGTAGGTTATTAAGCATACTCAACACATGTGACAGGGATGATCAAATGGGGGCAAAAATCACAACCCAAAAAAATCCCATGCTGAATTTCCGAGCTATCACAATTTTCAGAGGAACTACGCGGCCGGGATGTGCGGAAACTATCACAAATCTTTAGATTTGTTTTGAATACCCAAAAGTCTCTACTTAAATCAAGCTACCCAAAAAATACTTGCCAAAATTTTCTTACCCAAAAAAATCCTGAAATCAAAAATTTAAAACCCCAAAAAATCCCTCGATCATCCCGGTCACTTGAAATCCAGAGTACCCCCCTGGGCACCAGTAGACATTGTATATAATCCTCAAACCTTAGATGAGCCTGTCTGCATTATTTGCTTTTTTAATTATCGCAAAATGTGCTGCTTCAATTCTCTGCTCATTGCTTGTCAGACACACTTATTTGTCATTGGTCTCTGTTCCCTCTCGTTCCATTCTCTGCTCGACTGTAATACTTCCAGAGTGTAGAATCAAATGTCAGCTGTTGTATTTATATTATTTATTTTTGACTAATTTCAGTCCTGGGAATCATGTCCAGTAAGACTAGAGGAAGTCAGAGAATCTCTTTGTGCATCAATGATATTTACAAGGTACATGTAACCCATATGTTGTATATAGCTATCGATGTTAGAGGTCAAAATTAAATTCAAGATAAAATTTTTTAAACTACCGGTACGTTGATTCTTGGCCTCAGCTAATAACTAATGATTATTTTGGATATCGCAAAAACCTCATCCAGTTATTGTTTTTAATTACTGTTAAATACAGTGTTGTGAACAATGATTTAGTACATGTATTGGGTGTTTTTTCTTCACTTACAGTGTTAAGAGTCATTGCTAGCAGTACATGATCCTATATTGCTACTACTTGGTTCTTTTTTACTAATACACTGCACAGGGCCAGAAAAAAATTGAATTTCAAAGTGTCCTTTGGACAAACAGTGGTCACATTTTGCTAGCTGGGACCATAATTTGCTCGCTTTAGTATGAGTTAGTGAAATATTAACAAGGTGACTAATGCTTGCACCTTTGCTAACTGGGTAACTGATCGAGCTCTATAAAAGTTACTCTGGAATGCCCACGAAGAAAATCTACTTGTCCTGAAAGACCAGACAGGATTCGTTTAGCCTTGTAATAGAGTTAAGTGTAGTTGCAAGCAGTAAATGTGGATTGTTCCAATAACCATACTGCATCAATTAGCACTTGTTTCCTTGTTCTGCCTGTGACTTTTCATTCGACGATTCCCGCAAGCAGCGTAGCTTCAGTTTTAGATGTCACTTTTTTTTCCAATACTACTTTATTGAACATACACACATACAGTTGACATTCACAAAAGACAATCTGCTACAAAACAAAAACTACAACTTGAAGCTGACAAAAAAGAAACCTAACACAATAAAAATATTAGAGGTACCGGTAACTAAAATTAAATGGGAGCACAATCAGTTAAGTAAACAGAATTTCATACCGTATTTAAAAGAGACGAAAAAAGCAGACCATTTTGTTCTGAACTCTTTTTTGCGACCAGTTGTACAAGAAATATATTTTTCTGGACTAAGTTTATATCACGAGCTAGGGAAACAAATAATTCATAAAAGATGTAAAATTTACTGTCAAGAACTTTTACGTAAAGAAAATACTTTCCTATAATGACTAAATGATTGAGGGCTAAACAGAATTTAGAATCGTTATTAATAATGCCAAACATAATTTCTTTTATTGAAAGCGATAATTTGGAGTTCACCATGCGTGAGGCCCAATCCAGAAACTCCTTCCAGAACAAAGTGGCTTGCGCGCACTCAGTGAAAAGATGTACGATGGCAGCTATATATTTCAGAATCCCCATTTTGGGTTTAAAAAGGGAAATAATTGGCATTTCAAAGGGATTTCTTTGGGAAAACCCAAAATTGGGAAAGTGCTACCAAAACCAAGCATGGGTTTTTAAAATTCCACTTTATTCGCAATAATGAGATTTTTCAGTCCCAAGTTTTACCCAAGAATGGGTTATTTTTGGGCCAGTTTTTTCCCAGTATTTTTGATTGAAACTTCCCATTCTATTCCCAATAATGGGATTTCTAGGTCCCAAGTTTTACCCAATTATGGGTTATTTTTGAGCCTGTTTTTTCCCAATATTGGGATTTAAATTTCCCATCCAAATCCCAACAAGTGTAGAATAGACCAACAGCTTTTGTCCAATTCAACTATGATAATGCATTTTCTTTTCAAACAGTTTTAATACACTTAACTGATATTTTTGGTTTAAAGGGCAACTCTCGGGAAAATTACCCCTGTTTTTTAAGTTCTCTATGGTTTCCTAATGGCATGTAATGTCTCTCTTTGGTGAAATTTCGGATATATCTGCGAAACTTATTTTTTAATAATTTTTCGAAAACTCGATTTTCTCGATTTTTCATTCGGATTTCAGGTTAGTCACGTGATTTTACGTCACACGTGTGGAACACGGATTGCCAAGTGAAGATTACAAGAGAAAAACGCACCAAATTTCTCTTGCAAATAAAGGAGAAATAGAGCCTCTACTATCATAATAACGTTCAGGAAAAGCATTTCGATGATGGTTCCAATGTTTAAATTTACACGGGCATCAGATGCAGGTGATTTAGATTTTTTTCTGTATTTTTTTTGTTAGTGTATTTTTGAAGTCGCGTGAGACATTTATCGACCGAGGTCAATAATTGAAAACAGCTAAGCTCCTCATCTGCTACGTATAATACAAAGAACATCTTTCCTATAGCAGATTCAAAATTCTGATACAACCATTAATGTTACATGATGGGTGTTGATGCCCTTCATTCCTCGAAAACGACTTAATTTTTTCCCGGAAATACTCGCATCTTTGAAGAGAACTCCGTCACAGACCGCCCGTGCCGCCTGATTCTATACTGTACCGCCTTTTGTGTTCTCACTTAAGTGTGTTGTTCTCTTGCGTGAAATCTGCAGGTTCCATCCATTTACTTTTGCTTCTAAACACGCGAAATAAAACTCACTTCTCGCCGAAAATTGCGATTTTATGATCATCATTTTGAATGCAGTTATTCGAGATGTGCTCTCGAGATTGTAGCGTCATTCCATTGCAAAACCTGCACACACGCTAAAATTACATGTAATGGGCCTTTTAAGGATGGAAAGAAATAAAAACAGTTCAAAAAAAGTTGATTAACATAGGATTGCTTCATTATCTTTAGTGGTACTTTGTACCCGTCCTACCCCGCGAACACTATAAAGCTGCCTTGATAGCCACGCGCGTCACGCTTCTTTTGCAATACTTTCCTTTGGGACTTCTCACAAGAAAGGAAAAAAGAAATTATTAACCCGTTTTAAATCCCCGACGCAGTACTTTTGGAAAATTCCAAGGAGAAAAATGCGATCCATAACGGTAGTGAAAACGGAGAAAGAACTAGGCAAGCTTCCTGCAGTATGAACCTTTTTATTGAAGGTTATGGCTCAAGCACTAGAACTGAAGGTCTTTGCTGGCTATTAAGAAAATTCAAGGGCTTTAAAAACTACATGTTGAACCCGCAACTGAATACCCCTACACTACTTGCTGCATCCAAAGAGAGGCCCAACAGAGATGAGGCAATGGGTTCTTTCAGGGCGGATCCAGGATTTTTTTTTTAGAGGGGTGCACTGTCTCTTGCTCTACTTCAACACCAATAAACCACATGGTATTTTTTTTTTGGCAGAATACCAGTTGTATTAGAAAACCGCAGGTCAGCTCAGGAGGGGGGCGCACCCCCCTGCACTCTCCCCCAGATGTGCCCCTGTCTTTCGTTAACAGATAAAATCTTTTCAGCCTTGTCAACTAAAGAAGGACTACAATGCCCTGCAATGTCTTGATTCTTTGTAGTCTAGGCTAAGCTAGGTCACTACTGCAATAACTTACATGACCATGCACTGTATGGTCCACTTAAACTGTGACCGGTTTTCTTTAATATTATTGCCTTATCAATTAAAATATGCAAGATGGAAACAATCCATTTGTGAATTCTAATTTAAAAATGAGGATTTCCCATTATAACCTAAAGATATACAGCAATGAACAATAAAATACCATTTTATTATTAAGATATAAAGTTTCAACTTGTACATTATTTCCCAGTTAACAATCACACCTGCTGGAAAAAAAGGGTGACATGTTATTAGTCAAACACTATTCCGCCATTATTATTCAGAAGCTGTGAGCAAGTAGTCGAGAAGAATTATGTATTTCCCACACACTGACACCATTGGACTTTAAAAGACCATGTAGTCTTATAGATTTTTTAGTTCCAACAGTTATTTTTGACACTGTTTGCTGGGTAGCAATCATTTTAATGGCAACAAAGTTGCTCTAGCCCAGTCTTCCAGTGGTGAGTGAGAAAATTGCATCATATTTTATATACAGTAGGGTTATTTGCAATACATGGTATATTATTTCTGGGCCCAGTTGTTCGAAGGCCGGTTAGCGCTTAACACTGAGTTAAATTTAACCCTGGTTTCTTTTTCTTGTATTCAAAAGCATTTTCTCGGATAATTTTCTCTCTTATTTTTAGAGCTTCCAATCATCAACTTGTGGACAAAAAGAATTGAAACTGAATTGCTTTTTAAGCTTTCAAATCTTAATTCAAATCTCGCACTAACCCTGGGTTATCTTAACCCAGCTTTGAACAACTCGGCCCTGCACAATGGAATCCTGTGAACTCCATCTCATCCTCCAACCTTTCAGGCTCCTGGAAATGAGGTCGTATGCACTTAACTGCACAGGAATCAAGGACGCTAATGTAACTCCTATGTCCCTGCCAAGGGAGCCCCAGTATCACCTTACCAATTGCCTGTAGGCAATGTGCCTGCTTTTTTTATGATCTGATTCTTCATATGCCGAGGCACCATGCTGCTGCTTGTATTGCCATGCAGCTCGTAACACCCAGTAATTCAGACAAACTGCCTGGAATCCTGGGTGTTCCACTATGCTCCTCTAGGTGGCTCCTCCATATTTTAAACTTCAACTGCCTCCAAATATTTACGTTTTACAACAGCCACCTCTTGGAAGCAGATATTTTCCCCCCATCCAATAGTACCACGGTAGTTATTTTCTTTAGTCATAAATATTGAACGTCGGTTAATGGAGGGCAACAGAACAAGTGTTGAATATTGACCTTTTCATTCTGCACCCAGAAAATTATAAAACTGCTATAAGTCAAGACAGAGAATATTATTTCAATTTTGAGCTTATTCACGCTTTAACGTTTATGGCTTCATCATACTATCTCCTGCCCATAACCACAAAATAGTTTCAAATATATACACGTTTTCAATACTGGGTGTATTATAATACAAGTTCCTGCAGTTATATCTCATCAAATGCAATATTATTGTAGTTAACATAACCATTGTTGTGCTCCAGACAAAAACTTAAGTGAATATGACATGTCCCAACCTCGAAAATCATATACTGGGGAGCAGAAACGTTTTATGCAAGCAGTTAGTTCACATGGGTATGGAGGTGTATCTCATCCCAACTTTAAATTGTCTCAATAATAACATCAGGATACACAGAAGCTAGAATAATAACTTCTGAACCAAATTCATTGACAGAGCAAGACACAGTAAAAGTAAGTGAACGACTTGTAGGAAAACAACTGTACAGCGCCTTTTAGTTATTATGTATAACAATCTGTATAACAACAAAAGAGACAAATTTTAAAGTGCAAGCACTCCACGAGTCGAGCATGAGCGGCTGTCAAGGGGCAAAGATATGGAAATTTATTTGCGTTGCAGTCAACGAATTACGAGAGCGTAGTTATTGCTTCCGATATGAATCACTGCTTTTTGTAAAACCAGGATTAAAGCAGAAATTTAAAAAAAAACTACACTGAGACAACTTGCCCAGATTATCATTTCCAGTAGTCGTTAGATGGGGAAGGTACGCTTTCGACTACTTGTACATATGAAAACAATGATCTAAAATTATAAACGCTCAGTATACAAAAAAAAAATGCGGGTTTAATTAGTCCTTTTCCTTTTACAATTTGAAGCATTCATAGCATTGATGAAATCAAGCGATTTACGGATCGCACTGTACACAAGAATTGTTCAAAACCATCTAGGCACTCACCATTCTTCACTATCGAGATCGCAGCGGGCGAGTGGTAGGCTCGATGTTTTCTGGCGACGCACGAACTTCATCAGCTTCGGACGATCTTCCAGGCGGCTCAAAACGCCGGGGTTGAATTTCCGTGAAGGGCTGCCCTATACTTCGCATTCTAAAAGTTTTTCTAGAACCGAATAATCGGACAAAGAGGTAGCGCTATCACTTGAAGAACTACAGTCAGCCATATTCGAGATCATCTGTTGTTCCACACCTGTGACGTCACGTCACGTGATAGGCAAAATCGAAGCGTTAATGGCGGAAGTTCGAGTAAGCGGCAAATTTAGCACTTTGAATCTCGATTTCTCAGCCAAATAGGTCGCTGAAGATATATTTCTTGATGGTATTACTATGAGAAAAACATTTGCAAGGTTTTTCTGAAAAATGTTGTCCTACGCGAGAGTTGCCCTTTAAATAAAAACATAGCGCATATTTTGTACAAATAAACTACCGGTATTTGAATTTATTTTTATAAGTAAGTATACATATCTTAGAATATCCTCAAATTATTCTTTTCGTTCATCTTTATCCGTTTTCTTTGGCTCTAAGTCTGAATTTTGTGAGGACAAAGCAAGAAACAAAGCCATTTTCTGAACAGCAGTTTGAATCGAGCGGGCCGCTCTTGTGCGCATGCGGGGAAAGAGAACTGGGGCATTTTCGTCCCCAAGGCCACTCCGCTTTCTTTCTTTCTTAAAGATGGCGGCGATGGCGACAGGAATAGAAAATTATCTCTACAGTTTTTTTTACCTAATCCAATTTTTCATCCGAACTTTTCCCACCGTAGGAAAGCTATGTCCCATTCCTTCCTAGATTTGGGAAAATCTAAAAACATTTAACAACTCTGTTCCCAATGTTTTCACATTTTTGGAAAAACATTTCCCAAATCCCAAAAAAATTGGGACAAGTGGAGTGAACTCTTCACATTTCCCAATATTTTCCCCAAATAGTAATTTCTATTTTCTCCGCGACAAAATTTTCCCAATTTTTTGTCCAATATTTTGGCAAAGAAGGAAATTTATGTCCCAATTTTTCCCCAGAATTGGGTAAATTCCCATAATATTCCCAAAATGGAGTTTTGAAAATATAATTATTATATTGTCCCAAAAAATCCCTTTTCTGTGATCTTGAAAGTGGTTCAACTTCCCAAAATTTTCCCAATTTTGGTAATTTCATTCCCAATTTTTCCCCAATATTATCCCTAAATTGGGAAAATTTACAGGAATTTCCCAATTTGGGAATCTGAAATTTTTCCTGTGTATATAGGGTCTGCTGGACAAAAAGGGCAGCGTGGGGAGTCTTCTTTCTTCATTTCAAATAATAAGCTCTTAACTCACCGAATATTGTGAATAATTTTGTACTGGAACATCATGGATAATGGGAACATTGATAGGTTTACTTCTTTTGTTACTTCAAAAGGCAATAGATATAATTTTCTCAAATCATCCTTCTAGCTGGTAGCCAAAATTTAAGAGTCTTTTCTCACAAGTCGGCGGAGGCTTTGATTGAAGGGAGAGCAGCTTAGTATAAATTTTTTTGCAAGTCATTTCCTCTATTAATATTAATTTTGCAGTGTTGAGCTTTGTTCGAGGGAGCAATTAAGGAGTTTTTTCCAACTTCGAGGGCTGGCGTTATAACAAGCCTAATGTACTGTAAGAAATTACATCTTACGTTAAATTTATTACGAAAAGAGTCAAATGACCAATAATTAAGCAGTTTTGCTGTGTATCAAAGAGGTCCTTAATTTTGAGAATTCCTGCATAATGCCAATGCTGCAAGTACATAGATTTCTTATCAGGCTTAATAAACTTATTATTCCAAACTATCTGTTCAAGAATATCATTTTTGCTTTTTGGGTTGGAAGCTATTAAGTCTTGCCAAAATGCGATTATTTCGTGATAAAAAGCTGGAAGGCATTTGCTTAGATTAAGGTGACCGATGTCTTAGTTACATTTGAAAAGCTCTGGGCCCCCAACATTCGCTAGAAGGGACTTTGGGATGTACTGCCATGGAGCGTCTGAGTTTGAGCAAAGTCGCTTAACCCAATTTAGCTTTAAAACCTTGTTAAATAACGAAAAGTCTTTCATCTCTAAGCTTCCCTCTTGCCTTGTTTTGATGAGCGTAGTGTATTATTTTTATCGTGGAAGGTTTGTGGCCCCAAATAAAATCTAATACTATTTTGTTTACTTCATCAACAAAAAGTTTTGGAGTTTCCATTACACTGCAGATAAATACCAGTTTGGAGAGCGCGAGGGATTTCACTAGATTTATTTTGCCATAAACAGAAATGTCCCTTTGAGACCATATGTTTAACAGTTTTTTTAAGGAAATTAACTTATTCCAGAAGTTCCTCTGTAGAACTGTGTTACGTTCGTACGCAAAGTGAACACCAAGCGCGTAGTATAGGCAGGTTCCTCACTAATTTGTAAATTCTTTAAAATTTTATTTCTATAGCGCCATGAACCAAGCCATAACAGTTCCGATTTTTGACTCACTTTTTCTGTCACCAACTGCAAAACAGTCCATATTTTTGCGTATTCAAGTAAGTGCGAGCAGTAAAACAAAAGGTCTGGAAGGAGGCTGAAAACAGTAAGACTCTTACACCACGCTTTACCGATTTCTTTACTGATTTTGTGAAAAAACCGACTGTTTTGCAGTTTACTTTTTCTGCCAAGTCCCAAGGGTTTTCATTTAAGGGAGCTTTCACTGACAAACATCTTCACAAGAACAGTGAAAAGCAATGAAATGTTTACATACAAAAGGAAATGTTTACTCCATATTACAGCATGTTAAACTTGTATGATTTTTTCATTTCCTTTGCACTTTTGTTTTTTGGAAGTCGCATTGTACTATCACTTCTGTTGGATTCATTTCATGACAAGCTCAGGCACATACTCCCACTTGTTCTATGGGTTTTCTCCAAGCCCTGTGCTAATGCATTATCTTGTGCAGACTATCCTTTGGTACTTAGCGTGGTTGCCAGATTCCTACTGATCAACATGTGCCTTCACCATATGTGACCTTCAGATATTGTTCCATTTGGTGGGATTAAAATAATTTTTTCCCACTGTTTTAGGGTTGATGAAGTAGCAGCAGAAAAACCCGACACTGATGAGTGTTGTATATGTATGGATCAAAAGGCTGAAGTCATTTTGGCATGTGTTCACAGCTTCTGTAAAACTTGTATTGACAGATGGTAAGTCATCAATTTTAACTCCTACGTAAAGAAAACATTGTCAGTGATATCATTGACATTTCTCTGATTGTGATTTATGTACTTAAAGCAAATTTAGAATAATATATTATTATTGTTATTAATATTATTATTATAATTATTATTATAATTATTGACCTACTGTATATTGTGAACTCAGTATCAACCTACAGTACAATATCTAGTTTTAGTGGAGTAGAATGCCTAGTTGGTATTGTGGGAAGTCGAATGACACCACACACTTAATGACTGGGCACAAAGGAAAAAGTGAGTTTTGTTTCCTTGAGATTGTCAATATTCATGGAGGTAAGGCAAGGAGAATATTAAGGGTTTAATGAGAGAAAAATTTCTCTGTGCTTCCCCAAGGGCCACCAATGAAGTGTTCTGTCATACCTCCGAATTTAAAAATGGAACAACTTGTAATTTGATTTTTTTGCTGTGAATGTGAAAAGTGTTATTTTCTGCTTGACTTACCGGTAGGAGTCATGTATATTTACCCCCTGTTTCAAGGCAGACTCCAGGTCTCGCACAAGTCTACATGTACAGTTCTGTAGACAGTTAGATTGTTTTGACTCAAGCCATGTGACACATTCTTGAGTCCAACATTCTCGAGCTGAGAGGTATAACAAAGACATTTTCTTCATCCCTTGTCAATGACTATAATAAATTTATTGTTACATCTTTGGTAAAGATTGGTAAAGAAAATGATAACAACAGTATCAGTGAGTCCAACTGATCAATTATTAAAAATAAACCAGTAAAAATACATGCCTATAAAATTAATCTAGGGCTTTGTTCTGGAAATAGATGTGAAGTACAGTCTGTGTGCACTGGGGCTGGATAGCTATTAAATATATTTATCATAATTTGCTTAACCTGCTCATTTTACTTATAAAAAGAAACTTTTTGCAGTCCTGCCCCACCCGTACCTTCACTTCCTTATTTAATTGTCCTCTGACTAAAAAAATTGAGAGTACAACTGTACTTTCAATATATGGTGATTTCTCTTTACAGGAGTGATGTTAGTAACACTTGTCCCATTTGCCGAGATGAAATTCATGGAAATGAAGACTTTTGGGAAGTGCCAGAAACTCCCAGCAGGACAGAGATAGGAAACTTTGTTCTGGGAATGGCTGAAGGGGCTGGTGCTCCAACTTGATAATGGGTCTTGTGCTTGTTCTGCATGCGGGCATTACCTTGCCTTAAAGGAGCTATGTCGCAGCAGTTTAGTCCATTTTGTTTCATTTGTCAATTGCAGGGGAAGAAACCTCATCTTCAATAGAGAGGAGAAGTGTGATGTCACATTCCCGTGCAACTCTCCAAGTTAAAGTTTTTGCTTGGTTGCCACTTGGCAACCAACTCTTTTGGTTTAGGGAGACTTTTTTAAAAATCAAGTCACCAGCTCCAAAATTTCAGGTGCCATGGCGACCAAAATGGTCCCAACTTGGAGGGTTGCCATGGTAGCAAATTTTCTGGATCTCAACAATCTTTCTTGACAAAGATGGCTGTAAAAGTGCATTTGAAAAATGGAAGAAAAGTACAGGCTACCATTTTGTTCCTGTTAGCAATCATGCACAGGAAAGTCATACATGTCCATTTTTAGGGCTTTTTTCTCCCATTATTGGCAGGACCACAGTTTGTTGAGATCCAGAAATTTGCTACCATGGTGAAGTGACATGACGATATCCCTTCTGTTTATAACAAACAAATATGTTCCCCAGGCATTGTGATTCAAAGTTACAAACAATGAAGATAATAATGGTTAAACTCTTGGACTGACAAGCTTTCAATAATTTTGAATGTTATCAATCCATGCCTTCTTTAGTATAATTAATTTTGCTGTGTTAGGCCCTACTTGTTTATATATGGAGAAAAGTGGTCGCAGGAAAGAGGGTCACCGTCCCAGCCGAGTCGTCTTTAGCAAACATTTATGTGGGAAAAAGTTGACCCCTTTTCCCAAGATAAGAGCTGACAACAGTGCTTGCGCATGTTCTTATTGCCTCATCTTAACCAAGTTTTCCCTGCTGAACAAGTCAAAGTGGCTCAGAGGGTGACCCTACCATTGATAAAAGGGAACACAGCTACATGTAGGTGGGTCATACTTGTACCTAAGCCAAATTTTGTATGGAAATGAAAAGTTGGCCCATCCAGGGTAACTGGGGTGAGCGAGCGACCCTTCTAGCCGCGACAATTTCTCCATATACATGGGGCCTTAGTTAAATCTTCCTTGACTCTTCGATGTGGTCATTTCAAATTTCACTCAATTTGGTCCCCAGTTACTAATGGCTGAATTGTTAAATTTTGGTTAAATTATGTGACATAGCTCCTTTTAATGTACATCAATGGACAAAAATCTTTGTGCTTGTTTCTTTTGACAAGGAATAAGAGCCTGGTTGATCTTTTATAATCAGATGTACTGTAGGTTCATGCATATGCATATTTCAAAATTAATTTGGTCGTTGAGAAATTTTTAAATGAGAATTTATATTTCCCTTGGTAACTAATGGAAGTGTAAATTAAGGTATTTTATTTAAATTGTCTGGAGTTGGGATCTACTATGAGTTCATAAATTATTCTATAAGTAAAGCTACTATCAGTAGATCTATTCTGTGTACAGCAGCTCCCCCCTTGAAGGGAGATGTATGCAATATATTGTGAATGTCTTGGGGTGTGGTGATGGTATTGCTTTTTATTGCAATCTGAGGCTTAGAAATGCACTAACACACTGACCAATGCAGGTATAAGTCCCATATATGGTACATAAGATTGGATAATAGCACATTTGCCTAATATCTACATAAGAACGAATTTACCAGTTGATGTATATGCACGGCTATCGGCAGAGTGCTCAATAGAAGGACTAGAGAGTAGTATAATCAAGGTTGTCTGGTGTCAACGTGGCATTTTTATTACTATTTAGTTTCGTACCGCCCGGCATGTACGGCACTCCTCAGATAAAATTGCCAACAAAAAGTTCGTTACAAACATACGCTAGGACTACAAACGCGCGCGCAGAATTTGAATAAAAACTATTGCATGCCAACGGAAGATGTAAAGCTGCTAAGAAGGAATTTACTCGCGTGCCTGCAGGAAGTTACAAGTTCATTTCGTTTGTTCAAGCTCGCCAGATCGGCCCTGCAAATAATGAAAATATGTAAGAGTCTGCTGCTGATGTCTCAGTCAAATAAAGATTTCACCATGGCCTCCTCCTGGCAAACTTGGGGCATTTGACATTTGCTTGTTGATGAAAACCGACCCACCCCCGACCCCACCCCCACTTTGTTGTGGGCAGGGATTTTGATAGCTTTACTGCAAAGTTTTTGGCACCATTTCCTGAATTTTATGTTAGATGTAATACCTTGTTAGTTGAAGTTAATGGTCCCTTTGTAACGTCATACTAGAGAAGAAGGGTCTGCAAATGCTGTGTGCTGAAGGTAAAAATACTTTTTTGCTTCCGAACTTTATTACAATGTTGTCCCTTTTTTGTGTGATGTAATATCCAAGAGTAGCGGAATTTGATCCTCATTTCTTACCACAGGGTGTGACTTTTGAACACCATTTTGGTCTCTTAATAATGTCAATAGTGCAAATGTCCGTAGGGGGAAGGGTATACAAAAGGGCATGTTAAAGTTTCCAATAACTGTACGTGAACAGAGACTATAATGCCACAGGAGGCCAAAATGATTTTCTGTGTCCACTCATATTTCAATAAAAAAGTAATGTTTATACCAAAATCATCACCACAACAAACGTGTCAATTGACTAGCCTGAATTTCCGACATCACTTCAAGTCGCTCACTCCCTCAGCGCAGTGACTTAAGGAGTAAGTGACTCGGAGTGATGTCAGAAATTCAAGATAGTCAATTTATAATATTATACCAAAACTATTAGAACTATTAGAACTATTAGCTTAAACAATTCAAAAGATATCAGATTGGGAATGAGTTCTCAGTTCTTACTTTTCGAAAATGAGGTACAAAATGTCCTGTATTTATTCTTAGGTAGTAGCGGTCATACCGGTCCAGTCATAAAGCCAGATCAGTCTATTCCTAAATACTATTGGTGTTTGTAGGCATAGTAAATAATATGCATTATTGACCAAGATGGCTGTATATTGGCCAAGTTCTTTTTGCGTTTCCTGAGACAAAGTCAAGGTTATTAAAAATGCAAAAAGGAACGAGGCCAATATACAGCCATCTTGACCTAAAAAGCTTGGTCAATAAAGGATTTATTATATAGCCAAAGAGAGAATTTTTTCTTGCGGGACCAACGCGGGAAATCCCGAGCGGGTAAGATGAGCCCATGTTGCCCGCTCGGGTAGCCAATCAGAACGCAGGATTCGTTTCATCTTGCCCGCTCGCTGGTTCAGCCATACAGTAATGGGTTTTAAACTTCCAAAAAGCCTATTTCATTCTAAAAAAAACTTAATGATTGTAACGGCGGGCCAGTTCTGACTTCTGGTATTAGAAAGCCGTGGAAACCTCAAATTTCAAGAATGTTGATTGTAAAGTAACCTTTCACATTTGATTAATGCGAAGGAAGAACTATTACAATCTGACTGAAAAGGCCCAAAACTAATGGTAACCATTGCTGTTTTCGATTTAGCTTTCAAACAACCTATTGGTTTCCTCTTTGCAACACGTGACATTTCTTACAGGATCTGGAAGGCTATTCTCGGTATCCAAGATTTGACCGAAGTGTAGTGGGAGATTTGGGAAAACGCAAAATTTCTTGACGGGATATGGAATTTGCCCGTTACTCGGGATGCGGGATACCTTGTTCTCTGTTACCCGTTCCTTGTTACCTTGTTGCCCTGTTACTGTGTTGGGTATCCCAAAATAGGCAATAACGGAACGATGGGAAGAGGCCTCTCTTCTCTCTATTCCCCCTTCCCATCGTGCCCCGTACTCTCTCTTTTTCTTTCTCCCAGCCTCCTTGCGACATAAAGAGGCCTCTGTGGAGGAGAGAGGCTCAGTAGACAGTGTTCTGGACACTTATGTAGCACAACTGAGCGGACGGAGCCCCCTCTTGGTCGGTAGGAATACAACAAAAAACGTTTTGTCAACGTTTTTGCCGTGAAATGTTGCCAAAATGTCGGGTAAATTTTCAAATTGCTCTAAAATTCGCGAATTTGTCGATTTTTCCCATAAAATTCCCGAGATTTTCTGAAATTCTTATAGATGTCTAAATTTCCCCCCCGAAAATCCGAAATTATGTAGCTAAGCCTACCTAAGAACGTCCGAAAGGGAGGTCAATCTCCCGGGGGGGCACTTGGGTATTTGCCGCCCGGTACTCCAAATTGGCACCCCGTTCTAAAAAAAATTTCCCCTAAAATTGATACCCCATTCTAGAAATGGGCCAATTTTTTATACGCTGCGTTCTAGAAAGTTTGTAAATTGAAATAGCCCTGTTTTTTTAAAAAGATATTTCTTTATTTGTTTGACTTATACATCAAATAAACGCTTCTTCATAATCAGCAACAATTTGAAGCAGAAGGTAAAGCCGTGATCCACAATTTTTTATACCCCGTTCTAGAAAACGCCTCTGAAATGGATACCCCGTTCTAAATCAGGAGCTTCAAAATCACGACCCCGATGGGCGGCACATACACGTATAGGTAATGTATTGGAGTCCCCCCCCCCGCCCGGGTTAATCTAAACCTGACCTTCTCTGGGCACATATCAGCTTCGTGTGAGAAGGCAACTTCGAGGGTTAACTGATGCGCCTCGTGCGTAAACTCATACCGATCGAAGCCAGGCCTGGATCGAAGCTAAACTGCAAACATACATTGAAGGCAGCTGTCCTCCCCCGGTTATTGCGGGTTAACGTGGCATTTTTGGCAAGTCGGATAGTAACAAGTTAGGAAGGATTAACGAGCGAGTTACGCACGTTGCTACTGGCGTGCACGACAGTAAAAAATACTTCTCGTCAGGATTTTTGAAGAGAAAAAATATGAAAGGTAGCCCCCCTTTATTTTTGTTGTTTGAGATAATTAGCGTATTCTTAAAATAAACCAACCTCGACCCCAGGGTTGTTAATAACCACTCGCGCGTCGTGTGGTCAGCGGGATTAGTCTAGTACCCAGTCCACATTGCGTCAAAGGAGGGTGGGAAGTTTGAACGTTGAGAAACTGTTGATCGTTTTTTTTACAATTTTCACAATTTAATGCGTTGCTTCACTGTGCAATTTTCCACTTGATTGACAGTTAAGTATTCAACGATCATCACTACATTTTTAGAACCTATTTGCTTTCCTTCGAGCGCGTTCAACGAGGTTAAACTGGAAAGCGTCATGGCTTCGCTTAACGGTAATGGCAGTCCTTTTCGTCCGAAGTGTGAGTATGAAAACTTTGCCTTTGGAGTATTAAATCGGTAGCTTTTAACAAATGTTTGGTTTTCCTTTTCGTTAATAAGTCTTTTTAAGTATGAACTATACCCTAACGCTACATGTATTTAAGGACTAAACTTAAAGTGAAGGCCAAGGAGATCTACTTTAGCTCCGTGCCAACAACAAATTTGGGAAAAATAACGATGCTAACAGACTATTAAAAGTAAACATGAACAGCATATCCTTTTACCTGTATTAAGAAATATCTTAGAAACCTTACTCGTTCACATTTGTTAGAATCTATTCATTTTCTTGAAGGAATAAGCATGGATCAGATCAGTCCCCAGGTTATACATATACTTGTAGGAGACTGTGTACGTGCATCCCTATATCGATCCTCTTATATCTTGTTGCATCGGCTGTTGCATCACTCTCCAGCTATTGCTTTGCAAGTTGAGGTTGCCTATGTCTTTTGTGCATAATAAAACCGTGTATTATTCCAATACACTTTGTGCAACATGCAAATTGACCACTCCAGAAAATACCATAACATGCCATAATACTCTTTGTTTGTCACTCCAAAATTTTGCATTGAGCATTGTCTTCAGTTTATCTTGGGAGTTAAAAAGGCCCCAAGAGAAACTGAAAACAATGCTTATGCAAAATTTTGGGGTGACAAACAAAGAGTATTATGGTATGTTATGGTATTTTCTGGAGTGGTCAATATTGTATTGCTCATAGGTAGACCATAGTAATAAGTAATGGTAACAGGACTAAGTGGAGTCCAATTCGGTCTGTAATCGTACGAGCGATTAACAAAATCGGAGGTGCATTAGACCGGTCCGACTGGGAAACATGGTCCACCTTAAAAAAAGGTGGACCACTGTTTTTTAAACTTCTCTGCTTGGACTGAACTGATCCATTGAGTTTTGGACCGAAATTTCCAGAAATTTTGGTTGAATGGATTGCGCACAATGTGTCCAACATCATTTTCTTCACACAATATCCTTTAACTCCGTCAAGAGAAGAGGTACTGAGAATTTATAAAATGGTCAACAAAGGGAAAATGCTTCAGTCATTACTGATCATGTATGTGGATAATGGACTTTGAGGGTTAACAGCATTTTATTTTTTTAACAGTGCACAATGCCAAGAAATTCCTCTCTCTTCAGCTGTCTCAAACAAGCCAAGCAATTTCTGCAGAGTTTAACCACATGCTCCGAACTCAAACTCTAGCAAGGAAAAGGAAGAAGGTCATCAGTGAGATTTTTGCCACAGAAAAGACTTACCAAGAACACTTACGTGCCATCACTTCTGTGAGTATGATTATCATTCAACAATTTTTCAAAATTAGCGACAGTTATATAATAATTTCATAAACTTGCAAAGGTAGACTTCAGTTACGTGTAGGGTGTATTCCATTGGGATGATCCACATCAGAATCAGTGATCAGAGATCACTCGGATCATAGCAGATCAAAAGAACCTACAATAGCATGGTATGAATCCACCCTAGGAAAGGATACATCGGTTCATTTGATGTATCGTGATTCCAATAATCTTGGATCACCAATCCTGGTCTGGATCATCCCAAGTTACTCACCCTTAGCCTCCCGCATGGGAGAGTTGTATTACAAACATATACAAGGGGAGGAAGGTAGCTCATTGGTATGATGACCTTTAAAAAGTGACTATTGGAGGCTATGATTACAGTAAGGTTAATGATCTCTCAATACACTCTAACTGCTGCAACCTTGACAAAACCTAGTGTGAACTTTTTGCCTGCACAAACCATTTGCATAAGTAGCCAGCTCTACTTAACTTACATTTAATGAGCTTGTAGACTAATTAGGCTCAGTTGGTTTGAAATCTGCAATGTACATTAATAGTTTGTAGGAGGTCAAAGTTCTTTAAAACACACGTTCACAGTGTGAATAACTAGAAACTTCTGCTATAGGGAGGAAAGGTGAATACAAATCAAGACCAGTTTATAAGTGGTGGTGTTAAGTATACTTGTCTCCCGGTGACGCAAACCTTTACCTGTAAGGGAAATCCTAAAAAAATCACTTTACTGGGAAGTTCAGTGATTTATATAAGTTAAAGAGCCTAATGGGAAAAAGTAAGGAACTTTAAGTGAAGGGAGTTAAACTTATGGGGGATCCTAGTATAGTAGTAACTGGCAGTCAACTGCACAACATTACAGTAACTGTATAGTACAGTCCAACCTCGTTAATGTAGACACTGAGGGGGCCATAGGGTGTCCATATTACATTGTAAGTGGGTTGAATTTAGAGAAAAATTTCCCTTTTCCTATAGACCTAAGGAGAAAGCAAACTGTCCGTAATATTAAATAATGAGGTGTCTATGTTAAGCGAGTGTCCATAAAGCGGGCTTTGACTAGTGTGCAGACTTTATAATCACCTTTCTGCAACATATGAGGATTAAACATTCCTTGGGGCATGATGATATACTGTAAAAGCAAATACATGAAGGGTGAAATCCTAATTTTTTTAACCATGTATGGAAAAAAAATTGGTTTCAATATTAACTGTCAGGAGGTTTGAAAAACTGGGTGTGAAATTAGTCAGTGTATTTGAATGGTAAAGGGAAGTTTGGTGTGGTTGCAATCTTGAGTTTGAAAAAACCAAGGCAGCATGCAAAGAAAGTCGTGTCCGACAGCTCGGGGCTAGTGGATTTTGCTTTCAGGCTAGTGAATTCTGTTCTTAACTTGTCCGACAGGCAAGCGAATTTTTTTGGGAAATTCAAATTACAGAAGGATGGTAATCAATCCTGCTAATCAAAAAGGGTTTTCGGGCTAGTTGAAATGACTTGTGGGCTAGTACATGCTAGCTACAGCTTGCCCGAATGGCAAGCTGTAAAACTGACTTTCTTTTCACCCTGCCAGGGTTCAAAGAATCAGGATTCTGCTGTACTCAAACTAGGGTATTCTCCATTTTTCCTATCAGCTTTTTCTTGAACCTCTACACGTTGCCTGCATCCTTCCACAAAATACCATCAATACAATTTTTTCCAATGTGGAAGCAATCCAGGCAGTCAACAGAGAACTATTGAGTCACATGGAGACACAAGGACTTGGTGATGCCTTTTTGGCCTTGGCACCATTCATCAAACTTTATAGTACCTATGCTAACAACTTTGCTAAAGCACAGTCTGAACTACAGGTGAGTAATCACCGAATAATACTACTTTGCTCAACAGACATAAATAATAGTGCTAAAAAGACTTGAATTCAAGCTTTCCCTAAGTTGGTCAAGCAGCCCTCACAATTTTCTTGCTAGGGACCACTTTCTTAGTTAATGATTTTGTTAGAGGATGACCTGCCTGAACACATGCCCTTTGGGCAAGTGAGTTTTCAGAAGTTACTTGTCCAGCAAGAAGACTTGTTTTTAGACACCTAAAAAGCGGCAGCTAGCCTTATCTGATAAACAATGTATTTGTTTTAGTTAACTTTTTATCTCAGGTAATTTCTGTTTTTCCTTTGTTTCAACTTCATTAGGTAAGCATACATTACCATACCCAAAAACAAAAGAAAAACAAAAATTACCTGAGACAAAAAATTTACTACAACATGTACATATTATAATACAACCACCGTTAAGTTAACTGACAAAAGCCAAGGTTAGGGATAGTGTAATAGCAGGACTTGATCTGATCTGGTATGATCCATCTTTTTTCAATGGCCTTAATTTAAAAGAAAAACGGCTGGGTTGCATATATATAGACAACAATAAATGACTGAACATGCCATTTTTCTTTAATTCTTTGTTTTTACAGGAATGGGAAAAGAAGAATAATGAGTTTGCAACTTTTAAGAAAGCTCAGGAGACGCGTGCAGAATGCAAGGGCTTAAATCTAGGTGCCTTACTTATAACACCAGTTCAGAGAGTTCCAAGGTAAGGATGTCATTTATTAAAAATAAGTTAAATAATTATTTATTAATATCATAGGGTCTTTTAAAATATCCCTGGACTGGCTGCTTACTTTGACAACTCAGCCATCTACTTCAAAACTTTCTTACAACCCCGTACTAAGAGTGACCAACCTCTATTTTCTCCTAACATCATCAATGATTATCATCAAGAGAAAGGTTACAAGAATTGATAAAATAATCACCAAAGGCTAAAATGATGCTTTAATCCTTTATCAATTTCTATCAGCTTTTTCTCGAAGGAAATGTATTACATGGAGATCATCATAAGTCTGGAGAATTTGTACAATGTATGGGAATACTGAACCTAAAGGGTTAAAAGCAATTTATGATGACTTACACCTACACAGGTCTACTGTACAAACAAACTGGAGTTTATTTTTGAATAGTTATATCTTTCATAATTTTTAGGTACAAGTTGTTACTGGAAAGTCTGTTGAACAAAACTCCAAGAGATCATCCTGACTTTGACAAGTTGCAAGGTAACATATAATATTTCAGTACCAATGTACCATAGAAAGAAAAATAATATACTGTAATATAACAAAAGAGAAAGAAAACCCAACATGATTTCTAAACAACTGCTAGATCATTCTTTGTTTTTACTCAAAACCCTGGGAGACTCCTTGTGAATTTTGCCTAAACAGGCATTTGCAACTGAACAGAGTGTGGGGTTTTAAGTCATAAACAGGGTATACAATAATAATATTGGTCTTGTGTCTTACATGCAGTGTGTCTAGTTGGGATCTTGTGTAATTTGAGAACCCCTTGGTCGAATATTGACTGACAATATTGGCCATGAGTATTGGGGTGCACAAATTACATAAGATCCATTGTTGGGGATGAGTATTGCTTGACAAGACAAAAATGGCTGCCAAGGGAGACTACAGGGTGTCTTTCTGGACCAGAAACCTTGACCATGAGGTGAATGTTTGCAGTGCAGTAGGGTCTTGAACAGGGCAGCAAAATGAATGGTTTTTGTCTGAAACAGGGTTAGGGTTTGAAGGCCTCAGTAGCAAACCCCTACCCAAACTTCCATAAGTGCTTCCCCCCTCCCGCCACCCCTGGGACTCAAACTGTCTCTTACTTTGTCTTGATTTCTTCTTCACTTGAGAGCCAAACAGATTTTCACTAAAAGTATTCTGAACATGTAAGTGTAACCTTTTGACCTCTTTAATTTGACTACTGGATATTTTTTTTCTTTTTTTCAGAGGCCACGGTTGAAATCAACAAAGTTGCTCATCACATCAATGAAAACATTCGGCAGAGGGAGAATTTCCAGAAAATGTTATCCATTCAGAATGCACTGACAGGAGAAGGTGCTCCAAAAATACTGGCACCAGGTAATTACACTGCAAATTAAAAGCCTTTTTGTGATGAATGAAGGTAAAGAATACTGTATGCTATACCAACTGAGCCAAAAGCTATACACAGGTTTGCATACGATAACACCACTTCAGTACACTGCCACGTAGCAGATCATACAATGTGTATGTTACAGTTATTTTTTTATCTCTGGTAATTTTTATTTTTCTTTTGTTTCAACTTTATTAGCATAATTTATATACATTGCCATACCCCAAAACAAAAGAAAACAAAAACTACCTGAGATAAGAAAAATGAACTACAACATGCACACTCCTAAAGTAAGGAGCTATGCAATGCTATATGTATATGGAATTATACTCAGTGTTATATAAAGGTAAATGCTGTTTCTCTTTCTTTTTAGGGCGGCTTTTTATAAGAGAGGGGCCATTGTTGAAGGTACAGTTGAATTTACTTGTAATTTATTCCGGTGCATTAGTCAAAAATACCCTGCTCTAATTTTATGTCAACAAAATATCATACACCGCGAAAAGAATAATTTGATACTTCTTTTAGGAACCTAGCCTGATAAAACAGCTGACAATTCGTGACTTCTGAGGAACAACTGCAGAAATTCCATACTAATGACGACGTGTCATTGGGCACCGAGATTTTGGTAGAGCTTCTGATTGGTCGTGCCCTGAGGGAAATTTGCTTCAACCAATCAGAAGCACTTACGGTCCAAACCTGGCTAGTAACACGTCATCGGCATAGAATTTCTGTAGTCGTTTCTCAGACATCCTTTCGGGTGTGAACCAGTGGTGGCGTCGCAGATGTCGGCTGTTTTCTCAGGTTACTAGAATCCCAGTCAAAACGATAAGATACTAAATAAGATTTTAAATAATGCAGTGGAAAAGCTAGTACATACAAAAGCTATAGGAATGGATCACAAGAATTGTGAGTGAAATGGTCAGGTTACGGAAGAAGGAAAGGCGTATTCTTCCACGTGGTCTTGGGCGTGTCCCTCACTTGGCACGTGTTTTTCATCTGCAGGTGTGCAGCCGAGGATCCCAGGAAAGAATGTTTTTCTTGTTCTCGGACATTCTAATTTACGCCAAAATAAGTGGCTCAGTCGAAAAGGAACAAAGGTAAGGCCGTACGGATGCTACAAACTTCTTTTTTCTTCTCTTCGGAAGGTTGCATCGTACCTCTTGCTAAATAAACCTCAAAGGCCTTTGTTTTTCCTTGTGCGTAACTTTTATAATGTGGTAATGACGAGGAGAAAGCGCTGTTGAACTTTCAAGGTAATTGGAGTCATGAGCGCATCGAACACCATTTTTACACTAAAAGAAAACACTTAGAGCACAGCAGGGCTCAAAATAACGGCCGGTCAACGGACAATGTCCGGTCTGATCGTGGGCTTGACCGGTCAAACTCTCGTCTGGCCGGTCATTTTGACCGGTCATTTTTGGATGCGAACATTTTATAATATTTTCCATATAGTTGTCGCTTAATGCGTTTTGCTCTATAACGCTGTAATTCGCTGCTTTCTTTGGCTTTTTTTGCTGCTTTGCACTAAACCCTTTAAAGAAAAACGTTCTGCTTTGCTGTGATCAGTATTAAGAAAACATACGCTAACGATAATCCGTTATTTTTTAGAAAACTAAAGGGTGACTGACAGTTTTTGTCCATCAAACGTTTCACATCTACTTGTTAGAGGATTGTGAAAATCACCTTGGACGGAATTCGGGCTGATCAATCGCTCGTCCTGTACTGTTTCTTCGGGAATAAATTTCAGCGCGTCTATTAATTATAATCATTTCTTTATGTCGAGCATGATCTCGTTTGCGGACTCGATTCCAGAATTGTCTGATAAAAACTAAGCTAATCGAGAACGAACGTCGCCTATCTCGGCGCTTAAAATCCTCCTTCTTGATAAGCCGTTCGCGATATTAAGTGTTGCGCGACGACCCAAACGAAAGCTCTGCTGTATATTTATTGACTTCTGATGACGAGTAGGCTGTTTGTGGAACAAATTTCTCGCCAAATCAACTTCTTTGCCGGAAATATTTAGCGACGAAATTCTTCTTTGTGGAGGAGACTTTCGATCACGTGCCGGGCAACGAAAAGGATCAAGTTTGACCGATATGTAGATATAGGACGAACCTTGGAGACTTCCGACACCGCCATACGATGTTTCTTAAGGTATATATAAACGAACATGAAAACGGGCGAAAATCGCGGAAAGGAACCCAACAACGTGTGAATGAATTTTTCACCAACTTGCCGGCAAAAACCTGAATAGCCTGTTCCAGGTTCCGAGATAGTGGTGAAAAGTCGTTCAGTAAAAAGAAATGCGAAAAACGCCACCGCGCCCTTTCTCAAGTCGCGCGCGTCTTATTTTCGCTTTGCTCGTTTTAATACGTCCGCACTATATTATCTGAGAGCCTGGCACAGGCTAAAACCTGAACGACAATGCCGCACAACGATCTACTGCCAGCGTAATTCGATATTCCATCGGGAAAAAAAATTATAATATTCATTAATTTGACCGGCCAAAATCGGGGTTTGTCCGGGCTGAAAAATATTTGGCCGGTCATCATGACCGGCGACCTGCTGTCCGTTATTTTGAGCCTTGCACAGTGCGGTAAAGGTACTCGGTTCAATTGTCTACAGTGTGAAAACCTCTTTTTTTCTTTTACGAAGGAAAGACAGTCGAGATCTTAGGTTGTCGATTCGGGACAATCTGTGATTGCACCCCAGACTTTCCATGCTCGGTTTCCGGTTTCAGTCAAGTCTTTCGGCCTGCATCCGACACCGAAACATCCAGTCGCGCGCGAGAAAAAACTTCTGCACCCACTTCCAGGGGCTTATTTATTTCAAGCACTTTTGAGGGGGGGGGGGGGGGGGGGGGGGTGGGCTTAGCTTATTAGAGAGGAGGGGCTTATTAAATTTAGGGAAGATGATGGTGCAAATTCTCCATGTAAACTAGGACGCGAAGTGGAAAAGCTCAAGCACATAAAGTTGGAGGCCATGCAATTAACCGAAGATCAAAAACAAATCCGGACTTTCAGAGTTTCAGCACGTGAATAAATCATACCGGATCACGCCGCATGAAGTGTTACAGTTGTGATTAATAAACACAGTCTATCGTTCAAGAATAAAGGGGAGGGACCTTAAAAGAAGGGGGGGGGGTATTTAAAAGGGGGACTAATTATGGGATTTACGCTATACAGAAAGTACCCTCAATTCGCTTTGGACTCGTGTTTATAAATCACGCATGTTTCTTCGGTTAAAACGAACCTTTCGTAATTTTCATGCATTTTTCGATTTAAACTACCGATGCGAGTGCTCACATGATCACATAGTTTTGCACGGGTCCTGTGGTAGAGTATTCTGTACTTCGGAACAAGATTAATTGTTTATACTATCCACTGCACACAGCTCTTACCTGTGCCGTCGTGTGTTACCGCTGATCGATTGTGAATTGGAGCAAGTGTTGGGCGGCTCAACAGAGAATGAAGATACTTCCGGTGCTGGGGCTCTCTTCAAGGTAAGCGGTTTTGGACAAACAAGTGACGTATACTACACCGGAAGTGTGCTGGTTTCCTTGTGGATCGATTATAGTGTTTACCTTTTTTTTGTCTCATTGCAGATAACATGCAAAGATAAATCTTTGCTTTTGTATTCCAAGTCGAAAATGGAAGCGGTGAATTGGTTTAACTGTATAAGGGATGCCATCAGGTTAGTAACGCGTTTTTGTACCTTTGCAGACTAAGGCTGCTTTGATGCGGTACCGGACGAATTTTACCCTGGATACCAGAGGCCTTTTCTCGCGTGCGACGAGGAGCTTCGTCGGCCGAAGGCCGAAGACACGTGCGGTGAAGCAAGAGCGGGTCACTTTTTAAGACTTGACCGAAACCGGAAACCGTGCATGAAAAGCCTCTGGCACCCAAGGAAGACGAATTTTCAACCGGTTGAAAGTTTGTCCGATCATGCCATGTGAACGTGGCCTAATAACAGGGCCTACATCAATAGCATTTTTTTAAAAAAATTAACGTAGAATAAAATAATAATGGAGAGGTTAAGCTTCACGTTTAAGTCAAACGGCAAACGCTAATTTGTACCACGTGACCAAGTTTCCTCTTTACTTGTCGTTTACTGTTCATTATTTCTACACCTCAGTTGGTAGTTTCACGCAATTTTTTATCCATAAGAATTGTTTTGAGCTGTCTTTATCTACTCATTTTCTATTTTGAGAAATTCTCGACATGAATCTGACGTTTACCGTATACGTGAAGCTTCAACCAGGGTTGTCGTTAAGAGCCGGGGCCGGGGATTTTCCCCGGCTACTAAGAGAGTGGCCCCCGGCTACTTTTATTGGAAAATAGAAGAAAAATAGAACCAAAAGAAATCCCTAGCCGTTTGATTCCCCGCCTTCTTGTTGTATTTACCCGGCAACTTGAAATCTTAGTGACAACCCTGTTCAACTCTCTAATAATGTTGAATAATACAACCGCTGCAGTTTAACTGCCGTTAAGGAAAGCACGATTAGTCAGTGTGAATATCACTTTGCCAGTTTCTTTTCTTTATGATCTATCTGTACTTTCGCTTTGGTTTCCAGCGACCTCAAATCTTGCAGAGCCTCCTTAAGAAAGCCTAAGGATTTTGAATTACCGAAAAGGTCCACTCCTCTGACAAGGTCCGCGGCCAAGAAAGCTCGCTTAGGACTGAGTCTGATTCGACAGGTTAGTTAACCGCGTGTGAGAGGCCATAGACTGTATAGTGAATATATTTTCAAACTTAAAGCTTTCATCTACAGTCAGCAAATTTCTTGGACAGATAATACTGTTAATAGCCGGTTTTCATTTGAATTGCTTCATATGAGCTCGCTCCTAACCCCGTAATCTAACCCCCATTCCCCCGTCAACTGTAGTGTTGCTATTGTGTTTCACAGTTTGTGATCACTTGGCGTAAAAACAAAGTCATATTCAGACCGAATCCTGAATGACGAAACAAGCACCCGCTCATGAATCAACTCTCCCATCTAGCCTATGAATTTTTTAAAAAGCGCCCCGGGCGCGATATTTGGAGGTTTCAAAGTAATTTAACTCACAGTTCTCATACCACAAAGTTGAAACTCAAACGTTTTATCCTCTTTGAAACATAATGAATACCACCTCCGATCAAACTCTTAAGTAACTTGCAATTAATTAGTAACACTTCAGGAGATTTTAGACTAAAAGGTACAGTGGAACCTCGACATAACGAAGAGCCAAGGAACTGGGGAAATTTGTTTGCTATAACGAGGTTTCGTTATATCGAGGTTCTTCTCCATATGTTTTACTATTACTGGGGTAAAGAAAATCTTTCGTTATATCGAGGACTTCGTTATATAGAGTTTCGTTATAACGAGGTTTCACTGTCCTGCTCATATCCTACAATTCCACGGTCACTTTAGGGGAGCAAGGGTGGCGTAGTGGTGAGAGCACTCGCCTTCCACCAATGTGGCCCGGGTTTGAATCCTGGCGTCGAAGCCATATGTGGGTTGAGTTTGTTGTTGGTTCTCTCCTTTGCTCCGAGAGGTTTTTCTCCGGGTACTCCGGTTTTCCCCTCCCCTCAAAAACCAACATTTCCAAATTCCAATTCGATCTGGAACGCACGGACACGTTTAAACGAGTATATATGAACTCCTTAGTGCTCCGTGGGTAAACAAATTACAATTTACGATTTTACAATTACAATTTTTCATATGACAATGGCAAAATTCAAACGGAGTTTGAAAAACGTTTATTTGAATTGGGGTTAAAGTTCACAGTTAGACAAAACATTTTAGTTTTTGGCGTCCATTAAAGTTCGCATGTAAAGGTCCATTTTATTTTTACTTTTCCTTGTAACTGTGATTTGCAGGATTCAGGTGCGGAATGTTCAAGTCCCACAGTTTGCATCAAAGATAGTCTGTACCCTTTACGAAAAGAGATGCTAAACAAATCGATCACTCCCTGGTCCTCCAAAACCAAGGCAAGAAAACCCATCGGGAACGGCACACCGCTTAGTAGACCAAACACACGAACACGGAGCAAAGAAACTGTCATCAACTCTCCATGGGTCAAGACTGAAACCAACACTTCTGCTTGCGCGAGTTCACTAACAGAACCAGGAGAATGGAATCAGAATAACAGCGAAGAAGCTGCCAGTACCGGTGAAACTGTAGTTGAAACTCTGAACAATCAAGATACAACTGCTGGGCATAACGGTGTAAGAACACGGGCTCAGAAACGAAAAATGTCCTTTAAGGAGAACCGAGCGGTGGAGGTTAGTTTGCTTTTATAAAAAAAAAGGAGTAAAGGCGCACACGAGCCGAAGGCCCAAACGGCTGAAGCTTATCCCGCTTTCTTTAGCACGACGCATGTCTAGGATTATTGCTACTCCCCTCTAGCCGGGATGCTAGTCCATCGAAGGGCCCCCCCCCCCCACAGCAGTATGTCACCGGAAGCCATTTAGTAAACACACCTAGGCGAAGAGAAACAAAGTGCAGTATAGTTCCTTGTCCAAGGAAACAACGTGACGGGCGAGGCTTGAAGCCCGGACCTCCAGATCCGAAGCTAGAAGTGTTAACCGCTTTGCTAATTTATGGTCTGCCTAGAAATGATATCAACACGAACTTAAAAAGAACCTCAGTTATAGAAACACGCTAGTTTCCATGGTTTCTCTGGTAACTAAGTTGTTATTTCTCTCACTCGTGATATCCTTTCTTTAGCTGTTTTCCCCACAAGGAGCCAAAAAACGTTGCCTTAGACCCAAGCTTGAAGTGTCTTGTGTGCAAGCTGTTCGATCTCCTCTTCAAAGGTATGTCTCAGCTGAAACTTCCAAAGAAAGATGTCTTCGTATTTTTCTGTGTGATTCTCTTCATCAGTGCAAGATGTTATCTCAAGAATAAAATTACGACTTAATCCCAGTTTTGTGCCCTCTTTGAGCGTGATTAAAAAATTATCTCTTTAACGTTTGTAGTTAGTTCAAAGCGGCTCGATTAACCTCTTTCCGACAAAACTGGAAGAGGAGACGATTCGCCTTTACCTTTTAAATAATTGTACTCCAATTTGGTAATTGCTGATCTTCTCTCCTGATCATAAAGTTCTTTTGACTTTAAAGTAAGAAAGTTTTTACAGCACGGTATAAGGGAGCTATATCACCATTTTGTAACACAAATTTAAAAACCTTAAAACACTGAAATGAAAGAAGACCCTGAGATGATGGCTCGGTTTTATTTAAAATTACTCTACTACTATACGTCAACTATATGTGCATGACTTTGCCTGTCAATGTTCAGGATGGAAACTTATCATAACTTGAAAAAGATTGGGCCAACGTTTTTAACGCGTAACTCCTGTTTTGACGAAAAAATAACCGAAAAGCCGATCAAACTATGATTTTTCTGTGATAGAATCATATGATATCTGTCGTTCAGTTCCAAGTATCCGAAAAGATGACCGAAAAAAGTTGAACTCACCATGACTTAGCTCTGTTAATCTCTTTCAGTGTCTATGACCAAGTAAAGCACACGCCAGCCAAGCTGAGAAAAACTACATACGTAGTAAACGAGGAGGACCCCGTGCAGTCCACAACTTGTGCAGTGATGTGAAACTACTACTAGCCTGCGAGCAAGCTCTTCATTTGGGGGTTGTCGTGAAAAGGAGAAGCGCGAGAGGAGACGCGAAAGTCGCGGGCGGGGGGAGAACTGAAGGGTTCTCGCGCGGCACGCTTCACTCGCCCAAATAGGACAGCTTGCTCGCGGGCTAAACTACTATATGTAGTCGCAGTGGTGTTTGCAGATAGTGTAATATATGTGAAAGATCTCTGAACGTTTTGAGGGGAGTTTTAGATCTCTTTGCGCGGGCTTGTAGGTGTTCTTGTTAGGCTGATAAGAGCCACTGATAGTTACGCTATCTGAGTGGGTACTGTAGATATATAGAACTAGCCATTACGTTTAGAGTTAGACGTATCTTTAGCTTCCCAGATAATACGTACATATTTACACACTGGAACCCAAGAATGGGATGGCTGTGATGTTAATTTGAGTCTTCGCCAGCGTTTGGCAGATGAGAATAACAAAGTATACCTCGTTAGTTGAGCTCTGAAAATTATTGAGAATTTGTAGAAGCAATATACTAGAAATTAATAGTTCAAAGGGGCTCGCGGAATATTGTAATATAAAGGTACAGCTTGTTTTGTCACAGTTAAAGCCCGGTTTTTAAGTCAGCCCTCTTTAATACGGACACCAAAGGGACAGAACCAAGTGTCCGCTTTACAAAGGTGTCCGTATTATAGAGGTAAAGAATGCTTGATGTTTGGCATTTCTGGGACAAAACGACCTGTCCGTAATAGAGAGGTGTCCGTAAGGAGAGGTTAGACTGTACTTAGCAACGTTTATAACCCCTGACTTTGTTTTTCATGGTGAGGTTTAGCCCAGGTTAGAAAATTAATCATATTTTGGTGGCACATCTTGATGCAGCCCGCTTTTATCCCCATCAGCAGTAAAATCAACTGTTGTTGCTTAGCTTGCTTCCGCGCGCTTGGGTTCGGCTGCCTGCTATTTGCTTCAGTTCTGATTGGTCAGTTGGACTGTTTGCCACTACTTTCATTGGTTAAAAATGTTACGCATTTTTCAACCTATCAGAAGTTAAATCAATCATGACTTGCTTGCGCTTACTTTCCCGGACAAAACTGCGCCTCGGCTGCCGGCTATTTGCTTCAAGTTCTGATTCGTTCATCGGACTGTTTGGCTCCATTTGATTGGTTTTGTTTTACCGCACTCAGTTGAAAATTCTCCGGAGGGAGGTATAACCGGATTAATGATCAGGGCCGGGTTGTTCGAAGCTGGGATTTGATGATTGGATACTCTAAAAGGAATAGAGAAAGTTATTCGAGAGAGTGCTTTTGATAAAAAGAAAAGGAAACCCGGATTAAGATTTAACTCTGGGTTAGCCTGTGAACAGGCCTTTGGTCGAGCTTCCCTTTCCTCGCTATTTTTTTGCCCAAACAGAGAGCCTGTTCACAGGCTAACCCCGGGTAAGCGCTAACCGGCGTTCGAACAACTGGGCCCTGTTCCTTAACCAGCGGGCCTAAAACTGGGATTTTAGTCTAACACAAAATTTAACCTTCGGTGCATCATCTCTGAACTTTTCCTTACTCCAGGGAGTGGCACAGTTTACCCAGACGCAAAGGTCATATAAGGGCGACATGTTTTACGTTTTGTGTCGTACGCGACGAGCATTCTACTTTGAGACTAGCCACCTTCTATAAAGACAGTATTATAAATAGCCACTGACACTGTCTCTCTATGCATGCGAGTAAACGTATGAAACATGTCCTGCCCTCTCTCTTGTATGTATCATCCGCATTTCTAATGTTTATGCTGCAAGAAATCTTAACTACAGAAGTGTATTTTCTCACGTTGATCACATCATACATTTGAGTAAAATATTTAAGGTGAATTAAGATTATGAAGCACAGTGTTAATCCTAACCTCCCACACAGGCGTTTTGAGGGGAGCTCGTATTTCTTCCCTCCCCACAAACGCCTGCTCAACCGAGGACAACATTCCTTTCCCCTTGTTATATTCACGTGGTTAGTGACCAATCAACAGTTTTGCAATAAAGTGTTGACAGGCTAAACATGACTCTAAAGCTCGTGATAGAGAAAAAACGTGACCCTAGAGTTACCTTTTTCCTTCTTTTCTTTCCTTCGCTAAGGTTATGCAGTGCGCGGAGAATTCTAAAATATGACTGAGTAAATCTTACTTTTGCCGCTCTGAGACTGACATTTATTAGAGGTCATGAAGGTTTCTCAAAGTTTCATGCAGATCATGTAATCATCGGATCACCCTGTGGCCAAGGTCAACTTTCAAGAATTTGGAAAGTACAACGTGATTGGCTAAGCTTGGGAAAGGAATGTTGTCCTTGGTTGAGCAGGCGTTTGTGGGGAGGGACGAAATACGAGCTCCCCTAAAAACGCCTGCGTGGGAGGCTATGTTAATCCTGACGTAGGCCGCTTTTTTTAGCTACTTTTTATTCTGTAAGTACGAATTTGTGAAAATAATTTCAAGGGTTCTAATAAAATCACATCTATTTTCCAATGTGTACCACTGGTTTTTACCTTAATATCTACACGTACCCCGCTATTTCTGTGGTCGTATCCAAGGTTTAAAAACTAAAGATAAAATATGCGGTGCCAACTTTCCTCACTTGCAGCCAGTGGCTAAATTGCGGAGAAACCAACGAGGTGAGATCGGACGTCAGATTGTAAAGGCGCACTATGCAGCAGCTTCAGTCCATATTTGATCCTACCTCACCAATCCACACACCCACCCAGACCAATGACGGCATAAGTCAGATAGACCATGACACCGGTAAACTAATTCCTGCTATTCTTTTCGAAAAACATCATGGCGATGAGATGGGGATCGGCTGGGGTCGTGGCCTCCCGACTGCCACTTGATGAAACCCTAGACTTCCTCGAGATACGTTCCGACCCGTTATCTCAGAGGTTTATAACGACCTATGAATTCAACATGGCGGGCATTTCGGCTCTGCTAGTTTTATGGAAGAGCGTGAGTTCCAAAACAACCCATTTTATTATGGAATCGATCGCTGACCGTGATAGCTCGGAACGCAGGCTCAGTTTCTTCTCTGTCCTTTAAGGGAGCAACCTCGCTCGCACGCAAAGTAAACACGAGGCACCAGTTTCTAGAAAGGGCCTAAGCGGAAGCACTTATGTTTCTCATTATCAAGGTAAACTATGTTTGTTATATTTCAAATATCAAAATTGGTAGTTATTTCTTGAAACCGTTTACTAGCACTTACTAATAGCTTTCCTCTCCTGATGATATTTAATAACACAGTTATAGGAAAAAGAAAAAACATACATGCATATGATAAATTTCTTCGAGTACAGGACAAATGTAAGCTTGCCGGCAAATCGCTTTTGTCGCTCGTTATTTAATTTGGCAACGGTAATGAGCTGCGCACTTGAGGCAAAATTACAAAATTAAAAGGAAAAAAAGGCTTTACTTTGGGAAGATGACTAAATACATGTCGGTAAATATCATGCTTATCAACCTGCAATGAGGTCTTATACGGAATTGTCCCTGGTCGAAGCAGCGATTTTTATTTCTATGGGAAATTACAACAGGTCTATTATTATCTGTATTTACCATCTGTCGGTAAAGTCTGAAATTTAAAATTTACAATGGTATTATTTGATTTCGAACTTGGTGTAAAGATAGATTATTCCGTTCCCGATAAGAGATTTGATTTTTGGCCGAGTAATTTTGATCGAACAACTCTAGGAATGAACCATAAGGGTTTTATATGACACAAAGCAGTATTAACATAAAAGAAAATGCGGTATTCAGAAAGGCTACCATCTTTGAAATTACGGATTAGTTGCTTTGGATTAAGAAAAATGCAATTACGGTCTCTTAGCCCTGATTATTCAAAATGATTTTCTTTCGCCTGCAGCTGTCTTTTTGAAGACTAAACGAGAGCTACAGACAATTTGAGCATCAGGAAATGTGTATTCGGATTAATGTTGCAAATTATTCTCAATTTAACGCAAAGACCATGTTTACCACAGTATATAAATCGGTGTTGCAGACAAACTCTGTTGTCACCTCGCTGTCCTTTTGACCAATCGGAGTTTGGAAGTGCTTGAGCAGTATTAAAATGCAAGCTATTAATTACGAAAGAAGATCTACAGTCTTACTCTTCTTCATCGGTTACTCTGTGCATTCTACGATTTGAGTCTGATTTGACTTTTTCTTTCAGGCCATTTGCTTCTGATTTGCGAAGGCGAAATTTATCGAAAAAAGAAACCAACAAACTTGAATTTGCATATGAACATATCTTCCTGTTAAAAACTATTACTGTCGCCTTTCAGCTTTACAGGTCGTGATAAAAAGTTGTTTTTTTTACTGTGTTTCCACTCCTTTTTTTATCGATCGAACGTCCACCACAGAATCGTGATTATGATAGTCGCCAAAAGAATCTTTATGTTAGATATCAACGTTCGCTTGACGTTTTCCGGTGAAGCTCGATCGTAATGTTTAAGGCAAAATATGAAAGTACGCAATGAATCTAATGCTTTATCAAAGAAGATTTCGCACTGTAAGCCGGACTATTGATCTTTATGGCTTAAAGCACTTAAATCAGATGAACCGACCCTGGAAAAAGTCGTATATCCGATAGAATCCCGATTTCTGGAACCCTCGGTTTCTCGAATCTCCCTTTAACCAATTCGAACCAAACTTAACTCTAGCTCTGTCTACCCGCAATTTTTCCATTGTCTCCATAATTCGAACCTTTTTTCTTCTTATTAATAACTTCCAAAAAACGAGATTCAACTGTACGTGTTGTCCATGGCATACTTTTTGCTTTAATTCCATTTGTGCATATTAAAAAAGTGAACTGTTATCATTCAATATTTACTTCTGTTTGAAAATAATTGAGAGCGTTTTGAGATAATTCTGCATAATATCGGTTTGTGTCTTCACGGTAACATGTCAGTCAGGGGCGTAGCCAGGCATTTTTTCCCTTTGATCCCAGGAAGCTAATAAGAATAAGAAGAGGAATAATCATGTTGATGATTAATATTTTGTTTGACGCTTTTATATGGCACATTCAAATTTAACACATTAAAAAACTAACAGCACAGCATGCGTCCTGATGAAGAATTTTGAATAAGTAAGAATACAAAAAAAAATGCTAGCTGCAGTGATAAAAGGCTTCTATAAATAGGTTTGTATCAAATTAGCCTTTTTCCATATAAAAAAGTCAAATTTAACAAATTTAGCACGAAACAGGCTTGTAAACTAAAAAAGAATCAATTCAAATGTTCAATGTTAAAACTGGATTCAAAAAACTTTTTTCCTTATATCAATTTATTTTTGCCAATGTCCAACGTACATAGTAACTTGCAAAATCTGTCGTTGACCCTGTAAAAGTGCATTTTTTAATAGAACATTAGCACAAAGAAGGAAGTACAATCTGAATGACTCCTTTCCCCCCAGAAAAAAGGAATACTTGAGCATCAGTATGAATTATTTACTATCCATCAATAAACTGCAAGTCTACTTGGCTTTTTAGTCGAGCTTGCTTTAGCAGAGCGAGACTCTAAATTTCTTCCGCCGGTCCGTCGCAAAAAGGAGGGCAAACTTCCAGGCGTTCGTAACGGAGACCTTGGAAACTGGGTATAAGACTCGTGACGATTATCATTGTACGCAAATAAGTCTTGTGATGAGCATGCGGCTTATTTTCGGGGATGACTGAAATGACGCATGTCAGTTGAACACTTTTTCGCTGTTCGGCAATGACGTAATTTTCCCCAAATCGATTCCCTTGATTTTCGTGTAATTATGCACGTGTATAAAGTAAAATACCCCGAGTAGGATGAGAAAATACTATTGTGGTGTATTGAGGCGTTACGTTTCTTAGAATATTGTCGCAATTACTGGAACTCTACGGTACGGTTAAATAGATTCACTTTGTTGTATGCATTTAATTGATAGATTTTCGCAGTTGTTAAGATGTGAAGTCACGTTGCACTTTATAAAAACTTGAGATATCAATGATTTAACCTTTTAGTACTACTGGAAGCAATTTCATCTACGCGTCTGACGTTACGTATGTGTCACTTATGTGTTTATACGGGTAGCTTTGTACTTGACTATCACGCACTCTATTTGCAGCACTTCATGTCCATAGAATAGCAATCTCATATCGAGTTTTTCCGAAGCGGCTCGGGTCGAAAAAAAGGACAGTCAGCAAAACTTCGAGGTTTACTGGAAAATCAGGAGCGACGATCGAGAATCGAGAATCAGGGATCGAGGATCGGTTAAAAAAACTTGAAAGTAACAGAAATAAATAAATCGTGGATCGTGATGATGTGAGCCGCAGACTGTAGTTAAATTTCACAAAACATAACCCCTCTCGCTGTACTGAGCACTAATGTTAAGTAAACTACTTCGAGTCTGACTGTGTCAGTGATTGTTTCGACGAGAAAGTGAAATTTTCCTGGAAAATGAAACGTTTTATCCCACTGTTCATCCCAATGATATTGTGAAATGTACACTGAAAGCTCTAAACATTGTACTCTGAGATCGCGTAAACATCACCCGAAGCATCAACTGTACGAAGATATTAAAAGCAGATACGAAGCAGTCATGGAAGATGTAATAACTTTCACGCAATTTTGATACACTATAAAACGGACAACAAATTCAACAGGAATACGCGCGAACTGAATTAACTGTCTGTTGTATATGGTTCTGCTAAACTTACACATTTTTCCCGTGCTGAACAAAAACTGTACCGAGCCGTATCTTAGTCCGCTACATAGAAGCTAAATAAATCTACCTGGATTTATGAAAACCGTGTTAGCAAACATTTTGTTAATTCCCCTTAACTTCCCCTGCCCTAGCTTCTTTTCTGTGTTGTTTGCTTATGTTGTTTTTTTGGTTGTTTTGTGGTTGGGGATTTGTGTTGAAGTGGCTGTAGACAGAATTTCGCGAATTTCTATCTAACTCCCCCCCCCCCTCCCTCCGTCTTTGGTTACT